GCCGTTCGCACCAGGATGGTTCTTTAATTATGTTCGTTACAAGTCTTTTTTATTAATGGGGTTTATCTACACAATATCTCAACTGTAGTCTCCCGCGATGGAATCAAGTTTCACCCAAAAGAATTTGCATACCTTAACGAATCAGTTTGTAAAGAAGGACAGGGCAAGGACCCCAAGACAAAGACATATCCGCCTCTCACAGGACCCTCGCTTCTAAAACACTTCAACCTTCGGGATTCGCACACATCAATCCACACAGACCGAGCGGAGAGATTGAGGAAGATGGCGGAGCAAGCATCACCCATTGTTGCCATGGCTGCGGGCAACCTGTCCTCAGTGGGTGGGGCCGGCGCTGCAGTATCGGTCGGATCAGAGGCTTCGGGTGCAGCCAATGCGGGACTGGGAGCAGTAGGGGGCGCGGCATCGAATTCACAGGGATCGGGATTACCGGGAGGACCTCCAGCACCGGGGCCGCCTCGACCGACCAAATCGACTTCTTCCGGATTGTTTGTTAGTCGCAAACCTGCCGGATCTTTCTTGCGAAGCAACGCACCACGACCTATGCCCTTAACAAGGAGTATGTCGCCATGCTTTTGTTGTTGTTATTGTTGTTATCTGTCTCAACAAAAAGAAGAAAAGAAAACTATGACAATTGTACGGATGACGGAATGGGTAACTAATAGACGCCATGATTTTATTATTATTATCGTTGTTATTATTGTTAGATCCCTCTGTGGGACAGCTTCCACTTCGGTCACCCAGACTTGATGGCCCAACAACACCACGTTCTAGTCAGAAGATGCCCCGCATTCAGATTCTGGATATCCAGCAAGGAACCGAAATCATACAGTCCATGAACGACGCTAAAATCAGGAAAGAACAAGGTAAGGGCAAATTGATTCAAATTTTGCCTAAAGATCGTTTTGTTGTCTCTACAACGAATTGTCGCTAACATAGCCCTTTATTCCGAAAATGATAATAATAATAATAACCACGATCCCATTAGCTGAACAACGCGAAAAAGAGTTGAAAAAGGAACAGAGGGCTCAGGAGGCGGAGGCAAAACGTCAGCAGGAGGCCGAGAAGAAGGCCCAGATCCAGAAGGAGAAGGAAGAAAAGAAGAAGGAGCGGGATGAGGCCAAGAAACTGAAGGAACGCCAGAAACACGAACGTGAGGAGCAGCAGTATCAACAGGCACAGAAGGGGCGCGAACGACGCAGGAGTGAAACAGAACAGGATAATGATCAGGACCCTACGCGGACTCTGGGCGGTCGAGGGATGTCCGATCGTGATGGCGACGATGATGAGGAGGAGGAGGAAGAGGCTTCCTTGTCGAGTCAGCAACAGCCAAGGAAACGACTGCGGCTCAGCAGTTCTCGTCGTGGATCGTTGGATGATGATTATGATGATGAGCGACAGGATCGTGTGGGAGGAGAGCCTATGAGTCCTGTGACGCCGTCGCTTGCGACGAGATATTCGAATCATAGTGTACAGGATCATGGACGATCGACTCCGATAGCGTACTCGCCTACAGGTGTGCACGCGAATTCTTATTTCCCATCAGAGGAAGAGCAACAGCAGCAGCAGCAGCAAGGACTACAGCAGCAGCATCATCAACCACCATCACTGCCTGCTGAAGGGAACCATGATTATTCGACGATTTTCCAGGATACAAATCTGTTGACAATGGAGGATCGCGAATATATCACGGCCTTTTTGGAGGGACATCCAGGTAACGCAAAGACAGCCATCATGGCTCTTTTTCTTTCTCTTTTTCTTTTCTCTGGTAATATTTCTAACATTTTCCCCCTGATTTGTGAATGGTAGTGATCCGGCCAAATGGGAATGAAACGTCCTATCAGATTATAATGAACCAGGAACAGGTCCAGGACTCGACGGGCAGAACGATGTATGAGCTGATCTTGATCGAGATGAACTTTGAGACGGGAGAGTGGCGGAAGATCAAGCGCCGAAGGCTTCGACCCCATGCACCCGTAGACGCCTCCAATTCGGAAGCACCACAATAAAAAGAAAAAAAAAGAAAGAAAGAAAAAAATAATAAAAAAGATCGAAAATATGTGATGCCCCTCCCTTTTTGGTGGCAAAAAAACGAAACAATCTGCGGTCCAATTTTTTCTTTATAAATATATATGTAAATGTTATACAGGGATTAGAAATAAAAAGTATGATCTAGTCTAGATATCTTACTCTGCAGAAAGACCGGCCTGCGCCTGGAACTTGAAGATCTTATCTGCGTCCCCAAGCGCCTGTCGTACCCCATAGGGGACTGCACTCTCTGGACCCAAATACATCGGGAATGTGCTCGCCATATCCAAAATCGGGAAGGTTTCTGGCGAGGGCGTGTCCTTGAGGTGGTCCCTAGCCAGTGCCGCATCCGCCAAGAGCGAGTCGTCCGAGGATGCGGTCCGTCCCCGGATCGGTTGTTGCTGGGCCGTGCTGGGGAAGAAGAAGCCGTTGAAGGCGATCGGGCCAAGGTCGGGACTGAAGGCCGAGGACATGGTCGTACTCGACGGCGAGAGCGAGGACGACAACACCTCTCCGAGGCCCTGTTGTCGAGAAACTTGCTGCTGCGCAAGAGTATTGGAACCCAGGGTGGCTACAAAGGCGTTGGTGGTGGCGTCGCTGTAATTGAACATGGAAGAATCCAGCATCGAGAGCAGTTCGTTCTGAGCCTGATCAGAGTTCAATTGTTGGTAGTTGTTTAGGTTCGAGAAGTTGTTCAAAAAGTTGCTGAACAGTGCCGGATCCTGTTGCTGTTGCTGTTGTTGCAGTTGCAGTTCCTGATGTCGTTGTTGTTGTTGTTGGAGCTGTAGCATCAGCTGCAGAAGCTGTCCCTGCTGATCGATCAGATGCTGCTCCTGAATTTGCGCCGGATCCTGTTGCTGCTGCTGCTGCTGCTGTCGTCGTCGTTGTTGTTGTTGTCGTTGGAGCTCTTGCAGCAGCTGCATAAGCTGTCCCTGCTGATTGATCAGAGTCTCTGTCGGATCCCGTTGCTGTTGTTGCTGTTGCTGTGGCTGCTCTCGTCGTTGTTGTTGTTGGAGCTGTTGCAGCAGTTCCAGAAGCTGTCCCTGCTGATCGATCAAATGCTGCTCCTGAATTTGCGCCGGATCCTGTTGCTGTTGCTGTTGTTGCTGTCGTCGTTGTTGCTGTTGTCGTTGTAGCTCTTGCAGCAGCTGCAGAAGCTGTTCCTGCTGATTGATCAGATGCTGCTCCTGAATCTGCGCCGCCGTGAACTGGCTGAGCGACCCTGTCAAACCTATCGAATTCGCCGACAACAGCTGCTGCTTCTGAAGTTGCAACCTCTGGTAATTCTGCTGGATCGTCAAGAACTGTGCTAGAGACATTGGAGGTGGCGGGTTCTGACCCCCACCCGACGCCAGAGCCTGTTGCTGTGCCTGTACAAACGCCGTAAAATCCAAAGGCAATGAATCCGGGGCCGTGAACGTCGGGACAGATCGCAAGTACGTATCCGACCCACTGCTGCTGGCATTCGTCTCATAATTGCTACTATTGTGTCCTGAAGAAATCGGCCGAGAGGGCAGGTTAGGTGAAGGTGACGATTTGATGGCGATGTCCAGTTCATCATCCAGATGTTGACTACAGGGGCTCTGTGACGAGGCATGGGCGTCCGTATTACTGGCGCTTGTTGTTGATGATGAAGGTGAAGAAGAAGAATTCGACTGATCGGGAACCTTGTGATCGCCTACGCTAAAACCAGGGTGATCCTCCGATCCCATAGCTCTTGATGTCGAGGACATACGCCCATGGCCGCTCTTCGATGCCTGTGGCAACATCCCCCCAGGACTGACAGCACTACTCGAGGGGGAAGATGAAGCCCTAGGCGAGATCTTGCGTGGTCGGATCGGGGTGATGCTCGAGCCCGAGAAGTTCAACTTGGAGCTACACTTTTGTGACATGGGCAGGATTGGCTTGAATGCGGGGCGATGATCATACTGAGGCACGATCGATATGGCTGAACCCGACGACGACCCATCCGCTCCCAGGTCCATCGAACTCTTCAGCAATTCGACCTCCCGCTCAATATCCACTGCCGTCGACGTCCGCAAGAAGTGGTTCAACAGCGCCAGCGTCCGCTTGAACATAATCGGCCCATTCAATCCCTGTCGAATATCGTTCACTTGGACCGTCGCAGCCCCGATCAAGCAATAGATCACAAAGTAGCATCCTCGGATCGGGTACGTCATCGGCACCATCCCGTGGTTCGTGTACAGGTCGTCGATAATCACCGTGATATTGGTCGCGGAAATGGTGCAGGTCTCTCTCGACACCGCCGCAATCTCCAGATGGCTGATACTGGGGTCCTCACAATAGCATCGCTGGATCATGACGGCACAGGCATGGTATAGGATGTGGAGCATCGCAACAAAGGGTGTATGTGGCGACATGTTCGGTGCCAGCTGAAGTCGAGCTGGCAAGTTGGCTTTCCAGGCCAGCATTGCCTGATGTAGGAACAGCCCCTGAGGGATCGTCTCCTCTGGCGTAACGACCTTCGTGAGAAATTTTCGAACGAGAATCAGGGCCTGGTGGTCGATCTTGACCAGTTTGATGTACTCTACCGCGTTCTCGATCACCTCAATCTCCTCTGGATCGTTCGGGTCCTCGTTGTCGGTCCGCGGTAGGTCAGCCTCGGGCTCGACCTCCCTAAAGCTCATCGTGCGACCCTGGGATACGGAGAGGAATTGGTCCAGTACAAAGATCGCCCAAAAGAGTCGCCGCCTGACTTCATGGCTTTCAGGGTCGAGTTTTGCGTTAACGGGCGTGGTCTTGTGCAGTTGCAGCTCCTATTTTTCACATGAAGAAATTAGACGTGAGCTGGGTTACACTTCAATTGCGCTATTATTATTATTATTATTATTATTATTATTAAAAAAAAAAAAAAAAGGTGACTCGATTAAGCAAGCAACATCCTTACCCTTGCCAGAACAACAACCATCTGAGTATACATGTATGTGCGGAAATAGAAGCCGCTTTGCTTGACACCCTCCTGGTACTTGATGACCATCAACAGTGCCTGGATCGTCGACAGTCTCGGTTTGTCCAGCGTATCATCCAATCGGCTCAGCCAGAATTGAAAGTATCGACGACCATCCTCTTCCCGACCAGGAGTGTAATGTGAGGCCACTGCATACATCGCCGCCAACAAGAAGTCCGGTACAGGGTCCTTGGGATCATACAGCCGACGGAAGAACGAAGGTTTGTGGAGGACGAGCAGGAACGGGTGAACGTGCTTGAAGTACATGTCGATTAGATCAGGCTGGATATCGACCAAGGGAACGGATCGACTCCTCGATGGCCGATGGTGGTGACCGTGATGACTATGCACACCTGAACTGCTGCCGAAACTATGTTGTTTGTCGCCACAGACCGAACCAATCGGCTTGATATCGTCCTGCTCTGCGGAGTCTTTGAAGGCTGAAGAAGATTCGGCGGGGTCTGCATCTGAGGATTCGCCTGTGGATGTCTCTACAGAGTCGTTGTCCCCAGCAACCTGACTGAAGCTGCGGAGCGTATGTGGTGCGATTCCAAAGGCATCGATTTGAAGCCGGTCCATGACATTGGAGAGGTCCTCTGTTGAGGACGAGCGGCCGCTGTATAGTGCTGCGCTGGAGGTGCTGTTGCTTCTGCTGGGCCTGTTTGCGTACTGTCCTCCCGAGAGATAGGAAGACGATGGTGTGGATCTGGAGTAGATGGATGTGTCTGATGAGGCCGACGCTGGTGCCAGGGCAGGGCCTGTGAAGTTTGAGGAGGGGGCGAGTCGAGCGCGCTCCTTGGCCCGCAGCTCCTTTTCACGCTGGTGGACCAGATGTGGGTTGTTCTCCTCCATGACCTTGTCGATATCGAGGACGACGCCGTTCTTTTGGGAGAAGATGCAGGGGGTGCCGATGCGGGCACAGGTAGAACACTTCTGGCTCTGGCCGTCGAAGTTGCAGCGGGTCTTTCTGCGACGGCACTCTTGACAGGAGATGCGGGCGATGAGCCTGGGCTTGATCTTTGTCATTGTTGTAGCGGTGTGTATGTGTGTGTGGGTGGGTGTGAGTGTATGGAGTGGCAGGGTTAGAGGGAAAGGACAGGCGAAGGAGAGAGAAGGTTGGGTGGGCGTGTGGACAGAGGGCGGAGTGTGGAGGCAGGTCTCGAATTGGATGTGGAGTATGAGGAAAGGGGGAGAAGTAGATAAAAAGAAGGAAAAAGGGAAGAAAGTAAGTAAGTAAGCTGGAGAAGAAGAAGAAGAGGAAGACGACGAAGAAGACGAAGAAGAAGAAGAGTGACGGCGGATGGCAGGATGTATGCAGAAAAGAGTCAAAAGGACGGAGGGGAGGGAGAGGTGAAGAAGAAAACGAAATCGAGGGCGGGGCTCGTCCTACTTGGAGAAAATTCGCAGTCGTGGCGTGTGGTGTGTGTGTGTGTATGTGTGTATAAGAGGATGTGATGTGGGGAAGCGAATGGAGAGATGTATCCCAACGGATGTACATGTACACCTTCTTCTTTTTTCCTTTTCCCTTCTCCTTCCCCATCCTCTTACGCTTCCTGTGCTTCCTGTGCTTCCTGTGCTTCCTACGCTCCACCGACTTGCTTCCACTGCTGCCCTGCGCAGCCCTCCCTTGCCAGCGGGGAACAGAGCAGACACAGTTGCCACCAAAAACATATATATTATACTGGGGATCATGACTATACGGGGACTACATGGGGGTTACGATGAGAATCCAATGGCCCAATGAAATAGCCTACCACCGCCCTATACCCCCGGCGCAGTCTGCAGCAGACAACAACAGCTACAGCAACAGCAACAGCAACAGCAACAATAACAACAACAAACTTTCTAAATTTCATTTCCATGCAAATATAATTTGTATTGTCATGCCATACCATGCCACGCCATGCCATGCTACTGAACACGCAAGCACAAGCATCCAAATGCTGCAGGCTGCTGCATTACTCTTTCTTTCTTTTTTTTATTAACAAAGATGGCGTGGTGCTTTTCTCTTTCCTCTGTTTATTTGTTCTCGTTCCTGTGCCACGCCCGCAACCGAAGCCAAGGTTTCCATTTCTGCGTGTCCTTCCTCTTGTCCAGGCAAGAACACCCAGGACGGAAAAAATAGTCGACACAAAACAAATCCCCAACCTTAACTTCTTGAGCTCAACCTTCCCTCTCTCTCTTTCCCCGCAAACCAGGATCAAGCCCGGACCACTATTGCTCTATCTCCACTCCCCTCCCCCCCCTCTTCCCATCCTAACCCAAACGAGCGAAACGAACATTGGAGCGTTATTACTTTTTAACTCCAGACTGTTAGGATGACCCCCTTTCCTGCGTCCCAAAGAAAAAAATATGCATGCATAGTTATGGACTACAGATTATCTACATAGATGTACACTCCCCTCTCCTGCTCCTGGGTCATCGTTCGTGAGACCTCACCACGAGGAAATATATTAAACAATATGTGAGAACGTGGAACTCTCCCTTCTCGCTCTCATCTTCCAAGGTAGGCCCACGCTATATACATGGGAATCATATGAGAGAAAGAGATATCTCATTCCATAAAAGGGGATCATCGGAACCTGAGGTCCCTCTCTATAACTCCCTCTTATGAGGCGATGCAGGCAAAAAAGCTGCAAGCAATCAAGCAAGCAAACAAACAACATAAAAAAAGAGGATACTTTGTATCAATAGAGCAATTGAGTTTTCTACTTTTTTTTTTTCTTTCTCTTAGTCTAGTTGCACTCGGTCCAAGAAATTCTCCGGTGAACCCTTTTCCCTTCTTCCCACAACAGCGGGAGCGGAAGAGGAGGAGCACCGGACGAAACTATCGATAAGGGTCCCCGTGCAGGTAATAATAATGATAATGATAATAGCAAATAACGAACCTAAATGAATGACAAATACAGAATTCGCGTCCAAAAAAGATCTCCCAACAATCGCCAGAAAGAAATGAATAGCACATGGAGAGTGAGGTTGGGGGTGAATGGGGACGATCAAGAACATACTCAAGATCATTCCCCTGCCCTCCTGCTCCATCTCTGCTTTTTATTTTTTTTTTAAAAAAAAAAAAAAAAAAAAAAGACGTCCATATTCACTCACGTTTAGACACGACGTTCGGCTTGCTTCTGTCGTAGACAGTGCACCGCAAAGCACACATGTAGCCCACATGCGTAGCACATGGCCTTCTCGCATATGTTTTTACCCAAAAAAGACCTCCTCCGTACTTGACACACATACACACATGCACACATATGATGGCAATTAACATATCTCTGCAACGTATGCTTATCTGTTTATTCCTTAAAGGCTCGACCGCCCCATCCTTTTCTCCTCCATGGACATGATCGCTCTGAAAACTGATATTTAATAGAGTATATAGAATTGCATGAAAGACCCCTCCGGTTCATATTTCCCCATTTATCTCCTCCCTCGGGCCACGCTACACACACGCCCACGCGTTTTCCAGCCGTATTCTCTCGCTCGCTCGCTCGCTCTCTCTCTCTTTTTCTCTCTATTTCATTTCATTTCATTTCGTTTATTGTATTCTTTTTAAAAAAAAGAAAAATACAAGGTTAATGTTATTACAAACAACCCTGTCCCTGGAGAACGGAATGGAATAATGTTTCGTCCACAACGAACACCATTGGCTGGCTCTGACTAAAGTCAAATTCCCTCCCCCTCTCCCCTCCCCCTCTCCCCTCCCCCTCGGCATCTGGGTGAACCCTCCTACGGATCCAGGAGACATCTTTTTCTGCATTTGGAAGCTTGTGGACCACCCACGGTTGAATAAATTTCCCTTAAAAGGCTGCGTGAGAGCCGCACAGCAAACGCTGCAGCCCTGCCTCGATCTGGTCCTCAACTATAAACGATAACAATAACAATAATAAAAAAATGACGACAATACGCAGGAGCCATTGCATCACCGCTAGCTTGTACTGCACTCGTAATTGCGGGGAGACATTCGCCGAGTCGACCGGATTTGCTGACTGTACAGCGGGAGAATCTGTAGTGCGGAAGGTATCCAATGTGTCGTGCTTTGACGATAACTTGAGTTTAGATGCCACGTACGCCATGCCGATAAGCTTCTTGATTGCCTCGCGGAAATTCGGACGTGGGGTCGACTCGACCACAGCGCCGCGCTGCTCTAATAGCCGCATATTTATCCTGCTCAAACCCTGCGCGTTTCGGATAGAGGTATTCGAAACAACAAGTCTGTCACGCATCGAACTCCAATGTAGACGCACCTGAAAGTGATCTTTCTCTTTTGTGACTCGCCACGTGCGAACAGACATATCCCCGCAGCCGGTTACGAAATAGGGCCCGTTGAAGATCTTGTTCCAGGCGATGGCTCTGACTGATGCATGGAAACCTTCGACAAATGCCAAGCATTGACCCGAATTCACATCCCACAGCCGCACCGTCTTATCGTCACTGCAGGAGGCAATCTGCTGGCCGCTGGGCGAATACGCTACGCTCATAACATTGTCGGTATGGCCGCTTAAGATGGGGCCGGGTGTGCCGGTTTGTGCGTCCCACAGCCGTACCGTCTTGTCACGACTGCAGGAGGCAATCTGCTGGCCGCTGGGTGAATACGCCACGCCCCATACCCAATCAACATGGCCGCTTAGGATGGGACCTGGTGCGCCGGTTTCCGCGTTCCAGATCCGTACCGTCTTGTCGTCACTGCAGGAGGCAATCTGCTGGCCGCTGGGCGAATACGCTACGCTCATAACATTGTCGGTATGACCGCTTAAGATGGGGCCGGGTGTGCCGGTTTGTGCGTCCCACAGCCGTACCGTCTTATCGCGACTGCAGGAGGCAATCTGCTGGCCACTAGGCGAATACGTCACGCCCCATACCCAATTGGTATGGCCACTTAAGATGGGACCAGGTGTGCCGGTTTGCGCGTTCCATAGCCGTATCGTCTTGTCGTCACTGCAGGAGGCAATCTGCTGACCGCTGGGCGAATACGCTACGCTCATAACATCGTCGGTATGGCCGCTTAGAATGGGACCGGGTGTGCCGGTTTGTGCGTCCCACAGCCGCACCGTCTTGTCGCTACTGCAGGAGGCAATCTGCTGGCCGCTGGGTGAATATACCACGCCCCATATCCAATCGGTATGGCCACTTAAGATGGGACCGGGTGTGCCGGTTTGCGCGTCCCATAGCCGTACCGTGTTGTCGGCACTACGAGAGACAATCTGTTGGCCGTTGGGCGAATACGCCACGCTTTCAACATCGTCGGTATGGCCGCTTAAGATGGGACCGGATGCGACGGCTTGCGCGTCCCATAGCCGCACCGTCTTGTCGTCACTGTGCGAGGCGATCTGCTGGCCGCTAGGTGAATACGCCACGCCCTTTACCCATTTGGTATGGCCGCTTAAGATGGGACCGGGTGTGCCGGTTTGCGCATCCCACAGCCGTACCGTCTTGTCGTCACTGCAGGAGGCAATCTGCTGACTGCTAGGTGAATACGCCACGCCCCGTACCCATCCGGTATGGCCGCTTAAGATGGGACCGAGTGTGCCAGTTTGCGTGTCCCACAGCCGTACCGTCTTGTCGCCACTGCAGGAGGCAATCTGCTGGCCGCTGGGTGAATACGCCACGCCCCATACCCAATCGGTATGGCCGCTTAGGATAGGACTGGGTATGCCAGTTTGCGCGTCCCACAGCCTTACCGTCTTGTCGCGACTGCAGGAGGCAATCTGCTGGCCGCTGGGCGAATATGCTACGCTCATAACATCATCGGTATGACCGCTTAAGATGGGGCCGGGTATGCCGGTTTGTGCGTCCCACAGCCGCACCGTCTTGTCACGACTGCAGGAAGCAATCTGCTGGCCGCTGGGCGAATACGCTACGCTCATAACATCATCGGTATGACCGCTTAAGATGGGGCCGGGTGTGCCGGTTTCTGCGTCCCACAGCCGTACCGTCTTGTCGCGACTGCAGGAAGCAATGTGATGGCCGCTGGGCGAATACGCCACTCCGCATATCCATTTGGTATGGCCGCTTAAAGTGTGGGTTTTTGTCCAAGTTATGGTGTCATACACGCTGATCGTGTCGCTAACGCCCACGGCAAAGGCCCTCCCATCCGGAGAATATGCGCAGGATTGTACCGCGTCATCTTCTTTAAGATACGGCCATTCGCCAAACTGTACGCCTGCCATCTGTGCGTTGCTCAAATTGGCCTGACGTAGCCAAATACAGCGAAGATTGGCCTTTCTCAAGTCCGCCCCTTGTAGCTGAGCAGAATCGAATTCGCCATAACTCAGATCCGCCCCTGGAATCTGGATGCCCTTCAAATCCGCCCCGTTAAACCGTATCCTGGCTCTGACCAATATCGTGATCGCATTCGCCGCTGCCTTGCGCGTTTCTTTATCGATTTTCGAGTGTTCAATCATCGCGAACAGTTGTTGCTTGAAGACAGGTTTCTGGTGGACACGCTCCGCTAAAAACTGCAAAATAGATGGCTCGCTCACGAAGCTTCTCCACATCAATGGATGGTCAACCAGAGCCTGTTGAATGCCGATGGATTCTTCCTCAGCCGCCGCTCGATCTTCAAAGCTGAACATGGAACTGACGCTTCCACGACGAGCCCGAGTAGGTATCCGATCCAGGATCTTCTTGGCCTCTTGCGGTTCAAATACTGCGCGAGTAAAGCAATATTCCAGCAGCGATCGATGGATGAATCGGTACTGATTGCCGTTGCGGATCAGAGGACAGGCTTCCAGCAGGAGCTGGTTTTCGTCCTCTCGGTTGAAAAACTTTCCTTTCCATGTCCCTTGGTCTTGTTTGTGTGAATACTCCACCACGGGGTTTCCTGCCTGATGCTTATAGATCGCCGCCGCCAAATCCTTCAGAAATGTGACGCCGTTCTTCGTAAAGCCTTCATCCGCCAGCCTCTCGAAGGCTCTCTTCTCTTGACGACTCAGGTCCTTCTTGTCGAAAAGCCGTTTTTTGCCACGCTCCAGCCACAACTCCACGAACTGGTCATACAAGGCGACTCTAGTGACCATGGCATTCGAGAGCTCTTGTCCTGGATCCATCAAGCGCGGCAACACCTCCAACGACAGTGTCAGAAGGAACGGATTTTTCGCCAGATCCATTAAATTGGGAATCTTGCCAAGTGCTTCCAGGTAGTCCTCGGCCTGCCAGAGTGGGCTGTTTGGGAACACGTATTGCTTGATGTAATCGTGGATCTGGGCGGCAGAAAACGGCGCAATGACTGCCTCTTGAAAGAACCTTGATGGGCCGCTGTAGTTCCGGTCTGTCGGTTGAAAGCGATCCCTGTACTCTTTGGGAAGGTATTCGGTACGGCAACTGATAACCATCTGCGCTCGCCATTGTCCTTCTTGATTCAGCCGATTACTTGTATATAGGTTGTGCATTTGCTGACTCTCGTCATACCCATCGCAGATCAAGATAAACTCGCGATGGTCTTTCATTTCTCGGATCTGGGGCTCCGTAAAGCCATTCCTGAGCAAGTGTTTGGCGATCAGATCCTGTTCCGGCTTATCGATCGCAGGCAAGTTGATGTGCAGCGGGATTCGGCCATCCCTTTTCCTGTAGCTGCTCCACATAACACACTCGAGTTCCAGGTTAAAGGTCGACTTGCCTGCTCCAGAGTCACCCAGGAGCAAGAACACCTGTCGATCACTGCTCAGAAACTCGTTGACTTTCTCCATCAATGGGAACAATGCATCATCAAGCGCTTGTAGGCTAGCCTTGGCCTGAAGAGGGATATAGACAGCCTTGTCTCGTGTCTCCAGCCGTCTTGCTCTCAGCAGACGCAGGTCGTATTCAACGTCGGGTATATCCTGGACTCGATCGAGCAAGGATGGAGACGCCAGTGGCGGAGAGTAGACCTTCAATGGATATGGGCTTGGACCCTCCTTCAAACACGCTCGATAAAGAACCTGTTTCTTTGCGTCGCCATTCTTTTGCAACTCTTGTAGTAAGGCGCGGACGTGCGTCTCTATGGCGCTGTCTGACGAATCGGTTAGTTGGATAAGGATTTTGAGAATCCATTGCTTGACCCTCGTATGCTCGCCCCAATCCGTGTCATTCTTGTACAGCTCGCCTAGAAAATCGACAGCGCTTTGGCAGGTGCTAGTATCCCATAGTGAATTGGTTGCAATCTCCCCGAGCCGTTGGCATAGTCCCCATTCAAAGGCAGGATCACGCCGGCAAGGCGCTTTGCAGATCAATGTCTTGAAATCGGTGAGTCGACCTTCTCGGAGTAAGGTATCTGTGCCGCGTAGTGCTGGATACCATGCACGTCTTTGGCTGAAGCTGAGGCCCTCCTTTAGACTTTCCAGAAAATCCTGTCCGCTCTCGACAAGTGAGCTCACTCCTTCGTAACCGATTTTGGCAACCTGGTACACTTCCCCTAATCCTCCCTGAAGTTGCCCCAGTCCATCAATAAAGCCGTTCAGATCCAGACCCTTGACTGCACTCACTAACCCTGCAACCCCCCCGAGCACCTTTCCTGTGTGCCGTAGTGTGGTTTGCCAGAGCGTTTCATCATCCGGGACGTACTGCAAGGCTTGAAAGGCGTAGGCTGCTTGATACACCAAATAAGGGTCCAAGCTACCCTTTAGTCCATCCAAATAGGCGACAAGAGGTGCATGCAGTTGTTCGCGGCTCAAATCCTTGACATGGCTATCGGCCATCGCATCCAAAACGTGTGAAACCGCCAGCGACAATTGATAAAGATGCTCGGTCGATTGCTGGTGGGTGTCCTGTAAGCGCGTGCTGAGGACTCCTAGAATTTTGACCAAATCGTCGGCATGGAGGTAGCCTTGGGAAGCGCTTTGTATCATTTGTGCCAGCCCTTCAAGTAAATTGAAATCCAGCAAGGTGGATTGCCCAATACCATCGATAAAACTACCGAGCAGCTTTCGATACTGAACTTGATCGAGAACAGGTGCTAGATACACGACTTCAGTCACGACGGCGGGCGCCTTGAATCGGTCATTGATAAATGCCTTGATTAACTCTGTCGCCAGCAAGCGTAGTCGTTCTTGCTCATCTGTATCCTCTGCTTTGGCTTGTGTCCAGGCGTGCTGGGTATTGTCAAGTGCTTCATCGATTTTTACGGCGGACGACGATGACGACGAGGCCTTGGACAGTAAGCTGAGGCAGTACACAAGCTGTGGAGTACTGGCGATGCGCTCATCCGATTTTGGTAAACCATGTTTAGCGACTGGCTTTGTCACATTCTGAGGAAAAATCCCTGAAGGAATCTGTGCAATGTCCCTGTGCTGAGAGCCACTCGAACCTGAAAGAGATGAAAGGCGAGGCGTGACTGAAAGAGAGACAGGGGAAACTAGCGCGCGATGGATAGAGCTGATCTTGTTGTTGCCGGGCCCAGAAGAGTCGAGTGATCGCTGGTCAATGTCCTGGACATGTCCCCATTTCGCTGCCTTCTCGTAGCTGGTTTGTGCCATTTCGCTATACCCCAAGTTGTTCAGCAGTTTTCCGTGCTCGAGATAAGCACTAGCGATTCCATCACGCAAGGTTTGATCCGCGCCCGACTGTGGAGAGGCGAGAGCCTTTTTTGTGGCTCTTTTCATCCGAGATAACGCGGCTTTCGCATCGCTGCAAAACTTTAGAGAAATTTCTGGGTCATTGGTTTTGCGCGCAATTTCCAATTGGATATTAGCGACCTCCAGCTCCTTTTGTGGTGAGAGAATGCTTCCTGATGACGAAAAAGTGCTGTCAAACATGTCACTTCTCTCAAATTTCCTCCCTGGTATTATAGAGTAGATGGTGGCGATGTTAGTGACCTTGTCGCCAATTAATATATTTGTGCGAGTAGTTTGCGTACGTTCTTACACTTGGCAGACACTGCAGTAACGCAATGGGGACACGATAAGATGCAACGGGCAGGGAGACTGCAGACGTAGTGGCGTCAGAATGGCCTATTGTCAAATACAAAGATTACTATCCATAGCAGCTGCCTGAACTTTATCATATGCAGCTACTCTGCGCAAGTGATGGCGCCTCACCTCGGAAGTGTTTATTCGACTCCTGTGTCCTTTGACTGGATGCCGAGGTAGTCCAGAAGGCTTGTTCTCTTTGTGTCTTCTAGCAACGATACCAAATGCCTTTAATGAAGCATGACGGATTAATAATTATAAAGCACGCCTATAGCCTACCCTCGAGTGGCAAGAAACAATGCCTCATCTCAACACGCGCACGAATAAGGTGGTCAAGTGGAGTGATATTCGCTTCCTCTCGTCACTTCTCCCAGAGATGCCTGTTATGATGCAAGAAGGGGTTATTATCCATTGCATGTTCATGGTTGTTCTTGCGCCCTTTGCGCACCCATATCCCAGCTATCCTAGCATTAGCATTCTTGGATCGACTATAATGGTTCAGGCACAGGCAGGAAAGGGGCTCCCGCAAATAAGCAGTGTTTTTATTACCGATAAGTCGCCGCCGGACTGTGTCTATTGAGATTGAGCAGAGACGCACGAGAGACAGAGAAGAGAGAAGTAAGATGAGAAGATAAAAGACAGTTGCTGATGGATCGAGGAGGGGTGTAGCTGGGAAGAAAGGAAAACGGGAAAGAGCGGAAAAGGGGGGAAAGGGGGCGCAGACATTAAGAATGAGCGCTTCGAGACACATCTATCGCTGTTGTATAAGCTAAACAGACTCAAGCTTTCAACCTCCACGGTTTCCTCGCCCTCGTGTAACGTGGAGTGGGCTCTCATCAAATGCGAAGGAGAGAAGGAAAACACGAAAACACATTAATGTGCGATATTCAGGACGAGGACAACCACCACCTGTGGAATTGCAGTTCTACTCGCGATGTCCACAAGCAGATTGATAAGTGGGGCCGAGCTGTAACGGCCGCTCGTCCTTTTCACAAGCGCCGGCTGGCGGTCGATCGCCCTCCCCACTTTCTTCCGGCAGCGACACATCGGTGCTTGTCAAAACAGAGCCGCCGTCTGCGCCATCCATGGGGGCCCCATCCGCAACCCATCCTCCTACGGTCCGATCCAAGGCCCTATTCATCACGGCGGGAACGTCGGGGTAGCGTTGTCTGTCTCGTGCGATTTTCGGGAGGCGACCATAGAGAGCACCCGGGAGCGACAGAAGGACGTTCATGAGATCTTGAAGAGGCTCGAGGAAAGGCTTCAATGTAATAGTAACACAAGGATAGGAAGGTGAGGGTAATAATCCGTGCTTTATTAAACAGGTAATTAGGGAGCCTTTTTATATGTTCCATGGGACCAGCGCGGCTCAGCTGAAGAGCTTCTTGGCTTATGAAGCTGGTTGCGAAGATTCTGTGATCCGACGCTTAATTCCGTTAGGGTTCCCTAGGGTATAGTCCTCTGACATTCAGGCTGATGCGCTCTTTAATCAAGAGGAACAACTCAATGGGACGTACCAGCGCGCGTTGTACAACGAGGCGTCGCTGCGCGTCTAATTGCGTGCGGTGTTGTACGGTCCGGAGCAGCTGCTGGAGCAATTTCAACAGATGTTGAACCGTATTTGTCGCACGGACGTGTATCTGGAGAAGATGCATCTAAAAAAATGAGATTGTCTTGAGTTGAACTTGGTTATCCTACCTGGCTGGAGCAACTTGTGGTGGTTTCACAGTCGACCATGGTACTGGATTGACGATCCTTATTATATTTGATAGTAGGGATGAGGATCTACCCTCAGAGACGAGTATTGACAGGGTAAGAATAATAGAACGAGTTGCTGATAAGACGTATACAGTGTGGTCGAGATAAAGGGATAGAGCCATGGTCGATGGCTCTCGGTGGGGGGCAGGATTTTCATAATTTTCATAATTTTCATTATGATAATGTACGTGTACATGTACACGATTGATAAATGATACAAATATATATTTTACATGTATGTGTATTTATCAGTTCATACGAATGCATGTAATGTTGCGAGTAAAGAAAAGAAAGGAACAGAGCAGAACAGAATAGGAAAGAAACGGTACCCTACAAAGAAATCTGCGCAAGACTTGGCGCATCCAACCCATTCGAGCGCGTCGTCATTGTGCCACCGCCTTTAACTCCGCTGCCTGCTTTACTCCTGCCCTTCCTGCCTCGACCGCACTTCTCCCCGTCCTCCTCCCGTTCATCATCCTCGTCCGACGGTGATGGTGGCTTCTCTGCCTCCTCATACATCATCATCGTCGCATCCATGTCCGCATTGTCCGGTACGATACTCTGAAGACTCGCCAGACTGTTTGCGCCCGTCGAATTACATGACTCAAGGGCGGCCGTTACCAATTCTCCCACTGTCGCTGACGACGAACACAAAGGTGCAGTTCCTGCATTCAAGCTGGTTGATGCTGAGGGTGAGGTCAAAGAGGAGCCAAGAACACCGAGTCCGCTCATGCTCGCCAACTGCTGTTGGGCTGCCGCTGCCTGTGCCAGGGCCTTCTGGATCTTTTCCTGTAGTCTGTAGTGTTCGTCGATCTTGGGACGCACATCTTCGACACTCCCAATAGTCTCCAGGAATGACATCACTTTGAACAACTCGCGGTCAGCCTTGTCGTCATACCATGATTCAATGGGGATTCCATTCGAAATCTGATAGCCAAACGCCTGCGGCGAGTTGTCTATAATGATCACCTTTGACAAGTCCCGATTCAAAATCCTCAAATCCTACATAGTAATTTAGAGTAAATAAATTCATTAGGAACAGGCCGTATCAACGATGCACAAAAAGCCCAGCCTCCAAAATGCGGTGTTATCCCAGCTCATACCTTGACATAGTTTCCAAAGACCGGCACGCAAGAGTCGCGGTAGTATCGGTGCCTGATGTACTTCTTCTCCGGATCAATGATTTTTAGCAAGGCCTCCGCATAGCATTCCTGACTCGCAGTAAACGTAATAACCTCAAACATGGTCGACATTTTTGCTAATAATGCACAAAAGATAAGCGTATGTTTAGTACACCGTATAAAACGACCTTTGACGTGAAATATCCAGGATCGGATCAGAATAACATACCCAAGAACTCCTGCATGCCAGGTCGAATCCTGCCATACACCTCCCATGTCTCATGATTGTATTCGACGGGGAACACAATGTCCGGTGAATCAAGCGGCCTGGTAGCGCAATGAACAAGTGTCTCGTCAATATCCAGCACGAGCGTGATAGGCGGCGTCGTGTGCGTCCTTTCAGGCATCGTAAATGTGAAGTTCAGAGGCAGCGGTCCAAGAGGAGGCAGAGTCGCAATGAATTCCCAGCTTGAGACGATCAACATTTCAGAATAATAGAATGATATGTTAATTAGTGTCCTGCTATAGCATGTATCCCAATCATATCAGCATCCTGCACTGGGAGCCCACTTACACATCAATCTCTTCAAAGTCGTCGTCGTCGTCCTCTGACTCCAGGTCCGCATCGTCCGACTCTGAGGAAAGAATTCCATCATCATCTACAAAGTAGATGAAGAATAAATCACCAATGTTAGTTTTCGACCCTTTAATCCTCTCGTCCCATACAGGCAAACAGAACAGCAGAGCACTTACCATCACCGCGCGGACTTTTGAGAATGTTGTAAAAGGTCTTGAGATACGTGCTTTTATCGCCATCACTCGTATCGTCAATCCTCGCCAACTTGGTGCTGACAACCTGGCCCTCGTCCATTGAAAGTGCCGGGGCATCCTCCATATCCTCATCTTCGACCTTTCGCTTCGCATGATGGATCGTATGCACGCCGTTGTAGTTGCTCAAGACCGATCCAACACCACCCAGAGATGCTTCTGGCTTCGAAGCGATAAATCCATCCAAGGTGTCGTGGTTAACTTGAGGATTGATATCATCCACACCATGTTGGCGCTGCGTGAGTCCAGATGAGGGCGGCTCGACATCCATCATCTCCTCATCTGGACCGCTCCTGCGATAGTTGTCATAATCAATCTCCTCTTCCTCCTCTTCCTCTTCTTCGTCATCTTCGTCTTCGTCCTCGTTTGACTCTTCTTCCTCACCAGCACCGCCTTCGCCATCGATACCCATTTTGGCGACCTTGGTTGTTCGGGCTCGAAGACGTCTCCGACTAGCTGGTAAGCTCGGCACCTTGTGATGGCTGACCGTCTTTTTCTTAACTTTTCGAGGAGCTGCCTGCGCACCTGGTGAAGAATACGTTGCAGTGGTGCCCTTGCTTTTGGTCGTCTGACTGTCCTGACTGCTGGAACTCGTGGCGGAGCGGGACCGTCTTCCATGAGACAATGATTTCTCGGCCTTTTCCAAATGCCGATTTCTTTGCTGTTGCTGTTCTTGATCGGGCTCATCTTCAAACTCATGACTAGATTCATGTCGAGCGCCCAGTCGGGTCAAGCGAGGCATCAGGGTCAAATTCGAAATGGCTGTGGTCTCCACTGTGGTCTCTGAGGGTGCGATCTTTTGCAAAGACCTGCGGCGACGGTGGTGCGAAGGCGTCCGAAGGTGGTATCTGAATGCCACTTCATCCTCATCATCATCGTCCGCGTCTGACCTTTCTTCTTCATCGCCAGGTACTTTGATAGGTTTGGCGGACACGGCTCGGGTACGTCGAGTCCTACTCGTCCTTGGCCGGTTCGTCTCTCTCGTCTGGGACAAGCTGCGCGTAGCCACTCTTGAGCGTCTCTCGGTCCCGGTTGCCACCAATTTACTGGACTCATTGGCGACATTTGATGTAGGACGATGTTGTCCAGAGACAGTGGTCAACAACGATAAATTAGTCAAGGGTTCCATCACTGTTATAGTCGATGTGGTGGCGGACGATGACAAACGAGAGGACCTAGTCTGAACAGGGCCATCCAAAACCATATCTGCCGAGTCGACTCGCTGTTCAAGATGTGTTGCCATCATTGTCGTTCTCGTTGTGGACGATGTAGTTGTGGACACGCTGGTCACAGTTGTAGTTGTCACTGAGGTAAGGGCACCCGCTCTATCATTGTTGCTGGAGGTAGTGGTATATTGCGACAACTGATTAACCTGCCCCTGCTCCCGCTGCTGTTGACGAGCAGCCTTCTTATTCCTGGCATTGAGCAATCTGGCGCTGGTATTCCTGGTCTGTAGCCGAGTGGAAGCCCGCAACGATGGCCCTGGTCCTCGTGCAAAGATGTCTGGACTTTGAGCCGGCTCCTTGAGAGCACTGGCTTTTTTGCGGAGCAGCAGTCTGGGGCTGTGTCTCAGGGTGGCAACGACGGACGTGGAGCTGAGTCTGGGATCATCCTCATCCTGAAGAGCAGTCTGACGAGGCATTGAACTGTCTAATGATGTATAGGATGTTTGTGAGGTCATGCTGAGGAATGCGCCTTGTCAGTGCTGCCGTCGAGATGCGATTGAAAAGAGAAGAGAAGGGAAGAAAGGTCAGCTTACTGGACGTGGTATATAACAGCGGGGACAATGGCCGCCATTGTGGTAATGAGATCGTACCTTGCGTGTTGTTCAGCAAAGGAATGAGAGGTCGAGTGGTGGAAGAAGACAAAGAAAAGAAAATGAAGCAGGTAAAGAAGGGATATGCAAATGGGCAAGCAGACAAGCACAGAAGGAAAAGAAAAAAGAATGGCTGTCTCTTTCTTTCTCTGTTGGAGATTGTCGAGGTGTGTTTTTTTGAAAAGCAGAAGATAGAAAGGTGTCGATGCAAGGACGATGTGAGCAGAAAAGGGTATATGGAGAAAAGAAGAAAGAAAGAAACAGGGTTCTGGCGAATGTTGTTGTTGTTGCTGCTATTGTTTGTTGTGGTCTGTTCGTAGAAGCAGGAGAGAAAAGAAGGGAAGATACAGTAACAGAGCCGTGGAGAAGAGGATGGTGGCACTCTGGTCGTCAAGTGAAAATGAAGAGAGCCGTGGAAATCAGGCAATCGTGTTTAAACTCACAGGGCGGGGGAGGGAGTGGTGGGAAAACGAGGTGCCGCGTGTGAATAAAGGAGGGGTGAATGAATGGATGGATGGATGGATGAATGGATGGATGGATGAAGGAGAGGGCGGGAGGGAAAGAAAGAAAGAGAGAATGATGGAATGAGATGAGACGATGGAAAAAAAAAAAAAAAGAAAAAGAAAAAGAGTCTTCTCTTCCTTTGAATATATACCCAAATTGAAAAAAGGGGGGTGGGGGGCAGGGGAGAGAGGGCGGACAGGGCACACAGACAGGCAACCAAGATGATGACACAGACCAATCCTAATCCTGTGTATTCAGAATAAGGTGTCCAATGAGAAGAAGGAACCGTCACCACTAAATCTACGACGGACACCAGGATCTCCCTGGGTTCCCTTCCTTCTCCGCAGTCAAGCAGTCCGAATATAGACTCCCCTCCCCCACCGTCCATGGACGCTGGGCATTACAATATACAATTGACAATAACAAACGATAAATGACAACGACCCCCCCCCCAGTACCTTTCGATCCATTTCCTTAATGTACTGTAGATCCTTCAAAACAAACGATGGAAACGCGCTATAAAGCCCTACCATCTAAACTCAATAGAGTCCTCAGTGACGTTGTAGAGCCGGGGGAATAGCATTCGTATTGGGGGAGCGTTTTTTTTATCACGACCTAACTGCTTTTACATAAACTTCTTGAACATTTCCGACACCTGAGGGTTCTTGCTAGCCTCTCCAAGCATGCTCATCATACCCCCCAATCCACCAGACTCGCTCTTATTCTCTTCGCCACTTCCACCACTTCCACTACTTCCGCCATTTCCACCACTTCCACCACTTCCACCACTTCCACCACCTCCACCGCCGCTGAGCATCGCCAGCAACTGACTCACTCCTCCACCACCAGCGCCAGACTTGCCCATGAACAGCTTCGTCGCCATAGCAATCGCGCTCTGGATAATCGCGCTCTTGTCCGACCCTCCTTTACCGGAGAACATCTTCATGGCCTCCGCCATCGCCATCTGGATCAATTGGCCTTGTCCACCACCGCCGCCTTCGCTCTCGTCAGAGCTCGACCTCTCATACTCCTTGAAAGCCTGAACACCGGCGGCCTTGCCCAGGTCCTCGTCAGAGACACCCTCAGAAGCGCCGTGCTTATACACCTTCTCGTGTGCAGCCTTGGCATCCTGGATATCGGATTCCTCAGGAGGGTTCACGCCATTCTGAGCGACGTTGTGGATCGAGTTGTTCATCACCTCCTTATCTGATGGGACAAAAACGACAATGCAGATAGGCCAAGGCACATACATATTCAAACGACAAGGTTTGAGACCGAGCAAGGGGGTAAGAATATAGATAGCATGAATATCGATTTGCGTGTGAAAAAAGAAACATCTTGTTAGTAGTCTGGAACAGGAAAAAAAAAAAAATCACTTGCTCGCCCTCCAGTCTTTCTACTTGATCCTGATCCTGATCCTGACTCTCTTCCTGGAGAGGCACTTCCGTGCCAACTATTCCATCCAATCCATTGCGTGTGCATTGATATGCTCTCGAGGGAGTGGCGGTGAGGTACAGCTCTTCTGTCCAAGGTCGCAATGTGTCGCCAGGTGGAGTGCTGAGTCCTCGCACAGAATCCTCGGTGGCAATTGAGTGACCCCCCAGGGGGGTATTGCGAATGACCATTCCTTGCCGGAGTCTTGTTCAGGTTCTCCATGAAGTGGATTGGAATGAATACGCGCGTTTTCTTTTTTCACTTTCTTTTACCTTCGTGGTTGTCGGCGACAGCAGAGGAGTACTGGTCCATGTTCTTAAGAGCGTTCTGCAGGAAATCCATGGTTGATAAATGTTGGTTGTTGTTGAGGAATGGGAAGGAAAGATAGGGGAGGAAATGTGAAGAGAAATGAAGAAGAAGAAGAAGAGAAGAGAAGAGAAGAGAAAAGAAAGGGTGAGGAGAAAAGGAAAAAGGTTTTTAGCGGATGGAGGCGAGCCGCATAAAAAAAAAAAGAAAGAAAGTCATCTGGCAGCGGTCCAAGGCAAGAATGGGATTGGATCAGCAAAACCAAAAAGTTACACCAAACGCGTAAACTGAGCTCTCGGGCATAACTCCAAAGACCCATACAAAAGGGTCCTTTCATTGGTGCATAAGAATGTGGTTGCTACACGGAAATGTCAGTGAGGGGTCAGTGAGTCCACCACAACCCTTCTCTCCTCTCGGCTTTTTGTTCATCTCCATGCGGCATCGATCTGTATCTCGCTAACATGGCTCCACGGCTTATGCTAATAATAACTCTGCGAAGACACCGTGTCACTTGCTCTATTGAGCGCCCCGAATTTGCCCTGGGCCCCAGGAAATACTTTATTTTCTTATGTACAATATAAAAATGACTTGGTTCATGTCTCCAGGAACATGTATATGTAACACGTCTATGCAACACCCAGTGCTTTCCTCAGATCGCTCAGTCTCCTCGCCAGCTCATCCCTCTCGTTCTCACTCTCGGCGTACTTCATCTTCGTATCGATCAACATGCTCTCCAGCTGGTTGCACTGGTCCTCCACCTGCTCATTCTTCCGTGTCAGCTCCACGTTCTTCTCCATCACGCTCTGTATCTCCGCCTTGAGCCGATCCTCTACCTCCTTGCCCTGTGAGTCCACAATTTTGGTCAGGTCCGAGACCTTTTGCAACAACACGTCGTTTTGGTCTTGAAGCTGCGCCATCTCCATCTTCTTTGTAATCAGCTCCTTGGCCAGCTCCACATGTTCCTTGTTGAGCGTATGGACTGATCCCTCGAGACGGCGGACATGCATCGACAGCTGACGGTTGGATTCCCGTAGGGAATCCTCCGCTGCGAGCTCTGCCTGCTGCCGCTGAACCATGGCAGTGTACTTCTGCGCATACTGGGCCAGCTTCTTAGGCGTCACCTTGACATCATACGCGTCCCGAACAAACAGACTAGGGTTGTTCTATATCATAAAAGAAGCAGCAGGACGACAAAGAGTGCGTCAGTAATCGAGTAATCTGCACACGCTATATGACAGATCGGTGTCATCGGTATCGCCCTTACCCTGTAATATTCAAACAGTCCATTCTTCAAAAACTCGACTAGTGTCTCAAAATCATGGTTGAGGATCCGATCGTGATTTGCCTTCAGCAGCGCGATCGCAAACCGCAACAACGACTCGACTCCCTCGACAAACATGATGTCGTAGATTCTAAAGACTAGGTCCAGTGGGAACTTGTACGCAAACAGGGTCATAAACCACTGGGATGCATACATGGTCGACCGGACGCCCTGGTTCTGAAAGTGCTTATGAATCAAGGGTACAGTCTCCTCCATGAGTTGCTCGTACTGATACAATCGTAGCTGCAGTGTACTCATGTCTGGCGTAAAGTGCCCGCGCATATCGTACGTGTTCATCATCCGGACCAGCACGCAGAACGCCTCTTCATCGGGCATCTAGAAATAGCCGGAGAAACGAAACAAAGGCCCATTCACAAAGGAGAGTATACTTTTCGGTGAGCACAGCTGTGGTACAGCAACTTCACAAGCAGATACTGAAACACGTGCATGATACCAAAAACTTACATTCAACAATAATGGTCCGACCACAAAACTCAATCCTTGACAATAGCCAACCTCTGTGTCGTACAGACTGTAGGCCTTAACCACGTTGAAGAGCGACTCTTGGCCCAATCCCTCGGCCTGGAAGTACTCATGGTTGGGGAACGTGCGACCCATATCCCGATTGATCTGCTTCTCGTGAGAACTAGTCGCCTTGAGCAACTCTGCGTAGCTCGCCTCGAGTTGAGCATCCTTGGATTTCGCCAACAATTGCCAGATCAGACCCCGCAGTGCAGGTGGGATACCCTTCTGGATCTTTTGTGTCAGCTCTTTGGGATTCTTCTTAACCACACCGTTGTAGTCGTGCATCAATGCACCCCAATAGTCTACAAGTAAATAGAGCCGAGTGTTCTTAGTAAGCAATGATGAATTCCGCCAGATGACTCGGTAATTTCCACGCAGTTGTATCCTGCTTACCCCAGTCGACATCCTCGCCGACGGACTCTTCTTTAGCATGTCCAATGGCGCGGTCCATCTCTGAATCATTCGTCACCCGTCTTTTGGTATCAACTTCCAACATCGAGTTTTGGGCGTCCAACCGTGACAACAACAGATCCATGTTCGAATCCGTCGTCATAGTTGAATACAATGAAGCGCGCTCTGGGCTCACGTTATTAGATGGCCGCAGATCGATCCCTGTGGGGCTTGTATTGACCATCATGCCTGCGCCCGAACCTCGAGCACTCGTCCTGCTTGGTGTTTTTGCCATGGCAGAAGGAGGAAGAGTCGCTGAACTATTGTTGCCGCTTCCAAAACCACGTCCCATGAATGCCCCTGAAATAGAGCTCGCAATTGAGCTGATGGATCCATTGAGGACACCTCCGGTCCGGGGTTCAGGTGATGTCGATGCTGCCGCTGCAACTGGTTGAGGACTGACAGGAGAGGGCTGTGGTTGCTGCTGTTGATGGTACTGCTGTGACTTTGGATGTGGTTTACCACCAAAGAAACTCGATGGAAAACCGGCATTGGAGGAAGCAACAGGAACCCTGGGAGCTATCGTGCCGCTGTTTCGTTTAAGCGCGTTGGGCGTAAAGGGCTCATCTAGCGAGATATCATTTAAGCTCGTATCCGACAACGAACTATATGACAAAGGTCGCTGGTTATGAAGACCATTGGATAATCTGCCTGAAGAAGCGCTCGAGATTGATCGCGCAAGCGTCGTTTGGTTGGATTGGAAATAACCAGTGATAGGAGGAGAGCCAATTCCGCTTGAGGAACGGGATGTGTTGCTTCCAGAACTCGAGGTGCGTTCGATTGTCTGGCTCGAGGATATTGCTGAGGCTGACTGAAGATGCTGTGGGGTAGACGGTACGGTTGCTGTAGAAGAGGGCTCAGGAGGAGGGGGCGTAGACTTGTCAAGGGCAGACCAAGAAGGCGGAGACGATACCGGGCGCTCGTCTTGCTTGTCACTTTGATCAATCTCTGAATGCTTCTTGATCTCAGGTTCGACAGGTAAGGTGGAGCGACTCAGGACTGGCGAGCCAGGTTTGGACAGGGTCTTGGTGGCAGAGAAGGTGCTAGATGCCGGACGAGAACCTGAGGGAACTTGCGAGGATGCAGGCGACGAGAGCGCCGGCATATAAGATTCCTCACGATCTGACTCTGACTCTGAGTTGGATTCAGACTCGGATTCGGAGGGCTCAGGCCGGTCCTGGTCGTATCCAAACGAATGATGCTTTGTGTGGCTCGAATAAGACCTGGCCGAGAGGATCGAGGCGCGTGCGTTGGTTGCCGAGACGCGAATGACATTGCTGTTGGATGGTTTTTGGACTTCGTTCTCGTCGTCTGACGCCTGATCAAACGTCATTTTGTGCTGATGGTTGGGTGTGCTCGGCTGTGGTTCCACAATGGCGTTGGCATGGTGGGGACGCTCCTCAAGCTCGTCCTCGCTTTCGTCGTCATCATCGCGTCCATAGGTGTAAGCGTCTGCAAGATATGGCTCATCGTCGCTGTCGTTTTCCTCCCAGGAATTTCTAAACTTAGACTCAGAAGCAGCGTCCTCGAAGGGCTTGATGTTGGTGGGGTAGGGATGTGTATGTCCCTTGTTTGGCTCCGCATCAGAGATGGCACCGTAGCTGTCAATGGGGTCGAAGTCCTTGTTGTCCTGGGTACCCAAGGAAGTATGCTTGTTGACCATCATAATGTGCGAATAAGATATGATGTTGATGAGGTCAGGTCAGGCACTATTAGTTAGGGGTATAAAAGAAAAGAAAAAAAGTAAAAAAAAAAAGGAGGGAGGGAGGAAGGGGAGATGCGAATGCGAATGCAAATGGAGTGGAGTGAAAGGAGGGATGGTTCTGAGGATGAGGAAGGAAAGAAAGAAAAGGGAATGAGCAAAGAGCGAAGAAAGAAGAGGAAAAGAAAAGAGAAGAGGGGTTTCTGCCCCTGCTCCTGCCCCTGCCTGACTACCTGCGCCCATCCGCTGTTTCGTATGTGTGTGTTATGTGTGTCTTTGATTTCCTGCAGTTTCTGCACTGTTCCCCCGCTCTTCCTCGCCACCCCGGTTTCTGTGCCCCGCGGGATAGTGTTCCCCTTACATTTCTCTTTGTTCCATCCTCCCAGTCCACCGATCCAGGGCAACAATTCGACAATGGGACTTTGTTTGGATGCTATTTGCTCCCTTTAATGAGGCTCCACACAAACATAGTCGGGTACCTGATAAACTCACGTCCTGGGGCACAACCCATCACCATCAAGGTTCATCGACTGGTCCCTGAGAAAATGTAATTTATTTTGGCGCCAATTGCAATCCGATCATCGATATCAGCTGCGACAAAGTACTGGTTCTTCAGTCGCCTCCCTTCTCGGCAAACAAACCCCCCCAGCCTGGTGCAGCCAACATGGTTCAATCGGCTACATCTGCTTTGTGGAACAGAACAACACAGCCTCGCGTATACACTTAGGCATCCATACACATAAGCACCATATGGCCCATGCTCCGCGTTTGTTATTTGTGTAGTCATATATTCCAGGGCAGAGCGGAAAGAGTGGGCGGTGACTGCTTCGTGGCTTTCAATTGGGTTCGCGACAGCGTGCAAGGAAGAAACGCCCAAGAACAGAAACTCCAAACCATTCCCCATTTCACACCTCTCAAAAGTACCCCTCATCCATTAAACAACCCGCCCTTTTCAGGAGCCATCTCGACAGAACACTGGAACCTCTTCATCCAAGACGCTGTCTTAATTTCATCCGCACCTGAACTGCTCGATGGCAGCCAACTTTTGGACCTCGTCTCATGCGTAAGTTCTAACACCCGCCTATTGTCATATCACAGAGAATCTCAGGCCACTGAATGCCTCGAGCCTCCTATCAATACCAATTGAACGCGTCAGAAGGCTCCGTGAAGGTCTTCCAGCCATCTTTCGCGAAACAGCTTGACTGAGTTTGTTCTGCTTATCTGTCTTTATGTATAGCACACATTGGATCTTGGATCGGAGGCGTCTTGAGGAGGCCATGAGGGAAGATCTCGAGTACGTGGATATCGCAACTCTGACCAAGATCAAGATGTGGTACTACAACAGTATGTCAACAGTTACTCCCACGTCTTGGTCGGTGCTTTCATTTTCATGCTTCAATTGCTCTTTTTCGCTCACTGATCCCTCTTTCCATTTCCATTTTCATTTATGTACCACTCCTCTGGATCTGAATGCCATCGTCGTCAAACAACCGGAATACCTACTAGTCATTGGAAAGATCGGAAAGCGATTACAGTTTCGCCAGCAGGTCATTGCCACAGCCATCGTCTACTTCAAGCGGTTTTATACAAAGTGCGTAGGGCGGATGATTGCTAGGATAGGAGCTCAGGAGCACGCTGACTGAGTGGGCACCAACTGACCTCTTTAGATACCTGTGCCTTGCGTCTTTAGGAACAGCATGCGGTCAACAGATCCATCTCTCGTCGCAGCGACGTGTATATACCTCGCGTGCAAGATTGAGGAATGTCCGCAGCACATCAAACATATTATCACGGAAATGAAGCACGCCCTCGCAAGTATGCCGCCAGAAAAAAAAAATGGAATCCACAGCGTGATGCAGAAAGAAGGGCTCTATGGTAATAAGGAATCGTTCGCTCATCCATCTTGCTTCTTTCGCTTGTTAAATGGAACATAGATCACGGAGGATTCGACTACGATACATTCAAGGTCGCAGAATTTGAGTTTTATCTCCTAGAAGAACTCGAGTTCTACCTGACCGTATACCATCCTTACAGGGACTTGACACTCATCGCCAAGGAGCTGAAGCTGGAGGAATCAAACCTTCAAACCGCATGGTACTTTCCTTCATATTCTTTCTCAACGACTCAAGGAACGAACAAACGAACAACGTATTCTGTCCAGCACCCACTTATACAACTTGCTTTCATATACCTTAGGTTCGTAATAAACGATTCATACAGAACAGACGTGTGTCTTCTCTATGCGCCCCACATGATCGCTCTCGCAGCCCTCTATATCATCTGCGTCGTCCACGCAGAGCGCTACACGGACAGCAATAATAACAATAACAACAGCAACAAGAATGCCCTCAGCGACGACAGCAGTAGCAGTGGCGGTATCATCTCTCATACACACAGCAACGTGCATCTACATTCTCAACTTCACAACATGGCCACCAAAAAGGGACACCACCATAATACATCCCATGTAGAAGGACACGGTATCAATAACAGGAATATGGTCCAGTGGTTTGCCGATCTCAATGTTGAGGTTGAAGAGGTAGGTCCATATGTACCGGATGTGCAAGGTACATTTCTGTACAAAATAATAATAAAAAAAAAACCAAAAGAAAAAAAATTGCTAATGTGTGTATGTCTGGCTTTATTCCTTTAGATCATAGAGATTACTCAGGAGATGCTGTCGTTATACGCGATTTGGAAAGATTATAATGAGGAGAGTGTACCAGCCATGATCCACACGCTTAAGCGACCTAGTCGACCAGCAACACCTCACCAACAGCAGCAACAGCACCAGTCAACAGCACAACAATCACAGCAGCAACAACAACAACATCAACAACAACAACAACAGCAGCAGCAGCAGCAGCAACCTCAGCCGGTTGCCTGACAACCATAGAGAATCCTCAGCTTTTGTCAGTGATCTTGTAGAAAGCACAGAAGGGGACCAACTCTGCCATCATAAAAAATAATATTAAAAAAAAACAACTTTGCCTTTCTCCTATCCTCTAATTATTTTTATTATATCGCTGATATGCGTATGTCCAATTTTGCTAGATGCTTTGTAATGATACACGTTGTTCTTTCCTTTCAGATTGAGTTCTTATAAGTCCTGCCTTCCTTCCTTCCAATCCTGATATACCGCTCCTCATCGTTCCTTGCCTGAATCAGGATCACTGTGCTCACAAAACATACCACGTTCACGATCGTGAACCCAAACAGCGACGTGTACAGCTTCCTTAAATAACTGTCCGCGAACACCGAAACCTTTTCCTCACATCCCGGAAAAATCGAAGGCGATTGTGCACATAGCCCTGATGGGACCACATTCTGTCGATAGAGGTAGCCGCAGCATTGTGGGTATCCTGCCAAGGTTGTCTATTCGTCGGTATCACCGAACAGCGACAATAATAATAATAAATAAAATAAAAATAGAGTGGCGTTAGACTGAGGAGACTCTGGTGGGGTAGAGGTGGGATTGACAAATAGCGGCACCACCAAAAAAAAAAAAAAATACATACCATGTCCTGAAACGCTGTCTTGAGAGAATCCGGCCAGGTCAACCACTGCGACGCAAACAAACTACGCATCCTTAGGGTCTTGAACCAGATCACTCCTCCCAAAGATAGCTCTGCAATCATGACCGCGACCATCAACCACGCGAATGATACCAAAAAGCGTTTACGACGCACCGGGGCCACTCCACCCACGTATCCGACCAACGCCGTTCCTGCAACCAATGCTCCAATGAATGTTCCAGCTATAAAAAAAAATAAAAAAATAAAAATAGTAATAAAGAAAGAAAGGTTACAAGGAGTTGAGGTCAGTGAATTGACGGATATCCAAAATGCTGCATACGGTAACAAAGTCAGCTACGTCCAAAGATGGAAATGAGACATCTCAGGGACAGACATCAATTGAGTTCTTCGTCCCAAACCCCACACGCTCAATTTTTTCTTTTTTCTCTTGTTGCGGAGTAACTGAGCAGTGGCCCTGTGCGAGGGGGGGCAGGTAGGTAGGATAAAGGAATGGTAGTGCGACAGTGCCACCCATGCTCGTTTCGATCAAATAAAATGAACACAAACCGCTTAGGGGCAAGCATTCATAAAGTGAATGTTGCCAAAAAAAAAAGCGTGCGCCTATTTTGCCGTTGGAGATGGGCAGAGAGCTGTACTTTGGACGGATGGTCTAGCCTGTCTGTCTGTCTGTCTGTCTGTCTGTCTGTCTGTCTGTCTGTCTGCCAACCCCCAAGCATCCGGTGCTTTTGAATCCCTTCCTTTACAGGCACTCCATTCTTTTCATTTCTTTTCTTTTTTTTTTTTTTTTTTTTTTGGCGCTTCCTGTCCGCCTTTTTTTCATTTAGTTGTATTTGTGCGCCCATGCCTCATGCTTTATATGCAATCCATTTTCATATGTCGATAAGGTTGCCTGGTAAAAGGATTCGAGGTATGACATCTACATCTCCAAAAAAAAAAAAAAAAAAAAAAAAAAGTTCATTGCATTGCATTCACCTTGTTCAATTCCTCGCGAGATGACAGCGTCTCGAGGTGCACCGTCTGCAGCCTGCCGTAACCAGAGCATCCCCATTATCAGGGCTCCGACGCCGGTGAACAAGTAAATGGTCGTGAATACAAGGAAGTATCCCTTTAGTTTCCTTATTTCTGACATCTTTGATTATGGGGTATGACGATTGTTGGTGAGAAAGATGGAAAGAAGGAGGAGAGGAAGGGGAGAGGAGACGGAGGAGTGGAGAGGAGGCGGAGGAGTGGAGAGGAGGCGGAGGAGTGGAGAGGAGGCGGGAGAGGTAAGAGTGGAGAGTGGAGAGTGGATGAATGAAACCTGTGTGCTGTGGCTGGAAAGGTTCGCAATTGTTCAACACTTTACAAAGCGAAAAGTAAGAGAAAAGGGGAGAAGCGAGGAGGAGTCTGGGAACAGACAACCAGGAGAGCCGGTCGAGAGATGGATAGGACTATATAAAAACGGGAGAGAGTTAAAAAAAAAGAGAGCTGGCACGCAGAAATGGACGGGTTCCTGGTAGGAGAGGTACAGCAGACGGTGACAATCCAGAAAAAGCAGCAAAACGAGAGCAGCTCTTCAAGGCGTTCGCTCATGCTCTCTTCCACCTTTGGTAAGCGCTCGCCAATTACAATTTGATAAAAGGCCCTAGGCTCGTAAACAAGCGCTGAGGATGACAGCATATACAATGATACTTAATCACGTCGAGCATTCGCAGCTAAAAATTACGAGTTCTTTTTTGTCTTTTTGTTTTCTTGCCTCCTCCCTCCAGCTCCAGAGAGATGATGATGGCACCTACGACCAACGATTTCAAAAATGAACTAAGCAGTATCCTCTACCATAGACGCCAAAATTCCATACAGTCGAACATGTTCATGTCAGTATCTCAACTAAACTTTTAATACCAAGCATATAAAAACCCTCATTGTAGACGCTGAATAACTGCTCATTGAGCGTTGTAGGCGGTGAAAAGAGGGGCAATCTTAAACAATGTAGGTTAAGACTAAGGGATTTCAACGAGTTCTAAAGTGGCCAGGTTGTATCAAATAGCCATATCTCATCATCGAGACCAAGCATCGCCACCAGACTGTAGAAATAATATGTTACAAATAGGTACAGCTGTAGAACCCTTTCTCTTTTTGATAGCGTCCCTTTCGAGCGAGAGCAGCTGCATGTTCGTTTTATCTTGGCTCTGAGCTACCAAGCTTTTTTTTTTTTTTTTTTGTAAATGAGAATATCTGCAGTCTTCAACTTCTAATTCCATGACCAGAGCTCATACTCTTTATCGTATTCAATCCGGATTTTCATACCCTCATGGGAAAGGATACGTGGTGATGGGTGTCAATGGGAGTTACTCGTCACAGAAGCCTCCAGTTGACCGGTCTCAGAACAGGAAGACATACGACCCATGGCTTTTCGTCGCGTAATATAACATGCGCGCAGTTCAATTCCTCCCTTCCTCCCCCCTATGACTGTCCAAAACACGTCAGAGATTGATGTCTCCCGGCCTGACCACAGACCCATATATTACATTAACCAAAAGCTAAAAACGTAAACTCAGGCCAGCAATCCCAAGACGCGTTTTTTGAAACAATAAGACGTCTAAGGTTTTCTGCGGTTCTTATACAGCAGATGCCTTAGTGTATTATGAGCTATTGTTAGATATATTAATAGTAAACTTTAGTGTTTGCAGGCACCAGAGTATATACCAGGGCACACGCTTGGGCACTCGATCATGCTTGTGAATGGAACATATGCATCCAACTCAGGATAGCAACCCTCTCAGCTGCGGCGAGCCAGAGTTTATTTCTGTGATTTAACCAACCGAGCAGCCAGTATCTGTCTGCTTGGTTGACGCGTCTCACTCTCTACGGATCGCTAGGGCGACGTAGCCTATTTGGGCAAAGTCATAGGCCCGCCAATCTTGGACTCCGCATCCTCGGTGCTCCCGAACGCCCTCAAAGTGCCTTCGCAATCCGTTATTCGCCTTGCCTCCGTCGATACACTAGTAATCCCGAATTGGCTTTAGGCAGTGAGCAAGACTCATCCTGCTCCAGGAGACGTCGTCTCATTTTTTATTCGTCCCCTCTGACTTCTTTACTGTGCTAGATTAGCGAGGAGGAGCGAGGAGGAGTGTGAAGGAGAGCAGAGGGGTGTTGTGCTGTTGCATAATGGAATAAGCTATAGCGCAGAGGAGTGCAGAGGAGTGCAGTGCTGTGGTATAGCAACGTTAGCTCTGGGATAACGAGGGCAAATACCCGGTATCCAGGTACATTCTGCTCAAGTGTTCAACACTAAATGTTCATGCTATTAAATATTAATATTTGGATATAATAACTAGACTACGAATGCCCCTCCCCATCAAGCCTGGATGGCGACTCCACGAGCCATGCGAATAGTCCCAAAATCATATTCGCCATTCTTCTGGCCCATCCTCTCACGCTCCTCCGCGCTCACTTTCTTCATCACCAAGGGAGTCCTCAGTTGGCGAGGCTTCAACACCACAGTCGCATCACCCTCCATTTGTTCCTTCTGCTTCTGCACCCGCTCGACCTTTGACTGGATTGAGTGCTGCTGTTCCTGCTGCCGCTCCTGCGGATCCTTGGGCTCCTCAAACCGGACGGCGCCTAATCCAATACGGCGCTTCGTGTCCCGCATCGATGACGCACGGCTTACGGCGCCCCGACTCTCCAGACTGTTCTGGCTCGACAACAAACGCTGTCGTGCCAATGGAGAAAAGGTCTTGTTGCCGCCCTTGAGGACATTGTGGAGGGGCATCGCATAGTCGAATTCCTCTTGATCGCATTCCTCCAGTAGCTGCTTCATCGTCTTTTCAGGACGATTGGGAGAGGAGAAAGCCGCGCTTTCCTGACTATTGAGGTCAACACCCACGGATGAGGTATCGATCAAGTGCTCAAAGGTTGGACGAGAGACCCGACGGATGACTCTGGGCCGGTGCTTGCGGTGGTGGCTTCCGTTGAGCTGGACTTGATTGACAACACTCTCATCCATCTCTAACATGTTGTCCTTGAAAGGCTCGGTGACTGCAGGGGGCGACAACTTGACTAGCTGGGGAACATCTTTGACAGGACACTCGTTCACGGCTCCGTCATCCTGCTTCTCCTTCTTCTCCTTCTCCTCCGTCTTCTCGTCGGCCGCTGGAGATTCTAGAACTGAAGAATCCTTGTGGTCTCTAATCTGCTGGTGCGCGCGGTAGTATCGGATCTGCTGCTGGACAAACTTTCTGAACCAGTGCACATGAACCGCCAGGGCCATAAGTGCGACCTTCCAGCACAGACGCGACTCGACATTCAGGTAGAGCTCCGGCAGTAGTACGATCGGGTAAAGGATCCTGCTCAGGAAGAACGAAGTCGCAAACAAGAGATCCGATCGGAGCATTGGAAAGATATGTCCCGAGGCCAAAAAGATGGTCGATACTGGACACGAGAGAGAAAGAGAAAGTCAGCCGCATAGTCGACCGAAAATGAAAACAACATATCACGGCAGATGATTCACCAGACAAGGTACATACCTTCAATAGGCGTTCCCATCGCAAAGAGGGTCGACACATTCTTCTGCAGGGTCGCGTTCGAGACCACAGCCAGGTACCCTAGATGATGGGCCCATCCCGACAGTGGATCCAGATACGCTCGGTAATACACCATCCCCAGCACCAGATCGCAAATCAGATAGCTCACAAAGTACGCCGAGTACATCGTCGCCAAGTTCGACTCGTTCGGGAACTGACGAAGCGACAGCAACGTATTCCATCGTCCATCCAGATTTCCGTCACTACCACTGCCTCCGGGCGGATTCCACTCCATATTGGACGAGAGCGTGAATGTGCCCGTGAAGAGGACAATGGAGGAGAACAGGGTCAGGACCCAGGAGAGTCCCCTCCGGCTCTTGGGACGCTCCTCCGAGAGTTGAGGCACGAAATGGCGGAGGAAATAGAATCCGGTGATCTGGAAAATGCTCGCTGCCAAGAAAGTGAGCGCAAAGACCGAAGTATTCGGGTTGATATCGAAATTGCAGAACAGCAATGGCTCATGGAGAGAGAAGAGGTGTGCGAGGAAGGAAGGGTGTGGGACTGGGGATAGGGTGGCTGACAGGAGCGGGACTGATGAGGAAGCAGCTGCCATGGATGAGCCTTGTCCTGTAGAGGCAGAGGATGGGTAGATTGGGGAGGATACGCTGCTGCAGATGGCGCCATGATATGGAGATGCGGCTGCAGCGGTTAATGTGGAGGTAAAGTGTATGATAGGGCACAGCAGAGAGCTGGCTGTGTGGTTGTTGAGGACGCCAGCGTCCGGGTGGCCCGAGGTGGCACTCAGGGCAGCCTCGAAAAGGTCGTGGATGTCGATCATTCTGCAGGGTATAGATGGAGGGGAGAAATAAGATTTGGGCGGGGTATCGTTTAAGGGAGGGAGGGAGAGTCGTCGCTGGAGAGTAGGGAGTGTTGAACGGAGAGTGAGAGTGAGAGAAAGAGAATGAGAGAAGGAGAGTGAGAGAAAGAGGGAGAGAGGGTTCTTTAAACTTCTTCCTCCCCCTCCAGACCCTCGTGCCAAGGGCCCTGGCTGTCCCATCCTCTGTCTCAGCAGGGGCGGATGAGTCGCATTGCCTCTACTGTAATGTATCCAATTGAGTCCCCCGCCACTGCCCCCTCTGCCCTTGTGCTCTGTTCCACATGCCACATGGTCGGGAGAGCAATGCGATGGGATGCGATGGGCGAGAGTCTCTGACCCATGCCACGATCTCTCTCTCCCGTGATCCCTCAATATATCTCAATATCTCCAGTATATCCTTGTCTGCTTACCTCCTCCCCTCCTTCACTAAAATAAAAAAAAAAATAAAAAACAGGCGCGTTGTTCACATCAGCAGCAGTAATGCGCAGGTCTCTATGGCCGAGTATCATATGTCCCTCCCCGACGGCGATACGGGAACTTGTTTATCTCCCCATGCTCTTCTTTTTGCTGACCCTCTGAAACGGACCGAGGCAGCTCAGATGCTCATGACCAAAGTCATATCCGAGCCACACTTTGCCAAGTCCCCCATATACTCACAGGCCAACACCGAAACCCTATCTCTCACACACCCATATACACACAGTCATACACACACTCGTATATATTTACATATACATACAACACTCTCCTGTCCTTTCGCTCGCACACGCCCTGGAATGAACGGACCGCATTCGCCTCTTGTGTCCCCGTCTTAGTCATTCGAATTAATCCAATCGCCTCTTTTCGTTGAAGTTTCGACCCCATGTTGTTTGTGCTTCAGGTTTATTTCCTTCTCTTTTTTTTTTCTTCCCACTTTTGAACCATGACCATGGGACCAAGATGGTGACAACCCGCGCGCATGCCATTTTAATAAGTCAACCAGGCATGGAGAGAATACGCACAGGATATATATTTATAAATATGCTTTATAATTTGTGGGCCATTCAAGAGCTCGTGTACGACCACGCGTTCTGGGATTTATGAAAAGCCCAAAAGATTATTGTGATTAAAGAAGGTCATGTTGCCCCCCCACACCTTCCCCCCCTTCCCCTTTCCCCTTTGCCCCTTCCCCTTCCTTCATCTAACCTTCTTCCTCTCCAGGACATCTGGAAGAAGGAGGGGGGGAAATGATCATCGCGCGGCGAGTCACGCGAAAAGGAAAGCACAGTTTAGCCGATTGGGAAGGCGATTAAGAAGTATTTCTACCCATAAGAATTTTTTTTTTTTCACTGAAAGAATAAGTGAATGAATTTATCGTCTACGCAAGCACAACCGTGAAGGGTGAACGAAAACAGCATGCTCAAGCTCACAGCACGTTTCTGTAAGATCCCAAAAGCAACACATAAAAACAACCGAAGCGCAGCATTGCCCAGAGAAAAAAATTAGGGATTAAGGGCGACGGGCGAGAAAGAAAGAGAGAGATGGAGAGGGCGACGATGATAATTGTTCGTCGATGATTGGATCTCTTGACAACGTCCCCAAACAGAAAACGAAACGCGTAAAATACAACAACATCACTGTGCTATGTTGTGCTGTGCTGTGCTATTCATGTTCCAGTAAGTACATGTTTTTTTTTTTATTCTTCCTTTATATACTTTCTACATTCACACACACACACTCACAAAGGAAAGAAAAAAGTAAAAGTAAAAGTAAAAGGTATAATAGCTGCAAGATCTATTCCTTCGTGGAAACGAACCCCCGCACGCCCGCGTTACATACACACATCTCCATGCGACCGAACACCGCCTCCTCCTCTAAATCTCCTGTGCCCCGCCATGCTCCCGCTCTAGCGAATCAAGCCGCCGCTGATGATCCTCGCCCAACACCACCGCCGTCGCCTTGTTCTCGGACTGATCAGGCCGCTTATCCTTCCAAGGGCCAGGGCCAGGAGCCGCACAGATATCGACGCCCTCGACCGTGGCAGTGATGTATTCAGACCTAGCAGTGTCGGCGAGCGACTCTAGGACCGTACACAACTGCTGACGCCGCTGCTTGGCCTGGAACTTTTTCTGGGTCTGGATGTAGAGCACAAACCAGTACAGATGAAGAGACATCGTGACCGTGTACAGGAACGCGACCGACTTGTCCGGGTAATTGAAGAAGATCTCGTGCCAGAGTAGGCCCACGTAAGTAAGTCGGGTGGCCACAAAGCAGAACAGGTACAGGCGTTCGATCGTCGCGGTCCGGCGGTGGGGGAACATGCGTCCGAAGGCAAGGAAGATGCTCGAAGCTGGTTCATCGTTCCGTTTTGTGTTCGTTTTCGTTTCGTTCGATCCATCGTAACCGTCGTGGTTGTTTATCGGTTAGTCGGTTGGTTTTTTTTTTTTTTTTTTTTTTTTTACGTTAGGGTTGCGCATGTAGGATAGAAGAGAGGTGAATGTTAGTCCTGTGTTACGTTATGCAATTTAATAAAAGCCCACGGCTCTTTCATTCACTATACCTTCAATGGGCGTCCCGCAGATGCAGAACACCGACAGCATGTCCCCGGCCCGCATGTGCACCACAATGAAATAATAAATAATATGATGCACCACCGTCGAGAACGGCTCCAGCTGCTTGCGGTAATGAATCAGTCCCAGGACCAGATCCACCACCAAAAACCCCTGAAAGTTCGCCGCGATGATATGAGGCCCGATTCGCCCATCGTCCGGGTAATTCTCTAGCGAGAATGCCAGGTGTGGACGCTTCATCTGTCCCTGGAAGACCCGATGCCGTAACGACAGCGGTCCCTCGCTCAAGAGTCCATCCTTGTATTGGGTCCTGTCTGCACCAATGTCTCTCTTGGCATCGACACTGTTCGTCCGAGCATGGCTCTCCGCATGGGAGAGATCGACGGCCTTGACTGGGAATCCCTTTGAGGAGGACGAGTTCAGAGCAGTGGCGGACGCAACAATGGAACTGCCGCTGCCGCTGCCGCTGACACTGCTTTGCCCATACCATCCAAAGTCCGAAAAGCAGTAATACTTCGCATACGATCCTGAATCTAACCTCAAGAACGACGGTAGCGTCGACACAAGTGCCAGTGTTCCGGCCTTCAAAATTGGATAGCAGATATCCCTTGCTGCAGCGCTCGCCAGATCAACCGCCTCCATGGATGTGGCCAGTGCGGCGGCCTGGACCGTCGTAATCGGTGCTGCAACGATGGATGCGGATGTTGCCACCGGGTGATAATCGACCGCTGCGTTGAAGATGGTCCGCAGATGGGGTACCTCGTACAGACCCGCGATCGTGAAAAGCGTGGCCGAGTAGAATCCCATCACCCAGGAGAGTCCCAGGCGATTCTTGGTCATCGATGGGTTCAGGTACCAGGTGAGATAGAACAGACAGGGGAAGACCACAATGGTGAGCAGGAATGTCGTCCAGAAGGGATTGCGTTCAAAGCTCCAGTCCGAAGGAGCGAAGCGGGCGTCATCGAGTCCTAGGAAGCTGATGATGGATGTGAGAAAGGACGGTGAGGCCACAGGCGGAGGCCAGGCAGCCGACATTGGAATGGTGGCAGTAAGTCCAGGGGAGGTGTGTGTGTCTGTGTATGTGTAGAACAGGTGTGGGATTGGATGTGGGATGCAGGTGGACGGAGAGGAGAAGGAGAAGAAGGCAGGGGGGGGGAAAGAGGAGGATTGATAAACGAGTGGGTTTAAGACGGACCAGGGTACGGGACGAAGGCAGCCCCGTTTAGGTCTTTAATGAGAGGCCTTGTACTTTCTTCTTCGTGGAGAGAAGGAAAGGCGAGAAGGTGGGGTTGGGGGGTTGGGAGGTGAGCAGAAGAGAGCCGAACCTGCAGGCCGCAACAAAACCGCAAAATCTCTCAGATGCTGTGTTACAGAGTACGAACATGAACAAACGAGTCTGTTAGATTGCCTCATTACATATCCCCCAATCTCCTCCCTTGTCCAGTTCCGCCCTGGCCTCTTTCTTTGCTGAGAACAATCGCGCTTTCGTAGAAGGGGAGGCCATCTTTATCCCGAAAAAAAAAAAAAAAAAAAAGAGTAAATGAATTCCGTCTCGGTCCAAGCGAGCCCGTTTTTTTTATACAACCCGTTAAAAGAAGCAAATGACCCCATTGCGCTTCTGTCGCGACGAGGTTTTTTATCTCATCAAAAAGGAATGTTCGCGGGAGTGAGGGGGGTCAAGAGATTGAATGCATGGGCGTCAAGGTGTCGTCAGTATGAGAATCAGGCGCATCTATCTATCTATTTCGTCCCAACGGGAAGAACGAAAAGAAAAGAGAGCCCATGTTGAGCATTCCGCACGTCCAACTATGGCTGCAAGTACCCCACTCCTCGCTCCAATATTACACAAAACGGAAATGAAAGGGTTCTGCATAAACCACGGACGCGAGTCGTCCGGAATATGAGCTTCGCTCCGCTGTGGAACAGAACCCGCTTCTCTTGGTCCGTGCGAGAACGAACGGTCTATCCCCTGCCCCTTCCTCCTCACACACACCCAATGTGATCGACCCTTGTCTGTGATTCGCGACCTTTTTTCTTCTTAATGAGAACTAATGGCGATCTGTGAGTGGTCTAAAAAGCCATCCTATTTTTATAGTATTTTTTTTATTTTTCTTATTTTTATTTTTATTTTTTGAGTGAGGAATTTACAGACCAATAAACAGACCTGCAACACCAACCGCCGCAACCATCGCACCTGCCACCTGAATTCCTGCGGTAGCGAGCACAGCACCGGATCCACGACCCGTCGCTGTTGACCCTGTCGGGACAACACTTCCCGTCGCCGCAGCCGTAGCCGTAGCCGCTGGAACACCTCCCGCACTGATACCGACAGTCGCAGTCGTCACTGCCGTAGGACCCAGGACCGAAACCATCGATGAGGAAGGGGGCACGGCGGCCAAGTTGACGTTATAGTTCTTGCCAACGCACTCGTTCTGGCACCCTACGTTTCCTGCACAGCCGTCCAAGCAGCTCAAGACCGCGTCGGCCGTTTTTTCTGCGGGTGCCTTGGATCCAGCTTGAGAGTGAAACAAAACATCGTTCATCGTAAGTCTCAAGAGTTACACCTGGAACAAACCGTACGCTGCATAAAGTAGACAAGAGAGAAAAAAAAATCTCGACAACTCACCAGATCCAGGCGCATCGACCGTGCTGTTCGTCGGGCCAGCCACGGCCTTGGACCCATGATGTCCAGCACCAGAAACACCGGCTGCGACAGCACAGACGTACATGGAAAGGATGATAAGAGCAACGTGGCAACGCATGGCTGTTGGATGATATGAAAATGTATAGAGTGCTTGTGGGTTGTGCGTAGCTGAATATCTAAGAGCTTGGATGAGAAAAAAAAACGAGGCAGATCTATCCCTTTTTGAAGCATTTTTTTTTTGTTCTTTATGGAGCGAAGAGGGGGGAGGAGGGGGGGGGGGGAAACCCCATGGCGCGGTCCAAAGGATAGGACATCGCTAATAAAGATGCCTGAAGGATAGACATAAGTAGACAGTAGGAGATACAAGAGTCTCTTTTTTTTTCTTTCAAGGGCGGGGTCCGTAGAGGGCGCAAGGGCGAGAATGGGAGACAGAGGAGACCGGGAGGGAGAGCGAGTCGCCAGGAAAAAAGGGGCCCGATGCCAGGATATGCCCGATAGGTTTGCGCTGACCATTCAAGGAACAGGGAAGGGCTCCTTTCTCTCTATCTCTCCTATGGTTGCTCCGCGTTTCCCTTCGTGAATCTCCTGTCCCTCCTAGTTCCCCCTCTATCCAGGCTCGCGTCAGACCAGATACTGAGAGTGTGCTCCGCGCATAACCTTCGGCGTAAGGCCTCAGGGCTCACGGCAAGGCCAAGCCTGTATACGAGATGTTTACCATCCTATCCACTCACGCATCAACAGCAACGCACATATGGACCTAAACTACGACCGCGTCTAACTGCCCGACTGTTTGCTGATCGTCCAGCGACGCCTATGCCCGTCACTCCTTCACAGTCTATCGTTCTGGTAGCAGTAGGCGGCGCCTTTTTTTTTTGGACCATGTTATTTATTCATGTTTGGTTTTTGGTTTTTTTTTTGTTCTGTTCAATGACAACTCTGAAGTCCCAAGAGCCGGGCACGAGGATGATAAGGGTAGGAGCAAAGGGAGATACAAGGCGATAAAAAAAATGAACCCAGGTTGATTTTTTTTATTGCTTATTGCTGGGCAGGACGGCCACGGCCCAAACCAGAGCGGAACTCGGGCTTGTAGTCGCCAGAGGCACCCTCCTTCTTCTCGCCATCATCACGACGGCGGTAGTCCTCACGGTCACCGCGGGGGCGGTAAGCACCCTCGGGGCGCTCTATTTACAGAGAGAAAGAAATAAAGAGATGATCGAGCGGCGATCGTCAGCGACTGTATTCTGAACAGGTAGGGGGGTCGTTGTTGCAACATGGCAAGTTAAAAAGAGACCCATGTGCGTCCCATCGTATGAACTGCTGAAATTCTACTCCTGTTGGAACGATCCAGTCGCACAGCCCTGTTGTCAATTACTGCAGATCTCCTTCACGTAAAACATTGTGTGCGTGTGTACTGATCTCCTCTAAAGATTATTCACGTGGTGCTGAATGTCGCAATGCCTCAGACGGCCATGAAATATAAAATATAACATCCTGCTCCTGTCCTGCTCCTGACTACTACAGTCGCACGTCAATTGATATAATTTTCGTAACTACCCCAGGTGTCCCTGCTTCCTGTTAAAGCGCCGCTTGTGTTGCAAAGGTGCCGACAAAAAAAAAAAAAGAACAAAAAAAAAGCACTCGCTCCACACAAATGGAAATCCGTGTATGATAACAAGCAGACGGTTGCAGTTCCTTACCAGCACGGCGAGGGGCAGAGGGGCGAGCAGTCTTCTTGAAGGTGGCGGGGAAGATCTCCGAGGGCAAGTGGAGGTACTCGCGCAAGTACTCGATACCGGCATCAGTCAAGGTGTAGTAGTAGTACTGCCACGAGAACTGGGTCTTGACGTACTGCTTCGAGTCCAAGGACTGAAGAGCCTTGATGACCTGCAGGTTGGGGACATCAATCTCATCGTGCTTGGGGGCGTTGAAGTCCTTCTTGGCGACCAAAACGCCATCTGCACATTGTAATCCGTGTAGTGATTTAGATGTTGCGGTTGATCAGATCCGTAGAAAGGTCGTTGATTGATGAGGAGGTCCAGAAGTATCCAGAACGAGTTACGATCGTTATCGTAGTCCAGTAATAAAAAGTCATCCAGTAAAAATAAAAAATAAAAAAAAAGCAACAACGAACGGGTGTAAAGAAAACGGGAGAGTCGTAGTTAGCCGCCTGCATCATAGGTCCATCCTGATCACTCGTACAAAAAATCCAGCTCTCAAGTGCGCTGTGGTGCCTACCCTTGAAGAGGGCCTCGTAGATAAGCTTGCGGTTCTGCTTGGGGATAAGCATGCTGAATTATCTGTTTGTCGCGTTGAGTTCAGTGGGAGGAAAGAGATGTTAGCGATCTTGCTCGAGGTGCTCCGTCAAATAGGTATTCCGCCATTCCTGTTGGAGCTGATTCCTGTTCTATGATCTCTATGTTCGCATCAGTCCTTTCTGTCCGCCATCCTTCTTTAAAACCATCCTGCTCGATAAGGCTGTCGATGTGTATGGCGATGTGTATGGGGTTTGGTGATGATATCGACGGATGGATAGATGGATCGGTAGGGGGTATCCATGGCATCCTCCACTCCATCCAAGCTGGGATCCTGAAGATGTCTCACGTGCATCATCCAACCACTGTGTTCGATTAGCGCACCTGAGAAAAGAGAAGGGGAAATCCTATCCCGCCCCGCACCTTTTTTGAAGTGCAAATGGCGAAAGCCACATCTATGCATTTTTTATTCTACGCTGGAAATCGCGTCTCTTCAACACAAAACCAAAAAAAAAAATAAAAAATATCGAGACATCCTGAGGCACCACTGCTTCAACCACTGGTACACCATGGTATAAGAGGCGATTTAGTTATATACAGGGTTTTAATTTAGAACAAAAAAAAAATGCTTTGTACAAATGAGTTGTGTCAAAGGCATATCCTTTAAGCGACGGCATGCTTGGGGTGGAACTCGGGGGCTTCAACCCTCAGCTCAGAGTGCTCGACATCTGTGAAGACAAGGGGAGATTAAGGAATAAAGAAACCGTTGTAAGCAGCCGATCAGAACACTGATGAAGGATATAGCACGTCAACATTCCACTGCCCTATCCAACATTGATCCATTGAGCATATCCAATTTCCGTCCAAGGCAACTAACCATAGCTCCTAACAGTGGCAAAGAGAGAATTCTTATTGGATCTCCAAATCATTACCGATGACATGGTGCTCGTCCGGGCTCATCTTGTCCATCGCCTGGGAGGACTTGTTGCGGTGACCCGAGTCAGCGTGTGGAACAGGGATCGACGAATCGTCCTTGTGTTCAGCATGGACACCGCGGTTGGAATGCGTCTTCAGGTTGCTGGTATGGGTCTGGTTGTTCTTGGCTGTGTGCTTGCTATCCTTTGCTGCCTTCTTGGCTCCGTCCTTGGCGTGCGCACGGGCATCCTCGAAATCATCGACAGTATCCTCGAACTCATCCGGAAGATCATCGGTCTTGTCCTTGGCAGAGTCTTTCGTGCGCTTTGCGCCACCCTCGACGTTCTTCTTCGCGCTCTTGGCTCCATCTTTAGCGTTCTCCTTGGCGTCCTTGGCGGCGTGCTTAGCATCCTTGCTGGTATCCTCAGCACCCTTCTTGACATCCTTGGCCGTGTCCTTGACGTCCTCCTTGGTCTTCTTAGCGCCGCGCTTCACATCATCAGTTGTATCCTCCACATCCTTCTTGACCTTCTTGGCACCGTCCTTCACATCATCGGCAACGTCTTCGGCTCCCTCTTTGACATTCTCGGCGGTCTCCTTGGCGGTCTCTTTGACGTTGTCCTTTGCGTTTTTGGCAGTCTTTTCGGCGTTCTTAGCGCCCTCTTTGATGTTGCCATGGGCATCATCGGCAGTACCCTTGACGTTTTCTTTAGCCTTCTTGATGTTCTTTCTGGAGGCCTCGACGCCTTCCTCAACTTTGTCACCCAACTTGTCAGCGGCATCGGCGACCTTGTCTGCACCTGACTTGATGGCTGTTGCAGTCCTGTCAAGACCCTCGGCGGCGAGATCGCGGGCCTGGTCCGCCATCTCCCCCGCCTTCTTTTGAACCTTTTCAGAAGCCTTGTTCAGCCTCACCTGGGCGTCCTCAGCAGCATGGGACGCTTTTTCTTTGGCCTGTTCACCGAGCTATTGGAGGTGACATCAGATATCAAAAAGGTTAGTACTGATATTTGGATTGACGATGTCATTCGTGACGAGCACAGACTGGTAACCGCATTAAAATAAATCATACCTTTTCTGCTTCCTTGAGAGCATCATCCGTGACATCTGTGCAGAGAGGAAAGAAAGCGTGCTGCATCAGGATCAGGATATCCATGTTCCATGTTACACACATAACGGTCAACTTTTTCAATGCGTCTCCCCTCCCCTTTTTTTTTTTTTTTTTTTTCTTTTCTTTGTGAAAAGTATTCTTACCGGAAACCTGCTGTGCAGCATTCGAGACCTTGTCCTTGAGCTGTTCGCGCTGTGCGGCACGCTGCTCCTCTGTGGTGGCCATGTACCAATAGACAAAGCCGCCGGCGAGGGCGACGATGCTAGCAAACAAGGCGTTGCTGACTATGGCAGAAGCCTGAAAATGGGCCATAGTCGGGAGGGAGTTGTGCGGGTGTGGTTGGGAAGTGGAATCGGATGATATGGGATATGGATATGGCGTGGGGATGAGAATAGAATGATGGCCAAAGGATGAATGGGTTGGTTGATGAAGAGAAATGGAGAGAAGAGAGGAGAAGGAGCCGGGGGAAAAGAGGTGGAGGAAGAAATAGATGACGAGCAGACGAGTAAAGGATTCGGTGCAAGAAACAGACCAGCTTGGAATGGAAAGCAAGGTCTCACCCACTTGAGACGCATGAATCTGCAGTACGCGCGACGCGTTTATGACTATATCTGGGCGGATATGCGCACACCCTGGACGATCTGAGAGCAGAGCGCAGTCCGCGGACGATGATGCAACGAGCATGTCGACACTGCTGTAAGGGCAGAGAGAGGGCTTTATTACTCTGTTCTAAACACCGTGGCTATGCGGCCTGCTCCCTTGGCTCTTCTTGCCCCCGATGGCTCTCCATCCTCTCAGCTCCCGCTGTCTTGGGGTATGCTTGTGAATTAGTCGAAGAATTGGTATAGTCCGCTGGTGCAGGCTCTGGTATCCGCGACGACGTGCTTGCGTTGCTGTTCAACATCATCGTATCCTGGAAGCTCAGCGAGTTCACCGACGGTGTGTCCTGGTCTCCGCCCGACTCCGCATCCTGTGCTTCTCTCCTCCTCCTCCTCACTCTGGTACACGTGCAGAATCGCCAACAAGTCGAAAGGATCATCCACAGCGTCCGCATCGACTCCTTGGTCGTGCCAAAGACGAGGAAGATGAAGTAGCCAACAAGACTGCCGCTGTAGTCCGAAAACGTCGAGAGCTTTGAGGACTCGTCGTAGTTGGGATGGACGGTATTCATCTGGATAAGTCTTGGTAGGATCGCCATCGCAACAATGGCACCGAATGATAGGCAGAAGATAATCAAACGGATGCAATGGCTAAAACGAACAGAGTTTCAGTGAGCATCATGTGGATACTTTTTAAAATAAATAACAGAAAATAACAAATGAACCAGACCGTTCGTTACCTTAATTCAAAGACTATGCGGTTGGTATTTAATCCCGAGAGGTTAACAGTTCGACGTATCTGATGGTAGTGCCGCACAAGGCACACTACCGTTAGCACTAAAAGAGCAAATACTATATATTAATAACCTGGTGACAGCCCTTGGACGTCGTCTGCCCCTGCCCCGATCTTATTACTCTTACATGTAAAAAGAATGCCTGCAAATGCCCCCACGACCATCGGGATGGCGAACGTCGCAAGGGTCACATTAGTCTCCTTCAAATCACAGAAATAGCGCCGTGGATAGGCCATCCATTCCGGCTCGTTCCTCAGGAGGATGATGTCAATCACAACAGAGACAAACGGGACCCCAAACGCAAACAGGCAGTACCACGGAAGCATCTGTCGCTCTGTGCGTTTGCTCTGCCATACAATCAGCCGCCAGATATTTATACCCATGCAGGCCGCTAGCAGGGTGAGGACGATGGGGACGTACTGCTCAAAGAAGGCCGAGACGATGCAGGCATCTGTACCCCGGACGGGGGCCAAATCCTGGCCTCCATAGTAGAGGACAAGGATGGACTCGTTGATGTTGTTGATGATGGCTGCGACGCAGAAGATCTGGAGGAGATAGTTGATGCCGCGGTAGGCGCAGTGGAAGAGAAGGAAGAGGAAGAGGACGATGCTGACGTATTCGAGGGCGATATAAAGGGCTTCTTGGTTCACACCATTACTAGCCATTTGTCCCGGAAAGACAGAGAGAAGGGGGAACGGGGGAATCGATGGGGCCCGAGGGGGGTTGAGGAGGAGGAGGGGGGGGGGGGGGGGGGGGGAAAGGGGAGGAGGAGGAGAGAGAGAGAGACCGGGGAAAGAGAGAGGAATGGTGGTGGAAAGCAGTTTGGGGGAGGGAAAGTGTGGAGAAGTAGGGGACAGGAAGTATGAAGGAAGACCTGACGACAGCACGGACTGGAGGGAGGAGGGTGGAGGGCGATTACTGGCGGCCTGGATGCCTTCCAAGTCCCCCCCTTCCACTCCTTCCACCCCCTTCGACGGGAAAATGCCCAGGATAGGGAGGAGGGTATAAAAACAAGCGCAAACGCAAAGCGAGAGCACTGGACCTATTGCAGGGCCTGGCCATGGCCCGACCAGGACGAGGGCGAGCACCTGACGTGTTCCGACCCAGTCCAAGCCCGGACTGAGACCCAGTCCTGTTCAAGAGCCCAAAGGGCCCCGACTGCTCCAAAGCGGACCAACCAACGGCCCTTGGGTCAAACGCGGTCTTTGTCTGGCGCGTAACCCTCCAGAGAGGGGGAGGGGGAGCGTGTGTCTGTGTGTCTGTGTGTCTGTGTCTCCGTGGGCTTGGGTGTCTGTGTGTCTGGGTGTCTGTGCCCACTGCTCTGGAGGTGGGGTGCTGTCTAGAAGGAAAACAGAGCGGGAGATGTAGGACGCGGTTTGTGCTCAAAATAGGCTTATGCTCCAAGGAGAACGAGTGATGGATGTGGGGGTATCCGGACCCATATAGTCCGATAGATATACCTTCTCTCGACTGTTCGGACATTCGGATGTGCTGCGCTGTTGACGGTGAGCAGAAGAAATAAAGACCCTGGGCGCAATATAACAGGTCCTGCAGGTGACAAGAATGTTCACCGAGAAATATGAATGAGGAACAACTTCGGAATGATGGAGTAGTGCAGGGCACAGCCACGAACAAGTGTTCTTTTAGTGTTAAAAGATGGTTGATATCGATGGACTCGAATTGCTTTGCTGCTTGGCAATTGCACGGCCCACATAGGACCGCTCCATTATTTTCCCCGCCTCCCAGAGAACTCCACCCCAATGTGGATATTTTCCCTTGACCACGGCGCAGAAGATGCTGGGTCCATTCATTACGCGATCCCCACACACTGGAGTGCAAGAGTAAGGACGCCCTCCTTCAGAGTCATCATGCCTAGGGATGTGGTCGTTCACAGGGAGATGGTTGGTTTCCCCATGATAACTAGGAATTTTTCTTTCTTTCTCTGCTCGAATGAAAAGGAAACTCCGCCGAGAGGGGAGAGAGTGGGGTGCAGAGCGTCCATTGCGTGAGATGACTCCATGGCTGAGTTCCCCCCTGTTCCATGTGCGTAGTAGGTGCACACTCGAATACAATAGCGGCAGCCTATTCAATTGGACAAAGCAAAACTTGTTTATAAAGCCAGGCACTTGTGCCCAGTAACTCGTCTTTTTTTTCACACATTCCACTCACTCCTCATCCTCATTCTCTTTTTCGCATTCCTCTTCGCTCCTCGACAGCTCGGCCCCTCGTCCTGGCCTGCTCGACTATCAATTGCTACTGTAGATCCAAAAATATAAATTGTCTCGCCACCACTTCGCCCAATTTTGTCTGGCACCCTTTTCTTCAGTATGAACACCAGTAACGACGTCGGTACCCATGCCAACAACAACAACAACAGCAACAACAACAGCAACAACATCCAGCTTCAGGGCAGGCAGCCTTCCTCAACAACACCAGACAACGGCAACAAGACTCAGCAGCAACTCGACGATGAGGCTGCAGCCGAAGCAAAGAAGAAGCGAGCTGGCCCTAAACGACGCAAGGTCACCCATGGTAAAAAAAAACACCCATCCCCTCCCTACACACTATACATACCGCAGATGGCTTCACACATAGATCAATTGCTCCGTTCTCTTCACAACGACAGATCGAGCCGGATAAAAACAGTGCTCACAAAAGACACCATCCCCCCGATATCCAATTGACTTGCCCTCGGATCTGTTTCGTTTGTTTGTTGTTTTGATGGTGTTTGCCCGTGTCATAATTATTATCCACCAAATAAGTCCACGGACTCTTCCGCTCTTCTATGTCGTTTTTCGCATTATCAACTGGAAATGCAACCTTACTTCCCAGACGCGTGCGACCTGTGATCTATGCCCTTATCGACCTGCTGTTGCTTTCGTTGTTATAACGCACCATGACTGATCATTAATATCTACATGCCTTTTTTTCCTTTTTTTTCTTCTCCTAATCTAGCATGTGTTTACTGCCGACGGTCACATATGACATGCGACGATGGTATGCAACGATCCGTCGACGAGAACGAAAGGGCGGAAGTGAACAGATATTTTTTCAAAATTGCAATGTTCATTTGTTCTTGTTTTTTTGTATCTCTAGGCAGACCGTGCCAACGATGTATCAAACGAAATATCGGACATCTATGTCACGATGAACCGAAACCATCGCAGTTGGCAGCAGTACAAAACCAAGCTTCCAACGGGAACGCGGACGATGGTAAACGTTCAAAGAATCAGCTCTTTGTCTGAAAAGAAAAAGAAAAAGTTGCTGTGGAGCCGTTGCTGCTCAGGCCATCTCAATTAATGGACTTTTTATTCTTTTCTTTTTGGTCAACTAGCCAAAAGGATGCAGCAGCAACAGCCATTACAGAACCATATAGCACAACCGGGTCAAGTACATCAGCAGCAACAGCAGCAGCAACAACAACAACAACAACAGAATATTCAGCAGAGTAACATGAGCGGCATACAGATGTATGGAGGATTCAACAACCCATTGGCTACCCTGCCCGTCACGCCCTTGACCTTTGCGAGTGAACATATGGGAAACGAGTTCACCGTGATCAGGTCCGTGTTATTTGTTTGCACTTCACAGAGTGTGCCCTTTTGAGTTTTTTTTATTCTATTTTATTTTTTGCCCACAGATCTTTTCTAACCCTTCATCCTCCTGCAAAAAATTGTTTCTGCAGTGATTTTTTAAACAGTCTGGAAGGCGATCCCCAGGCCTTGTTCTCCGATCAAGGGATGCCCGTCAACACGACCGAAAAGTTCTTCTTGACCGCGGCCAATCCAAGCGACGGCACGAACGAGGATCGGCTGACGCAGGTGATCAATGCCAAATTCGAGGCCGGGTTCCTGAAACCGTATAACTACGTCAATGGATATTCACGTCTGCAGAAGTATATGGACAGCAAGTAAGTTTTCCCCCTTCTTTTTTTCCTGCATGGACTGGAGAGTACGCATTATGAACGGAGCCGAGGAAAGGTGCGGAGAAAATTACTAACGTGGAGATCTCTCTCTCTCTCTCTTTTTTTTTTCTTCTTCTTCTGTACAGCATGTCAAATATCAGCCGGCAGAGGATATTGAATGTCATGGGCACATTCCGACCGGCGTTTAGGAGCGTGGCTCAGTCCTTGACAGATATCGATTTGGTTCTCGTCGAAGAAGCCTTTGAGCGTCTCTTGCTTGTAAGTCAAAAAAAACTGGGGCAACGAACTCTGCAAAAAAAAAAAAAAAAAAAAAAAGAAGCTTCCATGTCGTTGATAACAGGGTCGAATGAACTAAGAAGCCCTTTTTTATTTTTTATCATTATTATTATCTTACAAATGAAAGGATTACGATCGCGTGTTCAGTTCCATGGGGATACCTGCATGTCTCTGGCGCCGAACTGGCGAGATCTACAAGGGCAACAAAGAATTTGCCGCACTCGTCAACGTGCCCCTGGAGATGCTTCGCGAAGGCCGCCTCTGTATATACGAACTCATGGCCGAAGAGTCTGCAGTGAACTACTGGGAGGTAAGATCCGTTGAAAAAAACAGCAGATAAAAAAAAAAAGAAAAAAAAAAAGAAGGCATCATTCTGCTCAAGAATCCCAAACTAGCCTTGCGATAGATCACAAAATAGCGCATCTTTATTAACGATCGTGACATTTTTTTTTAATAATACATTTCTCTTGGTATAATCGCTATAGAAATACGGAAACATTGCGTTCGATGCAGGTCAAAAGGCCGTGCTGACTTCATGTCTGCTCAAGAACCCCGACCCCGAGAGCCAGAACGTCATCTCCTGCTGCTTTTCCTTCACAATCCGACGCGACAAGTATAATATCCCAACCGTCATCGTAGGGAATTTCCTACCCGTTTCCTTGGGATGATCGATCGACACCCGAAAATAGACAATACAAAAACCCAATGTAGCTTTTTTTTTATTGCCACCATTTTTTTTTTTTTTTTTTTTCGGTTCTGCATCTGCAAAGAGCCCTTAATTAAACTCCCCTTTGTCAGACAGTCACCGATCCCCGGACAAAAACAACAGTTTCCTTCCCGCCCCCCAGCTCCTCCCCCGCCTCAAAAGCGCTAGTTCCATTCATCTACATTCATAAAACCAACCATGTTATCCACCACGTCGTCTATCGTCCAACTGGCCAAGGCGCCCTTCAAGCGCGCTCAGCGCGGTCTCTTTGGAGGTATACCTCAGCACCTTTCTTCCACCTACACCATTCAGGATTCAGAGAAAACGCTCCAGGACAGACTTTTTTTTCTACAGAACGTGTGGCAAGGCCTGTTCACGGAGCCTCTGAAGCCATTTCGACATTTATCAACACCACCACCTTGGATTGCGCTATCAAACATCCCCTAACGACCTTTCCACAAAAAAAACTATCGTAGGCAAGCAGATCCAGTTCGGTAACAACGTCCCTTTCTCCAAGACCAAGACCCGCCGCACATGGCTCCCCAACGTCCAGGCCAAACGCCTCTTCTCCGAGACCTTGAACGACTGGATCAAGCTCAACATGACCACCTCCGTCATCCGCACCGTCGATAAGAAGGGTGGTCTTGACCGTTACCTGCTCGAGACCCGCCCTGATCTGCTCGGTGCCAAGGGACAGGAATTGAGGGCCAAGTTGGTCGAGGTCTTGAAGGCCAAGCAGGCCAAGAAGGCCATGAACAACTATGTCCTCATGCAGAAATCAAACTCGACAACACTTTCAACAGAGGCTCAGGAGGCCGTCAAGGCATCAAGTTCAACCGTCATCAACCCCGCTGCAACGACAACAACCAACATGCCATCATCACAGGCTGGCGCTTCTCTGTAAAAAAAAAAAAACAAAAAAAAAAAAAGGAAAAAAGAAAAAAAAGCAACAATGGGCCTATTTCTTAAAGACAGACATGATAAGGCACAGAAGTTCAACTATATCATCAAATAAAACATAGAACACATTCATGAAAATTTAAAGCATTAGTCTTGGTCTCCAACAAGAGAGATCTGTATTACGCCGCCTTTGATTTTGTGATCGACGTAAATCAGTCTATCACGAATGTTCTTTCTCTCTCTCTCTCTCTCTCTCTCTCTCTCTTTCCCTCTACACAAGACTGAATGCTACAGAAGGAGGGAAGAGTGCTCCAGTTTCGTACGAGGTAGGGTAGACCTGGATCGGAACTGAGCAATCAAAACTTTCCGTCAACAGGGACTCAACTGCCTGGTACTGGGACCGTCTCTCATCAACACTCGTCATCTTGAATCGGGGCTGGTTTGCTGGGCCTGTGATGAACTCGACGCGAATGTACCATTTCAGCGTCACTGAAAGAGATGTTTAATAAATCCGATGTTAGCGGGCAGCATTTTATCCAAAGGACGAAACATCATCATCAGCGATTATCATCCTTACGCGTCGATGTCTTGAACTCAGGCGTAGCAGTGGGTGGGATGCAGAGCGAAAAAGACGTACGCATGGTGTCAATACAAGACTCGTGCAGCTCTGCATGGACGCGTTTTGTTAACTTGACTGTCTGAGCTGCGCTACGGCATGCATAGCTGGGTTCAATCGCCTCCACGGTCTCCAGTGTCACCGATATTTGATACGTAGGGATCTCGCGCGTGGCAAACGATATAATCCCGTAAACATTCTCTCCCAGTTTGAACCTTGTCTTGATCAACGAAAGCTTGGCCACTGGAACGTTGTTCTTACAAATATCGTAACTCGCTGAAAACACGATCGAAATGAAAGAAAGGAAGACATCCGCTTAGCTAAAAGAGTCGTTGCATTTGATACCGTGTAGAGCCCTCAACCCATACACTATTCGTTCATAATCCTCACCTGCACTGGTCGATCTAGAAAGCAATGCGACTTTTTCCAGACATGTATGTGAAAGTACAGCTTCTTCGTCCTTGTATGCGTCGCTCTCGCGACGAGTCAGCTCACGCGCTTGCGCCGGACCAAGTTCCTCGCCGCTCGGCTTAATGTTCCTTAAAAGCTCGTCCACATAGTCCTCAAACTGCTTCCGTGCGGTTTCTGAGATGAAAGATAATTGTGACGAAGGTGTAAGTTCCGGTCCTCAGTTTAATGTTTGAAACGACATCAGGTATATCGCGAGGTAGCATACTTGAATTCTCAAGAGGTTTCTCAGGTGCTCGTCCCTCGCCTACAACGTTTGAGATCGCAGTGTCCTTGTGCAAGATAACAGGGCTCATTAAGTCATATACAGGCCTAGTGCCCAGCTCCGAAATGTTGTTGTAGAGCCGAAAGGGTAGCTGGACACTTTTGGCTGGGGTATGGACACTTCCACGCTGAACTCCAAGTACTAGGTTGTAGGCGAATCTGATCGTCTTGCCGCGGTGTGACGGTGGCAAGTCTGCCGGGAGCTCGATCTGGTAGGAATCTAGTATTTCCAAAAAGTCGCGCATATCCTGTCAACTGTCTGTGATGCGCCACAGCGTACGGCAACGTTATTTATCATCATCACATACATGAGGTCGATTCACCGGGAGCAAGCTGTAAGTCGACAAAAAGAATTGATGGGGGCGTTGAAAATACAGGAAACAGTCGGTTTGCATCTACACATAGGTTACATATGATAGAGTGCGTGGGTTAGCAATCATGTCGCCGCATACAACCAAAAAGGCATACTTCTTCGTCCCACATACTTGCTCGATCCCTCCAGTCAGATGAGTTGACTGTTCCCAAGGTTCCACCGCCGATGGCGCCTCCCCCTGAACTTCCCGTGGGTCGATACATGGTCTTTGTTTTTAGTGATTCGAATCCTTGCTGCCGAATAAACGAACCATCGACCATGAACTGGCCAACCACCTGTACAGAGCCCCACAGCAATGCTTCCTTCTTTGATCCTTGAGCAGAAAAGCTTCTTGAACTGGAGTAGATCGAATGGGTGGACATGAGTGATGACCTGCGCGTTCGCGATTCAAAGAACTGGGGCTGGAAAGGTCCGCGGACACTCTGCATGGATGACCGTGTAGAGTAGTCCATGGATGGTCGAGGCGTCTGATATTCACCGTCATCCACCATGGACTGAGTATCGGCATTGTCGGTGACCTGCAGTTCGATCATGCGCTCGTTCAATCCAGTCATACTTCCGTCTGTCGCAGTCCTAGAATGGCCGCCGTGCACACCCAAGCCAAGACCTACTGGTGTCCCGAACCGCGCCAATTGATCCGGGTCGACATTTGGCTGAGTCGATTTCCCGTTTTCCAGATCGCTGTTGCCCTGTAGAGACTCTCTTGTCGACTTTTCTTCCTCGTTTTCTGGCGACATGATCTGCACTGAAGATAGTGTTGTTAGTAATTGTTCCCTCTCAGTGTTCTCAGATCCAGGCGGAGGTAATGGTGGCAGCTTTTTCTCGTCTACCAATGAGATCAAGAGCCATTGAATGGAAGATAAGGGGCAGACAATGTCAGTAAGAATACATAGCTGACCAGTACATAGATGTGGATTGAATCTCTATCTACGCTGCAGCCAGCCAGGACAAGATCATAGACCTGATTACGAGAACAGCAACTCTGCATGAGCCTACAGCTTACCATATGTTTGTATTGGCTCCGACTCTCCACCTGAAAGACCGAACGCGGATGCCAGCGATGAAAACGAGGCTGAGCGATATACATAGCTGGCCAAGCCCAAGAGACCAGGGGAAGATGCCGTCTGCTGCAACTCATCCTGTTGTTGCTGCTCCTGCATCAATTGTTGCTGTCGAGGTATTGGAGAGTCTGGAAAATGTATGGGGCTGCTGGCTTCACTGTGATGCGGCGCGGCGATTGTTTGCTCCTGCTCCTCCTGCTCCTCCTGCTCGCGATCCTTAGTTAACTGGCTGTCCTTGTTGCTCGATCCCGGCTGTCCGCGCAAATTAACATCGATGTGACTAATGTCTGACGATACCCGTGTCTGACTAAGGGCTCTGCTTGTAGTGGTGACAGGACGCTGCTGGGGCATATCTGACCGGGGACGAACTTTGCTGCCGTGCTCTTGGGAAGAGTCAGCGCCTGCCTGAGTGGTTGTCGGTCGACCTTGGCCCTTGGTGTCCAGTCTGGGAGGCGAAGTAGAGTGTAGGTTTTGGGGTGAAACTGCCAAGGATGAGATCGGCGGTGAGTTCGGTGGCCTGTCGCGATTCGCTTCAGCTATGGCCTGCGCGCTGGATGATCTGGATGATGGAGGTTGAGCATGTTGTCCGTTGCCTTGGCCGTTACTGTCGTTATGATGCGACTGCTGTTGGTCCTGATGCAGTTGTGGTTTGCGTTGGAACGAGAGCGAGGGTCTTGGTGGCAAAGCAGAGCCTTGGTGGTGCTGGCCATTGGTTGAGCCAGAGGCAGGTGAGGTCGAGTCGTTGGTGAAGATGATGGTGCAGTTGAGTTTCTCGCCCGCGAAGAAGACGCCCTCCTGCGCAAACGTAGCCCTGACCGAGATGGGCATCGTCCGTCAGTTCGAAGTGAAGTCAAGATGGGATGGAGGAGGAGCAAGAAGACTGTGTGGATCCAGGTTGTGCAATCGATCGCTGCTGATGAAACAGAAGAAGCAGTGGGCTGGAGAGACAAAGCTAAAGCGTGTCCGTCGATTTGAGCAGAGCACAAAGCGCGTCTAATAATTGTAGTCACATGGATGTGCGTCTCACTTGAAGAGTCCTTCAAAGATCGCCCTTGTATCTAGCCTGGATCCATCCCCCTCTGATGTGCCTTGACCTGGGGTTTCAGTATGCTTCTCACCCTCTTCACCGCCTGGTACCCTCGATGGTCGTGACGATCCTCTATCCCTTTGATGATTACTATGGCCCTTTGTATCCTTGCTATTGTTACTCCGGCTCGATCGTGGTTCTTCCCTGTGTCTCCTTGACGAATTTCGAGATCTTTCGCGCGAATAGTGTCTGTCATAATCATCGCCACTGCCATCATGGCTTCGACTTCTTTTCTCCCGCCCCTTAGGCTCGTTTATATCAATTGGTCTCTTCCGTTCCTTGTCCTGCCCAACATCTCTAAGGTCGCCATCTCCTGATAGCCTTCGCTTGTGCGTGGCTCTCCCATCGCTTTTGGTCGCAGAACCGAGGACCAAGGGATCTTGCTGGGAAGCAGCCCGTTTCTGCGGCGTCTTGTAATTGAGTTTGTGCGAGCACCTCTCGCAGAGTCGGACCTTGACCAACGCGTTTTTCTTCTCGCTCTGTTCCACATATCCGAAATTGACCTCCCAGCTCTGAAGACCCTTCAATTCATCACACTGTAAGTTTCCGCAAGTGAATTGTCCTAACAAGAATTTGAGGAAAAAGAAAGTCGAGACTGTCAGTAAAGCGCGCAAAACAAGTTCTGTCGCAAGCATTATATAGTGATCATGAAGAGCTTTGCTCCCACCTTTGCCGCGAAAAACCTCGCCCTCGTTTCGCCAACGCATGGCGATACGGCCTTCCTTATAGTACTTGAGTTCCACGAGCGCATACTCCTTGAATAGTTTATCGTAGTACTTTTTCGCAATGCGCTCCTCCCAAGCCAAGTCCTGATCATCCTGCTCTGACCTTAAGAACCTAATATTGGACATTCAGATATGGAATATCATATCAGCCCGAGCAAACGTTAATCGAAGAGATTCATCCATGGTGGGTAGTATGTACCGGTGATTCTCCACTAGGATATCCCGCTCCGTCTTGTAGGATTTATCTTGTTGTTGCGAGGTCTCGTCAGATTTCCGGTGGTACTTGACGAAGCTGTCGATCAGGTGCTTGTGCTTTGACCACTGTGAAGGCACAGACAAATAAACGATTAGTATTCTCAGCCGAATTCAAAGTGAAGCGATGCAATGAGTTTCGAAATGCCATCCTTACGGAATCCATCCTGGCAAATTCCTGCTTTCTTGTCGTTTGCATTTGATTCCTGTCCATGATGGTGCGATTGAGAAAGAGAGAAGAGAGGGTGTCAAGGCCAAAATTTTATGTCGCCACCAAAAAAAAAAAAAAAAAATTGTGGCCCCTCGAGTCGAGACGGCGCGATAGGGTAACCTTTCAAGACCACTTGATCTTGATATAACCTCTGCAGGCCATAATTTCTGTTCCCTGTAGTGCCACCAATGCACCTGTGCAGACGAAGCAATCGGTATGTAAAAGTTCTTCCATTTATTATCAAGTTCATTCTGCTGTAGATTGAGACAGCACGCGTCGACATCCATGTTAAAGAATAGAGCGATGAAGATAGAAATGGACAAAATAATCCTCTGTACTTTTGGTGGACCCTTTGAACTTCAAATGGCCTTTCGACGACTAGTACTGACGCTCCTGAATCCTGTAATGAGAGTGTAATTGTAGCAAACTCTTAAAAGGCTCCTCCGACTTGTTCTACCATGACGTCGATCGAATCGCCATCCTCCATCTCAAGCTACCGTGTTCGGTATAAAAGTAGGAACGAAATGATAAGTGTTGGCATGTCATTCCATAGTGAACCAGGGCACTAGCATATGGTGTATCTTATAGCAACCTAGCTCCATTGCGTGTTGCATGAATATCGTGCAAACGCAATCAAGCATACCTCGTTGGGCGTGTTGGTAGGCTGGATTCTTTCACCATCGTACAAGAAACGAACACTGGTGACAGCCTTTCCTTGACGTTCACAATAGGCTTCCATCAACTTTTTGAGCTGTGTCGAGCGCTTGATCTTGAAGAAAACCTCGGAGTGGTCCTGCGTACAATCGTGATAGAAGGTTTTATGTCAATATATACCGCAGACCATGGCACTGTAAGAGTACTGTGGCACTTTGCCACTTCTTTATCTCGGTGGAATATCGATTTGCTCAATGCTACTCTGAAGGACCACATTCCCTCCTACAAGTACGGACATAATCTTCGCTGAGCAGCATAGCATTCACGGCGGTGGCATAGCGAGTTAAAAAACAGGTACGCTAATGGCGGTCCAGAGAAAGGCGGTTCGTGGTCCTGATTTCCAGAGGCCACTCCATAACAGCTCTCTTAACAAGAAATGACGGATCCAACGCTGCCTTACCTGTCCAACCACCTTGAGGTTGATGTGCTCTACTGATCCGGCCTCGGGTTTCTTGTCAACTTCGTCGCCCATGGTGAATATGAATGCAGTGTTGAGTGGTTTGGAGATTGAACTCGAGCGCTCCTTGCTTTTCGTTTTCAAGAAGCTGTGAATTGCGCTACTTAAGGGTATACCGGCCTCAAGCCACTACATCGCGTACCTTCTCTCCGCGAAATGCATGTGTGCTTTACTGCTATCTTTTCTCATAATGCGTTCTATCTAAAGCAGATCGGTCCTGCGCGCCAGCAAATTGCAACTGCGCTTGTAGTCCATCCACCATGTCTGCGTGGGCTTGCGGTTCTTCATGTCAGTGGACTTCAACAAGGCTTCAACGCTAGTAAAGCTGACATTGCTGCCGTGGATACCAGCTACAGAAATACTATCTGGGTCCTTGTTGTACACAACCGGTCCTGAAGAGGATGCGCTCGAGGCACTTGATGAAGAAGAGGAAGAGAGACACGCTTTTTCTTCCATAAAGTCGATTGAGCAGACCGCCAGACGCATGGCACGGACACGATCCAGAGGCGAAGGCGAATTGCCCTGCTGAATATGTCCCAGGATTGCTGTTCTGGAGTCGAACTGCTGATGACCCTCTTCCTTGATAATGGCGGACACAATGTCTGTTGTGTAGGTCCTGGAGGCGGCCTCTGATCGGATGAAAACCCGCCCCTGGGATTTGCCCTCTGCATCCTCCGCGTATCGCTGACACAAGTGGGCGACGTCCTTCTGCAAACGGGTCAGGCTGATGCCCTCTTCAGGAATATACACAGATGTCGCCCCAACAGCAAGTCCAGACATGACGGCCAAGAATCCAGACTTGCCTCCATGGACCTCCACAACAAAGACGCGCTTTCGGCTGGCGGTGGCACTTTGCTTGATAGCGTCGCAAGCTTCCATGATGGCATTCAAACTGGTATCGCATCCCAGACTGTACTCCGTTCCAGGAACGTTGTTGCTGATGGTTGCGGGAATGTGAACCATCGGCATGCAGAAGGCCGGATATGATTCGCGGGCGTTGTACATCTCCAGACAGGCAGTGTAAGCCTCGAAACCTCCGATCAAGAGCAGACTCTGGATGTTGAACTTCTGAAGCTGATACGAGACCATGCCAAGGTCAAGAGAAGGCTGGTCGCGGTTAGTACCCAGCTCACTTCCTCCATGAGCCATCCAGCCATCGACATCCATCCATTGCATCTCCTTGACTTGGCCAGCGATCAGTCCAGGGAAACCATTGTGGATAGCGAACGGGATATGGCCACGGTTGCGGGCATAGCGAACAGCGGCACGTACAGCGGCGTTCATTCCCCCAGCTGGGGCTCCAACGTTGATGATACCAATGCGTAGGGGCTGGCAGTTTTCCTTGTCGTGTGTCAGCAAGGAGCGCTCGTTCGAAGATAGAGTAGTAGCGATAAATTGATCGTACTGCTGATTGAAAGCTGGGTCGCGCAGCTCCATGGCACCAATAAAATCCTTGCGAGCAATAGCCTTGGCAACCTCACCGGTCTAATACAAAAGAAGCACGCCGCAAAGCAACGCATGTGAGTAGCGTGGAGACATTGAAGCATTGCAGGTGTTGTAAGGTAAAGAAAATGTAATTCTTTAAATCCAAACTTACAAGAGCGACGGCTTTCATCAAGTCGGTCCTCACAATCTTGTTCTCGTTCATAGCAATCATGGGGCTGGGAACATCGGGTCTACTAGCCAAGACGGCCTCGACAGCCTCCACTCCTTGCATAGTGGCTAGATTGCGATCAAAGGCGCATGGGACTCCTCCGCGTTGGACGTGTCCCAAAATGGTCATGCGAGTATCCAAATGCAAGTGGTCTGTCAAGAGGTCTGCCAGGTCTTTGGCGGTAATGGGATTAAGGTTACTGTCGATGGCCCCCTCGCACACGATAACAATGGTTTTGCGCTTGCCCAGGTCACGATGCCTTTTGATCTCAGCACACATGTTGTCCTGCCAGTCTTCGCCAGACGGAGGGCGCTCGGGGATGAAGATAAAGTCAGCTCCAGTGGCAATGCCGGCCATGAGAGCCAGCCAACCGCAGTGGCGGCCCATGACCTCAACGACGAAAGCACGAGAGTGGCTGGATGCAGTGCTGGAGATCGAGTCAATACTTTCGCAGATTCGATGAAGGCAAGTGACAGCGCCGATGGTGATATCAGTGCAGGCCATGTCGTTATCGATCGAGCCCACAAGACCCACAATGTTGAGATTGGAAAAAGGCTCGACCTGCTCTTGAGTCAGCTCGCCTGTGTTGACAAGCTCTTCAAGTAAGCTGGGCCACTCAGCTCGGAAGAGATCTGCACCTGTCAAGGAGCCGTCTCCTCCGCAGACAATCAAAGCGTCGATACCCTCCAGAACCAAGTTCTTGGCAGCCGAGAGACGACCAGGACGCTCTCGGAAGGCTTTGCAGCGTGCAGTTCCGATGACGGTACCACCAGTGGTCAAATATCCCTGGACATCATCCCAACCCATCTTTTTGATCATCTTGCCACCATCCACAAGACCTATGTTGCGGAAGTTATGTAAATACCACTCATCAGTAAATAGTGTCTCTTGGTGAATGAATCTTGGTGATTAGGGTGGAAGGAAACATACCCTGGTAACCCTCATGCACTGCATAAGCATCACATCCACGAACAATGGCGGCTCTGACAACTCCACGAACAGAGGCGTTCATTCCTGGGGCATCGCCTCCGGAGGTCAGAATAGCGATCTTGCGTTTTCTTCCATCAGGCTGCTCCAACGCCTGGAACTGTGGACGTTGAGTTTCGGTATGCTCGGCTTCCACGTGATGTGCAGTCTCGGTCTTCTTCTTTGACGCGAAGGGATTAGGCTTATCGGTGAAAATCAGAAGGTTGTTCATGGGATCGTGAGTATAGATGGCCGAGTATTCGCTTTGAGCGAGGGGATCTTTTGATGGAATGGAGTACCGCTGATAAGCCCATGGAAGACTGGCAAAGAGTTCTTCAATTGCCTATGGTTATACGAATATGAGACACGTTAGTTTTCAATTTGCGACCAGTGTTTTTGCGTGCCAACATCTTTATTCGATACGGAGAAAGCCAATTCACGATGAAGGCCATCGTCATTCTCCGATCAACAACTGTATGATATGAACGATATGAACGATATGAACGATATGAAGTTGATCAAGAGATAAGGAAAGTGCTCTCACAAAGCAGCAGTCCACGACGACGAAAGTTGCGTGGCTGCTGCGATAAAGATAAACTCCTCACGAATCCATGATCAAACAGGGTCAAAAAGAATCCATTGGACACCATTGAAATGCAAAATGGCCCTGCCTGTTCATATGCTTTACATCGTAATCGCCCAAACCGCCCCAATTCGCCCTGTACTTTGTTGTGCTTTGTACGTTCAGGAGATAACACGGTGGCGGTCATACTGTGATCATATTGTGATCATTCTCACGGAATAAAAGAGCCGTGACCAAGATAGTACAAGCGATGAGTGCATGGCTTCGTTCGCAGCATACCTTGAGTGTGTTGGTGATGATGGTGGCAATGGCGGGTACACTGCGCCAGTCCATCTTGGTCGAGTGGGGCAGTTTACGGAGGCCAGAGGGCGAGTATGCAATCTTGATGGCAGGGTCATGGGTTGACGTCTCCTCGCAGAAAAGCTGGAGCCAGGTCGCCTTCGTATCAGCAGAGGTTTCGGTCAAGATAGCCCTCAAGCCAAGCTGCTCGAACCAAGCAACCGAGGCATGATAAATTTCGTCGGTAGGCGCGGTCAGGGTGAGGTGTGAGATTTGCTCGAGCACGATCTTGCTAGACTGATCCTGCATCGTAGGAATGCTGCAATGGTCGAATGAAAAAAGTGAAGGAATGACTAAAGGCGAAGGAAAGAATGAGAGGAAGGAATGAAGAAAAGAAAAATGGACGAAGAGAAGAGAAAAAGAAGAAAAGGGGACATGTATCGTCGATGGACTGAATGCTTTGTCTCAGATAAAACGGCTTATTTGGTTTGAAACGCGTTCGCGACGTATCTTTCTGTCCCCGTACGCGGGTCTTCCTTTTCTGGTGGTGCTTTCTTTTCATTACCCTGGCTCTGTCGACAAGAAATACTTCCACAAATAGCGTCTATCCAGATAACACACGCCCACGAGCAGCGCATTATCACACGCTTCTAACAATCGAACCTTCCGTGCAAACAAAATATTTTGTCTCAGGTAGACCACGCAGCCCATGAGAAAAAGACCAAAATGCGCATGCTGATGATACGTAGAATTACTGGAACAGCAAAGAATTACATACTGCGTTTGTTTGGGCAAAAGGATCTAAACTAGTTAATATACAAATGGACGTCGGGTGGATGTGAATTTGGATAAGAGTATACAGTGGAGGCAGATTGAACATTGAAAAATAAAGTTGAATGCAATGCACGGGTGCATGATGTAGATGGTCTTTCCGCTCTGTGGGCATGTTTTTATCCCCCATACCCTCACCAGTTATTCTTGCGCCGCTTGTTCCTGGAGTCGCTTCCTCCTCCGGAGGATGGCTCCTCGTCTCGCTTCGGCTTGTTCTTGTGTCCTGCGTTGCCGGACCCACTGTTCTTCTCCATCAAACGGCTAATTCGTTGCCAGTCGCGGTCCAGCTTCTCGTCCTTGCTCAGGCCCTTGCCCTTGCCGTCGTCCCACTTACCCGTCTTTCGCCCATCGCTCATTTTGACTCCATACTGGAACGATGTCTTTGGCACCACCTCCACCGTATCCTTATACCGGTTAAAGCCTTCCTCTGTGTCGAAATCGAATCGGCCCAATTGCGCGCGCTTGTTCTTATGAGTGCCTTGATCGATCAGGATAGTCGACTGGCTCTGGTCGTCATCCTCATCAGAATCATAGGCAGTCGTACCGAGACCTCCACCTACGCCCAAACCATATGCAGAGTAATAGTCTGCATCCTCATCAACTTCAAGGCTCTCAAGCCTGGGTTTTTTCCGCGACAGTGCCTTCTCATTAAAGGGTGTGGTGTACTGGGCCGCAGCAGAAGAGGGACCATTCGCGCTAGGACCTGCAATGTTTGGATCGGAGTAGTGTGTGTCCTCCTCAGCATCCTCCTGCGCGCTGCCATCGTTACCGTCACTGTCTTCGTTCGCACTTTCTTCCCCAAAGTAATCATTCAGATCGACATCAGTTGGCCGCGCTGGTCCCAAAACAGGTGCCTCTGAGTCCAATTCTCCGCCTTGTACGTCCATCTGCGAACCGTCGGTCATATCTTCGTTATACTGGTTCTCGTCATTGTCACTATCGTCACTGAAGTAGCGGCTCATGTCAACATCGTCCGGTCGGGCGGGACCGACTATGGGTCCTTGATCATCGCCGTCGACATCCATAGTGTGATCTGGTGCAGACTCATCCTTATGTTCAGGCTCCACTACATATTCGCGTCCTGCATCTGCAAAGATATCTTCGCCTTCTAGATCAGGTTCCACCATTGGTAGTGTCTCCTCATCCTGTAACTTGGCTGCTGCGATCTTGGCGGCGGCGGCCGCCGCCGCTTTCCGCTTCGCCTTGAGTTCCGCCTCACTTTCTCCAATCTTGCGCTCGCCCGTGCGGATGGCCTGCAAAACATCCATGACCTTCTTCATGACCATATCTGCCTCTGGATTTTCGACCGTTCCTGCTAGATGTTGATCCACATCCGCCCTACTCCTGACGACCGTTGTCGGGACCGCAAAAGGGTTGTTGTCCTCTACAAACCCAGCTTTTGGTTTTTTGCTCTTGGTAGTGATTGGGAGTTCGAAAACAAAAACTGTTCGGCCTGGCAAGAACATCTCGTTGACCTTGGGTGGCCTCTTTGCTGGTTCCTCAATTGCGTACTTGAAAACATCCCTTGCCAGTACGCTGTTCGTCTCCGGTACCTCCTCCTCTTGTTTCATAACTGTGCTGCCTTCTGCTTTGACGGCCTTCTCCACAGTTTCAAAGACTTTGTCCAGATCAGCGACCTCGCTATCCTGCCCCGAATCCTCCTGGCGGACCTTGTTCAACAGTGCATAGTCCAGACCCTTAACCAGATGAGTGTGTTCCCTGTCTCCTCCCAAGAACTTGGACTGCTCGTACATGACCTCAGGCGCAACCTCGGCTGCAGCCTCCTCCAAAGTTGAAAGAATTTGCTCCGTCTCGATATAATCCGGGTTCATACCCTGCCGTCGTTCTGTAGCTCTGTCCCTGTATTTACTTCCGGCCGCCGAGGCATCCTTTGCAGGGGTCTTTTGCGCATGTTTTTTGTACTTGTGTTTGTTCGACCCGCCTTCTGATGAACGCGGTGTCTGCGGTGCTGGAACACGGGCTGTCCTGCCTGCCATGCCAAGCGCTCTCATGCTGCCTCCTGAAAATGACCCGCCAATACCTCCTGTACCGCCTGGTGCCGCACGAGGTGTAGCCAGTAGCTTCCTGAAATCATCCTGACTCAGCCTATTGGGATTGAGAAGGAGGGGACGTTGTTAACAAAGTAATGGGCATAAAAGGTTGTTATACCAGTGAAGTAATACACGTAGTCTTTTACCCTCCTGCTTTCTCTTCCTTTTTCTCTGCTGAAGGCTTGAACGCTGGTGGTGGCATTGAATTTGACATTATGGACGATGGGTGCTTGAAGGTGCTGAGGCGACTTGAAAACGCTGAAAACGGCTGGGTGACGTCATTTTTGGGAGGAAGGAAACGCAGATTGTGATTCGGCCCTCTTTATTCTCCACACAGCGGACCACCACCTCTTGAAGTTTAATCACGGAGAAGCGATGCGTCGGGAAGGCACAATTGAATACACGGAGGAGTACAACCGGTTCATGGATCGGTTGGAAGCATTCCATCAGAAGCATGGGTAGGAGAGAACACCGCACATGGAGACAAGCGAAACAACGCACCACGATATTCCTCATTTAATTCTGAACAACACAACAAGGATGCTAACCTTTTGACACGGTCGCTGTCTTCTTCCGATTCAAAGGACTGTTCTCAACCGCGAGCCTGTGCTGGGTTCACAGCGACTAGACCTACTCAAGGTGTACAAGCTGGTGACGGCCCATGGTGGGTGCGAAAAGGTACCAGTACTTTGTGCAGTTCTTTTTTCTTCAGGACACACTAAGGGATATATTTCCCATCAAATCCTAATCGTGCCTTCAATTGAACTTACGATATCGATCATAGGTCACAGCGGAGCGTGGGTGGAAGCGTATTACACTGCCGTTCAATTTTCCGCCAACGTGTACTAACAGCGCCTATGTGATGAAGAGCGTTTATGTCAAGAACCTGGAGCTATTTGAGCAGGAGGATTTTTTCGGTAAGGAGGTGCCCGTGAACAGGAATGAGCCAGTTGAATCCAACATCTCTCGCTCTCGTGAAGGTGAGAACTGTGTGGATTTTAGTTTCATCGTGTGAATGATTATCTCCGGATTACCGTCCACTTACGTTTTTACGACTGTTCTTCTTGCCATTTAGCGTCGCAAACTCCAACCAACAAACGCGGGCCCTATATGACATCAGCCATGAAGCAGCAGCTAGCAATGCAACAACAGCAACAAATGCAACAGCAGCAGCAGCAACAACAGCAAATGCAGCATCAGATGCAACAGCAGCCGATACCTCCCCAGCCCATCCCCCACCCCATGCCAACAGGACCTCAAGGAGCACCATCAGCAGCGATTCCTGCACCACCCTTGAGGCCCTCCAATTTCCTGGAAGGATACTACGTCGAAGGAGGTCATCAGAACAGAATCCTTCTTGCTCTCAAATCAGAACTGCCAAACGAGATTGATTGGGCATTCAGTCGACTTATCTCTCTGTCATATGAATGGAATGAATTCTCGCTCAACATGATTCCAGGATTGCTCAACGAGCTCCTGTCGTTTGCTCAGCCCTTTTTCGACTGGTGGTCATCGCTTGAGTCAAAGGAACAGGAGGAGCTCGTGGACGAGGATCTATTGAGCATGAGTGAGACCCACAACATGGAGCGTATTTTGCAGGTCTTTCATATTCTCCGCAACCTTTCGTTCCTGGATCACAACACCGTTATATTGACTGAGCACGCCAAATTCCGCAGAATGCTTCAACAGGGGCTGTCTATGCCTCCATCAACTCAGCTGAACGAGCTGCGGATTTATTGTTTGGACACACTGGAATGCCTCAGTATTCACATCACTCTGCGCTCGAAATTCGATATATACCTGCGGGAACTGCACAGGTTGCTGCTGACGAACGACAAGGCTATGATCCTGGGAAGTCTCCGGGCGTTGACTCGGTTGGCGGCTAACGAACATAACGAAAAAATTCTGAGCGACATTGACCCAGAGATCATCGAGAGGATATCACAGCTATTGCTCATTCAGGATGAAGAGCTTATTGGAGCTACACTTGACTATCTCTACCAGTTCTCAAGTTTCCATGGCGATGCCGCTGTGCAGATCGCAAAGAATTTCCCAGGAAACATTGTCTCCGTCTTGGTGCAGTTCCTATCCTGGGGCAGCCCCAAGACCATGCCTCCACCTGTCACAGTGGACCCGGCACAACAGATTCTCCATGAGCCATATCGTGCCTTGCATTGGTATGTTTTCTGACCAATATCTTACTCGCGCCATATTGTCCAAAGATCGTTTACTAAAGCCATTTTTTCGCTATTGATATCAATTGATATCAAAGGCTGCAATCCAATTTTGAAAGCAATTCTCAGGCCTATATATTCGAATCAGAACTCTTCAAGCTGTATCAGACGAAATTCCTTGCCCATGGACCAATGCTGAGATCGGCGGATCTGGTTACAGTGTCGAGGGTTGGCTTCCCAAAGATGGAGACGAGCTTCGTGCAAGAGGCAGAAGGTGTGCCGCCAGTCCAAGTCATCAAAGGAATCGCCAAGAAACACTGGGTCGACTTTAGTGGTGGTAAGAGTACTGACGTGCTTGCAACTCATTACTCACGTATTTCACGTTTGACGCTGAGTAAGCTGGCTACTAACATGGTCTTTCTGTGAATATTTTGCTTTCCATTCTAGCCGATGACAGAATTATCTGTAGATGGATTGGATGCCAAGCTGTCGTCCCGACAGAGGCGGAGTTGTTCAAGCATGCAGTTCAGGAACATATCTCTCCTGGAATGGGCCTTTACACTTGCCAATGGCTGAGCTGTAGACGCTTTACAACCCCGACTCATGATCGCCAAAAGGTGATCAAGCATCTCAAAACTCACTTCCCGCTCACACCTTCGGTCAAGCCGTTTTCGAACCGGCCTCGTTGGTTCGATATGCGTCCTAATGTTCTGGAAGTACCTGGTCGGGAGCTGGCGGGCATTCCTCTGACGGCTGTCTTTGTGCTCAGGAACCTTTCAAGACAGAAACGGAATCAGAAGCTGTTCTTGCCATACGAAGAAAGTCTGGCGAGGATTATGGGCGAGTTTCCGAGGATGGCGGCCTTTATTGTCGATATCTTGACGTTCCTGAGGGTCGGCTAAACATGGACGTGATTGGTTCGAGATCTATTCTTTATATCTTCCATCCTCGTTCGTGTTTCGCTTACGTTTGTTTTATCATAGCATATGGCCGACAATAACGGCTACAGTCCTCCAAATAATAAAGAACCTGGCCTCGTCTTCTTCTTTGCTCGATACCGAAATGCAATATCAGCGTTTTTTTACATGCTCTGAACGTAGTTTATGAAACATTGAAGTTACAGCTTAGATGGTGTGGATGGTGCGGCAGACTGTGATGCTTGTTGCTTTTCAAAAGCGATGGGTGTTGAGGATCCCAGTGGGGTCATGGCCATAGCTCTGTAGACATTTCCCATCTCCTTAGGATCAACTAGTCGATGGTATGAGCTAATCAGGGTCTCGCGGCGATGAGCAGTGGCCTTGGCAAGAAGCATATCAAGACGAGCACCGATGCCGAGCGAGTGGAGCAAATGTGCCTGGGTGACAGATCCGTGACAGTCGACTATCATAAAAAAAAAAATTAGAATTACGCAAGGAGATATCATTCTTCCAAAGGAGAACGCGGATGAGGAGAACGCGGGTGAATGTTAGCTTACCAAGGTCTTCTGTTGCCTGCTTCAGGTACTGAAAGTCGACATCTGCACTGAGATCAACATTTCCGGGGCGAGTGAGCACATGTGTAAATTTGTGCTTGATGATTCCCTATATAACCATTAATCCTTGATCAATAAACGCGCATTATCTTTGTAAGAGGAATAGGCACACATACATCGGTGCCAGTAATTGGAAACCGAGGGCATTACACGTAACGTATCTCCTTGGATATGATCCTTTCCGTAATCCACAATCAAGGCCGATCCTCCGTTCTTGTTAATGTGCTTCGCCATGTCATGTGCGACCCTGAACGAATCTGGAGAGACCTCAATCCTGTCACCCGGTTTGAAGTGGTCATAGGCTGGATGCTCTGCAAATGCCTTTGATGCCTGCGTAGGTCCTGGTGCGAGGACGAATCGAAGATGGTAGGGACTTGCTGGATCCTCCTCCAGATCGACTACCAGTTCACGCCAGCCTTCCTCGGTCTTTTCAAACTTGTAGATTGGAAGCGCGTCAAAAAACTCGTGTGCAACAATCATCGAACATTCCGCTGCAAGGTAGGGCAAAAAAAAGAAAAAAAAATAAGCATTGACAAGGCGCGTTAGAGAAATGCATTATTGCATTTATATCTCCATATTTCCATATTCTAATTCATCAAAGCCTTCACACTGTTTACCTGGGAGATCCTCAAAGATATCGTGCCAGGCGATCTGGAGGCCGTCCTGTCTGAGAGCGGATGTAATTCCTTCCCTGCTCCCACCACTGACTTGTTCCTCTGAGACAGGGATGCCACAAAGTGTCTCCCGTTGCACTTTCCGGAGCCCTGGACTGGCCTCGATCAGATGGACTCCCGTAATGGCCTTTCTGAATTCCTTGAACCGGGATGCAACCTACAACATGGCCACGGTAAGAACACAGACAGGTAGTATGTTAGGTACATTTACGAATGCGAACTACTTTACAATATAAATACAAGAGCCCATGTTCTCTTGGAGTCACATACCCGCAACATGTCCATCATCAGAGTCCCTCGTCCAGGACCGAGTTCTGCGATCTGCACACGCGATGGCTTCCCAATGTTTTGCCATTGTACCAAGAACCAAATTCCTAGAAGCTGTTTCCAACAAGTGGATGGACCAAAAAATGCCGCCTCACATTAGCACTATGACTAATATTCGTACTATGATGATATCTGTTGAACATCATGAATATGTTGTACCTCTCCAAACATTTGACTGATCTCTGGCGAGGTGATAAAGTCTCCTTGGGTTCCAAACACGTCTCCTTGCATGTAGTATCCACTCAATGGGTTAACCAGCACCTGTCTCATAAAGTGCGCTACAGACATGGGACCTTGAATCTATGAACACAAGGTAAATAGGCGAGAGTAATATCCCTGCGATTTAGTACATCGCCAGCATGGTGGTTGATCAAAAAGCAGATCAAAAAGAACTGCAGATTCACACACCTTGATGGAGTCTCTGATATGTTTAGCGAGTGGGGTCAGCTCTTCCTTTGGTGGGTAGTCCGTGGTTTCTAATGTTGCTTTTTCCGGGACCTCTGATCCTGCCTGGTGTTGAGTGTTTATTTGCTCCACCGCAGGTGTCTGCGTTAAATGTATACCGCTTTTGATATCAGAATCCTTGCCCTGAGAATAAAGTCGAGTGGTCTTGTAAGGCATGGCTGAGGTAGTCCTCAGAGTGACACGGGCGCATGTCCTCCATGGAACTGTCCTTGCGATGCTCGCTTGCCAAAGCATTTTGATTCTAATCTTGATGCGTGGACCTGATCTGTTTAGAGGGGATCACTCGAAACGGCATCGCCTGCTTTGGAATTCTTCCCGCTCCTCTTAACGTTTCAATACGGTCACACCAAAAGCGCATTCCAGGGACCTCAGAGCCAAAGGACCCTTTCCATAACCTGTTTTTCTTCTCTTCGTCATCAGCCTCTTGCTGCCTCGTCTTCTCTTCATTTTTTCAATCTTCTCAGAATACGCAGCACCTCATTCGGCTCAGCTCTCCATCGCTTCACACCAAGATGAACCTCAGGACAGTGTCGTTCGTCATCGCAACCGCTGCCCTGGCAGCAGTTGCCTACGCCCGACCCGAGCTCATTATATCCGACGACCAACGTGGCCTCATTTACATTGGGTCCTTTGGCTTTCTCGCCGGCGGCACCCTAGATATGGACCTCCAGAACCTGAAGGTAATAATGACAAGAGTCGGTCGGTGTAATGTGGAAATATTCAGTCTTGACGGTCAGTCGCTCGTCTTCTTCATCCGCTCACCGCTATAATTTTTCACTCCAACTGGTGGTTTTTAGGTCGTGCCATATGACGGCGACACAGGGGAAGAAAAGCGAATTGGTTTTCTAATCCAAAAGGGCAGCTCAGATGCCGATATGGTTGACTGGGAAGAGGGCTGTATTCTGGACGACCCTACATTCAAGGATGACATTGATCAGGGAAGGAGCGAGTTCAGACAGCTGGATACGACACAGACAGCGTAAGCGATAGAACAGTTCGTCAAGGAAACCACACCGTCGTCCGTCTGCTCAACGAATGACGTCTTCTATAGAACTTGTTAAATATTCACACATTTTTCTTTCCTTTCTAGGTTCCAATACCATCGCGAAGTTCAGCCTGGAGAAGAAGAAATGTGGAACATGTTGTTCGTGAACTGCCCTAGTAGTATCGTCTCGTTCAGAGTAAGCAGTGAAAATCGGCAGCGATAATTAGCGGTAGGATGGCCCTGATTTTTAACCACCACATCTTGTACTTTTCTAGTTGAAGATAACAGAGATCAATCCTGGAAACAACTATCTGAGCGCAGGAGATATTCCATTACCAAGGGTATATGCTGGTTCTGCTGTCGCTTACTTTGCAGCAAGCGCGCTCTGGTTCTATATGTTGATGAAGAAGGACACCAAGGTCTTTTGGCCACACAAGTTGATGTAAGCTGGGACTTTTTAGCAATAGGGGACGTGTAATAGAGGAAGTGACGACATTGAGACTATGTGAGCTGACTGTCTCTTTTGCTTTTATTCACCGTATAGCCTCGTTCTTGCCATGATGATTGGAATCCAAAAGACGTTTCAGGCTGTAGGTGTCTTCTCCGCTGAAATGTTCAATAGGATGACCCTATCCGGACCATATCGGCCGTGGACTAACTGATATTTCAATGCTGTAACGATAGTTGAAAGTGCACTACATGAGGACAGGTGTTGATGCTGAGGGCTGGACGGTCATGTTCTACATTTTCGCCTTGTAAGTCCATATCAATGGCCGCTTACCATGCAGAAGTACTATCTCTGAACTCTTATGCGGCTGAACTAACGACTCTTTGCCTTCGCTCATCCTCCTGGAACTGTTCATGAACAGCCTCAAAGGATCGCTTAGTATTCTTATCATTACGTTGATTGCATCCGGTTGGATGTTGTAAGTTTTTCGCTTTCATGAAGGGCAGAGTGTGAGGTCAACATATCGTACGCTTTTTCATGATAGAGTACTGACAATATCCATTCTCATCTATACTATTAGCATCAAGCCGTTCCTATCGCCAAAGGACAAGAAGATTATTCTTTTCATTATCCCACTGCAGGTATGACCATCGTTCGCATTGATCAAATACAAGGGTCTGGTAGGCGTTTATGAGTCCTCCTGACGCATCATCTTGTAACACATTCTGCTAGATCCTTTCCAATATTGCATCGACAATCAGCAGCGAAACTGCCATCGGATCTATTAATTGGTCGTTCTGGGTAAGTATCGATAATGAATACGCTTTATTATTTTTATTCAGACTTTATCAATTAACAATGCGAACTTTGCCTCGGGTATAATCTTAGACACAAGTGTTCCCCATGGTCGATCTCATCAGTTGCGTGGTTATTCTCGGCGTCATTATCCAGACACAGAGGCATCTAGGTGAGGCTGCAGAGACTGAGGGAAAGGTTGCCGAGAACAAGAGCAAGTACAAGCTCTGGGGATCGTTCTATCTCATCACAGTCGTCTACATCTACCTGACGAGGATCTTGGTCGAGTTCTTGAAGGTCGCTCTGCCGTACCAATATGTCCAATGGTTGGTCGAGTTGCTCAATGAGGCCATCACACTTGGCTTCTACGCAACGATCGGGTAAGATATACCTACTATTAATTTGTCGTGGACAATGATTGTTTTGGCGCACATGTCGTTAGTTGTTCTAACAGGCCTGCCTTTGTTTGTATTCCTTGTATTCACTGTGTCCAGATGGAAATTCCGACCATACGCGAATAACCCATACACACTGATCGACGAGGACGAGGATGATCATGATATCGAGTCCGGCGTCAACGGAGGCGAGACTCATGGTCTCCAGACCATGTCCAGACGTGAAGGTAGAACCAATGAGCACGACGAGTAGACAAAAAAAACTATACGAAGTGTACCATTTTAATGCATGGCCAATAAATGCTCTAGAAAAGTACATGGTATGCCAGTTGCTTTATTTTTATTTTTGAATGACCTGGAGGCTATGGTACATGGTTAAACGGGCTGAATCTTGGATTTCTACTGGGGCAAGACCTTCTTGATTTCTGTATGGAGAAAAAAGAAGGGCAAGACTCGGTCAGCACACATTTGATGACAAAATAAACCGAGCGAAAAGTAAAAATATAAATATGCGTACCTGAGATAATGTCCTGGTACGCCTTTGTAGCGGGCGAGTCCGGGTATTCTTCCAAGAATGAGAGACCTTGGTCACACGATTTGCCTGTTCGGTCGATACACAGAGTGTGGAGCAAATTCAGAAAGCGTCGTATTAGTCAATATCCTTAGATTCCACTTTCTTCGCCAGAACATAAAGTAGAGATGATGACAGCAGCAGTAACGTTACCAATGCGAGGATCCAGAGGAATGCTTCCCAAGAACCTGACATTCGTATCCTCTGCCATCTTCTTGGCGCCTCCTGTGGTCGGTGCAAAGATCACGCTCTCACCATGACAACTAGGACAGACGAACCCGGCCATGTTCTCGACTACACCAATGATCGGGATCTTGACCTTTCGACAGAAATCAATCTCCTTCCTCACATCTTGCAAGGCTACTTCCTGTGGGGTCGTGATCAGGATCGCGCCCGTGATTCCGGTCTCCTTCAGGTACTGAACCACCGACAGATGCTCGTCTGATGTGCCCGGTGGTGTATCGACCACCAAGTAATCCAAATCGCCCCAATCCACATCCTTCAGGAATTGTTTGATCAGACCATTTTTCTTCGGTCCACGCCAGATGATCGCATCGTCCGCATCCTGCAAAATGAATCCAATCGACATGACTCCCAGGTTATCGGTCACATACACGGGTGACCACCCAGAATTGGAAGAATGGATTTGCTCACCGTCCAAACCAAACATCTTGGGGATTGACGGTCCACAAATATCAATGTCCATCACACCGACTTGAGTTTCTTCATCATGGGAGAGCGCAAACGAAAGCTGGGTCGTGAAAGAGGATTTGCCTACGCCGCCTTTTCCGGACAAGACGAGGATCTTGTGCTTGACGGTCCCCATACGGTCGTTAATCAATGGCAAATCTAATAGTAAATTTGGATTGCACAGTCTATGAGTCAGCTAAAATCGTATGAGAAAGAGACTTAATATCCAGAGGTAAGCAAGGCCAGGGGAAAGAGACCAACCTGGATCGGGTCCTTTGGGCGCTGTAGCACAGGCGTTCTGGTTCGGGCAGCCATCACATGCGCTCGCCTTGCCAGCCTGCTCGCTCTCAGTACCCTATGTGCAATAAAAAGGAAAAGATGAGGAGTCAGCAAGAGAAGACTTCATTAAAACACAAAGGGGCTTCTCATTCCACACACCGACATACTGGGCAGTGCTCAGGTGCATTTTCGGGTGCTGCTGTGGATGGTGACATGGTGTGTATAGAAAGGACAGTGGAGCTGGCTGGTTGAATGGTGTTCAAAAAGAGATGCATTTGTCATCCTAGGGGATGAACATTACCCTTAAGAGGGCCGACACTTCAGTCTACTGGATTTATTTAACCTTATCAGATGTGCACCAAAGTTTTGCTTTGTTCTCACAAGGTCTTTATTTGACTCCGGAGATCCATCAAGACCAGGACAGAACAGAAAAAAAGGTAAAAAAAAAAGAAAAAAAAGCTGGTGCGAGTAAAAAACCTCTACCTGACTGGAAGAGGAAAAAAAAAGAAAAAAAGAGAGAGGGAATGCCAATGTGTTTTCTATCTACAGGCGATAAACGAAAGGAACAGAGCGAAAGAAACAACGATACAAGTACATGTAACGACATGAAATTGAACAGCATCGACTGTGAGTGGATGTGAATGCAGGGCAGAAAGAGAATTATAAAGTACATTGAGCGCCCGCGGGCGGGTTGGTGTGCGTATACAAGTGTTGGAGAGAGATAAAACGAAAGGGTTGTTATAAACAGGAAACCATTCGAAAGGCGGACGTATAATCACAAGGTCCGAGAGAGATGATATATCGGCAGAAGCAGAGTACGATATGCGCATGTGCTAGAGGACAATCGATGTTGGTCTCAGTCGCTGTCGCTTCCCGAATCAGTCTCGGATCCAGAGGAGCTGGAGCTTCCACTCGAACTGGAGGAATACCCATCATTCGCAGGGAGATGAGGGCCTGGTAGCCAAAAGAGAAAAGATGCATGACGATCAGCAACAATGCTTCAGACGGTCTTTCCCGTGCAACAAAGAATGAAGCCATCAGTACAATTCGGTACATACCCTTCTGATGTGCGGCAGGCTGTTCAAACTTTTGGAGGGTCCGCTCCAGTTCTGTGATCTTCTTAGTGGCATCTTCTTCCGAGTACTGGACCTTGACCTTCTTCGGCGCAGGCTTCTTGCGCTTCACAGTCGTATTCTTCTTCACATATTGATACAACTTGTACAACGTACGGGGATCCAATGAATCCATGTCGAGCTCAATCTCCTCTTGACCACCATTCTAGAGTCGTAGAACGTGAGGAAAGTTCGGTTAATACAAGGTCCATATCATTCGCACCATACAGAGTTGCTCGTTCTCCAGTAATATTGCAGTAACTTACGTCGCGAAGATGGGGCATGCTGTTGTGAATGATCTGCACAACGTTCGCCAGCTTGTCGCCCTCAAACTTATTGATACTGTCGCTGAGTTCCTTCTTTTGCTCAAAGGTGATGGTCGGAACGTCTTCCTCGCTACTGCTCTCGCTTTCACTGGTATAGACAGGTCTGGAACGCTTGATTGGCACCTTCTTCCTCTCGGGGGCTGAAGCCTTGACAGGAGCAGGCTTGGCTGGAGTTTTGGCTGGAGTCTTAGAAGCTGTCTTGGACTTGGCGGGCTTCTCCTGCGAGGATGCCTTTGCTGACTTCTTCTCTGCCTTTTCCTTCTTCTTGGCCGCCTTCATCTGCTTCAGCTTTTCAGACAACGTCTTCAAATGTCTCTCCATCTCGGCGATTTTTTCGTCTATAATGTAGAGCAAGGAAAATGAAAAACAATAAGCATTCGTCACTTGAACGAGGCAATGGCATAACTCAGAGCTGAAAAAGTGCTATAAAGCGATGCAAGTACCAGACGAGTCAACGTCGTCCTCTTCGGACTCCACAGTGGGCTCCTCAACAACGGGCGGCGGGGTTGGGGGTGAAGGACGCTCGGCCCACTTTTCGTTGAACAACTTCTCCATCCTGCGACCCATTGTGTGAACGAGGGATCCTGCAGGATTGAACTTGAAACAATTCCAAAGTACCAAACGAACATCGGCCTCGAACATCGCCGCATTGTCGTATTCGTCTTCCTCCAGCTTTTTGCGGACGGTTGAAATGTCCATAGGATTCTTAATAACCTTGGGGTAGTCCGGGATATTAAGTGCCACCCAATCCACTGGTTCCATGAAAGGGTACATGAACTCTGCGTTCGCCTTCTTTGAGAACTCGCGCAAGATCGATCCGCAGTATCGCAGCTGAGGGTCCGACTTCCACTTTCCTGTTCCCTTCTTTTTCACAGCAATTGCTGAGGGTATCTCCTTTGATGGCGCATGAATGTCTCGTTTGGGTCGTCGTTCTTCTGAAGCAGCTCTGGACTGAGACAGATCCATGGGAGGGTACTCTGAGACTGGAGTAGAGAGAGGTGTGACAGCCTTGATTTCCTCCTTCTTGACAGGGTCCTTCTTGGGCTTTGAAGCAGCTGGGGTCTTTTTGGCAGTGTCTTTTGGGATCGGCGCATCTGCAATCTTCGCATTCTAAGTGATAGCATGGTAAGCTATATTAATACAGATAGAATATCGACTAAAGAACATTTGGCAATAACGCTCAGTAATGACAACCTACGTCTTTGGGCATATGGCGCAACGAGCTGTGGAAAGAAGCCTCAAGGTTCGATGCGCAGATGGAGACGAGAGATTCCCGGCCATTGTAAAGGTAGCAATTGGAAAAAATGAGGTTGACGTCCTTCACAAAGTCGTCCACGGTATCATATTCGAGTCCATTCAGCTTCCGTTCGACTGTCGAAAGGTCCATTGGATTCTTCACTACAACCGGGTAATCGGGAATCTTTAAAAGAACTGGGTCAACTGGATTCAAGAAAGCCGGGGCGTCGCGATGTCTCTTGAGCTGCTTGATGATGGCGCCGCAGTACTTGAGCTGCTCGCGAGTCATTGCAGGCTTGCGGATTCCATTCAAGATTGGGTTCACTGACGCCAGCGCCGCATTCGAAGAGTTGATAGGTGTGATTGAAGGCACCGCGATAAGTGTGGGTGGGTTCAATGCTGGCTATAGAACAGCGTTTAGCATGCAAACAAGGGCAACAAAAAAAGGTTAAAATGCAGCCTCCTTTTGTTTCTTTTGCCTTGTTGCCCCCCCCTCTCTCTCTCTCTCTCTCTCTCTCTCTCTCTCTCTCTCTCTCTCTCTCTCTCTCTTCTGTTGTCCTCACTGTAGCCGGACTAGAGTCCATTTTGATCCACATTGTTGTAAAGCGCTGTAAGCGTCGTCCAAAGGTTGGTATTGTAACTCCATTTTGCATCTTCAACACGACCTTAAACACATGACAAACAGCGCAGTGCACATGAATCGACTTTATTCACCCACAACATTGTCAACATTGGTCTGCATTCACGAAAGCAAACAGAACTGACCTTTGAAACATCAATGCTATCAGGGTTCCGGAGCTCGGCGATCGGCGCAGCTGCTTCGGAAGCAGGCGCAGAAGCTGGCGGTCCCGACAAAACATTGGTCGCAGGCACGTTTGGTAAGGATTTCAGGACACTCATATCGCTATCTATCGTCTGGTCTGAGCTGCTATGGCCGGTCGGTGCAGGAAAATCTGGTCGTCCGTGGTCAAGAGAAGGCACGATGGGATGTTGCTCAGAGGAAAGAACGGTCGATGCGGCAGTGGTGTTGGACATAGGGACATGGTCATCTTCCTCTGCTTTCAATCTCTTTAATGATGTCTCTTCAGGGACATGAGCAGGCAAGTCGTGTGGAAGAGAGGCGTCACTGAGAGCAAAGACAAAGAAAAGAAAAAAGGAGAAAAGGAGAGACAGTGACATAACGTTAATACTCCAGACTCTCTGGAATACACAATAAAGTCAGAAATGATGGCAAAAGGGAGAATGGGCAAAGTAGGGGAACGGAAACAAAGAGAGTTGACGTGGAACGGCTCATTACCCGTTGGGCTCGCTGTTCAGGTTCGCCAGGTCATCAAGTGGTCGCTTCTTGACCTCATCGCCGTTGGACATCATGGTGAGTCTGTGTGTATGTGTAATTGCGCCCGAGTGGAAACCAAAGAGAGACCGAGACAAGAAGAAAAGAAATGTCGAGTCGCGTTCCAGATGCAATTGTCGAACGATTGTTGTTTGCTGTTAAAGGTTAAGTCAAGTCAACAACGAAGACAGGCGCAAGCAAGGGGATTCCCGGAAAGAAAAAGAAAAGAAGAGCAAGAAGCGATGTAGGAATCAGAAGAGTGCTTGTGAGTATGGTGAGGACGTGTATGTGAAAGAGAATAAAGGGGAAAAGAAAAGTAGCGTGAGAGTGAAAGTGCGGGAGAAGAGTGATTGAGGGAGAAGAAAAAAAGGAAAAGAGGAAAAGAGGGAAAAGTGGCCCTACTTGTTATATATTAAAAAAATGTGACGTGTCTCAATTTTCTCGAACTGAATAGGGCACTGGCCGGTGGGGAGATCCAAGGAGTAGAACAGAGGGTGGGTGCCCTTGAAAAAAAAAATGAGCCGTAGATCGACAGGAAAGAAGGACGCCTTTCAGTCAAAGAATGCGCAGGGAACCCTCGATGAGGGGAAAGGGGTGAGGGCAATAAAGGCTTCAGTACATCTACAATAGAGAATGAAAAGTACCTGGTCGTTGTATATCGATGGATGGTTCTTTCACTGGTGGATGCCTGGATGCCTCGCTCGACCCCGGATCGCTTCTCGCGCCCTCTAACCAAAAGAGGTCACGTGTGGCTTAGATAATATTTAAGTCTTACGACCCTTCTTCAAGAGCTCCTCCAGTTCCATTTCATTCCATCCATCTCTTGTATCTTGCCATCCCCTTACGCCCCAAACCTCCACATCCACACTTCCTTAAAACATCATGGCTACCTATTTGGCCTCAATTTATGGCACAGAAAAGGACAAGTACGTTTTTACCTGGGACTGAATTGATGTTTCTGAACAATACCACTCACTTGCTTGTTCTTGTTTCCTAGTTTCTAATATCTTCTGTCTCTTCTTTTTTCTTCCAGGGTCAACTGTTCCTTCTACTTCAAGATTGGTGCCTGCAGACACGGCGATCGTTGTTCCAGGAAACATGTCAAGCCTAACTTTTCTCAGACAATCCTCGTCCCCAATGTTTATCACAACCCTTCACACGACGCCAATTGCAACATGACTAAGCAGGAGATCCAGGAGGACTTTGACAACATCTACGAGGACTTCTTTGTTGAGCTGGCGAAATATGGCGAGATTGAAGAGATGCATGTTTGCGACAATATTGGCGATCATCTGGTCGGAAATATCTACGCCAGATTCAAGTATGAGGAGGATGCAGGAAACGCTGTCGAGAGTCTGAACAACCGCTTCTACGCAGGACGACCACTTTGGGCAGAACTCTCACCAGTGACAGACTTTCGTGAAGGTACGTATCCTTCTGGAACTCTATCGAAGCTGTTGGAATGTCTTGATGACTAATCAAAACATAGATGGACACTAACGTTGTTTTGTTTCTTTATTCTCAAATAATGCATATGATCATGGATCAGCCTGCTGTCGCCAATATGAAAACTCGGAATGCACTCGCGGAGGACTATGTAACTTTATGCATCTCAAGTCTGCAGATAGGAACCTGAAGCGGGAGCTTCTTGCGTCTCAAAGAAACTATCTACGCGAAAAGCGAAAGGAAGAGCGGGATCGACACAGAGATCACAGCCGCAGCTCCACCGTCCCCGAGGATGCAGAAATGCCTCCTGCACGGGAATCGAGTCACCACGCCTAATCTCACCAGTGTATATAATACGTCTCGGCAGAACGCAGTGTAGCATACGACCTCATCATCAACTAATAAAGGACTGAATTTGGAAGTGCGATTCAGATATGGGGTTTACGTTTGCATTGGATTGAGTTCACGTCTGTGCACGATATTCAGATTTATTATCATAAATAATGGCTATTCGGACACCATGCCGTGTGTGTTCCGAAGACGCTCAATCTCTCGGCATTCTTCGACAAGATCTCTGTTTGGTTTCCAAGTTCTGACTGTAGCATCGTCCGAGCAACCACTCAACTAATTCATTGATACAAAACGATAGTGCAAATCATAGATTAGCACTCCAATATTCATGTAATACAATAATACAATAAGCGAAATAAGCACTGTAAATGTGGATATCAAACGCTACCTGTGTGCCATTGCCGAGGTCCTTGGCCCAATCCACACCAGTTACTTCCCTCTCATGGCCATGGAAAACAAGCGGCTTCTCGCGTGGCCGGTTGACCTCCCACATAAAGAGATCTTTGCAAGATCCGGCAGCAACATAGTTGCCATCGGGTGAGACACTGATTTTGATGTAATAACTCGAACACGCAAAGTTGCTGTCTCCGAATGACTCGACTGGTCTGCCAAGTGCAGTTGCATTAAACATATAAATATGATTGTCAGAGCTAACAGCATACAAGGCGCTGCCGTCAGGTGAGAGTGCCATTGACGTCATTCCATGAGCACGCTTGGTTGTCGGCATGTAGGTGGATGTTTCCAGCGGTGTTGGGAAGCAATGCTTAAAGTAGGTACCATGTTTCCTGACGTCCCAATACTTCACAGAGCTATTCAACAGTGAAATTTTTTGAGTTGAATACCCAAAGAAAAGAGTAGCAGCAAAAATAATGGATCGAGAGCACTTACCCATCCAATGCCCCTGTCGATGCAATAATATTCTCGTTGTGCCTCATGTACTGCACCGCAGACGCAGAGTTGGGGCCATCGGAGTCACGCTTTGTTTTCTTTGATGGGGCAGCCCTCGTCGTGCTTGCATGAGCGTTGAGCAGCCTGTTCGCTGGTCTGTAGACCGTTTCTCCCTGAGTCGATGTTGTGCTGGAACATCGCACGTCCCAGATCATAACGGCGCCGTCTCTTGCGGCAGTTGCAAAAATATCTATTCAATAACAGAAAAACACAGGTTAAAATTTCATTGCCACGCAAATGAGGGTCGACTACACTTGCAATGATCAAAGAAGAACGTACTGTCATCGCCGTGTTTCATTGAGACGCTCTTGATGCTTCCATGATGACCCTGGAAAGTGCTCAGACATGTCTTTCTCTCCACGTCATGTAACCTGGCTGTCTGGTCCCCCGAGACTGAAATCTAGAAGAGCGGTATGAAGTTGATTAGATACAGGAAATATGAGATGTAGGCATGGCACTTCTGTCAAAATCCGTACTATCTTTGTGTCATCGCTTGTCCATCGTAGATCGAAAATGGCGTTCTGATGAGCCTGAATTTGCACTGTATGCTCTATATCCGCAAGAAAACCATATGGTGTTAATTAGATTATTCTTTGCTTCCAGTCTATCGTAAAAAATATGAAGAAATCGGTGCGATTGCTTACCTGGATGCGCGCCGTCTCTTTTGGTATCGACAATATGTATTGTGCCATCCTCATCTCCAATTGCAAGATTTCGAGCATCATTCACAACTATCAGAAGGAGATTCCAAGGAAATCAGTAATAGTTGCAAGAAACATGGAGCATAGCCATACTTTTTAAAATGAGTCCAGCATTTCGCCCTCACCGTTGTTGTAAGAACACGAAAATGGCGGCACAAGGGTTGCTCCGTCCTGAGAGATGAATGTGTACACATCGTTCGGCCGACTGATATACTCCAGCATGCAGAATCGTGTCGACACTGCCAGTTAAGACAAGCAGAATATCGTCAGTAGCGTGCTTCGATAACCGTCGATAATCAGTCAATTGATCCTGAATGTCCGATTGGCCTACCATAGAATGGTCTGTTTCTCACTCTTCCAAAAGTCTGCCATCGGGAGAGCGTGGAAATGAGGTTGAGTGGCTGCGTTGAGTTGTATGAAAGAGGGAATATCGACTTTGTTGGGATAACGGCTGAAGATGCTGTTGTGCCTTCTGAAGCTATTGCTGCAGTAGTTGTTGATGCTGTCAAACGCACTGTCGCTTTTGTGGTTGCTGTAATAGGAATGAGAGCGGAAGTAGGTGGTTGGCTCTCACTGTCGTCGGTGGTGAGTTTCAGAGATCTCTTTCGGCCAATAGAACTAGCCTGGGCTGCGGCAAAGATCTCCAGGAGGCCCTTTGCTGGGTTGTTTTCCTCTCCTGCATTAACAGAGCATCCGAGTTGGGCCGTAAGTGGTGCGGATGCGTTGTTGGACCGTCGTCCTGTCAGCGGACGATGGGTGATGTCGGCAAGCGGCGCCTTTTTTGATGTATTTGACGGCATCTGGTATCCTGATATGAATGAAGCGGAGAAAGGGGCACGGGAGAGAAAGAGAAGGGGGCACAATACGAAAGATGATTGCTATGCCGAAGACCAAGGACCGAGGACGCGCTCGTCGTTCAAACATAAACATGCAGTGTAACATGCGTGACTGCGCGCTATCTTGTATAGACAGCTCGCAGCGCGTTTGAGCGCATTTTTTTTTCTCAAAAGGAAAGAGACCTCAGGATGTTTGCACAACTGCCGCTCTTTCAAAGGAGATTGCGTGGTTCTCATTAGTTTTTATCAGTATGCCTTCAAGGATCTCTGCCAATACTACCAGGAAGGGATGCGATATGTAAGCTGCTATGCTGGCAAAAGACTGCTGTGCACCAGAGTTTCATTTCATTACCAGGTCCCTTGCTTCAGAAATCATTGTCACCAGGATCTCCACAGAAACCATCCTCTCCTCCGCCGCCGCCGTCATTCTGATTGAAAATCCTCCTCCTCCATTATCATACCCATGATCATACTCCGCATATCTCGGCCCATTATCATGATGTCCGCCAATCGCGCTTCCAAGCAACGTCTCTGCCAACATTCCTATCATCCCTCCCTTAGCCATACTACCCATTCCTCCTCCTGCGCCTCCAAACCGTCCTCTATAAGTGTTGCCGTAAGGATTCGAGCTCCGATAGTAAATGTTGCTACTGCAGTGGCAACTATTCAACGAGCTGCTGCCAATGAATAGCACTCCTAGTGATGGATCCGTCCTTATGGCATTGGCGGGATTGGATACTAGAGTGAGAGGGGTTATCATGAAAATGGTGCTCGTCAAGATTATGATGCTGGTACAGTTGCTGCGCTTCCTACCTACGCGATGGATATAAGGATATAGATGTTAAATGTCGGCCCCGAGCGCGGTGAGCGTTGAGGCTTTGGTTTATCAGCAGTAAAGAATGACAGTCGAGGGCCAGTCTCTGATAACGAGCAGTTTGCTAAATGACCGAGTTAACGAGGACGCAAACAAGTGCTGAAGGATTGAACTCGCAGATGTGATACAGTACTTTGCATTTTTTTGTTTTCGTGCCTTCACTCCATGATATACTTTGTCTTTCGAAGGGTCGTCCTAATGAAATACGAAGGCAACTGTCGAGGCTACAGAATGAAGCACCCATGATGGTAGCGCCTTTATTCTCTCGGAGAAACATATGCTTTCCTTAAGTTATATCATTGAAACCATTTTTCACTGCCACTCTTAATATCTTGTGTGACCACCTTTCGCCTACAATACAGCCTGATTTCGGCTCGACATCGACTCGTAGAGCTTCCTGATGAAGTCTTCAGGAACCTTTTCCCATCCTCGAGAACTGCTTGCCATAACTCGTGGATACTGGTAGGTCGTCTTTCTCGCAGGCCGATACGGGCTTTGGTGTATCTCCACACATGCTCTATGGAATTTAAATCAGCAGATCGTGCAGGCCATGGCAGCGTCGGTATCCCTGTTCATCCAAATAGCGCCTTGTCGTAAGAGCATTGTGTTTAGAGTCATTATCCTACTGGAAAATAAAATCCTCAGCTTGAAGCCCGCAAGTGAACAAAGTGAATGAACAAGACGAATGTGTGATAATTGTTTATTGGCTAGACTGTTGTGAGTATATGAACTGGGGTTCAACTACATAGTCTATCCTTCCATATATACACCAGACGAATAAAGGTCCCAATTAGTAATCCATGGTTCTAGACGTTTCGGTGCTGCCTTTGCCCATCTTTATATCATGGAGCTTTCCGTGATGAGGGCGACGTTGATCCATTCTTAGATGCGTCTAGCGTCACATGACAATACCAATCAGAGCTAAACTCTGACAGTCTCTGTCCCTCGAGCATGCGGCTTTAGAACATTCGTCCCAATGTCTAATGCATTTGCCTGCAATGGTCAAGTCCAGAGGCAGGTATCAAGTGGGCAGAACAGCCGCCGAGTGGCCAAACCCCCAGGTACACAGTACCAACGACCTCGAATCGGTACAAGGGTTTCGCCGCTTGACAGCATCAAAACAGAGCCATGCCCAAGGCCCTGTTCCATTACCTAGTGCTGGCAATCTTTGATTTAGCAAACGCAAAAACGTCCCCAGAGTTACATTTCAACACTTCAAGCACTTCCAGTATTTTGCCACGCATTACTTACTTTGTTTCTTGAAGAAGTGTATCCAATGATGCTTGCCTCTGACCCAAGAGCATCCGGCTTTAGAACATTCGTCCCAATGTCTAATGCATTTGCCTGCAATGGTCAAGTCCAGAGGCAGGTATCAAGTGGGCAGAACAGCCGCCGAGTGGCCAAACCCCCAGGTACACAGTACCAACGACCTCGAATCGGTACAAGGGTTTCGCCGCTTGACAGCATCAAAACAGAGCCATGCCCAAGGCCCTGTTCCATTACCTAGTGCTGGCAATCTTTGATTTAGCAAACGCAAAAACGTCCCCAGAGTTACATTTCAACACTTCAAGCACTTCCAGTATTTTGCCACGCATTACTTACTTTGTTTCTTGAAGAAGTGTATCCAATGATGCTTGCCTCTGACCCAAGAGCATCCGGCTTTAGAACATTCGTCCCAATGTCTAATGCATTTGCCTGCAATGGTCAAGTCCAGAGGCAGGTATCAAGTGGGCAGAACAGCCGCCGAGTGGCCAAACCCCCAGGTACACAGTACCAACGACCTCGAATCGGTACAAGGGTTTCGCCGCTTGACAGCATCAAAACAGAGCCATGCCCAAGGCCCTGTTCCATTACCTAGTGCTGGCAATCTTTGATTTAGCAAACGCAAAAACGTCCCCAGAGTTACATTTCAACACTTCAAGCACTTCCAGTATTTTGCCACGCATTACTTACTTTGTTTCTTGAAGAAGTGTATCCAATGATGCTTGCCTCTGACCCAAGAGCATCCGGCTTTAGAACATTCGTCCCAATGTCTAATGCATTTGCCTGCAATGGTCAAGTCCAGAGGCAGGTATCAAGTGGGCAGAACAGCCGCCGAGTGGCCAAACCCCCAGGTACACAGTACCAACGACCTCGAATCGGTACAAGGGTTTCGCCGCTTGACAGCATCAAAACAGAGCCATGCCCAAGGCCCTGTTCCATTACCTAGTGCTGGCAATCTTTGATTTAGCAAACGCAAAAACGTCCCCAGAGTTACATTTCAACACTTCAAGCACTTCCAGTATTTTGCCACGCATTACTTACTTTGTTTCTTGAAGAAGTGTATCCAATGATGCTTGCCTCTGACCCAAGAGCATCCGGCTTTAGAACATTCGTCCCAATGTCTAATGCATTTGCCTGCAATGGTCAAGTCCAGAGGCAGGTATCAAGTGGGCAGAACAGCCGCCGAGTGGCCAAACCCCCAGGTACACAGTACCAACGACCTCGAATCGGTACAAGGGTTTCGCCGCTTGACAGCATCAAAACAGAGCCATGCCCAAGGCCCTGTTCCATTACCTAGTGCTGGCAATCTTTGATTTAGCAAACGCAAAAACGTCCCCAGAGTTACATTTCAACACTTCAAGCACTTCCAGTATTTTGCCACGCATTACTTACTTTGTTTCTTGAAGAAGTGTATCCAATGATGCTTGCCTCTGACCCAAGAGCATCCGGCTTTAGAACATTCGTCCCAATGTCTAATGCATTTGCCTGCAATGGTCAAGTCCAGAGGCAGGTATCAAGTGGGCAGAACAGCCGCCGAGTGGCCAAACCCCCAGGTACACAGTACCAACGACCTCGAATCGGTACAAGGGTTTCGCCGCTTGACAGCATCAAAACAGAGCCATGCCCAAGGCCCTGTTCCATTACCTAGTGCTGGCAATCTTTGATTTAGCAAACGCAAAAACGTCCCCAGAGTTACATTTCAACACTTCAAGCACTTCCAGTATTTTGCCACGCATTACTTACTTTGTTTCTTGAAGAAGTGTATCCAATGATGCTTGCCTCTGACCCAAGAGCATCCGGCTTTAGAACATTCGTCCCAATGTCTAATGCATTTGCCTGCAATGGTCAAGTCCAGAGGCAGGTATCAAGTGGGCAGAACAGCCGCCGAGTGGCCAAACCCCCAGGTACACAGTACCAACGACCTCGAATCGGTACAAGGGTTTCGCCGCTTGACAGCATCAAAACAGAGCCATGCCCAAGGCCCTGTTCCATTACCTAGTGCTGGCAATCTTTGATTTAGCAAACGCAAAAACGTCCCCAGAGTTACATTTCAACACTTCAAGCACTTCCAGTATTTTGCCACGCATTACTTACTTTGTTTCTTGAAGAAGTGTATCCAATGATGCTTGCCTCTGACCCAAGAGCATCCGGCTTTAGAACATTCGTCCCAATGTCTAATGCATTTGCCTGCAATGGTCAAGTCCAGAGGCAGGTATCAAGTGGGCAGAACAGCCGCCGAGTGGCCAAACCCCCAGGTACACAGTACCAACGACCTCGAATCGGTACAAGGGTTTCGCCGCTTGACAGCATCAAAACAGAGCCATGCCCAAGGCCCTGTTCCATTACCTAGTGCTGGCAATCTTTGATTTAGCAAACGCAAAAACGTCCCCAGAGTTACATTTCAACACTTCAAGCACTTCCAGTATTTTGCCACGCATTACTTACTTTGTTTCTTGAAGAAGTGTATCCAATGATGCTTGCCTCTGACCCAAGAGCATCCGGCTTTAGAACATTCGTCCCAATGTCTAATGCATTTGCCTGCAATGGTCAAGTCCGGAGGCAGGCACCAAGGGAGGTTTGCTCGTCTGATGAAAGGCATGGCTGCGGGGATTCACAGTTAACTTCCATTTGAGGCCATCGGTATCGAGATGAGAGAAGGGATAAGGGTGATGAGTGGAAAGAGACGCGTGATGAAGGGTGATGAAGGAGAGCGAAGGATGAGTGTGAAGGCGCGTGCCGGTTTGGTGGCGTTTATTCACATGATTTTTTCTGTGGTACATAACCTCACTGTGAGAACACGCTCTGTTCCTTCAGCCAGCCACTTTTCTGTTCTCTCTCCATCTCGCGACATGTCTTGGTACGCACCGAAATCCCGCCATTCATACTTTGCCTCAACAACATACACCTCTTGGGACCTCCAAGCCTTCTGCCGAGTATTATTTGATGGAGAGGGCGAAGTGCACACGGTCAAAACGGTACTGCTGCTCTGGAAATCAGAGCTTGTCTCTATTCAGAATAACAAGTACACTCCATCAAAAGTCCAGCAAGTGATCCCCGCGCTGCTGGAGTCCAAACCGAACAATCACGTCAATGTGTTGTTCGAGGTTACGAATACGTTGGCGACGGATAAGTTGAGCGTTGACCATGCAGAGGTAAGTGGTGTAGAGCATTTCCCCAAGGCGATATCACTTGTGTTTATATTGATTTTTTTTCCATTTGTTTATACTCAAATAGAGCTCTAGCAGCATGTTGAGGCGGGTCAGGCAGCTACAAGAGGAACAGGAACAGGAGAATATGCAACCAACAGAAACAGCAAAGAGAAAGAAGCCTCGTTTGTTGTCATGGAAAGATTGCTGTGTTGAAGCGTGGCCGAATTCGGATCTTTCGGTGTTCAACTTGGTGTCAAGGCGGTTCATGAAACAGCGGCAGCTTGACGAAGCATCGGCGAAGGTACTCAAGGACTCGGTCAAGTGCAAGAGGATATCGATAGCAGCACCGGGAAATATGGTGGACCTCATCCATAACTTCAAGCAGCAAACCACGGTAGCCGGACTTCGTGAAGTGCTAAAGGAATATTATGAATTGATGGCATTGAAGTCTCTTGAAGACACCACGTCCGCACAGACATCGTACATATGGAATAACCTTCAGAACATGTAAGTAACACGATTCCTTCTTTTGGCAGGGCTGGAGTGGATATAGTAAAGACCTAACCGCTTGTCCTTCTCTTCTAGGTCCGACGAATGGGTCATGTCATCGTTCGAAGTGAAGCAGCTGGAAGGCTTTTATACGGCATTCCTGCATGGCCCTTTGGTCCGCATCTTTCGGCATGTGCCAAAATGTACCATCAAGATGACGGATCCATTAACGCGCTGTGCGAATCTGATCGGTGAGGCCCTCAAGCCGGATATTACCTTGGTCCACAAGGACTTCTATCTCGAGTTCTTGATTGTCGAATCCAAGCCGAACGGCGGTCGGACAGGAAAGAAGAAGGATGTTGCCAAGATTGAGAAGATTATGTCCGGGAACATGAAAATGGCGGATGATCTTCTCCAGCAGCCTCACCTCAAGAAGCAAATACGGGCGTGGGCTATCGTGTTGTCAGGTAAGATGCTAAAAAAAAGTATAGCGAGGAAAGACGAGACTGGGACCAATTGCGCGCTCTCTTTTTCAAAAACTATAGGACGCGAGGTGCAGCTACTGGAGGCTTCATTTGTGGAGGATACTGTAATTATCTACAATATCGGCCACTTCAACATCCCACTCACAGAGACGCATATCAAGAAGTTTGTGTCCGTGTTACTCGCAATGATCCAGCTACAGGAGAGGATTCATCGCTATGTGGAATGGATTGCGGAGGAGGTTGCTGTCCACCCTGTTAGCCCTGCCAACACATCCGACTCTGAATTATTTATTTAGCACTAGCAGAACTGCTCGTGGCAAAAAATAAAATAAAACAGCTTTATTGCACGTTCAGCACATTTCTACAGACGATATTTCGGGTATAAACGCCTCCCTTCCATCTATGGCGCTATTTTCGACCAGAACCTTGAGGTTGTCTCAGTGTTTACAGCGCGAGAAGCCGACATACAGCTGTCCAGCACCAAAGACGTGCTGAGGAAGGTAAACACCAACGTAGTCAAGTCTTTGTCCTTGCGCCTTATTAATGGTCATGGCAAACGCAGGCTTGACAGGAAATGCCGTGACCTCAGGCTGGGCTAAGCAGAATGATCCTTCGATCAACACAGGGACAAGGGCACGATGGGGTTTGGATATGTTTACTATGTTTATTCGAGATGGATGCGGGGATAATGTCAAGTTACTAGATGAGGTTCTACTAGGGTACGTAGTGCCTCCTTTTATACCGGCGAAATAAACTAGACATCCACGATAATAATACCGGCAAAGTGGGACGAGGGGTGTCGGGGGTGTCTAACACGACATCCCTAACCTGTCGTGATCCCTCACTCGTAATGGCGCTATCCGTTCCGGCTCGGGTCTGTGAGTATAGGTGCGTGTGTGTCTGTATGAAGTATGGTGTGTGTATGAGTAGAAGTCAGGGTGGTTGTCAAGGACAGACAGGTAAGTGGTGAAAGATATGGAGGTAAGAGGTAGAAAAACTGGAATGGACAAGGTAGGTGTGACATTGCAGACTGGTTCCAGCGGACTTGGCCTTGCAGGGTCGTGAACTCAGATACGTATTCTTGCATGGTTCCTCGTTGCTTGAGGAAGCGGATCTTGTCTTCGGCTTCTTGGACACTCAACTTATCACCATACGCGGCGTCAACGGCACTCATGAAGTTGTCATGATTCTCCAGGACTTCTTCGTCGTCGCTGACCTCGCCATTGACTACGGGCGCAAAGTGCTCAAGGGAAAGTCCCCGACACGCAACTCAAGGCGAAGCTGACGCACTGGGCATCGGCTTCAAACGCTTCCGAAAAGCGCAGAAAGACACCCGAGAGTTTAGCCTTGAAAGCACGGATCGACAGGACCTTGGCATCGTCATTGAAAGCAGGGGTGAACGGATGCGGGATATGGATGCGGCGATGGGAATATGCAGTAACGGCGGAAGGGACAGGAGCGGAACGCGCAACCAGCTGTTGGAGAAAGCCTTCAAGCGCATTCATGGAGGTGGCATGCTGCTGCATGGCTTCTTGATTCTGGGCCTGGACCACGTTGACAGTGGTTATGGAGGGTTTATTCAAGACAATCGGTACAGGAAGCAAGAGATACAAATGATTGAACTAGATAAATACCTCGCGCTCGCCTCTCTACGAAGCAATGCTCACAACGGACGCATGATCTAGCTGGGGCCGCGACATGAAACTGGCGCCTAGTGAACTTGATTGGCGTAGATCCGTCCTCCAGGGCCGTAAGAGGTATGCGCGGAATAAGCACCGTGAAGTCACCGTTAAGAATCTCTGCACTGATGTACAGTGACAATAATATTTGAGTCAATGTTTTTCAATTTCTTCATTCTTCACCTGTAATATGGGCTGTAGGGCCTCTACAGTCTCCTAAAGCACAATAGGTACTCTCTAGGTAGTACCTGATAAGTGCCTGGCACCCCGAGCCGGCACCGTTCACAGTTGGATATTTATTCGGTATTTGCTGGTGGCTTTGCATTGACTCAATTCTTTCTGTACCTGCTGAAAAAAAAAAAAAAACTACCGGTTCTCCCCGGAAACTACTTCTTTCTCTCTCTTTTCTTTTCCTAGGCTCCTCCTCCGGTAACTGCAACAATTCAAGACGATGCGAAAGCTAAGCCAAAGCAAGGTCGATTCGATTCGCTCTAGTTTGCGCGACGGGATGTCCACGAGGGCAATTGCCCATAAGTTCGGCGTATCTCAGTCGTCCGTGAGCAGGCTAGCCAAGCAAATGGACCCAAACATGGTGCGACCAAGAGCAGGGCGACCAGGCCGAGTTTCGATGGCGACAAGACGACTGATGGTGCGTAATGTAACGAACGGGGAATTGGAAAATGCAGTTCAGGTGCAGCGGTACCTCGAGCAGGAACTGGACGTCCATATCTCTGTTTGTAGGGTGCGGCAGATCCTTCGAGAGGAAGATTTAACCGCTCAACACAAGATTAAGAGGCCAAAGTTGACATCTAACCAGATCAAGAAGCGCATGGAATTTGTGGCCCGATATGAGCATTGGACGGTGGAGGACTGGAAACGAGTTCTATGGACGGACGAGACAAAAATCAACCGTTATGGCTCCGATGGGACCAAGTGGGTCTGTCAGAGATTTGTATCTCTGTGATTGGACGGTGGTCACATGCACAAGACCAGAGGACTTCGGGCTCTTCTAGAAAAGCCTAGGAGTCCCGTTATCCTAGGTGGATACCCACCTACAGCCAGATCCATCCAGAACACTCTCTTTATTAGTAAGACCCAGCTTAGTAATACTCAAGCTGTAGACAACTATAAAAGGACGCGCCTAGTCTAGTTAGTTAGTCAGTCTTGTCTAGTCCTAGTCCCTGTCATACAGTATGGTGCAAAACTGATTCAATGATGCGATGATTTTTGCGTTGGCACTCGCCTACAAGGAACCAATGCCTCAGCCATCGTCATATTCACCACAAATGTAGCCCATCCAATGACGAACAGGGCTGCTTGCTTTGGAGCCAGAAGTATGCACACCCATTGCTGCATGACGATTGTGCCATCCGTCATCATTGAATCAGTTTTGCACCATACTGTACATACCATCCTCCATTGGCTGCTTCACCTCGAGAGGCAATTCCTATTCCTAAGACTCGCATGTGTATGATGAAGGAAGGAAGAACTCATGTTTTATTACAAAACAAAGATGATATTTATACTGCTGGGAATCATGTGCTTAACAATATGTATTTGGATGTCGTGGGCGGATCCTGTCAAGGTCAGACAGGCAAACGATGGGAGATATGGAGGTAAGTGAGGTAGAGTAACTGGGATGGACAAGGTAAATGGTTCTATAATAAAGCTACTGGGTATTTATACATATTTTACAAGGCATGGATTGTTAAGCAGAATAGCCAGAAAGGAGACAAGGACGGTTAATGGAGATGCAAGGTGGCGCCGGGCGAGAGGGTATGGCGTCTTTATCAAACGCGAAGGCGATGTGGCTGCGATCAAACATTAATCCGCCGTGAGACGCGACAGAGCAAAAGATCAAACGTAAACAAGATCTCTTTTGTTCTCTCACTTGCACCTTCACGATAAACTATGGCACGGTTCGTGATAGGAACGCGGCATTCTTTGGCAGACATCTCCCACTCGAGGGACTTGAGTAGTAGCCAGAAGGAACGGGGCCGTGGATCTCAGGGATAGGATGGAGTTCGACCATCCGACCCTTGCCTTTATCCACTTTCTGGCGCTTGCGCTTATCCAACTTCCAGGGCTTAATCTCCTCCTCTTCCGAGACGTCGGTGTTCTTGTGCTTTATTGTAGATGTGCGAACTGGACGATTCTTCTTCTCTTCGGAAATGCTAGCCCTCTGTCGCGTCCTTGGGGAAGTACAGACAGCAGGGCCCCTCTTCTCCTCCAGGACGTCAGTCTTGCGCCTGGTTCGAGATACACGAACAATCGGAAAGGCGATTTTCGACTGTTCATTCTCAATGATTGGACTTGATGGAGCACCGCTGGGTTCGTAAGGTGAAAACAAAAGAAAAGGAAGAATGAGATGAGCATATCTTAGACTAAGTATTCACTGTAGTTGTTACGATGCGAAATGAGCGAGCGACATGGTGACATGAAATACCTTTTCGGGTATACGTAGTAGTTCTGACGGTTTCGCGGCTTTTCTTGCACTTTTCGCGCTTGGGCATGTTGTAAGGATTTCAGAGTGGTATGGTGGTAAGCGGCGGTGATAGAGACAGACAGAGAGAGAGAGAGGATGAGAGAGGAAGACAGAGAAAAGAATATTTTTATTTTTATTTTTCTGGCTCTCGCAAGTTACTTACTTTCTTATCAGTTCATGTACAGTAGACTATTAAGAACCTTCAGGGAAAAGTACCCAAAAGACGCGTTAAAAGCAGCAGATCGGTCAACATGAGTACGGCGGCTGTGAGTGAGAAAGCCATGGAGGCGATTATGGCTCAGAAGCTTTTCATGTAGCCATAACCCTGTGAAGGTCGATAATTGAGACAGAATGGGATAATGGCACTGATGGACAACGCGTCTACGACCTGAGGTCGGGAAGAAGAGAATGAAAACGAATATTATCAGATCGTATCTGTATCTGTATCTGTATCTGTCGCTCTTTTGCTTTGGTGGCAAAGGCAAGTATCTTGAAGAGGCGCAGTGATGAGGCTAAAGGCGATGCTGTGCAAAATATGACGCTCCAAAAACGGGAGAGCACGCAGAGATCACGGCCAGTCCTCCATCTGACCCGGCGCCGGCACCTTGACCGGCTCACTCCAATGGTCTGTCTTCAGATCATATCAATCTGAGTACTCCAACAAAAAAATGAACAATGTCCCATATGCAAGGAAACATACACCGGACACCAAACCTGAGGGACAATCACGTCGGTAAGGACACTGTTACTTTTCACTCAACAGGTATCACAGAGTTGCATGCTATGAATAGCGCCCCCACCGTGAAGATGAATCCAATCACCAGCGGTAGGGCGCGATACTTTGGTTCTTCAGTTCGTCAGATTCCACAGGAACATCATTCTGCAATGCACCCATTGCCTCACGATGTTGTATCAACTGTTTCCTGAGACACCCTCGCCTGATATCTTGAAAGAAAAAAAATCTACCGAGTCTCTGCTCTTGCTTCGTAGAACTACCCAATGTATGGTTATTGGTGCTGTCGGCTTTTATTTTATTTTATTTTTGGGGTCAAGGCTGCAGAGGAAAATGAGACGACTTTTCCTTTTCTTGATTCGGAAATTCAGGGACACATGTCGCTGAAAGTTGTTTGTTCTACTTAAAGTTTGCTCGCTGGAAGTCAAGGATAGGAGATCAAGGTGCTCCACCTAGCGACGAATCACTATTGTCCTCAGCAAATGAAAGAAAAAATCGGCGTCTTCAACCATTGCAATTTCGACTGTTTGCAAATGTGGGGAGGGCACTAGACGCAAGCAGCACATAAGATGCTTCCGCGAGCATCCTCGATAATCATTTTGTCCGGTTTCTCGGACGCTTTTTGTCAAGAGGTAACAATCACTATACAACAATATCTGTAATTAGGTATATTTATTCGATGTGAAATACTCGCTGGTTGAAGAAAACTGTTCAGGCACTTTAAAGATCATAGATTGCAGTGTACTTGTTTGTCAAGTACTCAACATAAAGATTGCTGTCCAAGGATCTGCCCGTCAAGTCCTTGATTAAATCATCTCCTGACTCTCTCAACGAACCCTGTTTGTGAATGTTTTCGTTCAACCACTTCTTTAACACATGGAATTCGCCCTTGACCAGATGCTCATCCAAGCCGGGGATCGCCTCCTTGGCAGCCTTGAAGATCTGGACCGCGTAGATCGATCCCAAGGTATAGGTGGGAAAGTAGCCGATCAGCCCGACAGCCCAGTGAGTGTCCTGCAAGCATCCCAAGCGATCTTCTGTGACATCTAAACCAAGGTACTCTTTCATCTTTGCATTCCAGATGCTGGGGATCTCCGCGACGGTAATGTCACCTTCGATCAGGGCCTTCTCGATCTCGTAGCGGAGGATAACATGCAAGGGGTAGGTAACCTCGTCGGCCTCAATGCGGATGAAGCCAGGCTTAACTTGGTTGAAGGCGTTGTAGAACTGCTCGGGCGTCACACTCTGGAGATTCTCGTGGGAGGGGTCCTGGAACTGCTCCTTGAGAAGAGCAAGAGCGTAGGTCCAGAAAGGCTTGCTCAAACCGACCATGCGCTCCCTAGAATAGATACATGTCATAGAGAAGAATGAAAGCAAGATAGATGATCGGTTTTAGCGAACTTGGTTCAACACTGGGCATTTGAATAAGACCGTGACATACCAGAGCAAAGACTGCGACTCGTGGACACCCAAGGACAAGGCCTGAGAAACAGGGAGGCCAGCATACTCCTGGTTACGGCCCTGCTCGTACAAAGAGTGGCCAGTTTCATGGATAGTGCCGGTAATACCCTCCTGAAGGTAATCGACCGTGTAACGAGTGGTCATGCGGACATCCAGAGGATCGGGACCGCCAGTGAAGGGGTGGGTCGAGACATCGAGACGACCAGCATCTGTGTCGAATCCGATCTCCTTGGCAATGCGGTGCGAGAACTCGGCCTGCTTCTTGACATCAAAATTGCCCTGGATAAAGCTGTCGTCGTGCTGGAAGTTCTTAGCCTTAATCTTAGCAATCAAGGGGACAAGATTCTGCTTCAGGTCCGCAAACAAGCCCTGCAGCTGCTCATCCTTGAAGCCAGACTCGTAGTCGTTGAGCAAGGCCTGGTAGTAGCCCTTGTAGCACTCGTCACCTTCCTTGAGGCCCAAGCTGGCGCGAGCCTTCTCGTTGATTTTGCGAGCCTCTTCACAGACACCGCCCTGAATCTTGTAGCCGACCTTCTGGCGCAAAATCTTGATGTGCTGCTCCAGAAAGGGTGCAAACTTGGCGTAGTTTGATTCCTTGCGAGCCTCGGCCCAGGCGTTGACAGCCTTAGAGTTGAGGGCGGCACCTTCCTGGACGAGTTCCTTGGGCAAGACGGTCTCCTCCCTATAGCTCTTGTTCATAAGACGGATGTTGGCGCGCTCATAGGGATTAAATTCTTTGGAGAGGTCGCGCTTCTGGATCTCCTCGAGAAGGGACCCCAGGATAGGCGAGGTTGCGGCCTCATGGCACAAACCAGCCACGACTCTCAACTATAGAGCATTGGAATTGAAAACCAACAGGTCAGTCAACGGGGCCAAGGCTCAATTGAGAATGAAGCGGGAGAGATAGGTATCGGATGAAAATATGGTAGATGGTTTTTACCTGCTCAGCGCGAATGTCGGCAGCCTTGGGAGGCATCATGACTTCCTGGTCCCAGGAAAGGAGGCCTCCGACACCCTGTAGATAGCCGAGATCCTTGACACGGGTAGCGAGCTGATCATAGAGCGAGCGAGCGGACTCGGAGCTCAGTTCGGCGGAGGTCTTGGCGAGGACGGTCATGGTGGATCTTAACATGCACTATTGGGGGTGAGGTGGAATGGGAGAGAGATGAGTAATGGTGCTCCTGCTGTGGGAAGAAAGGGAGGAAGTGGGGGATGAGGGACGAAGAGAGAGACATACGGACGAGTATTTATAGTCGCTAGGGACTGAAAGACGTGAAGGAGTGGTATGGATGCGGGCGTGGAGAAGGAATACGGTTGCTGTCTACTGTGTATTGTGCCCTGAATTGGGTTTGCTTGTGCCTGACTTTCATAGAATTGCTCAGTGGGAACATGTTGCAGCCAATCAGATTTGAAGGTTCGTCTCAACAATCCATTCCCCCTAGAACTTCACCGGATATGGCAGGCATCTGTCGCTTTTCCCTACTTCTTGGCTTCTCTTGGATACGCCAAGACGCAGCATTCACTACTGTAACGGGCATCGCGACCGTGCATAATGCAGCCTACGCTGGACGTGCCAAGGGAGAGTGGACAATCTGCTGGCTGGCCTGCTTTTTACATTCCGACGAACAAAACGACCAGCAAAATAATAATACGTCCACTCAGGAGAGCAATTACGGTCCATGTAGCATAACTATGGCGAATACCTGCGGATGCAGTCTGCTGACCATGACTCTGCGCTCATGTGCCGGTTAGACCAAGGTACTCAAATTGTCGCGTTTAGAAGCCGCACCCCGGTACTCGCCTTAAACCACACTTCAAAGAGTATGGTAAAATACTTTGAGATATGAGTTCGCTCGTCCAGCTGTGCCATGTTTCAATTGGATAGGTCAAACAAGATTTTCAGGACCTCTTCAATTGAGCTCGTGACCGCCCTTGCAGACCATAACAAACAACTTTGAAGAAAAAAAAAAAGTTGCCCTCTGCTCAGCTCCACCTCCATCCGCAGCTCCCTATACCATCCAAAAGCAAACAGCTTCTCAACGCATCACAACGTACATTCGTACACGTTTACTCCTTCCACTCGACATATTAAAGACACTCAATAATATCACACCATGCCTGAAGGAGTATACGAGCCGAAGAAGAGCTCGAGCCGCAGGGGCGGCGCCAAGAAGGGTGCCCAGGCCCACAAGAACACCTACGCTTTCCACGCCAACAAGAGCTCCAAGATTACAAAGAAGATCGCCTCCATGCCTGTAGGCGGCCTCTGCGAGAAATGTGTTGAAGTTATTATGTGGCGCAAGAAGTTCAAGAAGTACAAGCCCTTGACCACCATGAAGAAGTGGTACGAAACCGTTCCTCTCTTGTTCTTTTGTTCAACTCAACGCTTCTGAGATCGTTCTTTTCATCGAGAATCAAGGGTTGGCCACTAGAATACTTCTAACATGTTTAAATGATGTTCTTTTTGTCAACTAGCGTCAATTGCGAGCAAAAGGCGATCAAGGACGCATATCATGTTATATGCGACAAGTGCGCGGGAGAAAAGAACGTCTGCGCAAAATGCCTAGAATCCCGAGAGATTGTTCCTACCAACATCAAGACAGAGAAGGAGATCGTCCAGGAACAAGTCGAACTCGAGAGACTGCTCAGTGGAATGACAGAGCGTGAACGCAGGAGTTACCTCCGACAGATGGAACGCAAGAACAAGAGAGGAGGTCAGGATGAGGATAAGGACGAGGGCGAAGACAATGACTCGGACGACGACAGCTCGGACGAGGAGGACGAGGAGGACGAGGAGGACGATTCAGAGGATGATAGCGAGGATGATGCGGATGAGGGAAGCGAGGACGAGAAGAAATAGAACACGGAATACATTGCCTCCCAACCATTGTCATCTTCAGCATTAGATATCCAGCAAGACTAGCATTACAATTGCAGTGTATTTTATTTCAAACATAATTTCATCCGCAGCTTGGCTCGACAATGCTGGCAAGGACATCTTGTGAATCGCCTCCGGAACTGAACGAGACCTGCGCATCCTCCATCAATGCTGCATAACTGCCTTCATCGTACTGCAGTTTCGAAACCTTCGGCTTCTCTGATTTGATCTTCAGCACCTTCTCCTTCGCACTCTTCGCAGATTTGGCGCTCCTGTGCGGAATAAACGTCGGGTTCTCGCCCATACGAAGCAACGGGTTCATCGCAAAGGCACCTCCCCGTCCGCCATGTCGATCTCCTCCACTGACACTCGTTGACTTTGTCAAATCAAACGCGCTCACCGGCTCTGGTACCGCATCATCCTCTTCCTCTTCCTGCGCATGGCTCCCTGTAGATGGCTCAACCACGACCCGACGGTTGACCACATCGATCGTCATCACCTTTGCACGCTGGTATCCACTCGCCGCAGCTGTCACCTTCTCCAGATTCTGCTTCGCCTTTACTGCCTCCTGTTGCCTCTCCTCCTCCGTTAACCACAAATTCGGACGATCTCCTGGAAGAACAAAATCCGTTGCCTGATCAATAACATGCGATCGACGTGCACTCGTCCGATCAAACTCCAACAATTTCTCTTTATGAGCCTGCGCCAACGACGCCTTCATGGCTTCCTCTAGCTCTTCTTCCTCCGTCATCCCTCTTGATTCATGGTTTAACCCGACCCATCCGCCTGCGGCGCCCGTGGCCGCGGACATGCCTCCTCCCAGCTTGCTGGCATATCCTGCAGTACTGACGGCCGTCGCCTTATTCTTTCGAGTCGCGGTCGCCATGGCCTTTTGTTTAGCGAGCACGGCCTTTTCCCGTTTAAGTTCAAGCACCATGGCCTGTTGTTGTTCGATCGAGACCACGGACTTGCCGCAGTAGGTGCAGGGGCCTGGCCCTTCGAGAGCGCAGATGATTTTGCCACAGCTCAGGCAATTGGGCGCAAATACGTTCAGCTTGTGCTTCGTCGCTATCGTACATTCCAATGTAAATATAGGTGTTCAATTGATAGAACCTTGGAGTGTGAGTTGCTTATGGACTCAGAAAGTGTGTAGAGAAAGAAAGAAAGCAGGCGCTTACCAAGACAATAGCATGGCTTGCGTTCCTTGGCAGCGTTGGCGGATTCGGTGGCCAGGTCGATAGCACGAATGGCCTTTTCGAGCTCCGAGAGGGGTTCTGCTGCGGCCTTCTTGGCCTGCTTGCGGGTACGGTTGTTGGACATGGAGATTAGAGGGTGTGAAACGTGCTAGTCTATGTGTGTATGTGTGTATGCGTGTATGTGTGAATAGGAAGAGAGCGAGAGAGTGGAGGGAGCGGGAGGGTGCGGGGCGTTGTAGAAAGCGATGCAGATGGGATTGGAGGAGTGAAGAAACGAGATTGAGAAACAGGGACCGAGATCTCTCTTCGTGCTCCACTTCCTCCAACGACCATCACCGCCCTTCTTCTGTCGCAGCTGGAAGTGGCTTTTGAGTTCAGGTCAATAGGCAAAAAAAATGGCGGGATAAGTGTCCTTCCCTCCCTCGGTGTGACTCTGCAAAACGATGCTTTTCTCTCGCTCGGTCTTTTCGTCTCCCGCCCTCTTCTCTTCCCTCTGCTCAACACCACCCGTCCACCGCCTTTGACTCTCAACCCTTTCATTCTTCGCTCGACACCGACGCTGACACGGCTACGACTAGGACCAGGACCACGACGGAAGGACTCGAACCGCTTTCGCAAACCCACACAGGAACACACATTCTCTTTTTTTTTTAAACTTAACTAACCAACAACAACAATGGCTGCGGCACGTATCCCAGTAAAGTCTCGTCCGACAAGGGCCAAAGCTGACCCGGAACCCCGGGTCCCCGTCATCAAGGACGGATCTCTCGAAGCCGTAGCCGAGTATATCAACGAGGGCAAAGGTATTCCCATTACTTCTTCGTTCTATCCTTTGTATGCCTGTACGTCTCACAGCAATGTAACCTTCCTCAATTGCTGAACAATTAACACCTTGTTTTCGGCCTTGTGTGTAGCCAAGAACATCATCGTAATGAGTGGCGCCGGTATCTCAACAGCGGCGGGTATCAAGGACTTTCGATCCCCTGGCACAGGACTCTACGATGACCTCGAAAGGTTTAACCTGCCCTATCCAGAAGCCGTCTTTGATATCTCATTCTTCAAGGTGAGTTTTTTTATTGCTATCATCATCAAACAAACAAACAAAAAAGACGCATAGAGATATTCACGCATGATGCAAAAGCACATGTATACTTTGGTCGGACAAAACAGGCCGAAAAAGAAAGTTGCTTGTAACATTGTTGCTACTGCATTATACGCAAATGCTTATGCATCTACCCGTTTTATTTCCCTCTTTTAGGACAACCCAAGTCCCTTTTTCAGATTAGCCAAGGAACTACTTCCTGGACGATATCGCGTACGTTTTCTCATCCTCTACTGAAACTAGATTCTTATTAACAGCAACCCTCCCGTAACTGACAAATTTCCTCCGCAAAAAAATCGCTATTGTACGAATAGCCAACCCTGACGCACTATCTGCTACCACTGCTCGCCAAGAAGGGTCTGTTACTCAGATCATACACACAAAATATCGACATGTTGGAACGGTTGACAGGATTAGACGAGGAGCTCTTAGTGGAGGCCCACGGATCCTTTGCAACTTCAAAGTGTATTCTGTGTGATGTCCACTCCGACTCTGCTTGGGTTCGAAGTAAGCATCAGTCGTCCACCTAATTTTGACATTCTCTCTTTTTGCCTGCTTTAACTGTGCATTTGTTTTTTTTTTTTTGTTTTTTAATAGAGCATATCTTAAAGAGCGAGATCCCGTACTGCAAGGGCTGCGGTGGACTGGTCAAGCCGACAATCACCTTCTTTGGCGAGATGCTTCCCACCCGATTCGGAAACCTCGCTGCCATGGTGCGTATATACCGATCAGAACCGGACCTCCCCCTCCCGTCTCGATCTGATCTATTTTTCACGTCAAAGGACACGGTCTAATAACGTCTTTTTTCATTTTCCTTCGACTTCCCACACCCCATTTTTTACCATACGCAGGACTTCAAAAAATGCGACCTATTGATTGTCTTGGGAACCTCTTTGCAAGTCGAACCCTTCAACCGTTTGATCACCAAGGTCTCGCCCAAATGCCCACGTCTGCTCATCAACCGCGAACGCGCCGGCGAGGATATGCATTCTGGATTCGATTTCGATGACAAGTGGAAGTACACCTATCAGCGCGACGCATTGTTTCTTGGAGCTTGTGATGAAGGCGTGCGTAAACTCGCCAAGCTCTGTGGATGGGAGGTAATATACAGATATGAATGGAAGTTGGAAAAGAGACTGCGAATGCTTTGATATTGTGCTCTAACGTTTGTCTTGCGTTTTTTTTTCTTGTTCTAGGGAGAGTTACAGGCAATGTTTGAGGCGGGCAACATTGAGATGCAACTGCAGGAGGAGATGGAGGCACTCGCGTTGGCCAAGGAACTCGAGGAAGAACTTATGCTCAACGGCAAACCTCCCATTATTGACTCTGACAAATCCAAACCCGAAGAGGACGCTCAGAAGAAGGATGCCAAGGATGAAAAGAACAAAAACCACAAGAAGAATGGCAAGGACAACGACAAGGACTTTGAAGCTGCAGCATTGGATGAGATCACGGAACGCCTGCAGTCCACAGATATATCCAAGGACGAAGCCAAGACAGCAACAACAACGACGATATCCAGTTTGATTGTAACAGAGACAGTTATCACAGTCGGTAAGGGCTCGCCAGAAGGGGACAGTGGTCAAGGTAACTAGGACGCTTTTTGGACCCGATAACGCCTTGTACTTTGTGTGTTTACTACTCAATCCTCACATTCCGCGCTCCTATTTTTCATCCTTTTACAGTCAAGACCAAGGATGATGGCAAATAACATTGGCTGAACAGAGTCTTGATGTAACAGGATTCCACAATTATACAATCCTAATGGGTTCTTCCCTCTCCCCTCGCACTTCACAGTGAATATAAGCACAGTAGATCACAATTCAATAAAGTTACATAATACTACATGGTTCTTGGTTTGCCAAAGAGTGATGAAAAAAAAAAACATGTCTTGCGTGTAAAGGAAGAGAGGAAGCACTGCCAATGTTGTATCAATAATACTCTGTCAAATTGTGCTCAGCACTCAAGACAAAAAGGGCTCTGAGAGAACGAAAAACCGTTCGAATCTGCATTAGGACACCAATAAAAAAAATAATAATAACAATAATAAACGGGGGGAAAGATGTCCGTACGCAAAAGGTGTCTTAATATCTTAACGCAAGTCGTCTTCACCATCGCTGCCTCCGATATCAATATCCTCGTCGCTGTCCATCTCTTCATCTGCAGCAGCTGCTGTAGTAGCTGCTACCTTGACCGACGACCCCTTCTTGCCGTTCTCAATCTCAAACCCCTCAGCAGCGGCTCCTGATGCCGGGCGATTATTAGCGGAGGACTGTGGTGCTGTCTTACCACCGCGTGTCGAGGGTCGCTGAGCAGTAGCAGTAGCAGCGAGTGCTGCCTTCTGTGTGGCCTCCTTCTGTTGCTGTTGTTGATTCTGCTGTAACTGCTGCTGGATCAATTGCTGTTGCTGTTGCTGCTGTTGCTGTTGCTGCTGTTGCTGCTGGAGAAGCTGTTGTTTCAAAAGCTGCTGCTGTTGCTGATGCTGATGCAATTGTTGTTGAAGCTGCTGCTGCTGCAAAAGAGCCTGCTGTTGCTGTAACTGCTGCTGCTGCTGTTGCTGCGAGGTCGGTACTCTCTGCTGACCAGGGGTCGCCGCCGTCCCAATCACGCGCTCAACTGGTGTCGCCTGCTGCTTCAAAAAGTTCTTTTCGGCTTCTTCCAACTGCTGCGCGCGAAGCTGCTTCATCTTTTGACGGACTCCCTCAACATCATCATCGGATTCCGTATCGTCGTCCGAGTCTTGGTAGTCCTTGACTGGGATTACACTCTGACCTGGAACGGCCGAAACCGTTTCATTGATCATTGGTAGAATCGGTCTTCCTGTATGTGGTTCCACACGAGGTATGAAACCGCCCTGAAGGGGCCTTATCTGAGCCCCAGCAGCAAGCTGTCCTTGCGTGACTTGTCCGAGTGCCTGCAACAAACTCTGGCCAGCTGTAGGATTGATAATAGAGGGTGTCAGCGATGTGACAGGGACGGCAGTTGGAAGAGTGGCAGCTGCCGTAGGAACACTCGCTCCAGCAACTGCAGCTGTGGTCGAGGCCGGCGATGCTCCAGCTGTGTTGAGGGTCGATGCGGTAAGGTTGGTGGCGGTCGCTATTCCTGGCTGTGCTTCGACCTGATTGCCATTCAACATGACCATGTTGCTCAAAGGTTGGCCAGGTACATGACCCTGTTGCGCAAGAACTTGCTGCAGGTTGGCGCCAGCGTTGGCCATCATGCCCCGGGACAGCTGATGGTTGAGTGCTCCTGTGCGAGCAAGACCGCTTGTGGGCGGGGACGTCGAAGAGCGCAGCGCCGACAGGGAAACGGTCCTCATGCGGGCAGAGGCAACAGCTTGGTGGCTCATAAGGGCCGATGCCGTGGCTGTGACCACGCTTGGGGTCACCTTCTGCGTCGGGATCGGCAAGGGGGATGGGAAGTACGTATCCAGGTTATCATTCAAGAATGGACCCAGCTTGTGGTGGAGTGAGCAAGTCGCCGCCAATGCACGGGCACGCGCCAGAGGAATCCAGGTTCCAAACAACTGTGAGCCCGGTTTGCGAACACGGACACGTCCTAGCTCCAAACTTAGCACGATACTACGCTCTTGCTCCGTCTCAACTCCTCCTGCCAACAGCAGCGTGGTTGCATTCACGTATCCATTATCGGCCCTTCGCAGTAGTCTGTACTCGGCTCCAGGATTGACGAGTTTGGTGGTATAAAGAGCGACATTATCGATTACGGTCAAATGGATGCTGGGAACGACTGGATTTGTTGTTGGGATCCAGAGCTGATTTGCCTCGGGTTCCCTGGCGCCATTCTGAATAGCGTTGTCCGACGCGCCTTGGTTGGAGGTCGAAGCACCCTGTTGACCAGTCGATGTTGTTTGTCCATTAGAACTATCCCCAACAGAGCTGGAAGCGACAGTCGACTGCAAGCTCGCAAGAGACATATTGACGTCGTCATCCAGCGTCTTCTTCGGTCTCTCCTCTAGTTCTTCAAAGTTGACAAACGGCGTAGTGTCGTCGTCCGCTGCATGTGACTTTCTCCTGTTATCGATGCTGGACCCGGCCGAGGCAGTAGAAGTTCGACAGTGGGTGTCAGCGACTTTCAGTGTTGTCGAAGAGCCATCCTTGATAGCTGCTGCCTGCTGCCTCTTCTGCTTTAGTGCCTTTTTCTTTTCGGCCGACATCCTTGACGATCCGCGGGATTCATCTTTAAACGATCGATAAGGCGCAGTTAGTTACTAGCCAAGCATCAAGTATAAAATATAGGATGAAATTCGGATATAAGACTTACTGGGATTGGTAACCTCCATTGGGTTGTCCTGAAGCATTTGAGCAATGCCTGGTAGTAGATCCAATCGATATTCATGGCACAGCTCCCTGGCTCTCGCAAGGCCAACCCTATATTGAACAAAAGCAGAAAAAGGAGATAGTGGGTCAGTGTCGTTCACTAAACAGTTGCTTCGAAGAAGGAAACGGTAAACAATTTTGGCATCCTTACCAGGCTCCTCGGACCTCCATTGGTCCTTCAAGAACAATGTAAAGGGTGGTGGGTTCCTGGTTGATATCGAACTGCCCATCGCCAATGATGGTTCGGGCAGCCAACCGCAGCATAGCAGCATTCACAAATCCCGCATGCTGCTCGTTGTTCAGCGCTGGAATGACCTTCTTCTGGATCACTGTGTTACGTCCATTCATGTTGGGATCTGGAGGTGCAACAACGCCAGCGACACGCATCAACCTAAGATCTGTGCCTGGCATGGTGGTCTCGTAAACCCTCAAGTTTGCGTAGACAGCCACTTTGACGAGAGACTTAGGTGGCTCCGCCGGCGTCTTGGATGAATCATCATCTTCCAGCTCTGACTCTGTCTCGTCATCCATTTCTTCGTCCTGATCGACCTGCATCTCAACGTCGTCTTCCGCCTTGAAAGCGGTATCTGCGGCAATAGGAACTTCTACTGTCTTTCTAGCGCTGATTGATGGTGTTATAACTGTTGTAGGTACAAAAGCTGAGGGCGAGTCGATCGAAGCGGAGGCGGAGGCGGGCTTTGAGGACGATGGCGTCACAAGTGCTCCGGCTGGACTCTTCGGCCGTTTCTCTGCAGAGGCAACTTCGCTGGAAGAGGTTGAAGAAGCGGATGGTTGGGTTGGTGGCGGGCGTGATGGAGAGGCAAACATACCGTTGCTTGAGCCGAGATAAGGGGAAGTTGACGCATTCAAGGATGAGTTGGCGGCATTCTGTAATATTCCATTCGCAGTATTCCTGAGACTTAATTGACGGTGAGGATGACCGATATGCTTGGCGTTGATATTACTCCAGCCCGGAATCGAGACCTTGCGCGAGAGACTTGGGAAGAACGTACCACCGGCTGATGTGCTCAAAAGTCGATCCAGCTCCGACACAGGCATTGACTCTGGGTTGTTGAGCTCCATCAGCGGTACATATTGATGCTCCTTAGGTGATGACAGTTCCTGTGAATAATCCACCGTCAAGCTGGATCCAAAATCCCCGTCAAAGATGCTATTGGCTCGAGGGGACAGAAGAAGCGAGTCCGGCGGCATCAAAAGTCCACTCATCGACATCTTCCTGCTGCGTGGTGATAAGCCCAGCAAAAATGAATTCGAAGTTGGTGTCGAAGCGAGATGACTGAATGGCGACACTGGAGTACCTCCTGCTGCGAACGAGGATGAGGATGCAGTGCTCCTGACTGAAGGAATAGGAACTGCCATCGCCTGTGGCTGCGTACGTTGTACGGGCTTGCGATCCTCGACCTTCCTATCGTCCTCCAGATCCTCAAAATCGCCCCGCATCATCTCCTCATGGTAGTCGCTAAAGTCTTGCTCCTCATCACTCGATTCGTTCATAAGTTCTACTCCCATGGACCCTGCACTTGGCACTGCATTGGAAATGGATACAGCTGACTGAGGACCAGGGCGAGGAGGTGATTTCTTGGAGTTGAAAGAAAGGACTTTAGTGGCGTTCAGTAGGCCATGCATTCCTGCCGCAGCAGTACTCACGGCTCCATTGCTACCGTTGTTGGATGACGAGCGAGAGGATGGCGTGGAAAAACTGGAGAGCGACCGTGGGATCGGTAGCCGGGGATCTTTTTCGGTATCAGGCATTTGCAGATCCATGAGCACCAGGTCGTCTTTGCCAAACACGTCATCATCATCGTCCAGATCTTCATCCTCTTCCACGCTCTCATCATCTCCGTCCTCCGACTCGCTGTACTCTTGCGTGTTTGCAGGTCTCCACTTGGAGGGGTGGATGCTGGTCGGCGTCGTTGCTTTGAAGCTGCCGATGAGAGGGTGCTTTGACTTGAACCGCTTCACTGTGGGACGATTCGTCGCGGTCCAGTTCTTGACCTTTTTGCGTTTCCGCATGACACTCCTTGCTTTGTGCAGCACTGTATCCGAGTTCAAATGTTGTTGCTGTTGATAGAGCTGATGCTGCCGACGACGCTTCTGTTTCCGCTCCATTGAATCGCCCGAAAGATCCCCATCGTCGTCATCGTCATCATCGTCCTGGTCGCCCTCTGCATCGTCGTCGTCTTCTTCGTCGTCGTCCTGAGCATCGTCGTCATCATCATCGTCATCGGAGCCCATGCTCGAGAATTCAGAGGACGACTCCTGATCCGACTCGGCTGCGGCACTGGGGTTCTTGATGATATGATTTGGTGCGAGATAGTAATGAATTTTGCGCGAATGCCGCTCATCAACAGCTTTAGCCAGCAAAGGGGTTCTCGGAGGTTTGTGCTCTGCTGCGCGCTTGAAATGTTGCGATATCCTCGAGGAGACAGTAGCATATGGGGTCGCTCCACTAGTAACATTTGACAGTCGGTTGGTCAGTATCCTTTGTCGAGTCCTTTTTTACTTTCTTTTCCTGCCGCTATTCCACACTTCATCCATCTGTGGGAGAAAGGCAAGAAAACGATAGACCCATTTTATCCGCTGACGAAACTCTAAATAGCCGCTCATTTCAGAGCGGTCTTCCCTCGTGGCCTCTCGTGGCACAAAGACAGGACTGGCCTCGACTGAACTGACGTGGGCCGGACAAAGACAGGCAGGGCAAAAAAAAACGGGTCGGAAACCCAAAACGATGAAAAAAGTTTTTTTCTCTTGCTCCTCACCGCCTGCTTCTGGCTGTCATCACTTATCCCATGCGCATATATTCCGCTTCTCTGCTTCTCTAATGCTTATGGATAGTGACATTGGCATTTTTGAGTACGAAGACCCAGGGGAAGGTTCTCAATTGCAATGGGTTTGATGATGAAAACGAGGATAACCATAAAAAAGAACCCCCGCACTGAATGTCATCACTTTTTACTGCCAGAGACCACGATCGTCATCCATTGTCCCGGCGTGCACATCATCGCACCTGCATTAGGTCCGTGTATGCGAACCCATCTCCGATCCGGATAGGAACAAGAGCAATCCAGCGAACGTTAAGACGTAGAAGCCAGGATCAAGAAAAGCCCGTTGATGACTCCCAGACTGGTCGCCCAAAAAAAAAAAATGCGTCGCAAAGAGAACTGGCGCTACTTGAATTCAGATTAAGACATTTTTTATCGACAGAAGAAAAAAAAAATCTGCAGGCAGCGGGCACTCAAGTGAATGAATAATTGATGTAAGAGATACATGCAGAGCCGAGGAGAACGAACGTTGAAAAGAAGCACAAGAGAGCAAATAGGGTCTCACGCACAATAACCACATACAGAGCCCCCGCTGGTGAATCGATAGATCTACGCCCTTCTCGATCTAGTTCCAAGCGGCCCCGATTGGGTGACACCACCACGGCCGCAGCGCAGTTCAGATAGCCCACCCGTGGTCCAAAGTGGTTGATCGTGCACAATCAAAAATGGTGGAAAAGGAAACTCCCCTCTTTTTTCAATACAGGCACCTGAAGAACGGGGGTTGTGAAAAAAATATTCCAGAGCAGATGAACTTTCAAGACGGATGATAATAATAATGCTAACGTCCTTGGTGACAATGAAACGATAAAAAGGCGATCCCTGACGGGTACATAACGACAAAGCGAATGAAAGGGGGGAAGAGCCATGGAAAGCACACAAATGATAGATAATGGCTGTTTGTGTGTGCAGCTGTAGCTTACCCCAACATGGTATACTTGTTTTTCATGATGCAGTTGGCGAGCTCCTTTGGGGACGAAGGCTTGTTGCGGAGATAGAGCAGGGCCTTGAGGATCGCGGCAAAGACCTTGTCCTTGGAGTCGTCGGGGTGAATGTCCTTGAGCGCATACTTGAGCGGGGCCTTGCTGGGGCCCGGCAGCTCGTCTTCATACTGAGCCGAGTTGGAGAGGGTGCCGTTTCCGGATGTGATGATGTTGGCTGTGGATAGGGAGTGCCTGCCGCTAGACTGTGGTTGGGTCGGCATGGGCATGGGGCTGGCTCTGGTTCTTAATGGACGGGGAGTGTGTCAAATTATGATATGAATTGAAGTGATATGGTGAATAGTCGTGATGATGTGTCCAGTCTTGGTCCTGTCGCAGTTGGGAGGATACGTTGGTTGTACGGTAAACGTGGGGGGAGGTAGGGTGGGTTAAGGGTGGAGGGGCGATGATGAGATGCGTGTTGTACAAGACAAAAGAGATGCAATGAGAGAAGAGTGCTTTTTCTCTTCTCTGGTGTGAGTGAATGAGTGAGCGGAGAACAGAAAGACCGAAATAGGAAATAGAAGAGGAATGAAGGATGGAAGCCGAAAAGAGTAATGGAGTATTGCGATGAAATAAGGAATGAACACCCAACAAAGAAAAAGAGTAAGAGAGGACAAAAAGAACGTTAAGAAAAGAAACGAAAGAAACGGAAAGAAAAGAAAAGACGTTAAAGGCCCTCTTTCTCTGGCAAAGAGAGGGAGGGAGGAAGGAAGGAAGGAATAGAAGAAAGGAGTGAAAGAAAAAAACGGCCGGTTGGCTGACTTTTGAAGTGGACCCTTGCTTGCTTGCTTGCTTGCTTGCCTGCATGCGTTCTCTGCCTGCTTGCCTGCTTAAGTCGTCTGCTTACTTTACATCCTGCGACTACCCGCTGAGCCCCAGTCTTTACTTCTGCTGTCTTTATGACCCTCCTCTGGATCATACATGCCTTTTCTGGTCTTTGAATGGACTGGCACGTTCAACGACATTGGCTGTGTTTTAACGTGAACGGACATCTGAGCGCGACCATCTGTGTATGTGCATCCCATGTTTGCTGTAGAAGGAGGATCGATTGTCTTCCCGAGTCCTGCAGTACCTTGCAGCAACCAACATGAGCACTAAACAAAGTACGAGAGCAGCATCCACACCTGGCCCCAACGTCTCTCTTCAGAAAAGACAACTAGATCTGAGCCCTTTTTGTCGCATGGCATGAAATGCGCCCTAATCTGAAGCGCGTATCCCATACCCAAGGGCTTATTATCCTGTTGCAATAACGACAATCGTTGGCTGCCTGTAGGAGCAAAGGAACTGTGGTGGGAAGTACCGATGTGCACTACAGAGAAAAGAAAGCATGGACGAAAAGGTGCCATCCTTGTGGCCCACATAGTCCACAACTATTCCGAGCGGACGGATCCATCCCGTCCTACATCTTTCCCCCCCCCCCTACCCCCCGATCTTGCTGCAGACAATAGACAAACACACACGTAGTAGTCCAAAGGTGGACATTCATGGCAGACTGCGCGTCTATCCGCCTCCTGGTAAGATCAACGTTCAACTTTTGCATGCAGAAATGACAAAGCCGCCATACCGCTAGGCTATTGTCTGCATATCTTTCCCCTCGTAAATCTCTTCCGCGTGCAATTCCGCATATAGAACATCTAACAAATATCACAGCGCTCTAATTTCCAACATCCAAACGCACTCAAAACTCATACATAGCTGATTCCTGATGAGCGCTCTCAGCACGCATCCGTGGCTGTGCAGAACTCTCAATAGTCCATGGAAGGTGCTCGCGTCTTTATTCTTGATGACGCAAAAGTCCTTTCTGAGCACCTCGCCTCGTTTGTCGCCTCCATTGATTTCAAGCTATCGCTCCATTGTGGATACATTTCTATAAGAAAAGCAAAGGCCTTTGTAATTTCACCATTCGGCGGTCTAAAGAAAATGATGTTCCGTTACGCTTAGACACACTGACAGGAACCCATCGTACTGCGGCACTCTCCTCGAGACGAAGTGTGAAGTGCCCTATGTTGTTCCTTGCCAAAAACCTCACACCTTTAATCGAATTAAGGTTTACCACACTTCGGATCATTCAATCCCATAGCGAGGTAACTCCACCCTTCAACCGAGGCCTGTTCGCGACGCAGCATTGAACATTGCTCACTGACAGAGATGATCGGCAGGGTAGTAGAGAATGCAAAGTAAATCGGGAATATTTGAGCTTTCAACTCTTTACTGAAATTCAGTCAGTCCACAGGTGCAGATGCGGAGGAGGATGTAAGCACAGCGCAAATGCAAAAGGTGTTGCCTGGTATTAATCAAAGCCTTGCTCTTCGTCGCATTTCGCTATTTTCTCCTCTGTTTTGCGCCCTATCCTCCCTGTTCTGCTCGTGAGGGCAGTGGTTCAGTACGTGGCAAAGGTTTGAAAGGAGTGCGCGTTTGGACGTGCGCGCACTAAATTGTACCTTTTTGTTGGTGTCATCGTCAAGTCAGCCAGGTCCACCAGTCAGTCAGTCAGGTCGCGATGAACTTTGTTGTCTCCCCCTGTCCTCTTCTCCATCATCACCTCTTCATCCATCTCATCCTTCCTTTGTCTGCATTCACCACCAACCCGATCCCTTTTCCTTTGTTTCTTGTTTTCCACTGCATTTATTATCCTTTCGCCCTCACCGTCTCTTTCCTTATTGTTTCACCGTACTTTTTCTTTCTTTTTTCTGCATTTCATTCAACACATTCAGTTTATGACACATGTCCGGCCTCAAGGTACAGACTTGTTCGCCCACCTTTCTCAAGAGCTCATCCGGTCTTGAGTCCACCCTGACTCTTTTTTTTTTTTTTTTTTTTTTTTTTTTTTCTCCACACTCCACTCACTTCCGCACTCACCCATTCGCCTGCTTATTCTCTCTTTTACTCTAGCATGAGCTCGACCAATGGAACGAGGGCGTGATAGCATTTGACCAGGGTCTGTACGAGGATGCCCTAGAGATCTTTGAGGTATGTGATACGATACCAAGTTCTGTCGGCTTTCCGATTACAATTACAAACGCACAATTATGGTTCCCGCCAAACCCGCAGCCTGCAGCTTCTTGGACTTCACTTGCCCAAGAGCAGTTCAGTGTACTCCTTCCTATGCAACTGCATATCAAAACAGCAAGCAAAAACTGCAATGTCTCTGTCTATGAATATCATTGGTTGCAGCTGCATAGGGGGGAGGGGTTGGAAGAAGAGGAGGAGAGAGGTGGTGCCTGGAAGTTAGCCTGGCATAACCCTCCATCCTGCTTTCCGCTTTATTAATTCTCCGTACTGAAGAGAGTAACCAATTTATACGCAGACATGGATACTCATTCCCTTTTTGCTTGACCTCTTTTTCCTCTTCTCTAAATGCTCTTAATGACAGCCGATTGCGGAATCGGCCAAGATACACTTCAACATCGGTGTAGTCCTGGCGACTCTGGGCGACTTTGAGGGTGCAGTAAGTGATGTGAAACCATTTTCTAAATGGCAATGTAGCTGACAAGGAAAATCGTACATTTTTACACATTCTTGCACATTTGTATACTTTGAAACTAATAAAGTAACTTTTTACGATCCTCAAATAGAGTGCAGCCTATGAACAGGCCACCAAGCTGGACCACTACTTGGCCATTGCATACTTCCAGAACGGAGTCGCTAATGTTGCCCTCGAAAACTATGCCCGGGCCTTGACCTGCTTCCACGACGCCTACCTGGTAATTAACTGCAAAATGTTCTGAATATAGTGCTATCTATCACTCTCAATCAGAGGATGAGAATGATGGAAGGAGTGAGAGAGTGGGAGAGTGAGAGAGCTCCAGTCGGCTAATCTGATCGCGTCTAGCCCTTTTCAGTCGCACTCTTCCATTTATTTTTCTATTTTATTTTTTTACTGCTTATCAAAACCTAACTGGATGATTGAACTGCATCCCCCATCTTGGTTTTCCTTCCATGCATTTTAGTACCTACGCGGAAACATGGTGATCGACTACACACAGCTGGGGCTGGACTTTAAGCTGTACTCCTGTCAGGTCCTCTTCAACCGCGCGCTATGTTACATTGAACTCGGAGAGATGGATCTTGCCATGACAGATCTCTGGCGTGCATCACGGGAGAAGCAGACAAAGGCGCATGATATTCTGGACCAAGCACTCAGAGACAAGGGACGGGACTGCACAGTTTTTACGGTTCCCCAGGGCGTGCTTTATCGACCTGCGGAATCAAAGGTGAAGAATTCAAAGAAGAAGGACTATCTGGGCAATTCTAAGGTCATTGCGGCTGTGGATGCGTCGGACCAGTTCGCGGGTTTCAAAGGCATGTCCGCCTGGCAGGTCCAGATGAGTGGACCGACGAATGTCGCTGCGGTTGAGGAACCACGGTCGATGACCCCACCCAACGGTAAGTGTGTGTCCACTTGCGTGCCTTTCTTTTGCCTTCTATTATTATTGTTATTTTACTTTATTTTTTTTACTCCCTTTGTTGAGGTTTTTGAGCTTTCATGGAATTGTGGTCCGAAGACAAATATTCGGCTCTTAAATTTTCTTACTCCTTGTGCACGGCTCTCAATTACATTAACTGCCTTCTCTTCCCCCGCTTTCATTCCTTCTTATGAGATTGTTACCGACCGACCCTTTGTACAACATGGATGGTTTCCATCATGCGGACGAAATGATATCGTCAGCCATATGAAGTGAATTGTCTGTCCATCGATCTGTGCTCTCTTCCTTGTGCTCTCTGCCTTTCTCCACTTTATGTGGACGAACAACTCCAAAAAATTTGTCTTTGCCCAATTTAATGCGTGTGCTTCCATATGATAGCGCCCAAGTAGCGTGTAGTATTATTAGTTAATTATCGTTCCGTTTCACTGATATTACATTCCATCATCTGCATTATCACCATCGTTTTTCTCTAATCAGGGCTCCAGCGACGCGCCACAGAGCGATTGGGACCAGGAATGAACAGGAGAGGCGCAGATCCGGAACGACCCCCGCTGGAACACTCGGCTTCGTTTAGTGGTCATGAACGTCGAGGATCGAATGGCTCAGCTGGTTCTGACCTTTCGCCTCGACCCTCGCTGCTCGCTCGACGAAATACAGAGGCACAGAGACCATCGCCCCTGAATACGGATGCTAATGGCCGTGGAGGGATTTCATCAGCAACGGCTGGAGGAGGCAAAAGTGCTGGAACTGGGTCTGTGGGCGGATCAGCAGGACGAAGTCGATTCCAGGATGAGTTGGATGAGATCGAGCAGCATGTTTATGCACTCAGTGTCGAATCCGATCGAAACAATGGCGGCAGGTATGATACAGTGGGACTAATGTCAGTGATCTCTTATTGCAGTACAGCAATTCACCCCCCGCGACTTCAACTGACCTGAGGGCTTCTCTCCATCCCGAACACGACCTTAATTTGATTCACATCAGCATGCGATCTGCACATGGAAGCCTTCGCCGCAAACCATCGCAGAACTCCTCAAGAACTTCGCCACCCGGCTCAGTCCTGAATGGAGGAGGCGGTCCACCTGTGCCACCGATGCCAAACATGTCGAATTACAACAGCAATACCAGTCCACCGCTCTCAGGAAGCAGCGGCCGATCTAGTCCTGGGTTTTCTGACTTGAGGAGGGCTGCCAGTAACGGACGCGGATTAAGGCGCGATAATAGTGTCCGGAGCAGCTCCACCAATAGTCCCTACCGATTACAGCCAATGCAATCGACCAACTCCAGTCCATTGATATACAGCAATAATGCGGGTGCGCGGTCGGACGATGGCGCCAATATGGATGAGCCCGTTTATGCTGGGCTCCGCGACAAGGTACTGTAATCAATGTCCTCTACTGGAGCCGATCCCTTTCTTGAATGTCTTGTCGGTCGTAATTAATGTGAAACAAATCGACCAAAATGCTCAAGCTGACACTGATTTTAATGTTTTACAGTTCCGCGTCAAGTGCCACTACATCGATACGAGGGCTGTTCTCGTCCGTCCAGACACCCCTCTTCAGGAACTGATTCAGCGCGTGCAGGAGAAGTTCCAATCGGACCGACCTCTTAAGCTGAAGTACAAAGACGAGGACCATCATATGTTGTCGATGATTGATGATGAGGACTGGTTGATGGCTCAACAGGTTCATATCGATACGACCGGCGGTTTGGACCGGATGGAACTCTGGTGCTTTGATGAGGAGTGAGCAGACAGACAGACAGACAGACAGACAGACAGACAGACAGCAGTACGACAGAGAATCGCACTCTTTCTCTCCTTCTTTCTTTCTTTTTTCGAGTACAAGGGTAGGAATGAGGACGACGATACGAATATGCGAACTAGACAGAATAAGGAAAAAGGAGTCGAGAAGACCATTTAACAGATAACGACATATACCTTTTGATACGGACACAATATATTTCATTATGTGCACAAGTACTTTCAACGTCGTAGACGATTGTATTTTTATCATTATTATGTCCGGGGGCACACTGCCCGGTCGACCGCGTTTTCCGTAGCCGGAATGAGGAGAAGGAGGAAAAGAGGAGTTTATAAGGCGTTCATGAAAAATGACGATATCGGGTATGATTGATGAACGGTGCTATACAACGAGACACATAGCCAGCGTCTGAGAACGGATTTGACCGTCTCGAGCGAATAGGTGCACGAAGGGTCAAGAAAACGAAAGGGAAAAGCGGATTTACGCCTCTCCACAGTGTCCCTTACTGGCGCTGGTGCCGGCTTGTCATGGCGTCATGGTGGTAGCAAAATTGAAAGAATAACGTAGTACTGTACAAGTTTTAATGCGCTAGAGACCAAATGAGAAGGAAAAGACATGTCAATTTAAATGAAAATAACATGATCGAAGCGAAAAGACAATGAGAACAGCAGCAACATAATTCCATACCTTCAAATATATGAAAAAATAGCAAGGGTGGGCCCAAGACAGTGAGGAGGGGGAGACGCATGTTGTCTACATCTCCATGTCCATGCCTCCTGAACCTCTTCCCCGTCCTGCTACATAATTTTCCCGGCTTGCGGCAGCCATGGCCGCCAAAGCAGCCACTCCTCCGATCGCCGCTGGCGTATATCCTTTGCCGTGTCCAGCCAAGTATCCTTGGAGTTGTCCTCCGGATGGTACCGTGCCATCGTAGCCCCAAGTCGCCGGATCGTTGTGATCGTGATGAACAGGTGTCGGAATATAACCCGATGGAGTCTGACCCGCAGCCTCGGCCAGCGTTGCTGCATGGGTGTGCTCCACCTGATGTCGTTGCATTTCCTGGAGCTCCAACTGTTGTGCAAGCTGGAGTTTTGCCTGTTCCTGCTGCTGGGCCTCATGCAACTTTTTCTGCTCCTGCAGAAGTCGGTACTCCAATGGCTCCTCGTTCTTTTCAGCCAACGTGGACGCAAAGATGCTTGTGGCGATCCCTGTAGCTGCCACGCCCGGACTTGATGATCCAGGCATGGAGGCAAAGTGGGGCGTTGGTGGACTGGAAAACGATGATGATCCCTGCGCAAAGGAACCCCAGCTGTGGGAAGGCATGTTGCTAACTCCAGGCACTGTCGAAGGGCCATGGTCTCCTGCAGCGCCAGGCGTTGTTGGTGCAGAACCTCCATTTCCACTACCGAAACCAGCCGATGGTGATTGAGAGAAGCTTCGTGCATATGGACTGGCACCCGACGCTGTATGGAAGGGCTGGTCAAAGTAGCCGGCCTGCTGACAATGTTGAGGACCGGATGCGACCTGATCGGTGGAGAATCCAGGCGTGCCAGGGCCTGTTTCAGGATAACCAAAGATGCCCTGAGCGGATGCTTCAGAGCCCAAATTGCGTTTCTAAGCAAGGAAGTAAGGAGCAGATTATAGGGTGGTCAGTCAGCGTGGCCTTTGGAAATTAATTTGCTCTCCTGGAGGATCCTGAAAAAGACAGGGCTCATCGCAAAACGAGATAGAGAGTGCTCTCTGCCACTCACTCGCCGATGGTATTTTTGGCATCCCCTGTCGAGCCCTAGCAAGATCTCATTCTCAATGTCTGCTTACCTTGATCCCCATGAATTCGTCGGATTCATTAGCGAGTCCACGCTTTCGGTTCGACTGGCGGTTGAAGGAACTGTCCTGGGCAAGGTTCTGGTGCTGCATTAGAAGCTGCTGTTGGTTCTGTTGCTGTTCCAGAAGCCATTGCTGCTGGGCTTGTTGGTGATGCTGCTGAAGATACATGTGGTGATTCAGTTCTTGTTGCTGTTGCTCTTTCTGTTGTTGTTGTTGCTGATTGAGATGACTGTGTTGATGCTGTTGCATGAATATATGTGAACTTGAAGCCAAACGAGGATAGAGGCGGTCCGATATTGTTAAAAAGATGTATCCTACGAGCGTGTTCAATCGTGAGTTGGTTTGAATAGGACAGAGTGGGGGGAGTTAAGGAAGCAAAGGAAGGGAAAGAGGATTAGAAGAAGAAAGAAAGAAAGAAAAAGATGAGGAGGGAAAGATAGAACAAAAGCCAGTCCATCTCTATAAGGTTAATTCACTATAGAAAATAAAAAAGCCCTCTTACAATGCTACGGATGAAATGAAGGGAAAGTAAAAGCAACAGAGATGCAACTGCCTTTTTAAATTATCATGAATACCTTGGGTCGTTCGATAAAGGACGAGAGAGCAGAAGAAGAGCGTATGCTGACTGAAAAAACCGCTCACTGCTCTCCTCCTGACCCTTACGCATGGAACGCTGGTGGTGGGAGCGTGTTGCGTTGCATGGCAAGGAAAATGGGATAAGAGAGCAATAGGGGAAACACCGCATATCACTGAAGTGGTTCATAAACACCGCGAAGGAAAAGACAGACCACTTTGTTTCTGTTTGCTGCTTCGTACCCTGTATCCTAAGACCGTAGCCCATTTCAACGCCGTAATGTCTGCCTCTGTGCGTCGTCAGAGAAGAAAGAGGATGTAAGATGCTTCAATGTGGGGAGAAGGGTGGGGGTGGGGGGTGAGAATTTGTTGGAGAGTGAGAACTTACTTTTGATGAGAGAGCCAATGGGGAAGCTGTGGAATCGAAGACGAAGAAAGAAGGAATGAGCTGTGTTGCTGTTGTTGTGCTTTATTGTCTACGCATAGGAAAATGGCTAGCAAGTGCTGCTGGAGGAAAGAGAGAAAAACCATGGATTAGTTCTATTCGCGAGGTGAGGTGGTAGTGCTTGAACTGCTTATTTACAGCCTTACTGAAAATCGCCTACTGCAGCAAATTTTTTTAAGGACTAAAGCACTTCTCGGCAACCCTGTCCTCCATTGGATGCGGTAATTAGACTAGGAGTTTTCAGCGCCAGTTATTCGGTAAGCATGCATCCTCTTCATCTTGTATAGCCCAATTGATTCCGCTTGCTGCCTGTGTGCAACAGCTTCATTTGACCCAACATATACTATCTCTAGTGGTAATTGTTCGATGATGATATGATATATAGGTGGTGAGTCCGTAGTGCACGTACATGGCAGCCATCGTCGTCTGGTAACTTGTCTCGATGAGGGTTCTAACGCGTCTCTGTGCGCTCCTATGCGCTTCCATGCTCTGGACGATCACTTTAGTCCTTCTCCTTCCTGTACAAATAGCAAATGGCGTTCGTAGTACTCTAGCAGCTTCAAAGGGCACCGCTTGTGGATTTCCTGGGATGCATGCTCTGTCAATTGTCCTGCCTTCCACCGTAGATGAACCACCAAGTCCCCTCGATCAGATGGCCTTTGCTCCACGGTCTCGATCTTATCCACATGATCTTCCCATGACTCCGACGATGTAGGCGGCGCCAATACCTCAGCTCCGTCCGTTTTCCGCCGCTTCACCGGCCCTGTCTCTGTCGTAATCGAGTCTTGCTTCCTACGTGCTGCACCGACTTTGGATGGTCCTGCATCTCCAGAGATCGTTCGGTCCGAACTCTTTCCTTTTGAGGCAGCTTTTGTCGGTGTGATCTCCATGTTCTCAGTAGGATCCTCGACCTTGATTTGGGGTCCAGAGGCTGCTACATTGGTTGAGGATTGTTCTAGTAGTGGCGACAGGTCTGGCAGCAATGCGTCCTGATTCCTTTTGCTGCTCTGCTTCGCCTTTGCTAATCTCTTCATCCGTCTAAATTCTGGGTCTTCGCCAAGAGCATCGTCCCTGCTGCCTCCGGCTTTCTCATATCGTCTCCAATACTCATTGACATAGACATCGCAAAAAACTGATGTCTCGTGTTCCCATGTGTTCTCGTCGTTTGAGTATCCCTTCCACTTGAGGCAATAGTACAGACCGCTGCCTTCTATGCGCTTGTGTCCAACAACGCGCTCAACCTCGTAAATATCCTCCCCTTCTTCCTCCTCCTCGTCATCCCCAGAGTCGCTGTTGTTTTCATTCTTGTCGCAAGAGTTCTGCGGAGGTTTGTTATTAGGTGGATTTGCTGAGAAGGCGTGGGATTCCTGAGGCTCCTTCTTTATCTTGGTACTGTCCATGATGTAGTTGTCTTTGTGTGTTGATTCCGTGTGTCGATTCCGTGTGTCGATTCCGTGTGTCGATTCCGTGTGTCGATTCCGTGTGTCGACTTCGTGCGTTTAAGAGTGATGTGCGGCCTAAACAGAAAAAGAACCAAGGGTCAATCATCGGTGCGCATAGAAACTAATTCCTTCATGATGCTGCTGTCGAGAACTGCAGCTTCAAGGCTTGCCTAGACGTCCTGATGGTACCTGCAGAAGTGGGAGAAAGAGCCGCAACAATCAACGCGAACAGGACAAATAGTATAAGCTCACAGCCGGTGCGCACGTGATATTTATTGCTTCTCTTTGGGAATATGTTACAGCGCGGTGCCGCGCTCAAAGTCGTCGCGGATCTCCTTGGTGTACTTGTCGTAGAAGCGGGAGATCTTTTGATTGAAGCGTTGGTTGGCATCGTTGATGTAATTGACATCCTCGTCATCCTTGTGGGCCCTGCGCTTCGAGAACCTTGTCCGCGCATCGATCTGCTTGGACACGTCTGCAGCCAGTCTATCCACTGCCAGTACGTTTGGTTTGGCGTCCGAGAGAAATGCAACTGAATTGGCGTCCCGATAGAACCCAGAGTCGCTCGCCACAACCAGCTCGCCCTCGTCATTCACTTGCATTGAGGCCTCCTTCTTGGCATTGTAAGCAGCCAGATTGGGCTTCAGTTCTCCCACTTGCTTGAGGTATTTTTTATGATTAACCTGGTCCCAGTCTGAAATAGAGAGAATGGTGTATTAGACCTACGCAGAAAGAAACGTCAGTGCGTGCCATTTTGATGCTTACCTGTAAACTTGTTGTCCATCCTGACTCTTTTTGCCTCCTGTTTCTCGTTCCATTTCTCCACGCTCTCTGCAGAGTAGTTCCAGAATTGCGATCGCTCATAGTCCTCTCCTGCCTCTTCCGCATCTCTTTTAGCAATCAGCTTTTCGGCTTCCTCGCGAGCCCTCTCCTTCTTAGCCTCTTCCTTCTTGTTAATCTTGGATTTCTGATGCTCTGTCATAAGATCTGTGCGGTTCGCTTGCTTGGACGCATTCTATTACCAAAACGTGAGTGATAGAAGTTAGTGATTCAGTATAAGTATAAGCGCAGCACTTTTAGAATCAAAGCGTACCATCTTCTGTCGTAGACTCTTGAGTTTCTCCATCCTCTCTGACATGGTCAACGGCGCATTAGCACTTTTTTCTTGAGATGCTTGTGCCTCCACCTCTTTCATTTCGACGTCCTGATCAGCTGTATCCTTCGTCGCCTGGGCTTCCTTCTCTTCCTTCTCTGCTGCAGGAGCAATGGTAGTCGTGGTTGTAATAGTCGTAGTCGTAGTCGTTACTCTTGTCTTCCTGACTTTAATGGTTTCCGCAGCAGCCTCACTCTCCTCCCTGTCCTTGTCCTTGTCCTTGTCCTCCTTGCTCGTGTCCTTGTCCTGATCTGTCTCCGTAGGTTCATCTGCTGCTGCCACTATTGCTGTCTCTGTTGCTGCCTCCTTTGCCGCTGTCTCTGCTGCAGCTGCAGCGGCAGCAGCGGCTTCAGCTGCGAGAGTTGCCTTGGTTTTCCTTCCAGATGTTTTCTTCTTTGGTGGCATGATTGTATGGCTAGTTTCTCTGATGTGGTCGATGAGTAAACTGGTCAAGAAAGGCGAAGCTGTTCTAAAAACATCTACGTCACCTTCGTGAGCACGGGCGGTGCGAAAACTACAGTAATTTCTTTTTCCTTCCCCTTTGACTACAGAATTCCTCCCCCCTTAGCCCCCAAAAAGTAGTCGATGGTATGCCGTCTTCGCTCCTACTGGTTCGCTCGCAAGGTGAGTTGACGCTTTCTGAGCCGAGGTTCTCCTTTCACAAGCAGTTCAAGCTTGCTCCATGCGCCAATCCCTGGAAAAGGAGTCGCAGGTTAGCTACGTTGGCGGGACAATGCAGCCAGTTACCCAAGGGGTTGTAGATTATTTATTTTTTTCTCACACCCTTCTACAAGGTCCTTACCGTTGCATGGCCTAAAGCAGTCTAGAAAGGTGCGAAATGCACAGAGAAACAAGAACTGTTTCTGCTGTTGTTAACTCTATTGCACCTTCATCTTCCTTTCTCTCCACATATCCAGTCATGTCTTCCAACTCACAGGCAAACACAACACAAGGTAGCGGACAGGATGCCATTATGTCTGAAGACGGTGTTACTTTTAATCAGAACCTAAGCGAATTTGTTCAAGTCGATCGCAAAGTCTTCTTCGCCGCTGCGGACCGAAATAAAGGAGCAATCATCGAACAACTGCGACCTATTCTCGACAAGGCACAGCTTGGTAAGAAATAAGAAGAAAAAATATAGAAAGAGTGTAGTTGCTTGCGCTACACTCCTCGTGAATACAAACTTGGTTTCCAATGCGACACAACGTGCTGTTCAGCCTACTTCATTCTTCCTTATAACAGAATTCTCTATCGAAATCATATATGCAGTCTTAGAAGTTGGATCGGGCTCAGGGCAGCACGTTTATCACTTTTCCAAGGACTACCCAGATATCGTCTTTCAGCCATCCGAATACGATCCTGCTCTTCTTCCCAGCATCGACGCCTATGCCGATGACCTCAACAAAGAGGGCCATCATATCCAGCCCGCTCTCGAGCTTGATGCTACCAAGCCAGAGCATTGGCAGCGTGTCCAGGCAGCTGCTGGTCAGTTTAAGCAGTACGATTTAGTCCTTACCACGAATGTATTCCATATCTCGCCATGGGTGGTCAGTCAGTCGATCGTACGCGGCGCTGGGCAAGTGCTGAAGAGCGGTGGCAACTTTGTGATATACGGACCGTTCAAGAAAGATGGCGCTTTTAACGCGGAGAGTAATCGTGAAGTAAGAACACAGACCGCGATTGAAACTGCTGTTGCGATGCAGGACGATCCCCCTGTAAGCTTAATTTACTGTTGCTGAACCCATATTTTTTTTCAACCTATGCTTGCCTTTTCTTAGTTTGATCAAACCCTTCGTGGACGCGATCCGTCGTGGGGCGTGCGAGACATTGAGGAGATCGAGGCCATAGCAAAGCAGGACACAGGCATGACGCTTGAACGGATCGTAGATATGCCATCGAACAATTACATGTTGTTCTTCAAAAAACAATAATTTCGGACCATACTCCACTGCTTGCAAATAAATGCGGCATGAGTGACATTAGCATCCATTCATATGTAGACAATGATCAGCGGTCGTGTTTCGCCGACTGAAAAGGAAGACAATTAGCAGAAGGTAGACCCGGAGCCCTGGACAGATGAATGAGACATATATCCGTTTTGACCCTCTCTAATATGTTATCTTCCGCAGCCTGACAGTGATATCTGGTTCCGATGGCGGGACTTACGCTTACTTGATATAACATGGCCACTTTGAGATTTGTTAAGATCCCTTGGTCCCAACTCACGTTGTTTGTCACTGCCCTCTTCCTATTCCTTGTTTCGCCACCTACGAAGTTCAAGAGGCAGTCATTCAGCGTCTGCAGCGAGGCCTTTATGTGTTTGATGCTATGAATTCCTTTATCATCTAAGTACTTTGGGCCTTTTGATTCAAATGGGTCTGTTCCAGCTATACCAACAAGAGAATGTTCGTATGTATGGAGTTCTGGCGTCAGACGAAGAGAGTATGTCTTCATTTTTATTGTCATTTTGTTTTCTTTCGTGTATTTCTGTACCGTAACTACAGCTTTACAGCGAGTATAAAAATCTTTCCCAGTTGTTAGGGAGTCAGTCTATCATTTTGGTTTACAAACGAGGGTAGAAGGGTGTGTAATCGGCCTCAAATTTGAACATGCATCTTTTTGACCGCGTCCATAGCAAAGTCCTTTCAGCTCAGTACACTGGAGGAGTAGTTAAGAGCAGTAATTTGTTGGTGACAGGAGGAAGTGTCCAAATCTAATTATGTGCCCACTCCTAAAGCTGAAAGAAGCGCAATGTTCACCCCGTCTTGGTCCAGAGCTAACAAGTTTTCCTGCCGTTTATTTCATACACGTAGAAACCTGCGGCCGAAATTGCGGGGCTTGCTAAGTACATATCCCTCCGGACCACACCATTAGATGGATAGAGATATATTCAACTCTGGTAACCGCACGCTTGATCTTACCGCGATGCGGGATACCAGATGTGGAATTTCGCTCAACACTTGGAGTCGCTGGATATGGCTCACCCTGCACTCGATTTTACCAGTAAAACACCTCCCAGCACCGATACAACACATGGGATTTTAAAAAAGGCGAAAATTTCACGGTATTCTGTATATGGTCAGGGGAGCCCTCCCCCCAGCAAGCTTGGATCCAGCATAAAGGCTTCATCGGTTCACGGCACATTCGGGTCCGAGCTCGTTAGAATGGTCAATCCATGCCCTTACTTATCTTTATTTTATCCTTCTATTTCTATGACCTGAATTTGTCTTTTTTTCATATTCAATCTGGATTTGTATGGCTTCAAGGGAAGTATACGTGGTAGTCAGTATCAATGGATATCACACGTCGATAAAGCTCCCGGTCGACCGGTCTCAGAACGGGGAGACGTGCGACTTTGAACTTTGTCGCGCAGGTTAATATGTGCTAGCTCCATTGCATCCACTGTGAGCTGTCTTTGGACAGGAACCCCATAGCTGCCCAAGACAGGTCAAAGACTATACCTCGCCTCTTTTTACTGGAGAAGGACTTCAGAAATTTGTTGTTCACGCGTTCGACCTACGAAAACCTCCTTACGACAAAAATAAACATATAGTCCTCGCTGCCGCCATTTTAGTACGAGAGTTGACTGGTCAGCAAGCGAGATAAATGTATCTTTGAAGCGTAACGACCTATGCGCCTTAGGGATCAAATTCGTTAGCCTTTTAATTATACAGGAAGCAAAGCACCATAGAAGCACTTCGTTGCAAAAATGAGGATGTGCATGAATAAGTAAAACGGTACCAAGTTTGGTAATGCTTCTGTTTCAGGCCTCCACAGGAACCGGAAATGAGGAAGGATTGGCATTGGCCGCGCAGATGGTGTAGGTGTCTTGGCCAAAAATATCGTTGTAAACGAAATGTCTCAGCCTACGACCGTTTGTTCGAGGGGAAGTCGATTGCATTTTCCCTTCCTAATGACCCACTTTGTTGGCAGCCTATTGCATGAAAAAGAAAAAGAAAACTCCCTTCCTTTTTTCCGGAGCTGTTTACTCGGGCAGCATGCATGAATAGAACGTTCATTCAAAGCTTCTTTCAATTATGCAAGTACGCGTCTAGAATGGCCGGAGCTGCGCATTGGGATCCGCTTATTCTGTGAAAAAGAACGCACGTCTTGACTACACTACGGCATGCAAAACACGAGAAGGACGGCATGAAATGACAATTCTTTTTGAGGTCAGACTCACGTCAAAAGTAGAGTACCAACTGGCGTTTGCTTTTCTCGACCGGACGAGGTATACGAGTCCTCTCGAATGTGTCCTGCACTGCACGATGAACCCTAGTTTTGGTGTGGGGGGCGGTTTTTTTGCCTATTTGGAGACTCATAGCGTCTGGTTTACATGACCTGAGCCTTGCCTTAAGCACCCACGGGTGGTATAAGGAAGACTGTATGTCGATTCTCTTTGTGTTCTCAACCATTGCAACACGCGCCCGCGATTGTTCAGCTTGATTTGCGCATCTTTGATCTATTCAAATTGTCTTGTACCTGGCTTTCCTACCGAATAAAATATGGTGTGCTATAGCACGCATGCCTATGGGACATGGCAAGGCGATCAGAGGCCATCCGGCCCAACGGGGGCATTCATGGAAACACTTAATCAGCAATCTTAGCCAAGCATGTGTCGACCTGCTCGTATCATAGTTAAGGTGAATGAATGTCTAAATGTTATCTGAGGAGTGCATAGTGCATACATAAGAATGCAGCAGAGCGTCGGTGTCAGTACCATGCAGATATCGCCCCAGCGCATACTAGATACCCTTGGGCTGGTACTCTCTTCTATCTCATCTCTCTTTCTTTTACTGAGCGCCTACCACGCCCCAAAAGAGTGGGTGAAATTGCTCTCTTATGCACCCGCACGCCCAACTGATATCTAAAAGAAAAAAGAACAAGTTACAGCAAGCCTGTTGCGTGGCACCATTCTCGTGCCTAGCTTATCAAACCGGGAAAACGTATACGAAATTCTCATACTACAGCTACTAGTAGCTCTTGGGTCAATCCTGGGGACCGACCGTCAACGAACCTTGATACTCTATGACGGTTGATGACTGGCTCTGCTCTAGGAAAGAAAATAGCATACAATTCATCTCCGACGTTCCTGAAAACATGATAGAGACATGTTATCAAACCGTCTCCTTTTCTTTTTGAATCTCCACCATCTTAACCGGGCACAGCACCGCCAGGGTGTCTATAACGATCCTTGCCGCCTCCCTGACTGTCTCGGATAGCCTTGCTGCAACGGAATAGATGAAGTGCATGGAATATCGGTCGGTTATTCACATATATATGGCGTTGACGGAATCAGTAATTCATCCAACAATGGCGCAGATAAGCTGAGTACCGGCACCTGAAGAGAAAGCCTGCAAGCGCACATGGCGCTGTTGCAGTAGACCACAGTAGACTTCATCAAAACGAGGAGGGTACTACAGTACCATACATGCATGCACTATTGTATTCTATCCGTGCCACAGCAGTAAAATATACAATAGAAACAATGATTAGTTTAGTTTTGTGCACTAGCCCTTTGCCTACAGATAATTGGTCTGTGCTTGCGCCTCCTTGGATCTCGATTGGACCAAACGAAATGAGCCAAGCAAACCCAAACAGTCCGATGTATTTCTATCATACCACTTGGGTCTAGTATGCAAAAAATACTCCATGGCCCTTGAAAGCACGGAATGACAAGCAATCGGTATTAAGGTTGTTGTTTCTTTTCCTCCTGTTCCCACACAGCTGTCAACCTTAGGTATATGTTTTCTAATATTTTTTTTAGAATGATAAGCCCAACACCATAGAGAGGATTTGACACGAAAGAAAGGTGGAGTAGAGTCGATGGCGGCAACAGAAAGAACTCCGTCCGCAGTTCTGCTGTGTATGCTATTTTAGATACGTGATATGGATGAATAAAACCGGATATTCTATCCCTCCTTTCATTTTCTCTCTCGTAAGGCCTTATCTCTTGCAAGGTATTTTTTTTCACTCCCTTATGGACGAATGAATAATTGCCTGAATGGAGATGGTCGTTGATTACCAGGTGGCTACATCGGTTATCGAGCCACGGACTGACTGAATTATGATTTAAAAAACCTGGCGGGGAGAGCAGACCAGGCAGTGGTCCAGAGGGGTAGGAGAATGGGCCAGGCCAAACCAGTCAAATAGCTATGGTTTCCAAGTGGAAACGGGCCTTAGTTGAACATCCGGGCTTGTATTCAGGTGGGCGAGTGGAGATAGGGAAACAACAAAGCAATAGCTGCAGCACAAGTGAAAAGATAAGGCGCTATCGAGAAAGCGTTATTCTAAAATATATTGTCCGATAGAATGTGGAAGGAGATTTGTTCTGCCACCTCTTCTGAGTATAAATATTTCCTGGAGGAGAGAAAAATTGTTTGTGGCCAACTGTCGCCTTTTTCTTCGTTTCTTGACCTGCTTTCCCTTCCCTCCATTTCCCTTCACCGCGGCTTCCTCTCCTCCTCTGCTGTATCCCCCGGCCATCGTTCTTCATACCCTTTCTCCTTTCTCTTCGTTCATTGAATCCATCGTCTCCCTATTCCTCGTATCAAATTAACATCGTCTTTCACGCTCCTCGCAACAACCGCAATCCATACACCCCACACACCGCCTATACATCTCGCATTCAGTCAGTGTCGAGCAAATAGGAACTAGGTAGGAATCTGGTCTTCGCCATCATTATTTCTTGCGCACCTTCGTACCCCCTCATGGGGGGACAATGCGCCTTCGGCGCCACAAAAGCATCTGCGAGGCATTGGTGCCAGCAGTAACATAGTTTTTTTTTTTTTTTTTTATTGGCGCCGGAAGCGGAGTAATTTTTTTCTTTCTATATCTTCCTGGCCTAAGCTTTTATGCATCTGTCAGGACATATCTTTCCATTCCATACTCCCTTCTTGGATCTTCATTGCAGATGCATCCAAACATCCTCCTTTTTCAATACTCAACAGATCCTGCATTATTGGCTCCTTAATACTATCATCAGCTGGCACAAAACAACTCCCTATCAGATCCACCTCATTGACATAATCCAAACCAATCACTGCTGCTTCTTTTTATCACACATCCACTGTCAATTTCTGGCATTTTCCTCAGGAGCGTCAGCTCGCAGTACAGCAATTTATTATCGTATGCGGGGATATGATGAGATCTGTCTCATAAATTCACTCCCGAGACCCGTCCAGTCGATTCCCCTCGATTTTTCCACCATATCCAATCTGGACGCGCTGGATTGTATCTTGTTACGAGTGAATCGGTCTGAGTGAGAATGGGACGTGAAATGGATCTGTGTTTGTGCACGATCCATTTAGCTTCGCGTTTGGTGACCACTGAGCAACAGGATGCACAGAGGCATCAAACAAAAGGGCTAGTTTTTAGCTCCTCTTTCTGCATATTCCAATGGGACTATTGGGAAATGAATTGGAAAGAATGAAAATCTGGCTAGGCGTTATTTTTCGCCGTCGACGACTTTCTGTGTAGATGGCAGATCGACCATTGTCCCATCACCTAGTCCCAGCCTCTCCCATTCCTAGACTGTGTCCTCTTGCTGCCTCTTGTTGTTTTTTATGCACGATCGACGACTCGTTCTTCCTGTCCCGCAACGCCTCATTCCCTTTCCTGCATGCGATTCATGCAGCCGCTCTCCCTTTTTTCCACTGTTCCTGGTCCGTTGGTCTCTTTGTTCCAAATGATCCGTATGGATTCCCAACAACTTTTTGTTTATGGCCGCTGCTATTTCCCTTCAAGTTCGCGTGCCGATATCCCATTATCCGTCCTACCCCACAACCTCCATGTATCTCGCTCCCGGTCCCCTCGATGGCCAGCCCTTTCTCCACAGCTGGCACATCCGACCCAATCGAAGACTCACTTTCTCCCGCTACTCTGCGCACCACTCCATCTATGCATGCAAGATAAACCTGCAACTGGGATTCCATTTTTCCCTTCCAATCTTTCTCGTCCATTTTGGTCGCACCTCACGCGTTATTCAAATCCAGTTATTTGATCCCGCTCTAGCTCTCATATTGAACTTTTGGCATTCGACAGGGTGTTGATGAACGGACCTCTTTCACTAGGCGGTCATGAGGTTACTATTGACATTTTTCATACACGCGTACTTTTTTTGGTATCGCCATTACACTATATTACATTACGGCGCACAACTGCCATTGCCATCATCGGTGCGAACATGAACATGGCGTGTTCTTTTAGCTGCAGATTGACTGACCGTAACTTTTTTTATGATGCTGTTTAGCAATATACTCTCTATATCTCTACTGGAATCAATCCCAGCAAGCATCTTTATAAGAGTATTTGCCGTATTGAAGTAAGGTATGGAACATGAAATGTATAATCACATTCTACCATAAACACGAGGGTGGATATCGTTGATGGCATTGGGCGCAGAAGATTAGACGACGAGCTCGTGGTGTTGTTGCAAAGAAAGTGGCTGCTGCAGCTCTTTGTCTGCATTGTATCGCTGCTTGTCGCCGGTCGATGTCTATCGTCTTCGTGCTGTATTGATGTTGTGTTATGTAAGACTCGGCCAGTTCTGTTTGGCTAACCAAAAGATTGTTCCTTCTCTTCTTCCCTGTTCTTCCTCTTATCTCGTCATGGCTCTCGTCGTGTCTCTCTCTGTGCGCCCGTCCCTCCTTCCCGCTGCGGTCGATCGGTGCTGCCGCCGACTTTTTCGGTCTCCGTCTCCTGCTTCATGGTAATGATATTTCTTTATCTCTACCCACTATCGCAACCTTTTCTTCTGCATGTCAACCCGCACGTCCTTCCCTTTCGTTTATGCTTTTCTGCTTTTTGTGCTTTCCTTTACCTCCTCTGTCCGCTCCCCACTTTCTTTTTTGTTTTCCCCCCCCCCTATTTGTTCCTGACACCACTCAAACATCTTTTTTTTCCTCACTCTGTTCTACTTTTTTTTACTATTCTCACACTGCGCTCTTCTTTCATTCGACTCAACACCTAACCTATATTTGCTATCCATTCCCGTCCATCCCTGCCTCCATCTCTCTTTTTCTCGTCTCTCCTATCCCTCATCTTATTTATCTCCTTACTATCTCTTCTTTTTTTTCCCCATTCTCTCTTCCCTTTCTCCTCTTTCTCTTTCTCTTTCTTTTCTCCCCTTCAGACAGCACTGTTTGTCTTCTGAAACAAACATTTCCTGGCACCATATCTGTGGTACCCCTTCCTCCTACTTATCACACACACACATCCGCACACTCTCTTCTTCCAGATGTCTCTTTCCTCCTCCCCCGCTGATAAGCACCCTCAGCCCTTTGTCCTCGCCAGCCCTGATCGGGTTGTCTTCAGGACTCTGCCCCACCCTCTCGCCTCCACCAACAAGAGGGTCACCCTCTCCCTGCGGCGATCCCCCTCTGCTCCTCTCCCCACTACCAATACCAATATCAATACCAGTTCTACCCAGCGCCTGTTTGCTACCTCTGCTTCCGCTGCACGCTCAGAGCCAGGCACCGCCCCATTGAATGCGCAGAGCCCCAACACCCATCGAGACAGCGGCAACATGAACCCCACAAACACCGACCACTACCTTTTGGCAAAGCCCCTTGCTCAGCCCCCGTCTGCAACCTCAGTCCCTGCAAGCACCACAACCGTAACCACTGCTGCTACCCCCGATTTTTCCAATAGCGCCACCAATGCTACCAACAACCAATACTCTGACTCTTCGATCCCAAAGATCATTACTGCCCCTGCAAGCCCCACTCGAACGCAGAGTATTGCTCTGCTCAAGAACGGGCTGCCGATCAAGTCAGCTATGAAGAGTCCTGTCGTGTCCGCTGAACTCAGCTGCGCGACTCCACTGTCGCACCGCAGGCCATCGCCGATCCGCTCACATACCTCGCCCACGCCCCACAGTCCCAAATTTGTCCACTTCAACGCCCAATTGGAACATATCCGTCTATTCTTGCAGGGCGAGATGCCCTCCTGCGTTGCTGAACGCGAGACCATTGTCGATACCCAGAATAAGGACGAACCAACAAGCGACATCAAGTTGACCCTGACCAATTGGAGCCCCGTTTCCAAGGGCGCCTTTCAACCTGGCAACATCGATGATGGCGCTCCCCCATTGCGCGTTGAAAACATCAAGATGTCTGAGGACCAGACAGGGTTGGTGGGTACGGTCTTGATCCAGAACATTGCCTTCCATAAGCATGTCTCTGTGCGGTACACCATCGACTTTTGGCAAACCCAATCAGAAGTCAGCGCAGAATTTGAGGGTTCGATCCCTGGTTCGGCTTTGGACCGGTTCGCGTTCAAGGTTGCCCTGGACATGGATAAGTCTGTGGTAGAGAAGACATTCTGCTTTGCTGTGCGGTATCAGGTGATCGGGCGAGAATTCTGGGACAGCAACAATGGAATGAACTATCAGGTCGAATGCAAGCGCGTCGTCGTGGTTACACCGCCAGTCACGTCGGACTTGTCCAAGCAGATGAACACCATCCTCTTTGCTTCTCATCTCCCCGACTATGGTAAACCAGTTCTCAAGAAGAAGACTGGCGGACGATACGACCTGTCGACATCACTCTCTGCCGCATACAGCCAGCCCAGCGGTACCCCCATTCGATCTCCTTCGCCCAAGCACGATATGCCTCCTATGAGCCAGACAGCCTACCGGCCGAGCGAGTACATCACGCCGATCCAGTCGCCTCCTGGCTATCACCATTCGCTGTACGCTTCATCCCCCAAGTTCATGGACTCTTACCTCTCTGCTGCGTCGCCTCCAGACCATTTCCAAATTGGATTTGAGCGATTGTCGATGGAGCAGCCTGCGGCGTCCAAGAGAGGCACATGCAACTCGTGGTCAGGACGCGAGGTAGAGTCTGGTTCTGGATTTTTTAGCTCTTACTCATCATCGCCCGCCAAGTCGGCTCCCATCACTATCCCTTCCTCGCAGTCTGGTGCAGAGCGCCCTCAGGTTGGATCGACTAGCTATGTTGATCTCGTGGATCGTTACTGCTTCTATGAGCCCAGTCCTCATTCGAGCCCCTACTCAAGCTACCCTAACTCGCCCCCAGCACCTTGCATTCGAGGCTAAACATGAGATGTGTCGTATTCTTTCGACTATTCTCTCATCCTCTTACTTGTTAGTGCCGTCTGCTCTTTATTTCATGTACATAGCCCTATCATTCTTTTCGCCATTCTTTAGGATCTCCTCTCTTCGTATCCTTGCTGTTTGCTCTACTTCTGTATTTGTTGTCGTCGTTCTGCATTGCTGCCTTGGTCATCTTTTCTTTTTATGTATTCCAGCTTTCACACCGTTTGCCAGTTCAAGTTCGTTGCTTTTCTTTGTTTTCGCATGTAGTAAACCCATTGTAATTCTAGTTTGTCCCTTCCGTGTTCATATTAAAGTAAACGGTTTGCCAACGCAATAACGCAACCACCGTGTCTGCTTGTCGTGTCTTTTATGATTGCTAGTACCCCTGAAGATCCGAATATCTTGACCTGTAAGACCTGATTGCGAAAAATAAGGTTGGTGGCAACGCGGTCACTGCAAAAAAGCCACAACAACATAGCTCAACTGGCCAAAAAAAAAAAAAAAAAGAAAGAGGACCCCCTTTCTGTTTCTTCATATTCAACGAACCTCGACCTTCCAAGAGAACAGAACAACAAGAACTGGACCGGACTAAAATCAAGAGCAACGAAACCAGTTTCCAGGAGGACTCTTCCCATTCCATTACTTTTTCCACTCACTTTAACACCACCGCCACCAACAACAACGGCAGCAACAGAAAACCAGCTATGAGCAGCAACACCCAGCTCTTGTCGAGCGGTTCAGAAATCTATGCCAAGAAGCGAAAGGCGCGCCAGGACCAGGTTGCGGAAGTGACATTCGATCCTGAAGCTAGAAAGTACGCCCCATATTCCCGCTTCCTGGCTTCGCCCTGTCGTGTGGGAAAGTGATTGTAGTTTGTTTGTTTGTTTTTTACTTATAGGAAATCCGGTTTTACTCAATGACTATGGCATCGTTTAGGGAATATCTGACAGGATTTCATAAGCGCAAAGTCCATCGCCAAAACGTTGCCCGTGAACTCGCCAAGAAGAAGGAGCATGAGGAGAAACTCGAAGCCCGTAAAGAGGTGAGGAGATGCAAAGCAAAATTGAACCCAGTCCAGCTGCCAATTGCAATTTGCTGTTGCTGTTGTCGTTACTGACCGTCTATGTTTTTATTCCCCCCCCCCCTCATCCAGGCGAGAGCGGCAAAGAAGGAGATGCAGGAAGAAAAGATTCAGGAATACGAAAAGTACAGGCGACGTAAGTGCGCCTCCTCCTCATCATCAGCACTTCTAACTCTTTCAGTCGCTTCTCCGGTTTATTAATCACAACCGCCTTTATAATATTTTTTTTTCCTTTCCCTTCCTACATCCACTCCAACAGAGCTGAAGATAAAATACGGAGAGCCACTCAGCGACGAAGATGAAGATGCTACAACCGTATTTTCAGATGACGATGATAATGATGATAAGACTAAGGAGCCAAAGCAGAAAAAATTCAAGACTCCAACCTCTCTCACCACCGTCACTGTCATTGAAGACATGGACCAGGACGACGGCTTATTCGGTCTTCCCAAGAATAATACCGCAACCATGGAGAAGTCAAATAAGAAGAGCAGCAGCAATGGTGAAGAAGAAGATAATAATCAGGACGAAGAGAACGAGGAGAAAGGTGAGGGTGAAAGCGATAAGAAGAAGCAACGGATCGGATCTTCATCCGCAACGACCGCCAAGGGCGCCAAGAGGACTCAGCCTGAGAAGGAAAAGAAGAAGAAGTTTCGTAAGTCCTTCCTCCCTTCTTTGCCATCTATGACCGTTCAGAGAGAGAATCCATAATGAATTCCTAACATTTGATTTATCCTACTAAATTTGTTTCGTTGCACATACAGGATATGAAGGAAAGATGCAGCGCAAGGTCACAGCGTTCAAGGATAAACAGCGCGCCAATAGACCACCCGGCGGACGGGAGGAGCGCGGTGGAAAAGGTGGACGGGAGGAGCGCGGTGGAAAAGGTGGACGGGAGGAGCGCGGTGGAAGAGGTGGACGAGGAGGACGCGGCGGGGGAGGACGTGGACGTGGTCGTCGGTAAATCAGGACATACCCTCACTCTGCATTTTTTTTCTTTCACTCTTCCTTCATAATAAAATCATTACAACTGGTCCTCCCCATTTTCTTTTTGCAGTGCATGAGGTATACAGCAACTATGCTCCTCCTCCACGTTTATTACATTAACATTATTGGTTGAGATAAGTTTAAATAGCCTCGCAAGAATGTGCTCAGGGTTGCCCCAGAAACCACTGCACCACAACCGGACAATCGCCAATGACCGGATGGGCCACAATCCACTCCAAAAAGTACTCCAATTCCCTCCGTCGCTTCTCCACAAATGCCGGTCGGAACTTTCCCATCACCTTCTTTGGCGGAAGCTTGGGCATCCCCCGAAGGATGCTGCTGCACAACACCAACGTCGGCGACGACCCCGTACTGGCTCCAAATGCCCCAGACGATGTCCGTGAATGCCAATTCGATTCTCTATCCTCGTCCTCATCCTCGTCATCGTCGTTTCCGACGTTGCTGCCATGGTCTTCGCTGTAGCGAGGGCTCCTGCTGGTGACTGGAGTTGATGACGTTGAGATCACCACGGAGTTACGTCCAGACGACGGTAGTGAAAACAGCCCTCGGCCGCCATTGGCACGACTGGCAAGCCTGCTCTGGGCTTTAAGCATATCCACCAACTGTGCACGCAGGGCCACGAAATCAGAGTATCGTTTCCGAACACGAACGATCCGCTCTTGCAGTGGAGCAGAAATCGGCTCCTGTTCCGCCTGAAGTGTTGTCCTTGACTCCATGGATCCTGCGGTTGTCGAGGCACCATTCAGGAATGGCGAAATTGATTCCTCCACCGACTGTATCCCCGTCAGAAGTTGTTCTGCAGAGCGCCCCAGTTCCGGAAACGAGAGCGACCGGGTCATCATCAGCGAAGCCTTGCTCTGCGTGTTTGCGGTCGTTGAACGACCATCTTTCGCGGCTTCATCCATTACTCTAACTCCGGAATGCTCCCCAATCGATTGGATACTGCCACTGTTGTGGATGCTTCTGGAGTCCTCCGACGCATATCCAGCTTGAGACCCCCCAGCTCCTTCACCCCGTGCTCCATGTAACCCATCCTCTCTGCTCCTGCTTGGATTCGGAGGCGCCTGGAGTTTAGCCTTGGCAGGTTCACACAACTTCAGCGTAATATTATAAGCCGTAAATGATGCAATCCCCTTGCCCACCCGAATCGGGTTCCCAATCGCTACAGATTCTGCGAATGGCAGTCGGGGACTAACTCTGGGCTGCCACGGCTGACCCTGGTCTCTCTGACTCTGTCCCGATGATGCCAATACAGATGCGGAGGGTATGGTTGACCGTCCACGGGGCGGTGATCCGCCAAAAGGCCACTCAGAGGACGTGAGCGCACTGGGATAGCCGACCTCGATAGGCATGAGCACCTGTTTGTTACGACTCTCATGGCGTCCCTTCGATCGATTTCGCGATCGCGACCGCGAGATCCTGAACTGCCGCCTGCTACCTGATCTCTGACGGCGCAAAGGCCCAGTGCCGCGCGAAAGACCAGATCCCTCGCCCTGCGTCTCTGCCGTATCCGATTCCTATCGTGACATGAATTCTGTATTAGAATGCACTTTTATAGTTGTCTGCGATCCATAAACTCACATCTGTATTCATACCTCTGATTGCTGCCCACCGTCGTCTTCGTCCAAATGTCCGCCTTCCACGGAGATCTGGTTAGGCATCCGTTGAAGAAGACCTTCTCCCTGAAGAAAGTACGGTTGTGGAGCGGGCTCTGTTGGCGTCGGGTTCATAGCCCGCTCCAGATCCCTGGCCAGCTGAGAAATCCCCTCATCATCGTCCCACTTCGATCTCCCGCCATGGCCATAGCTGCGTGGTGTGCTGTTCACGCTTGCAGTCGTCTGAATCGGTGAAGGCTTGGGTTGCGAGCGCTGCAACGGAGGTGTTGATGGACTCTTGAATCCAGATGCCGATGATGATGAGTATGTCGAGGTCAGCGGTGAACTTGGCGTCGGCGGCTGTGAAGTCGGAGACTGAGAAGAGCTGCTTATCAAGGATGAGGTCAAGCCCTGGGTCGCGGCGTCCATTGCTCTCGATGGATCAGAAACCTCTCTGCTGTGGCTACCATGGTCCAGCTTTGATGCAGATCCTTCTGATAGGCTCCGTGATATTGAATGATCCATGACACTCGAGTACGATCCAGATTCATGACTTGATATCCTTAACGTTTCTGAGACCGACGTCGACTCGGAGCAGAATAAGCCCCGGGGTACCCTGCGTCTCTGAGACGGCATGTTTGACGATGGAGAATCGCCTTTTGTCGGGTTCGCGCTCTCTGCTCCCGCATATTTTGGTGTTGACGATGCTTTGGCTGTCGCTGCTGGTCCTGATACTGGTGTTTCCGCGTGTGCTTTAGCCGGTGGAGAAAATGCCGGATCTAGCGCCATACTGGTAGCATTTACGAGAGTACGAGATGTTGAGGATGTTGAAGATGTTGAGGATGTTAAAGCTGTTTTGGCAGAATTATGGTTGTTACCGACTTTTACACCCTTATCAGAAGTCTTCGCGACGGGCGAGTCGGTGGCAAAAGAGAGTGGTCCTTCGCTAAAAGCCATAGGTGTCGATCTTGTCACCTGTTTCGATGAACTAGCTGGGGTGAAAGTGCTTTTGGTAGCTGGCAGTGGTGATGGTATCAATGAGGGTTCCAAAGGACCCAAGGAATCCAAAGATCGTGTCGATGAAGTCGATTCAGCTGCTTTAACACCTGGTGAACTCGCGATTGCTGGGTTCAAACTCAGTGAACTGGGTGTTGTCGCTACCACTGGGACCGTTGCTACTGGAGGAAATCGCTGTACAGAGATAGATCCGCGTGCTGACGTCGAGAACGGTGACTTTGCAGTGAACTTGGGCGAAGTTGAAAAGATACCAACAGGATGTCGGTGCATCGATCCAGTCAATGGTGATGTTCCTGAAGCCATGGCCCCAACGTTCGAGTGAGAAATCCTTGCTGCTGCTGCAGGAACCGGCGTTGCTATTTCTGCTGCCGCTGTTTTGGCCGACTCCGGTTCCTGATGTCCATTCCCAAGCACAGCCTTGCTCTCGGCATCAGACGCGACTAGTGAATGGTTCCAGAATACAATTGATGTAGCCGTATTAGTACCCTCATATCACTCCCCGTGAAATCCCTCCTTGAACTCGTTGTGATATATGATCTGCTTACGTTTGAGGCCGTCTTTGATATGGACCTGTAGCACATCCATGTGCTCGCGCAAGATCCGGGGCTCATCCTCATCCTCGATGTCCTCCACGTGCTCCAGAGCGCTCTTTAATAATTTGCTAGCTTCCCATATCTGTTGACGCACATCAAGGGCTACAGTGGTGGGACAGCGATTGCGATAAAAGAAAATGATCAGGCCATGCTCTTCAACTGAACATAATCAAAACACAGGGTGCGATAGAACAAGCAAATACCTCGCTGACTTTGTTCTGAACATAGTGCCACTTCCTTTGGCGAAAGCGATTTTCGCGCCCCTTCGATCTCTCCCAGCAACCTGTCGCTGTGTCTTTGCAGGACCGCTGAGCGAAGAATGACGAAAGAACAAAAGATGTGAGTGCTTGACGGACAAAATAGCGAGTGAGAGGACCATGTTCAGGCATTGGTATGGCAAGTGCCCCAACACTCAAAGAACGAGGGAGGCCTCTCCTTTTCAACCTAATGCACTTACTGCTCACTTTCTGGGCCAATGTCAACAAGTCCCTGGCAGAAGTCCGTAGGTCAGAAGTCATCCATGCGACAGGAGCGAGTTGCTATCGGCTGTTATTCTTATTCTGCTCTGCCAATACGGGAAACAGAGCCGGAGGTGGAAAGCGCCCAATTTGGGAACAGTCGGACGAAGGGTGACAACACAGCTGAGATGAGAGAAAGTAAGGGCAAGGGGAGAATGACGAGATAGAGTCTGGAGCGTAGCTTCGTGGCAGGTGGTCAGCAAGTGGCTGCTAGTTTGTTGGGGTGGTTGTGCTGCAAGGGAGGAAAGACGGGGGGAGAGGGAGAGCGCTGAGCAGGACAGGTGAGAGACAGAGCGAGTAATGGAGGGGTTATCCGCGTGTATGCGCGTACGTGTGTGTGGTAGTGGGTGTGGGGAATGAGAGACAAGAGGGATGGGAAGAGATGACCTCCATGCGGAAATCTGATTGCATCCGTTCATCCCGGTCCCCAACAAGCGGGAGCGCCGAGTGGCGAAGCCTGATGATCCATTAGTCGCCTGTTTTAGGTTCGCGCTGTATGTTCTCGCAAAATATCGAAGACAACTGCTCCTAGTCATACCCATGGCCATTGAGCAAATGGCCCTTTTCTTTACTCGCAGTAGATCAGACGGAGAGAAAGGTGAACAGGCGACAGAAGGAGAACCGTATAATGGCCGTAAAAATACTATAGCACTGGCAAGAGCTGAACAGTAGAGAGTATTTCTCGCCGCATCTCATCAAAAGAAAGACGCGACGGCCCATTTTACTGAATCAGTTCCCGGTATTCGTACTTGCCATGTTTTTCTGTAATTCAAACCCGTGTGTCTACTCAGCTATAGTGCTTTTATCGGTCACTGTAGCAGTGCAGGTGTGCTGCTTGCCAAGGTCATATCCATCAGTCGCTACGTCCGCACGCGTCGCACTGTCAACCAAATCCGAAGCAATGTATAGTTGCGTTGCATGGGAATGACTATGCAAAATACTTCACCGCGACGAAGGTGCAGCGAGTATTCCTGTCTCCAAACTCAAGAGGATAGTGGTCGCGAGCAATTGAGGTAGTCTAGATATTACAGAACGTTTAGATGTCCGGATACAAGACCTTCCTGACAGCGATATGTAAGAAACATGGGCACTACAGACCCGTGCAGGATACATGTTGCAGAGAAAGAGATGCGCAATCATCCATGTAGTCGCGATCGCGAAATGCCCATGCTTCAAATTCCATTAGACTGTCCATTTTCAGCCCAGACCAGAACGCGTTACGCGAAAAAGGAGAGCCCTGTAGAAAAAAGGAAAAGACACCTCGTAGAAGAGCCTCGATAGACATTCGATCTGTCCACGCATTCCGCTCCTTCTCTTTCGTTCCTCCTGTTTCCCGCGCCCTCTTTTTTCTCACTATCTGTGTATGTTTCTCCTGTCTCCTCTCCTCTTCCACCGCAATCGATTGCACTCCACTTCAAGGGAACAGAACGAAATAAGGACGCGATCGGATAACTCCTGTTCTGGAGTGTATATCGTCCTGTTGTTGGGACCGCGCCCTCGCCTTTGTCTTTTCTACAATCCCCCATCTGCTCTTTTTTTCCCTCCATCCATCGCGGACCGTACCCACCCATAACACCTATCTCTTCTCTCCACTCCTTCTGGCTTTATTGTCCTCCTTTCTCAGCTAAGCTTTTTTAACCTTTCTACTTACTTTTATTTTTTTCTTTTTATTGTCCATTTGCTTTGTGGTAGCCTGTCTTCCTCCATTTCTCCGCTCTTCCTTGGCCATCCCCTTCACCTTCCATTCTATACCTAAAAGGACATATCTACCTTCACAGCCATCCGCTTCTTAACTGGCTGCAGTGCCCCTGCAAACCCTTCTCCCCCTCTCTCCGTCCAACAGCCATCCTACATTGCAGTAGCAAGCGGTAGACAAACAGGAGGCGAATGATCTGCATCACTTCCGAAGCTATCATCCTCCCTTGTTTCCCTTCCAGACACGGATTTATTACTACCTCACACAACCGATGGATCTGCCAAAGAGCAACATCATAGAGCCTTTCATGGAAAAGCTTGATTCCTCGTCTTTTAATGTCCTTGCTCGACGTGGCCACGACCAGCAGTCAAAGAACTCGCACAAATCGAAGAAACACGAACGCAGTTCAACCAACAACAACCCTGGTAAACATTCTGAACAACATCAAGAGCAGCAGAACCTCGCACAGCAACAAAATGGTCAAAGGGTTCTCGCACTGGCGCCCTTCGACCTAAAGTCGATTGTCAAAATGCCCAGGACACCTTTGCACATCGGACTAAAGTTTCCCAAGGATATAAGCCTTGAGCAGTTGCAGAAAATCATCAAGGACTTTCACAAGAACGAGACCAGGACCGATGTCCGCACGGAGCTGCCTATGGATTTTGAGCCGCAGAAAAGCATTTTTAGTTTTCTTTATACTATGAACACATTCAAAGATCCTACTGTGCGTACTCAAGTCTTGCGTCCTTATTTCGTAAACTTTGATGATCGACTCTCTAGAACGCTAGCACCAACAGTATCTTTTTTTCTTTTCGTTTAGGTTAATCTGCCCGGCTGTCCTGTCGCCTCGACTCCTTCGATCTCTGATGACACAGCCTCTGGACTGGTCTGGGGATGTGAAGCAGGGTAAGATAACATCTTATCCAACGCGTGTTTGTACTGCCAAAGCACATAACTGACAAAATCATATCGTGTTGGTGTTGACGATTGATAGCAATTTCTGCGCCGTACCCAATGTCTCTGTGCCATGCTTACCTGGTTTTTACTGCCCCGCAAATACAGCTCAACCTACTCTATGTTGCAAGGGATATCTCTGCAGCTCTGACACAACGACCATCGAAGTCTGCCCTGAAGGATTCTTTTGCCCCATAGCATCGACCAGAGCTGTAAGTTCTTTTATCACACTTGCACTCTCCAAATAGTGCACGCTCAACCCTTACTCATATACACCTATTCCGATCTCAGCTCCCGTGTAACTTTTTGTCATTTTGTCCCCGAGGAACCTCGGCTATTGAAAAGTATGGTCTTGGCGCCATCCTGCTCGCGTTTGCCCTTGTAGTCATGGGTATATTTTCAATTAAGAAACAGATTTTCCGCGCGCAGCGTATTCGCTACCGACAGCGGCTTCGAGAGCTCGGCGATGATAGCGACGACATGGAAAACGAAAGAAAACGTCAGGACGAGGCCGTAGGGTTGGCACAGTCGATTTTTCTGGAGGATCAGCAAAAACTTATGTTCGGATCGCGGACACGGGATCATGAGAGTGGACTGGACTTTGCGGTCAGTCAACGCAGTCTGGTCCTGGCTGCAGCTGCTGCTGGCAATATGAACGTCAGTACGATGACTCTCCCAAATGCAGAGCGCTCGTTTGATATTCGATTCGAGGAATTGGGATTAACCCTCCCAACCGGTGTTGACATCATCAAGGTGAATAGCATATATTCTCGATCTATCTTCAACGAACGTGGCTTCAGGATACTTAAAGATCCCTACACGTCTCGCTATCTTTTTCTTTGACCTATAGAAAATCAGCGGAAGACTGATTACTGGTAGAACATGCGCCGTGATGGGTCCATCTGGAGCTGGAAAAACAACTTTCTTATCTATCCTCGCTGGAAAGGTCCCCAAGACAGATGGAAGTATCAAGGTTAACGGCAAGGAACAGACGCTCAGTCTCTGGAAAAAGCTAATTGGATTCGTCCCTCAGGAGGATGTTATGTTGTCCGAGCTCACTGTCCGCGAGATTTTGATGGTATTAACACGCGCTTCTCAACCACCATGTTTGTCATAACGAAGTTTGTCAGGCACTAAGCTTACCTGGCAAGCCCTCTTACTTGTTTTGTTCTTTAGCACTCTGCGAAAATGCGTCAACCTGTTCATATGAGCAATAATGAGAAGCGCCTTAAGGTTTTAGAAGTCATTCAGTTCTTGGGCATCGGTCATATCATGGATAATCGTATTGGAGATGTCGAAACCCGTGGTGTCTCTGGCGGTGAACGCAAACGCGTCAACATTGGTATGGAGCTCGTCGCATCCCCTTCTATTTTGTTCTTGGATGAACCCACCTCCGGTCTCGACTCGGCTACATCGCTGGAAGTCTGCAAGCTGTTGAGGCAGATTGCACAAGAGCAGTTCTTGACGGTTGCAGCGGTCGTTCATTCGCCATCGCCACACGCGTTCAACCAATTCGATGACCTCCTCTTGCTTGGAGCAGGCGGACGCGCTGTGTATTCAGGACCGCGAGATGAGGCAGCTCAATATTTTGAGAGCATTGGATATCCTGTTCCCAGTGATGAGAATCCCGCAGACTTTTTCATTTCTCTTGCTGCTGGACGCGTTGACAAGGCGCAATATGCTGGCTATGACAGTCGGATTGATGGCTCCGAAAGGCCATCCTTTCAGCGCCAGGAGGATTCGAGATCCAACACTCCGAGGGAACGTATTAACGAGCTATTTGTTCGTTGGGAACAACACTGCAAGAACAAGGCTTTGGCTAAAACCTTGGAGAAGTATGCCATCCGTGAGAGCGAGACCATGGTTACTGTTCGTCTCTCCAATGACGGATCAAGGCAGGGCTCGCCTGATATGCGAGACTTGATAAAGCGATCAAGGTTTTATCCTGATGAGCAATATGAACTAGAGGCCAGAGAGAAACAACTGGCATCTTCCCATGAACGGGACTGTCAGGTATCGATCATGGCTATACACCAGCCATCGAGACCACAGTCGCCGGCACACAGCGTCCCAATGCCCAACGCTGAAGGATCGCCTATGGATAACAGGGACGCTGTGGAAGTCTACAAGAGCACTCGTCAAGGATTATTAACACCAATTCGCATGTCGCTCATCTCTTGGTGGGCTGATGTTTGCTACTGGTGTAAGGATGTTACCGATGAGTTTTCTCATTTTCTCTGGAGCATCAAGTGCAAGTTCACTGGAGAGAAGGATCCCGTACGTCAGACCCCGTCCTTTGGCAGTGTCTTTGTCCTTTGGTAAGATTTTCTTTTCTTTTCTTTTTTTTTTTTTTTGGTATTCAAGTTAACATTAACTTTTTTTTAGCTTCAAACGTGCCTGCTTGCAAAACTACCGTTCGCAATTGGAATTCTTGTCAGATCAAGCCCTGCATTTGTCCTGTGGTCTCTGCGTATCCTTTGCATCCAAGGATATGATGTATATCCGTAGGTCATTTCCACATTCACTTCTCTTTTTTCTGCCGTTGCTTTCTGTCTTAAATGTGACATTCACGGTTTAAATCATTTTCTCATTCGACGTTCCTAGCGCGACAGCCCGCTGAGATTTGTGCTATGGCTCCTCCATCGATCCAACTCTCATGTGCAACACCCATTGATGATATCCGCTACGTTGGCATGTTCATGACGCTGGGCGTCTTTTTTGCCGGAATCAGCGTCGGAGCATGCACATTTGGCGATGAGAAAGGTACCATTCATTTTGTCGTAGCTTTGCCGTATTATTTCAAAAGACATATCCAGTTATCTAATTGCCTTTTTTTTTTTCTATTTAACTTGACAGCTGTGTTTTGGCGCGATACATCTGCAGGCATGCCAACTCTTCCGTATTACCTTGCTAAGATTCTTGCGGATATCCCTCGCATCATCGTTGCTTGTAGGTACCATAAAAAGAACCTTCAACCACGGACCACTGGCAAGCACTACGCGGGAAAAAAAAAATTCTGACCTGTTCATCTCTCTCTTTTTAGCATGCATGTACACTGGAGCATTCATCTTCTTTTTCGCGTACCACGAGCAACTAGGCTCGCTTTTGCTTCTGGTTTTACTGCTGTACATCAATGCATTTTCGATAGGCTATTTCGTCTCGACGGTCGTCAGTCGCTCGATGTTTGGGTTGACGGGCACGGGTATGTCGCTCGCTTGGGCCTTGGTCCTCAGCGGCACTGCCCCTCGTTTGTACATGGTCATGAATGGCAACGGATACACCTACGTCCGCTGGATTTGGAACGTCAGTGCGCCTCGCTGGGCGGTCGAGGCATTTTATCTGAAGGAGGTTCAGGAGAGAAAGTATGTTCCCCATAATTCAAAATGTGGCGTTTACTAGTATCTATTTATTCGCGTCTATTAACAGCGTTTACTGTGATTTTTTTTTTTTTGCGCGTGTGTGCATAGTTACAATGAGCTCAAGCACAACGTCCTGGGAGATACATACGCGTTTGAAGATTATGAAAAGGCTATCCTGTATATGGTATACATCTTCTTGGGCTGGAATGCGATCTCGTTCTCGTTGATGAAGTTGCTCTACAGGCATAAGGTCAAATAGATAAATAAGAAAGCTGTTGGAGGACATGTAATGAATAATAAATATCTCGCTTAAATTCACCTTAGTTTTTTTTTTTTTTTTTACGGAGGCTTTCAAAGTCATTGAATTTATTAGCTGTGATCTGAAGGAAGCCTGTAGGCGAGTATAGAGTATATACAAACAACTAACTGTCCGCTTCGGCTATGTCGCAGCAGAACCGTAATTCATAACCAAGAACTACATGAGTGGTGAGCCGATAGCCCCTGCTCTTTTCATGGACTGTTGTGTGCAAAAGTAATCCTTTAGCCACGGTTCTCTGACATCCTAAGAAATTGATGTCCTCCCAACCGCTCCATTCACATCGGATACTTGTCATTGTGTCAGAATAGATCCCATAAATCATTGCTATTACGTATGTAGTCCCATCCATAAATCTCGCTCAAGTTCACCTACCTGAAAATAAAAAAAAAAGGTACAGGGTAGAGTCTTTTTTTTTTTTTTTATTAACATAAATCCCCATGAGGGTACAGGGTAGAGTCTCAAGAATGAAACGGGCAAAAAGTGCCTTGCGTATCCTATGTCCTATTACGCGTCCAGAACACGTTTTTGAATATTCTACCTCCTATATTTCCAACATGAATCCACAATAGACCCACCATGTATTCTGCAAGTAATAAATCGATCTTTTCATTCAGCTAACCAGTCAAAGAGTCTTCCAGAGGGTAGGCCAATCTTTTTTCCGCCATTTGGTTCAACGCTCATGGGAAATCCATCGAATTTATTTAATGCTTCCCACGAAGATATGTCTATATAAATGGATATATATGAGATCCTAAGGATGTCTCAAGTCATATAGGGTATTTGAGAGGGCTCCGGACGGGCCCTGGAGCCCCAGAAGCCGTAGACTCGACAGACAGGTATTTTTAGGGATATATATTTATAGGTGACACAACCCACAACGAGCGGCGTCCAATAGGCGATCTAGCTCGATGCAGTCACATGGGGATCTAGCTCAAATGGTAGAGCGCTCGCTTAGCATGCGAGAGGCACTGGGATCGATGCCCAGGTTCTCCAATTAACTCTTTTGGTTCTGTAGTTTTTTGGGGTTATTCTATTTGACAACCTGGGTTGCCACTCTTATTTGGCAACCCATGCGTATTGCCCAATAGCGCTTCGCGTTTTCATGGGCCTAGCGACGCATCCTCGTGTTCTGCTGTGTATAGATGGATAGTCCTCAAGTGCGCCAAGAACCGGTACGTGTATGTTGGGACGGAGTGTAGAGGTGCAATTCCAGCTGTGTAGATGGGAAGTGCCAGACTATATCAGCGTGTACAGTGTATGATTCCAAGCGAGCATAATTTATTGAACTAAGCTACATAGCAAATGTCTTTAGAAGACTACGGAGAATATTACCCCAAGTGTGCTTTAAGGCCTTCGGGGACCATGTATCTCATGTGCATGTGAGTCTGTTAAAAAAAAGAAGAAAAAACCCCTCAGCGGAATTAGGCGTAGCACTTTGGGCGTCATAGAACACTCAATTTATTTGAAATGCTGTCCTGTTCAACAAGGAAATACTTATGGGGAAGAGGTCATGCAGCCATGAAGCCAAGCTATGCACTGCTTAGCACAACTGTAATTCATAAATTCAAGGTATTATGGACTTCAATCCTTGCTGCTGTTCTTGCTGCTATTTTTTGGACCCCTCTTTTCCCCACCACCCCCACTCCTACAATATCACTGCTCATGATCACACTCGGCCTCCTAATAGCCTTGCTGGTCTTTGTCCGCCACCTCACTCATAATGTCCTCAATGATGGTGGCCTTAATCTCATGTTCCTCGTCGCTGTCAGCCGGCAGATTCTGAGAGTCGATAGACAGGGAAGGGGCGTCTCGAGTGCAGGCGGAGTAAACCGAACTAGCTTCTGATAAATCTGGTATGATGAATGGTGCTCCTTCATCTATATAACAACAACAGTACAATAGCGTTAGAAGACGTCGAAAGCGCAGGTAAGGTGTTGAGGAGATCTATGATATGCGAAAAACTGACGGACTGGAAGCTGTGATCTCTGTGTTCCTGTCGGGACACATATTATGTTCCATGCTTCTCAAAATCTGAACGCAAGAGGATGACACATTACTCAAATCCTCTACCATGTTCGCCATTGCATCCTCATTGTAATGGAGTCGACTGGTTATCTTTTGTACGTTCTTGACTCGCTCTGGTAATGATATGATCCTCTCGCCCAAATGCTTTACCATGTTGGACGTTGCGATTGCTGATGCCTCCGCGCTCTTGACTCGTCCATTCAGATCGTTTGCGAAGGGAATGAACTTCTCGTCCATCCATTGCAGTCGCTTGGTAACGGCGGTCAAATTCTCTGATATCGTTTCGTTGAAAGCCAAGGGGGCCGCAACTTGCGTGTTGTCCTGTGGAAGGATGGCGGTGGTAGTGACCGGCGGATGGCTAGGATGGACGTATGGGTGATACCTAGCGTTCGCTCCACTGGCTGCTGCTGCTGCTGAAACTATTACTGCTGTTGCTACTGTTGCTGCAGTGTCTGCAGTGGTGTTGCCATTTGGTTTTATGCGCGTGTAGCGACGTGAGGAACCTGAAAGGCCGGGAGGATCGGAAGAGCTTTTGAATAACCAAGAACGTTTCCGCTGGTGGTCCTGCACTCACGAAAGCGCGCTCGTGGGTTCGAGGAGAGGATTGACTTGTAGGGGCATTCATCACTGGTGCACACATAACACATATCATACGTGGGGTCTCTCTCCACATCAACCATGATGTGGGTCGAAGGGTTCACAAATGAGATCTTTGGGGTGGCATGAGAGCGTAGCTTATGATTGGCGGTCTGCTTCTCTATAATAGCTCCTCCTTTCTTGAAATTTGCGAGAATCGACATGGATTCAGAGAACTGAGCTGAAAAAAGGAACATGCAAAACAGGCACAAACCGTTTGGTGAACCAGCACAAACCTTTTTTAGAAGTAGCACAAACCTTTTTTAGAAGTAGCACACACCTTTTATAGAAGCAGCACGGACCTCTTGGCAAAGCAGCATAAGCACAATCAGCGCACATGCTGGTTCACATTGCTTGTTAACATTTCACCCACTCACCATTCCTCTCTATCAACCATTGCACTGCGACTTAACAATCAGTTTTGTCGTCCCCGTTTTCGTTCTCGCTGACCATTAAGTGTTCGTCCATGGGCCTTTCATTAGCGGTCCTCATCATAGTAATCGTCGTCGTCAAAAGGGAAATCGTTGTCATATTCGTTCTGACTGGCCGTTGCAAAGTACGTCTGAAGCGCAGAATTGCGTGTGCTGTGTGGAAAAAGGTGGTACGAAGACAAGAAGACTCTGCTATGTGAACCAGCATGTGCGCTGATTGTGCCTATGCTGCTTTGCCAAGAGGTCCGTGCTGCTTCTATAAAAAGTTTGTGCTGCTTCTAAAAAAGATTTGTGCTGGTTCGCCAAACGGTTTGTGCCTTCCTTTTTTCAGCTCACTGGATCAATTCTCACTTCCAATTCCTGATTAAGGGCGACTTCGACCTGCTTCACGTAACCTGAAGAATCAGAATGGGTTGGGTCTGAAGAACGGCTTTTTGCTCCGCCTTTTTAGCTGCTCTTCCAGCTAGTACGACGTGAATGAGACATGTTCGTCCTCTTTGCGGTGAACAGGTTGCCGGCACAGCTAAATAGACGCTCTGATGCTGCCGACGACGCTTGGATGTGCAAGACAGCCCGGGCAAGAATCTTCAAGAGAGTGAACCTAACACCCTTTTTGACCCACCAGTCCTCTGGGTGGTTAAAGTACTCTGCGTATTCTACCTTGTTTCTACTGACGTCGCTCAGATATCGATCGAGGTCGTCCCGAATGTCCTCGTGGAAGTCCTTGGCATTCAGCCCATACTGCTCTGCCCTCGGGTCACCGCGAAGAAGGCAGGAGTTTCCAGCCATCCTTACGAACGTGGCAAAAACCTGTTCCTTCGCGCTATCTAGAAGTGTCTCTGGTCCTGAACGTGAAAACATGCCATGCGATGCCGCTGCAGGATTCAAAAGTGTTGAAGCGAGGGCCACATGCGGAATGCCGTCCATTGGCCATCGCCTCTGCAGCTGCTCAACAAGGCTGGCCTGTAATGCAGTCGCATCGACTGTTGATGGTTCTCTTGGCTTGTTGATCATGTCGAAAATGGAAGGATAGATCTGAGAAATTGTCGATGTCTTCTCCCTGCTGATCTGGTTTGTGAACAACACTACAGGATCAAGTACATCGAGTACCTCTTTCGAGGTGCTAACTTCCTCATCCGTGATAAGAGCGCCACAGAGCATTGCCAAATACTTCTTGTCTTCCTTGGCAGTCGACGCGCTCAGCTTCTCCTCCGCTTGCTTGAGTGCCGGGAGCAGCATTAGGAGGCGCATGGCAATAGCATGCTTCGAGTTCCATCGAGTCGGGGTAACCGTCAAAGCGCCCAATGGTCCTCCAAAGTCCGACACTTGCTCCTTCGTAAGAACACGATTGATTCCTGAAGTATTCCGAATGAGCGAAGAGAGCACGTTGCATTTGCCAAATAGGACGTCTGCGCCTGGGGTTAGCCTCAACGCATCGGCGGCGCAAAGCTGTATATTGTGAGCGGAACACAGGAGCCACGAACCGCCAACTGCTTTGTAATCCGAGTTCAGTTTGCTCATGAATTTCTTGAAGTAAGGGTTCTTGAGAAACGTGAGCGGCACTTGAGATACTGTGAGCGCCAAGGTGAGAAGGAGGGAGAGTTCCTGCGTTTTTTCGGCCGACATGCCGGGCAATTTGGCACTTGACAGTGATCTGGAAGTCTTTCGTTTCAATTTTCTCTTTGAAATCGTCCTTCCTTTACGCCTCGAAGTCCCCGCATTGGTATTGCTGTCGCTGTTGCCAGTATCGATGTTGTTGAGCTGTTGCAATCGCTCCCGGTGATCCATTTGATAGGTCCGAAAGAGGTCAATTGCTTGGCTTACTTCCATATGTTTGTCTCGCAAGTGTCCTTCCAGATTTTGAGTTGTCGACCCAATGGCATACGAGGCTGCACACTGTTCGCCGTTGGGATACTGAAGGCGGCATTTTACCCTGTTACTGGCCTCGTCCAGAGTGAAAAAATGCATGTAATACTTCTGCGTCCTGACGAGCTTCCGCGAATGTGCCTGCATCAATGGATGATATGTGACAGGCCCCGTTGAGAGAATATCATTTGACGGTAATTCTCCTAGAGGCAGACTTAAATTTTCTACCCACTCTTGTGTTGTGATAGGAGACGGAGAGAACATGCCCAGGTCCGTTGTCAGCTCGCTTGTGATACTTGCAGGCGATTGGATATTGGGTCGTTGCCTCGACCTGACGGAGTGCATAGATGCCGAGGCCGTGGAGGAGGAGGTTGGTGAACTGATGATCACTTGAGATCCTCGATATTGGTAGATTTCGAGCCCCGTCGCACTTTGCATCAATTCCCCAGAAACTGGTCTATAATAAAGATGTGGCATGGGGATGCCTTGAGTCTAGGATGAGCAAAAACAAGTCAGAGCATGATTTTGGAAATCAGGCAAGAATACCATTACAGCTATATTACCTGTACCATATCGCCCGATGGGTTGTTCAAGGCAGGTGAAAGCAAAGGAGGAGGATGCCTTCCATGATGAAGATGTGTATTTCCAGTATTAATGTGCTGTAGAGTAGGAGGGGTACCAGCACCGTGGTCAAAGTCAGAAGGATGAAAACCTCGGCCATCGCCGCTATAGTACGGCGATGATGCGAATGCCCGAGACGAGCTGGCACCCGGGCCCGACTGCGAAGTGTTGACATGCCTTGTTGTGAAGTTTCTTGGTTCTTGCCAGGCGTCAACATTATTCATTTAAGCCAAGGATGGCATTGTCGGACGGAGATTTGAAACCGTGGATGAACGCGACAAAGGCCTCGAGGACGGAGTGGTGGGATGATGCCCGGCAAAATACACTGAGCGCTGCAGAGTCCTGCCCGCGGAAGCAGAACCCATGGAAGTTGAGCGGTCGAAATGAAGGGCAGGAGCGGGTGCCATATGCTCGTTGAGTGGTGGAGGGACGTACTCCTTGTAGGAGTTTAGGTCGTGGACGTTCAACGGCGTGCTAGGGTCATATCCTTCGCCAGGATCGCCTCTCCTGCAAAATTCCTGCTGTTTGTACTCAAGCTCTTCTCCGTGATCCATTTCCTCAAAGCTCAGGACCGGAACTAGTGGTGGCGGTGGTAGTGGTGTTGGTGTTGATAATGGGTGGCGATTCATGAACTAGTGATGGTGGTAATGGCAGATGAGAAAGGCAGCTGATTTAGCTGGAAAGTTAAGCGCTGAAATCTCTTGACGGCGTCATTTCAAACATCCGTGCGTTGCTGCTTTAAGCTTTTTCCGTGGGAAGGTCCAAAAGAGGGGTTGGATGGGATTCGTGGAAGTTGATTGGCAAACCATTTGCATAAGAAAACACATCTTTACGCGCGTCTCCGTTAAACTAGGAACAGTTAGTTACAGGCCAATATCGGTATTCGTACGTACTCGCCCGCTCTTTTTTGTCACATTTCTTTTTTTTTTCATTACGACGATTGCTGTAAAAGATCAGCATCATTTTATTGCTCCTGAAATTATGGGTTTGGATACAAACAATCACTCAAAGGAATGTTTTTTGTGTAGAGATATACATATATGAAAGATAGCCAGGCTAGTGTTCGTGGCCATGTAACTTTACTTTACAAAAGGAGTTCAGAGAAGGGTGAGGGAGATATGTACTATTATATATATTGATGAAGGAGGGATAAAGCGCGTTCTCTTGCTTTACATGAACTGAGCAAGGACGACAACTCCACCTCCGAGGGCCATCAAAGCCTTAGCGGGACCGCCAAGGGCGTTTCCGCTCGAGGGAGTGCTTGTGGGCTGAGGTCCGGTGGTGGTCGTAGCGATGGTGGTCGTAACGATGGTGGGGACACCGATGGTGATGCTCGTGACGATTGGGACAGTGATGGTCGCGGTCGAGGTCGCGGTCTCGACGGTGGTGGTAGGCGAGCCACTGCCAGAGGAAACGGTTGAGATGGGGTCAATGGTGATGACCGACCCAGTTGCGGTGCTGGAGCTGCTGCTCTTAGTCTTGTGGGCGGAAGAGACGGCCAACAAGGCAACGAGGACAACGATGGTAGCTGAGAACTTCATGGTTAGAGTAGATATGGGTGGTGTTTGGTCTTCTTGAAGAGGAGAGAGAGATAAGAGGCGAGTGTTTGGTTGCTAATGAGGAGGAGAAAATGGAAGGTGTGTACCGACTATTTATGCAGAAGTGAAAGTGTCGTCCACTGTTGGGCTGTAGAATACAGCTGAGGAGAGTGTTACTGGACCTAGGTCCTTGGATGTCATGGCAACATCATTGGTCTTCGATCCACACCATTAGACTATCCTAGCGCGGAAGAGTACGCATAGGGAGAAGTATCGTAGACTAGATATTCACCTGCATGATAACTCACCTTCGCCGATTTTTTGGACCCTATTTCCGATCTATGGGTTTAGCTGACACTTAATGATACCGTCGGTTTTTTTGTTTTGGAATCTCCCTTTAACCTCTGCGTATCGCAGTACAACAATTGATCTTTGGAGTGTTCTTTAAATTTCAAGACCTATTTTAAAAGATAGAAAGACTCGATTACCAAATGAGATTTTGGAGTACAGGCACTAAGTTCGCGTTTATCCTTTACTAGAGCCAAGGCCAATTGCGTGCAACGAGGCCCTGGACTTTGAACCTGAAGCTGAACTTATCAACCAACCACAGCAACATGGATCCTGCTGCCCTGAATCGCGCAGTACTGACTGATTTTTCTATATAAAATATACCCTTGCTACCACTGCACTTGATACTGCTTTTACTCTCATAACGGTCCAAAACAAAAAGACTGACGATGACCACGATACTCCAGGGGCTGATCACGGTCATTCTGGATCTGAAGGCAGAGCAAACGGACAGATTGAGTGAGCGCGGGAGATGTGTCTTGCATGACGATCGATCTCTGGAGCTTGGTATGCAAGTATTCCTTTGTTTGGTGTAGCATTTTAAGCTCCAGCTATCTGACTAACCATTGGAATCCTTGGTTGCAACTACTCCTTCCACTGTCCTTCCGCCAGTATGCCTAGCAAGGCACACCGGACCACCGTAAGGACTGAAGCAGCCACTGTATTATCGCCTTTCGCATTTTTCTTGGAGTTCACAGAGTTAGCGCAGGACTTCAGAATTCTTTTGCTTATGCATGAGCCACTATTACGGCTGTATGCGTAAATCTCTTACGGAAGCAGGATCAGAAACCTGGGCAGACCCTGCAGCTATCCAACGAGCACCAGCGAGAAGTTCGTATCGCTCCAAGGCATCAGTGCTTCGACAGTACATGATGCTGAAACTCGCGTTGGCGCGCCGGTTGATCCCTCCTGCGTCACTGCTGGGCAAAGTCGCAAGAGTGCTAGAGTTGTTGCAACCAATCGTTGCCTCTGTATGCCTCGATATTATGCTTCCCCTTCTTCAGTCAACGGGTCGCACATGGTATCATTAATTCTTTTTTATGTGCCTGACCACGGGCTTGCGCTTGGCTGCAGGGGATCATCCGTAGTCTGCTCTTTTTTTTTTTTTTTTTTTTTTTTTTGAACTAGATTGGTCGACATATCAAAGCAATAGGAATGTGAGCATGAGCGCGGACCCTCCTGCTCTGAATCGCATAGCTCTGACGAAGCCTCGATTGTTTGGTCCATTGGACCTACATCGAAACCACATGAGATCTAGGTGCAAGGATATGGAGCCCGACGCTTGCTTGGTCACCATTCGTCTCTTCCTTTGTTGCTAGAATATTTAACGTTACGGATTACAGGTTTTCCGTAACTGTCGAGCGCCATCCCCAGGTACCTTTCTCTTCAAATAAACAGCTTCGCAATCTTTCTCTTCAACTAAATGAAGATTGTAGTGGCTGTATCAGCATCCTTCAAAAACCCTTTCCATAGTAACCAATAGTATCATTTATACCATTCGCACCACGAGCAGATAACCTTCATTACAAGATACTGCCGGTCTTTGGTTGTGGCAGATCCAGCTCGCCTGATACGTTGGTTTTCCCACCTCAGTCGTATTCACTGTAGCCTATCGCTCGGGGCTTACGCACTGTAAACACATGCTCTCATAGATCTCTTCCCACTGAGTTTCATCCGGTGAAGATGAATATAAACGTATTGAAGATATGTAGCCTGCTGAATGTACTCGAGTGTTTGCAATGACCGGTATCTAATAGGTTTCTTATCAATGGAAGACATTTGATCCTTCTCATTAAGAACAAGGCACACCCTCATCCAAAACCAGCTCTGCCCATCATCGGACTGATAGAGATGTCAACGTATCTCAATAGCCCACGACTTGGAAGGAGGACACCATCTATAATCCGAAGATACAGGAGATGTAAGCTCATTGACACTACAGAATTTTATATACGGCCAAGTATCGTCATGGGAGCCTTCTAATTTGATAACAGAAAACAATCTCAAAGCGATGGGATGGGGGTCGCTCATGCAGTCGGGTATGCGACCTCAGTTTATTCGAGTAGTTTGTTTGGATGCAAGATACCGACAGGCAGGATTATGAGGAATTATATACGGGGACGGCGCTCTGGAACGATAGGTTCATTAGCAATATTTTTCAAGCAGTTTATGGACGATCTATCCAGCAAATCAACCTACGCTACAATTCATTAGGCCGGAAACATTATCAAGGGCAGGAGCGAGTACAGGAGTGACAGAAGGTTTTACCTGAACTTTCGCCTCTCAATCGAAAGTCTTTCGATTGTGCTTGTAGAGATGAAGTCTCTAAGCAGAACGAAGGCCCAAAACGCGGAAGATCATCGGGAACTTTTTGATGGACTGAACTTGGCCATAGTATCGGGGCTGTAGTAGAGTTTCTGGTGCCCGATCTTCGAGTAGAGACCTATGTGATGATTCTACAATGCTGGGCGTACTACATGTCCAGAACTTGGTCTTCAACTTGGATCAATAAAGTACGAAAGGAGGATATATGGCATGCGGACAACTCAACAAACAGAAAGCAGCCCGTCAGACTCAGAGAGATATGATGTCGAGGGCGATATGAACGCTCGAGATTATACTTCTAGTTTCCCATGAACGAAGGGTCCTTGAGAGCAGCAGCGGTTTGGCAATGGATCAGAGCCACAGCGACGACGAAGAGCTCGACTGCGTGGGCGTACTTCTCCTTCTTAGAAGAAGATTGAGAAAGGCAGGTCGGGTGTCTGCTGGCCTTTGGTTACATGGGAGGGCGAGGAAAAGAGGCAGCGCTGACGGGGACACAACCTAGTTTTTTTTTTTGTACCGCGATCAACAGCACACAACAGAACCATTGGTTTCTGCATGCATGGCACAAACAGAGGCACAAAAAAAAAAAAAAGCCCTCGTGCAGGAAGATAGACAGACCCCAACAACAGTACATCCACGACCATGTGCGGGTCAATCGATATTCCATCCTGCCATGTACAGTAGACAGCATATGCTTCTCTTCTCTTTCTTCTTCACAAACCACCTCTGACCTACCTTTTGTCGCTCTGCCCTCCCTGCTTATCTCCAACTTCCACTTTCATACCAAGAAGCCTCTTCAAACAATACTGATCATGAATTCTGAGCGACCCACTGTCCTGATCTCCACAGGCTCTGCTGCCGGCTCTTTAGCCGAAGTATCCGGAACTTCTGTGGTGAGTAAATATCCATGGAAATGCTCAAAGTGAGCACCATGGAAGGCTGATGTCGTGTGGCCAATCATCCCAACTACACGAGTGAATAAGCGCGACTCGGTCCCTTGAGGTGTCTGTTGATCTCGAATCGATCTGATTTGCCATCAACATCTGTGATCTCCCTTCAGTCTCGCCCCACTCTTTTTACGCCACCAATTGCACTGCGCTGGTAGGAACGACGTTGCTCATCTTTTCAGGGGCAGCGATCTTCAACGTGCGGGAATGTCTCAACGGCAAAACTTTATCCTCTCCCGCTTTCCCTCAGCGCACAAACACCACTCGTTTCTAGAAAACCGAGTTCCCTAACACCTTTCTTATTCCTCTTTTTGAAATGTCATTAGACGAAAGGATCGCAAAGGGCTTGCCTTTCAGCGCTGCCCTCGCCACCGCTGTCCCCACAGCAGAATCAGGATGTGTTTGCGAACCTGCTTCGCACCAATCCCTATAGCATGTTCGAGTCGGCCAGCGATCCTGCTGCAGCTTACAAGTGTCCCGAGGACGATGCCAAGGACGACGAAAGCGACCATGGTTACCCTTACCATCAGCAGTGGGCGCTGCAAGAACGAGAAGACCAACCAAGCCAGACATCAATGTCAATAGCATTGACAAGCAGAGACACAAACGTACCCGATATTATCATACCAACGCGAGAATGGATTCAGATGCACAGTCGTATCAGTTCTTTGGAGACAGAGATCGCTTATGTTACACGGACGAACCAGCTGCTGAACCAAGAACTGGACAAAGTCAATGGCTATGTACAGAAATTAACGAGTCAGGATGGCGAGGGATGGAAGAGGGAATACGAGTTTCTAGTTCAACAGGTGGATTTGATGCACCGGCAGTTGCAATTTGCGTATAGCCAAATGGGCCATGATCAAAGCAATGGAGTCGCTGGTCTGCAGGAACGACAGTCACGCGTAGAAGCAGAGGCGCAACCGGACGTGACGAGACAGCTCCGTGAAGAGGTCAAGGAACTCACGGGTTCGCTCAAGAACTGGCAGGTCGCACTTCACAAAGCAGAAGAGAACTATCGCCGCAAGTGTGGTACGTTCTCTTTAATGGACTACTTTCGATTGCCAAGCTATTTTTTTTTTTTTATTCCTGTAACTGACCTTTTTTTTATTTTATCCTTCAAGAGGGCGAACGCGTCCTTAAGCAAACGCTGCGAGAGCGCGAGATGCAGCTGTCTGGTCTGGTTGAAAAGATGAATGGATACGACAGTGAGTTCCACAAATCAATCACCAACTACGACGAGCTGTTGCGATTGTCATCAAGGCTGAGGGTTCTTGAGGAGAAGCAAAGCATGACGGCCGGTAGTATCAGTTCCTCAACGCCATCTGTCGATGGTAGCGCCGCAGACCTGACGGACGATCACATGCCCGGCGTCTTTCCTGAAAAACTGACTCAGCCATCTGCGGCGATCAATGTTAGTCAGCTTTCGGTATCCATGCTCTCTTGGGCCGCTCTTCTTGCCTCCTACATGCTTTCCTAATATACCACTATCAGCAGCTGTAGTCGCTTTGTATTTATATCCTGCACAAAAAAAAAAAAAAATACAGAGCAAAATACTCATAATCATTGGCAATGCTTCTCACGCCGCTTTGAGCGATAATAAGAATAAATGAAATGCAAAGTGAGAATGTCTATTGATAAGGATGGATTATGTGTGCTATTCCATGTCTTCGTCGCTGTCCTCTTCCTGCTCCTCTTTGTCCTCCCCACCGCTATCTTCATCACCGCTTTCGCTTCCTTCCTTTCCAGCTTCTTCCTCTTCCTCATCGTCCTCCTGAACAACGACAGCGGTTCCATTGGTCATGGGCGCCTCTACTGCTGCGTTTCGGGCTGCCGCAAAGGCATCGTGCCTCTCCTTGGCCATTCGCTCCTCCTCAGCTTTCCTTTGCGCCCGAAGGCTGACACGTTCGTCATCGCCATCCATCTCATCACCCTGCAGCCCCATGTCGTTCATATCGCCCATCATACTCATCAAATCCATCGCCTGAACTGTGTAATCGACTACATAGCTCCGAACTGTCAAAGCCTCAACTCTCTGGAAGTGACGCTCGCTATACGGCAAAAGACCATCCAAGAGGTCCTTGATACCGGGCACCTCGGTCATCTCCTGCACCTTACGTTCCCTCAAAATCGCATGTAGTACTGTCTGAGCAGGACGCATGTTCTTGGCATGGGTGTTCCAGTCACGAATATAGCCCAGCAACTTCGCAATTTGCTCCAATGATAAACCCTTTAGAACCTTGTCCACAGCCACCAGACCAGTGATCGATGTGTCGTGCTCGGGACGATCACGCATGATCTGGTTGAAGAGCTGCAGTAACCTAAAGGGCTGCTCCAGAGAGAGCGCGAGTGTAATGGCGTTCTTCCAGTCCTTGCGCTGAAGGTAGTTTGACAGCTCCTGTTCCTTGAGCACCTGGTCCGCCTTGGCCTGTTTCTTTTCCGCGTACTCGACCTCGGTGAAATCCTCCCAAAGGTTGATCATCGAGTCCGCACCTCCCGTCACGACCATATTCTCGTCCTTGCGCACCGTGAGTGCCCAAATCTTTTCCGTATGATTATCGAGAGTTGCCACGCACTCGTTTGTACGGATCGTCCATAGCTTGACCAATCCGTCCGATCCGCAAGAGACCAACTGAAGACCCGAAGTTAAGAAATCGACCTTGAGGATCGAGTTAGTGTGGCCTTCAAACGTCCGCAAACAGCTGAAGTCGTTCAGGGACCAAATTTTGATCGTCCTGTCGCCCGAGCTTGTGGCCAAACATTGGTCGACTGGCGAGAACTTGACTGACCAGACACCACGCTTATGGCCCTTGCAAGTTCCCATTAGTGTTCCTTCTTGGAGATTCCAGATCTTGGCCAGCTTATCCTGCGAGCCGGTAGCGAAAACCTTGTCGTTTGGCGCGATGGCGATGGCATTAATGTCCTTGTCGTGCGCCTGGATAGTGTAGTGGGACTTGAATCGGTGCTCCTCATTAGGCTCATTCAGATCTTAAAGAATTAAAGAAATATGTACTTGTAAGCGAATTGCTATTCAGTAAAGAATGAAGAAAGAAATGATGACGCATAGTTCTGCTAGTGATACTTACCGGCTGTGCTCAGATCCCAGCACTTGATTGTCCTGTCTTGAGATCCTGTCAACAAGAGTCCGTCCGTCTTCCTTGTCAAGGCTACAGCACCGATGGCCTCTGTATGGCCGACACATGTTCCTATGCACTTGTATCTCTCGTCCGCATCCTCGTTCTCAAGATCTAAGGTCCAGACCTTGGCCGTATTATCCTTCGAGCCCGATGCTAAAAGTGTTCCATCCGAGTTCCTGTCCAGGCAAATGACAATATCTGAGTGTCCATAGATGAGATCGCACTCGAATTCCTTCAAGTTGAAGACTCTGATCTGTTCGCTGTTGGCAGCTACTGCCAAATGTGTCTCCTCCTCTCCGATATAGGCAACATCAATAATCTCGTCGTTGTAACCGACAATCTGTTTCACGCGCTTCAGGTTGCTCTCGATATCGAAGAACAAAATGTTCTGATCGCTTGTGATTGACACCAATTGTTGCGATTGCGTATTATACCTATATAGTCATAGCATGTTGCGTTAGATCCAAATTTGGGTTAAACACCATATCCATGCGCAGGGCCCCTCCTATTAAGACTTACAAGACATCCGAGATCCCTGATTTGCTTCCCTGCTCCTCTTTCTGCTTGGCAATCAGCTCTCCAGATCGTAGATCCCAGATCCTGATGATACCAGCATCTCCTGCAGTATAAAACATCTCTCTGTCCGAGACGTCCTTGTCGCCAATGGTCTGAGCCTTTGATTTTTGCAGGATGCCGACCGTCTCGAGTGTTTCGTAAATCGGGTAGGTAGTGGCGAGTTTCATGGTGCTCAAATCCCAGACATTGACGACCTTATCGCGAGATCCACTGATCAATGTGTTGCCCGAGTTGGAGACGGCCAATCCGCGAATCACTGAAACATGAGACTCCAGCACCGCGACTGGCCTATATTTCGAAAACCAAAAAGTGATGCATTATTGAGTAACCCCCCGAATGACATGTGCATGGACTGAAGCCAAGAAACGCCAAGCTGACAAAGGAAAGAGACGAGAGGAATGCTTACTTCCTAGTCTTAAGATTCCAGACACGCACTGTGCAGTCATCAGCTCCTGAGCACAGCCACCATCTGGACTGATCAGGGTGGAAGAGTACGGCAGAGATAACGCCTCCATGTCCCTTGAAGTTGTGTGTACAGAATCCTCCTGCAATATCCCAGACCTTAACGGTGCTGTCGGCCGATCCAGTAGCCACTAGTGTTGAGGTTGGATCGATGGCCATGACAATAATGGGCGCCTCATGAGCCTTCAGGCTGCGGGTGAGTGTTCCTGTGCGAAGATCCCACGTCTTGAGCAAAAGACTCCTGCTGGCGCTGACAAGGGTTTTGCCATCGGGTGTCACTGCAAAGGTAGTAATGATCTCTGTGTCTCCCTTAAGTCTCCACAGCTTCTTTCCCGTCTTGATCTCAATCACATCAATATCCTCGCCCACTGTAGTAATGAGATACTGCTCGTCTTCAGATATGCAGACCTTGCCTCCGGTGTAGATAGACTCGATAGTCTGTGTAGATTTGAAGCTATTTTTTACAAAGAGCATACATTAGATTTATCCTCCAAATTCCTTGATACTGACAGCTTCAAGTTGATTTAAAAAACGTAAAAGGCGTGAGGGCCTAGTTACCTGGTCTTCAAGTGGATTTTGCCCTGAGGCGGTGCTTGAGCAGCCATGTTGATATATAGAGAAGCTGTGTGTTCTTTGCTCTCCCTCCAGTTTGTAGTGAAAGAAGGCCAAAGAAGGGTGGATAGCGCGAGTGCTCAGACGAAGGTGAATGTGAACGGAGGCGAGGCCAATGAACCACAGAAGGAAGAGTAGGAGCTGGAGGCACTTGAAGCTGAAAAAAAAAAAGAAGCGAAGGTTGAAATGTAAATAAACGTGACGGCTCTTAAAGGCGCCACTTTGTTTGGAGATCTCTACCACCCCCGCCCGGTCGTCGTGAATCAGCTCCGTAGCCCCTACCCGTTCAATCACCCCTCTTCTTCTACGGGAATCGCACGCTCCACTTGCAACCAATGATGCTGAGCACACTCAAGACAGGATTGTCCGCACGAGGACTGAATGCCGTGAGACTTGCCTCGATCGGTACCCGCTCTTTCAGGTACAGGAGAACACGACTTCGTGCAAGGCCCACTTCGCACTGTTGCTTCACCGGGGGAGGATGCTGAAGCTTGTACAGGGTACGGATATCGGTCCATAACTCAAGAACCGGTTCCTCTTTTTTGTTTCGTGATTATTTAGTACTCCTGTCAACAACACGCTGCCCGAGGATCTGTCCGAGGAGGACCGCCTCGTGTACGGCGAACCTATCCAGATCCCCACCACCCACAACATCACCGTCGCTCACCTTCATCTCCGATCCTATCTCCCTCACCAACTGGAATTCTTTGCCGACTTTGCTCGCCGTGCTGCCGCTGCTCTGGATATGCCCTGCTCAGGCACCATTCCCTTGCCTGTCCAGACCTCCAAGTGGACTGTCAACAAATCGCCCTTTATCTACAAGAAGGCACAGGAGACCTTTGAGAGGAAGACACATAAGCGCCTCTTGGCGATCAAGGACAGCCACCCAGACGTTGTCCGTCGTTGGGTTCAGTTCTTGAATCAGAACTCGTTGGGAGGAGTCGGTATGAAGGTTACGATTTGGGAGAACGAGGAATTGGGTGTAGGACAGAAGAGACTGGACAAGGCCAAGAAGGGTGAGAGCAGGAACCGATCTGTGGCCGAGACGATGAAGAATGCAGAGCAGGCTTTTGGAGCCGTTGATACGGAGCACATCTCCACAAGCGAAAGCCAGGGGCCATCCAAGGAGGTCAAGATCGTTGCAGACCGACTCTTGGCGGAGATGATGAAGGACATCGGCGGCGAAGAGGAAATTACAAATGACAGAAATGTACGCGACGCTTCTTCAGCAAGTACTTCTACCACCAACACAAAGGAATCGACAAAGGAATCGTCATCACACGCCGAAGAACTCGTGAATCCGGATCAGCCCACAGAATCCAACATCTCTGATGTAGTCGAACCCCTTGTGAGCGCATCCCCAACACTCGACTCTGACCTCTCAGAGGCGGTTGAGAAGACCGTCTCGGAGACCGCCACGAAACCAGACAAGCAGTAAATCGTGGACCTCCCCATCATAATCACCAACGCCAATAACTTCGCCACCACTGGCACTAGCATCATACGACGTGGTTGCATCGACTATCGTGTTTTAGAATCTTTGCGCAACTGCAGGACCACAACACCAACAGCGAAGAGTGCATGTAATAAAATTGTGTTTTTCTTGATCGACGACTGGAAGATGCCATTATTGGTATGAGGGCATTGTTATGGATAGCATCTGTGGGGGTCCTGGTGCCCCAGAAGTACTACTATCAGTGATCGGATCGAAGTAGGTATTTCCTTTTATGGGTCCAAGGGAGAGAAAGAAAAAGAAAAAGACCAAAAGCCACCGATCTAACAGAACTCTTGCCCTGCAGCCAGGACGCATAAAGCGACCGTCGGGATCGGAACTCTTCTTCTCTCTATCCCGCTCCATTCTAATCCCCTCTTGAACTCTCGATCTCCTCGGGCCATCCTCCGCACTCTAGGAAGAAGACAACTTTGCCTCCCTCCTTCCCAACACTCATCTTTACGCTTTCCCAACATTCGCACACAACCATGTCTGCTCTCCGATCACTCGTCTCCTCCACAACTGCCAAGGCTATTCGCCCCAGCTCGCTCCTCGTACCATCACAGCGCTTGTCTGCACACCCGACTGGTCGCCATATCTCTGCACCGTTGATCTCTGCCAGATACGAATCTCAGAGTGCTTTCGGCAAATTCGTCGAGACGCTAAAGGAGCAGATCAAGAAGAACAAGGAGCTGCAGGAGTCCGTCAGGAAATTGCAGGACGAGACCGGGAAGGTCGGAGAGAGTGATGCTTTGAAGAAGGCAAAGGATGCCTTTGAGAAGGCTAAGGTAAGAAGACGAAGATGGCTGGTCGCTTTCGAATGTTCACCGATCCACAACTGAATGTCACAGCCGAAAAACTAACACTGATTTATCTGATCTGGACATTTCATCATCAGGACGGCGCTGCCTCAGCTGGCGTTGCAACAGAAAAGTTGAAGCAGACGGCAGAGCAGTTGAAGAAAGCTACAGGAAAGATAGGAGAGACTGTCAGCGAAACATGGAAGGGAGCTGCTGAGAACGAGTTCGTTAAGGGATCCAAGGAGAAGGTACGCACGAATACTTCCAGGCAACATAATATCTTCCACTCGAAAGCAGAATGATCATGAATTCGTGTGTTATTTAGGAATGATTGCAGGTTCTTAATCGTACAATTGTTTGTTTGTGATTTTTAGATCTCTGAGACCGGAAAGGTGTTTGCCGAGACCATGGACTCTACTACAAAGCCCATCCGTGACAACGAATACTTCAAGAACGTTAAGGAGTCAGTAGAGACTGTCATCCAGGACACAGAGTCCAGATATGGAGGATACATCTCCAAGGCTGCTCGTCGTCGTGCTCGTGGACTGGATGTTAACTATTCTGCAAAGGATGCTAAGAAGGCCGCTCAGGCAGCTGTCCCAGAAACGAAGGAAGATGTCAAGTAAGATCCGTTTGAACCTTATTGATATATGTATTCTTTATATGCTTGATCTCCCGCCTAACATGGTATCGGTACACGTGTAATTTTCCGATGAATTAGTGCTGGTGAGTCCATGGTTCTCCACAAGGACTCTGCATGGAAGGAGTCCTGGAGCAAATTCAAGGAAACGAACCCTGTTGTCCAGGGCGTCTTTAACATGAAGAAGAGCTATGAGGACAGTGATAATGTCTTCGTTGCCTGGGCTCGCGTGGTCACTGACAAGATCTCGGACGTCTGGGGTAAGCAGCAGCAGCAAATAGCGCATGGCCCTGAATATTTCAACTTTAAATTGATGGGTTTCGTCTAATCGGTGGTGTGTTACTCATGTATTAGTATCTATGCTGGACGAGACTGAGAACGCCAAGACTATCAAAGCTCTTCAGATGATCGACCCTTCATTCAAGATGGATGCCTTTATGAAGGAATGTCGCGAATTTATCATTCCCGAGATCATGGATGCCGTTCTCAATACGGATTCTGAGACCTTGAACGAGTGGTGCTCGGAGGCGACTTATAACGTCTTGACGGCCGGGTTCCAGAACCAGATCGCTCAGGGGCTCGTTAGCGACTGCAAAATCTTGGAGCTTCGTAATGTCGAGTTGGTGTCCGCCAAGGTTCTGGAAAACGATGTACCTGTGCTCATCGTTTCGTTCAATACCCAAGAGGTCACTGTTTTCCGTAATCGTCTGACGCGCGAGGTTGTGTTTGGAAAGGAGGATGCGATTGAAGAGGCAACCTATGCCTGCGTCATGACTATTACGCCCGAGAATTTGAAAAACCCCTTGACCAGGGGAGTCCGCGTTATGGATATGGCCAAGCATAACAGCCGCGCCTACATCTAAAGTACCATTTTTTTTATTTCTCTGCTTTCATTTTTAATGCCCACGCAGTGTTATTGTCCTTTCTTTTTCTGCATTTCGCATGTACTTTGTACTTTTACAAAAAAAAAAAAATCTTCGGGAAGACAGCCAACAAGAAGTTCGACCCGCCATAGACAACAGCATGAGAGCGGCCTTCGAGAATAATGATGGTCGACTCGAGTAAAGTATTTTGACACAAGAAAAATCATTTTATTGCCATTTAATTGATTTGCTGACTGCTTTAAAGGTTAATAGCCTGGCTGCTCTTGGACTCATCCTCTGGGGTCCCGAACTTTATCGAAGTAAATTTGCTTGAATTACCTCCGTCTGACTGTAATACACACTTTACAAGGGTTGGAGAGGATGCAGTTGGTACAGCAACTGATGCTCACGCGCCTCTTTCCCCCCACAAGCTGCAGCTTCCCTAATCAGGACATGGAAAAGGCGCGCAAGTAGACCTGCGCGAATATGTGCAACCGCCACGTTGGTCCAGGCACGCCCAGGTCCAGCAATAAAAATTTCTGATACACGGCCAATGGCACACGCAATTAGTGAAACAGCATAGGGACTGATACAAAGGATAACCTTTTTGAGCAAGTTCAAACGAGAGAAAACTGTTCAAGATACGTCAGTAGGTTGTTCGGACGGAACCTTACAGCAAGAATAAAGGAGAGCACTGGGATGTTCAAAGACCAACCTGGTACAGATTACCATCGATCTTCTACTGCCATGTGAGCTTTATACACACATATACATATACATATACATATATATTTTATTTATTCTGTGAACCTCAATGTATAACATAGGCGATCAGTGAGACGGATACGACCCTCGATGATATGTTTGGGACCATTTTAAAATGCCTGTCTCACCAGCTGGTACGCTAAACTAGTTTATTCTAGTGGCCAGCAATCGCGATGACAGCTGCACCTTCACAAGAAAGTACCCGACGCCAACTGATGTAAGATAGGCTGTCGAATAAGAAAGAAAAAACACGCAAATTCAATGGCGGAGCATTAGCGAAAAACGGTGAAAGAAGGATTGAAAATGGACTGACTGGCTTTTAATATGCCATGGATGATACAACGCTATGACCAAAGCCGTTGGCGATATGAGCGTTGGCTGCTGGTATCAAAGGGTGAAATCCCATGCCACCCATGAGCCTCAGTTTGGCAGCAACATCCCTCCTTGCAATGATGCGTCGATGGCCAGTCCATTGCTCCAATAACTGCAAGACGGGCCCCACCATATCTTTGCTGAATTGATTTGTGTTCCTGTACGCAACCCCAGCCCAGGAGTATTTCCCTAGTTCCCGAATGTCGCCCGGTTCCATTCTTCTGAGCAATCGACCATTATATCTGTTGATGCCACTGACATTGTTATTTTCATTGCTGTTGGCGTTGCTTGTTGGGGCATGTCGCTCTTCGGAAGAAGCGGGACTCGATCCATAGATCATTTTTACGACGGCGATGGCTCGGGTGACATTGCTTTCAATGCTGCTATCCAGGTCATTGTTGAGCAGCCACTCAATATTCTTGATCTGTAAATGTGCTGCGGCGGCGATGAGTGCTGTGTCACTACCATGGGCTATTGCAGGCTTAAGTCCAGCCTCACGGAGACAGTCCAAGATGCGGTAGTCTTCTTGCATAGCGGCCACGACGTGAAATAGTGGTCGGCCCTGCATGGTATGGGACCGCTTTTGGTTCTGATCCTGGTTCTGGCTCTGCTCCTCGTTCTGCTCATTAGGCTGCCCAATGCATCGGTTCCTTGGCGGTCTGATATAGTTGATGGGCCTTGATCCGTTCAAGTGCATCTGCCGCGATTCGTTTATAAGGTTCAGAGCATAGATCTGAGCGTTGTCCATGGGGGCGATCGGTTTGCGGATATACTCTGGGATTTTGGCGCCTCGCATGATAAAGTACCTGAGCGCTTCGTAGCAATACTGCGTGTTGGACGAGACCAGCATCATGACGGGTGTATAACCCTGCAGGTTCTCGAGATTGATATCGGCGCCGAGTTCAACTAGAACCTTGATGGTATCCAAAGGTGATTCCAGAAACAAACAGGCCAGATGCAGGGCCGTGTCGCCAGTTTGCATACTGGACTCGTTGATGGGGTTGTAGGGCCGATGATATGCGAGGTAGTAGTTGAGTGCAGCGATATCGCCCACGAGGGGACAAAAGTAGACAGGCGTCTGCGGTGGGTTCGTAGACGAGTATGGAGTTGGTAGCGTTCGCTGGTCTCTGAATCGTGCGCGCGTGCCTATCAAACAAGACTTGAACGGTTAGAAACATAGTCTAATTAAATTAGCGCGTAAGCTTCTTGTTGCACTTACGATCGATATAGTCCACAGTTTCTCTCATGATTGGATCCTTGATATCAAATACCATCTTGTTCAGCATGTTGGAAGCCCGCTCTAGACTCGCCATTTTTGGCTCCAGCTGTGGGGGAACTGGCAGTGCAGCTGAAGTTGTACTGCTCGGGACCATAAAGCCCACCTGTACTGGGTAAACGGGTTCCGATAGCTTTTCGATGAGCATCTGAAGAATATCGATCACCACGTCGATTTTAAGGCGCCTAGTTGGGATGGCATCCCAACACTTGACCAGCAAGTCCCTATATTCGCGCGGCGTGCCCGGTATTATCTCCTCACGCCTTCCATCCATTAATTCTCTCAAAAGTCGTGGATCGCGCAGTCGAGCCACAAACGGGATTCTGCCTGAAGAGATGTGCCAAAAGATGACACCCAGACTGTAGACATCGCATGCAGCCGAGTACATCGGCCTCTGTGTCGGAAAACGCTCCGGTGCCAAGAATGAAGCCACGCCTACGGCTGCAGACAAGTCGTTAGTCTTTTCTTTGGAAGAAGACCGACTCAGACCGAAATCACAGATCATAGCCGTCATCTTGTCGTCCAACAGAATGTTGCCACTATGCAGATCGCGGTGATAGAATCCTGACTTGTGAAGGAACTCGAGTCCTTTGGTGATCTCAATCGACAGTCGATATCGTTCTTCCCAGGGTAGGTTACTGTGATTGTTTTCCAAAAACGAACACAGATTGCCGTTGGAGCAGTACTTCATAACCATGCACCGGACGCCCGTCCTTGGGTCGGTTGTCACTCCGTAAAAGGGCACGATAAAGTCATAGTCGTGCACTCGTTTCAGGATCTCGAGCTGGACAAGGAAAAGAAAATACATCAGTTCAGTGAACCTGACAATTTTATCAAGCTTCTGCTCGGTGGCTGGGTGTGTGTGTGGGAATGGCCATATTCTTTTACCTCTTGATCGAATTGTTCTACGCCCTCGTTGTGCTCCACCAATGCTCTCTTGAGAACAACCTGGAGCCTAGACCACTCTGCTCTATGGATCTCGCCGAATCCACCCTTCTTGAGCGGTTCAACCCCGGTGATATCCTTGTAGTCGATCTGTCGGTAGCTGCTGACAACTGTGCGCTGTAAAATTCTTGTGCGCTCACGTCGCAATGTCTCCTGGGTTTCAATTTCATGCGTATAGTGTTTGACTGCCTCGGTGCTCTCAGGCACTTGTTCCGCATTGTCTGATTCGGAGGTAGAAGCGGGCGCAGGTGCAGGTATAGTGTCAGTGATTCGTGCTGGCGCTCTGTGGCTGATGATCGGCGGAGCCGGAAATATGAGTGGCGATGAGGGGACCGATGAGCGGCGGCTATCATCACTGCTGTGTTCCTGAAGGTGTCCCAGGCTCTGATTGCCGTCGCTCAGATTTTGATCTTCAGCTTCGAACCATTGCGCGTGTCTTCTTTGACTATTGTCTTGGCCATCCTCTTCGCCGGACTTGTATGGGGTGCCCTCATCGTAGGGTTCATTTCGTTCGTTAAGAAGCTGAAGGCCATCCACGGGAGACGACGTCTCGTCAACATCCTCGTCTGGGTAAGACTCGGCTGTGGAAAGCGGAGGCGTATCTGTCCCCCTACGCGAGTACGATTTGATAGAGCTCCTCCGAGTAGGAATTAAGGAAGGAAAGAGCGAACTGCTGCTGCTGGTGTCGCTCCAACAGGAGAGTCCTGGATGCTGTGGTGGGAGTTGTCGCGGCAGTTGGTGTGTATGGTCCTGTGTATGAGTGTGTTGCCTTTGGTGCCGACAAAGAAGATTGGGGGAAAGCGACCGCACAGTTGCTGAACCGTGCCTGGATCTGTCGTTCACTACGGGAGACGTTGTGATCCTGTCGAAAGTCGTGTTGCTGCTCTGTGTGTTGCTAGAGTCTATGCTGCTGGGAGCGGGCGCGGAATAGAAGCTAGGCTGATAATCGCGAGAAAAGTTATCATCAAGGAGACGCGTATGGATGTCCTCATTCTCCTCGTTGATTGTGCGTTGGTTGTCTCTTGTTGAATGTTGCTGGTGCACCGAAGATAGGGATAAGGAGCTCTCAGAGGGGTCAGTTGTGCTGGCATACTCGGCATCAATATCGACATCGAAGGAGGTTGGCTGTTTTGGACGGGGGAGTGCATTGGGATTGATTTTCTTTGGTCGAACTGCTCCTGAGGGGGCTCGGACACCAGAGCGTCTGCTGAGTGTGGTGGAGGCCATGGTATGATTGTTGTTTTTGTGCAATGGCAAAAGTGAGTGAAAATACACGAGTGTGCTGTTCCCTTCTCAACGGAATAGAAGGAGAGGGATAGGATGTGCGTGAGAGAGAGAAAGAGAGAAAGAGAGAATTGGGGGGATCGACAGAGAAAGAAGGCAAGGAAAACAGGGGTCTTTATGAGGCATTGGACTGAACTAAGCATCGCCCTGCTCGCCACTCTGTTACACTCCTGGCTCCTTGCTTCCTGGCTGGGGTTTGTTGAGTGCTAAATGTTAAATGCTGATATGAGCAGGCTATATTTGATTTTTGTTTATTCACTTGGCACGAGCGGAGGGAGGCGGGAATGCATGTATGCACAAGCATAATATGTATATTGCATTTCTTCAAACATTTGTATGTAAACCATGCCTAAAAGGCGTGCGTGTAATTGCGAAGTGGGTTGTATCCAAGGAAGGGGAATAGGGAAGGTAACCATGGTGGCGGTGGGTTGTAATAGTTCCCCATTCTGTCTTGTACCCGGGCTCATGTTTATTACATAGCCACATGTGCATGTTTGTGCATTGAACGGAAGATCGTCAGATCATTAGGGCCATTAGAAACAGGTCAAATATAGCCAGGAAGGGCTCATATTCGCACCGCCCATATTTGAATGTCGACAGGGTACGTATCCGATCCATCTGCATCGCCTCATCTTGTCTTATTATTGGGCGTATATGTACAGAGTCCAGCCTATATTCCTAGGACGGAGTCCAGCCATTCCTCGTCATTCTTTCCGCCAGAACGCGGTGGAATCCTCTTGAGAGGCGGAAGGCCCTTTGGTGTGGACGTCCCTGATGTGCCCACGGTCCTTGTTCCTTTCGAGAGCAGTGGCGGCAGGCGAGCTTTTGGTTCACTGGACGTTGACTCTGTCGATTTTGAGGCAGCTGGGAGTCTTGTTGATAAGATCGAGGATGAGGCCGCGATCTTGGGCAAAGCGGCTGTAGAGGGTCGAGCGCTACCATAGGTCTTTGTAATGTCGAGCAGTTCATCCAGATCATCATCCATGGCTACTGTTCAGCAACAACGGAACAGGGACGTGTGCCAGAATAGGAAATCATTGATCAGAACACGCGAGAAGAAAATTGGATTGCTAACAATAGGTAGCCCTTATTTGTGCCTGTACCTTGCTTAGCCGCTTCTTGCATTCCCTGCGCTGCCTTGTTATATCCTGTAGGAGTATTCGAGGGCGAGGAGGTAATTCCTGTAGCCGCTGATGTGGGTTTGATCAGAATGTCCGAGGCTGCCTGGCCGCGCACGAGCTTTGGCACGATTGGCCTTCCGGTCGACATTGATACCTTCCCAAGCATATCCCGATCCAGCTAACAGGGCAGGATAGACAAGAAGTGGGTGTTGCGTGAGTGGCTCCATTCCTCGCGCTGTTTTGATTTTTTTTTTAGTCAGCTTTGACGCGTCTATCGAGCATACTCACCTCCTGGGCGTCAGTATCTCGAAGATTCAGTCGCTCCTTGATTGAGAGTGCCATTAGCGCCTTTTCAATATCATTTAGCCGAATCTCCAGCAGTTTCCGTGCCTGTTGCGACTCCATTGGATCCTGTGTGTCAACATCTTTTTCTGATTTGAAGCGGAAGTACGCTGCCGGATCGAACGTCTTTTTCTGATCTATAGAGTCGATTGTTTTTGAGCGAGGTAAGATGAGTTGTAGGGATATAGATCACGTAACGTTTAAAAACAGATGGGTATTTCCTTACCGGAGTCCTTTAACATATCTCTGAATGCGATCGTCTGGCGATCAATGCCTTGCTCCAGCTCTTCTGCCTCGGTAACTAGTTCACGAAATGACAGCATTTGGTTATCAATTACCTCCTTCGATAGTGCAGTCTTCATCAAAAAATGCGCCGCGTAACAAGGAGCTACGTTACCTTCTTCATTTCGTTCAATATACCGATCGGCATTGCTGACGATTTTGCGCCGTGCATAGCTTTTGCGGGGAGCTAATATAAGGCCATTATAACGTCGCATTGTTGTCAGATATCAAGTTCGCTACTTCCTTAAGCATACTCCAGAAACGTAGCAAAGCCAAACGCTCTTACCATCGTCAGAGTCTACTCCTTCATCCTCGTCTTCTTTCTGCTCACTGTCATTGCTCCTGCCTCTGTAGCCTCCCCGGCCTCCTCCTCGACCTCCTCTTGCGCCACCACCACTGCCTCCGCGGCCGCCACGGTGCCCTGCCGAACTCGCGTTTGGATCCACTGCCGTCCCTGCGACTCCACCTCCTCGACTCCTGACCTTATTGTGGTATTTCCTGGAGGCCGCTTGCTTATGTGGGTCAGGTCTCATTACGATTGCGATCGGACGTTGACCGAAGAGTTGATGTTGAAGGCAATTCAATTGTGACAATTGCCCTGGGTCTCAAAACCTGAATCTGACTGGTGCCACCACACACGCTTGCCATTTACGGCAATGCTGAAATTTCGTCTCGCTCCTGGACCAAATGTTATTACAGACGCTTTTTGAGGGGCGCCGTTGGCCATGGACGACAGAGCAAAGTCTGTGCCTGAGGAAGTGGTCAAGGCAGCGAAAATGACTACAGATCGCAGAACAAATCGCCCCATACTTACAGCCGAAGTTCGACTTTACCAAATTCAGGAGCCATTTCCGGAGCTTCCGTATTTTGATATTGGAAAATTACCTGCACTGTCGCCGTCCTCAGTGCTGGTGACGAGCCTAGGAGATCCCTACAATTCGAGGCTGCCTGGAGGCGATCAAAGTAAATACAGTGGGCTCGCGCGGTGATCGCCTAGATCGCGCAGGACAAACGGTCTATTTTTTATTTGAGGGCTCTCCAGATACCATTCATTCCACAGTCTTTTCTCCACGTCCATAAAGTACGGGCTGAAAGGACCACCGAGGCCATGGAATTGTGACTGCCCGTAATGGAGTGAGAGTGCTAGTGTGGTGTCTCGCTCCCTCTTTCTTCCTGAAGCCTTTTACACACTCCTTTTCTTCTTTTCTTGTTGTTGTAGCACACAATTCATTTCCTACTCCACTCTTGTCATCACACTCAAAAGCTCTACTGGCGCCAGCCCTTCTTCTTCTTCTCTCCCATCACTCTCATTCTCTCATTCTCCCGTGCCATTCTTTCTGTCCTTGGGCTGTTGCTACAAACAGCGACACGCCGGAAGAGCAAGAGCATAATACCGCCGCAAAAATAGAACATACTTCCCACAACTGCCGCCGTTTACACCTCATCGCTCCACCACTTACCGCGTCCCTCCCTCCCGACACCGAACCATGGCCCTTCATCAGAAGCCGCCGCAGCACGTCTTCATCCTCCCCACGCCCTGCGATCAGTACAATCCGCTCTTTGACACCGTCCAGTCTACAGAAAACTTTGTGCTCCAGCGTACAAAGGCCTCGAAAAGCCAGTTTTTGAACTCGTTTCTGGGTACCATCCAAAATGTGTAAGTGTAAAGTGGGATGGTATTGTCCGCTGTGGATGGTACCGATTGACAATGGCCAGTTGCAAATTGCTATTTATACAGAAGCATAGCCTGAATGCTCACCCAATGATCTTCGATGCAATTGGTAGCTTCGACACCAAACAGGCACCGTTTCGAATTCTGTTTCGGCGTCAAGTCAACGCTCAAGCGCTGATGATTGCCGAGGCAGAGACACAAAAGAGCATAGATCAGGCCTGGAGCTGGGTGCAGGGTAGGTTAGAGAAGATGTAAGCGATTTGAACGTGCATAACGCGTGTTTGTAAATGCCAGCTAATATTATTCTCACTATCAAACTCATTGACATCTCTCGATGTCCTAGACAACTTTGTGGTTGGACTACAAGTTCTGGATGATGCTCAGGAAAAGGAAGAATGGGTATTGACAAAGATTCGGTCGCTTGTGACACGAGCGGGTTAGTGCCTTGTTTATTTCTCGTAGCAAAAAGCACGCGTTGCACAAATGATTTATATTGATCATCGGCGGCGACTGACAAGGATTGCGTATCTACGATTGTAGATAAGGGAACGGACGATATCACCTCGGATGAGAAGGTCAGAAGCGCCTCCCGTGCTTTTCGCCAGACCTTCAATGTCCTGCCCTCAGAACGACTCGTCAGCTATTACTCGTGTTCATATCACGGCAAGATGATGAATCAGGGCTGGATGTATATCTCGGAGAATTACCTATGCTTTTATTCGTTCATGCTTGGGATGGAGACAAAGATCTTTTTGGAGCTGAAGGATATTGGCGATCTTCAAAAGGAAAAGAGTAAACGAGGTGTTTTTGCTGATGCCATTCGCGTCGTCATGAAGGATGAACAGGAGGTACGTGTTCCCTGCCGCTGATGCTTATTTGTCTCATTATGTTGCATCTGTCTTTAACTGATCTGCTAACAATGCGCAGTATTTCTTTTCCAACCTTTTTCATCGCGATGAAACGTACGATATGCTGGTCCAACTGACCACCTTGACTATGGAACGTTTGCTGAGGAGTACGGCACTGGAGCATGCACCCGGAATGTCTAACGGAGATGATTCAGAGAGCGTCAAGGATGTATTCTCTGTGGATGTCGACAGCTTAGACGGCACCGAGTCGTCGTATCCTCCTGCACCGACCACTCGACCCCTGCGGTTAGGTCTCGAGGAACAGAAGAGGGACAGTCAGTTCCAGCAGCGATTCACCTTGCCAACATCTGAGCATCTCATGGAAGAATCAAGTGCAACTATGGTCCAGGGAGATAAAACTGAGATGTATCACGGGCGACTATATTTGTCTGAATCCTTCCTTTGCTTCATTTGCGCGGATGCAAACCCTTGTCTACTTGCATTGCCTCTGTACACCATCCGTCGTGTCGAGAGAATGAACTCGCGCTCCGCCATGTACGCACTCAACATTTTGACATGGCATCAGATGAGAATTGTCTTCCGCCTCAACGGACCCAGAACGCAGTGTGAGAAATTTTGCGGCACCCTCAAGACTAATTTGAAACTGCAAGTGAGGGCGATGCGAGCGCTGAAGCCATTTCTCGCCACCTGTTTCTCAGAGGCGCTTTTAGCCGATCGCCCCGATGTTGCTGAGAAAGACTCTGGACTCGGATGGATTTTTGAGTTCCCGGGCGACCCCAAAAAGTAAGATGCGATTCACAACGATTTTCATTTTGATCTGCAACTCCTAGAGCTGTTCTGATCATGATGTCGCTATTCTATCTTTAGGCTTAAGAACAAGAGCAAGACCAAGCTCTGGCTTCAGTACTTGAAAGATAATGGACGAAACCTAACAATGACCAAGGTCGCCACATTTCCGAAACTTATTCGCGTTGGACTTCCGAACAAACTTCGTGGAGAGATTTGGGAGGCATGTTCTGGATCGCTCTTTCTCCGTTCGATGAATCCCGGAGAATATGCTAGACTGCTCAAAGATAACGAGGGCAAGATGTCCCTATCGCTGGAAGAAATCGAGAAGGACTTGAACAGGTTGATGCACTGCCCTCTTTCTGTAGTTCCACAAGTGCCAAGGGCGGCGTGTCTTTTATCGACTTACTAAGCTTTATGTTTTCCTCGCATAGATCATTACCGGAATACCAGGCATATCAGGCCAATCAAGGCATCAACCGCCTTCGAAATGTATTAAGTGCATATGCTTGGAAGAATCCAGACCTTGGCTATTGTCAGGCAATGAATATTGTTACAAGCGCCATCTTGATGTAAGTAGTATTTGACTCTGCAAATCATATTTCTGAAGCCGCAGATTGAATGGATTTCCCTAATGAAGGTTTTTTTGTTGTTGTTGGTAATGTAGCTATCAGAGCGAGGAGCAGGCCTTCTGGACGTTGAACGTGTTGTGCGATCGCCTTCTGCCGGGCTACTACAGCACGTCCATGTACGGTGCATTATTGGACCAGACTATTCTTGAGCATCTGCTGGAGAAGACCATGCCTATCCTAAGCAAGCACTTGAAAAAAGTCGATGTCCAGCTCTCCGTGGCCTGTCTTCCATGGTTCCTCAGTCTATTTATCAACTCGATGCCGCTCATTTACGCCTTCAGAGTCCTCGATTGCTTCTTCTTCGAAGGACCCAAAGTACTTTTCCAGATTAGCTTGGGTAAGCGGCAGATCATATCATTGATTTGGTGTTAGCTCAAACCAAGCTTGACTATGTACTAACTGCCTCGATTGCTTTATCTTATGAACAAATAGCTATCTTAAAGGTCAACGGCGATGAATTGCTTGCATCCCGAGACGATGGGGCATTCATGGACGTCCTGAAAAATTACTTTAATACCCTGGATCAGTCAGCGTTTCCCAACAGCACCAATCCAAAGGCGCGGGTACTGACAAAATTCAACGAGTTGATGTTAGTCGCCTACAAGGAATTTGAATCTGTGACACCGGAGCTCGTAGCAGAATTACGCAGGAACCATCAGCTTAAGGTCGTTCACAACATCGGAAGTTTCACTAAGCGTAGTACGCTTAGGAACATCAACCCTGGAAAGTTCTCAAAGGACGAGATGGGCGTTATCTACGACAGGTTTTACAATGCGTTGTTCTACGGCCGCCCTCAAGCCCGTGGCTCCAATAAGCAGGAGAATGCGCGAACCCTGGATGCGACTACGTTTGTGTCCTTCTTAGGAAGCATTGCCCACTGGGCGCAGGTTGAGGATGACCAGACAGAGGCGGGCGATGCCATTTCCTTCAATGGCTCCCCACATCATCGCAGACGGGGGTCCAACTCGACCACATCGACTGCTCGGGAACGTCGGCAGATTGTGGGCAGACATTTCATTAATCGGCTGTTTGAGCGGTTTGATCAAAATGGTACAGGCTTGCTCTCTCTGCAGCAAATCACGACTGGGCTGGACGACATGATCAACGGCGACCTTATGACACGTATGCAGTTCTTTTTTGAGTTGCACGACTTGAACAAGGATGGAGCACTGAGTCGTGATGAGATCTTGGGCATGTCAGAGAGTCTGCTGTTCATTTTCCGATTCGACGACGGCGATACGTATCTGGGAGCCATTTCGAATTTCATCCGCAACGCATTCGAGTTTGCGGAGAAGGTCGAGACACCCAAGGAGGAAGCAGAGCCCAGCGAAACTGTGGACGCGGAGAAGGACGCTAACGAGGACAGCACCTCTGATGTTTCGGACGAAAAGAAAGTTAAAGAGGGAGAAAGTACACCTACAGAAGACGTTAAGGAATCCTCTAAAGAAAAGTCAGCCAATGCGAGCGAAGAGCCCGAGATCCGAATGTCACTCCCTAGTTTCCGCATGGTGGTCCTGGCAGACGAATCATTAGAGAAATTTTTCGACTCTGGTTTCGCCAGTTCATTCAAGTTACTGGAGCCCATTGATCGTCAGCGTGGCCTGTTTGCGAGGGAGGTCTTTGATTCGTTGTTGTCCGAGGGAAGGAAGCTTGCAGGCAGCATTGCAGGCGGGATTCAAAGCAGGAATCGATCACAGCCATCTACTCCAGGCATACCCAACTCCGCGACGCCTCCTTCTGTATCGTCAGCACCCCTCCCCGAAAATTCGACTATGGATGGTACCAAGTCTGTCGATAAAGGCGAGATCGACTCGGACGAGAAGAGCTCTAAACCCGTACAGGATAAAGACAAGAGTGCTGACCGGACCGAAGATGAGGATGATGAAGACTACGAGGACGAAGAAGAGGACGGCGAAGGCGACGATTTGCTTGATGAGGTCGATAAGGTAGGCTTTGCAGGGTGACACGCACTCTCATTGATACCCAGAATTTCTTCTCAACATCTAACGTTTTCTCTTGTATTTGTATGGTCAAATTCTAGTTCCTGACAGAATTCGATCTGGAAAGCAGTGGAAAGAAGGATCTCGGACTGACCTCTGTAGCTGGAGCCGCCGATACCGCAAGCCTATAATACGCCTAATCTCGTGCATTCATATATACATACAAAATAAACCTGAACAGATATTTATTTACAATTATGTCAAATAATCTCGCCATAGAGCGCAAGCCCAATCAAGAAGATGCCCATTGCTGCCATCAGGGTTCCGTATGAAGTTGCAGGGACACTCCAACGATCTGGCATGAGTACTCCCCATATGACATACAAGATGCCATGGATCAAGGCAGCTGGGAGCAGCAACTTCCATCCAGAGTAACCCAGCCAACAGCACAGGCCAATGTGCACCATCATGCTAGAAGTTCGTCCCATAAGACTCCACCATGGACGATCAATGCCCAATAGATGCCTGGCCTCCTGTGCGGCAACAACCCTGTCTTTTGTATCCATATCATCTTCGTCCCCTGTATCCTTGACGCCGTTTTCGATGTCATTAATATCCACGACAGCCGCCGCTGTTGATTCGGACGTAGCAGATGTTCTGTTGTTGCTGGTGAGTACAGAGCGGTAATCATCGTCCGAAATCCATCGCGTATAGACTAGCGACTGCCCGATATAGTACAGGGTTTCGATGCCTGACCAGCCAAGTCCCAGCCAATATACGGCGCCAAAATCCGCTTCTATGCTCAGCGCTGTAATGATCCCCAGTCGAATGATTTCCTCTAGCAGGCCGGCCGAGAACAGCGTGGACAACTCGCACAGAAGTCCGTCTATATGGAGGACCTTGTAAAAGAGTGAAAAGAGCGGCCTCCTAGACGCGAATGCGGCCGCCCAGCCGACCATGCCAACTACGAATCGATCTATCGTAGCACAGTGTTTATTGTTTGGATGTTGTTAGCGCACTTGATCATGTGTGTCCGCGAGATGGAAAGGGGCATTGTCAAATCCACACGCACAGAGACTGAGCAAGGCACAAATGAAGAGAACGCTTACCCCAGCGCACGATAGAGTCATTATCAACAGATGGAAGTAATAGTAGCAGAGCGGCAAAGACGACCCAGATGGACAGCAATATTGGGGACAGTGCAACATAGGTCCAAAACAGCTGCCTCGAACTGACATTGTCTACATCGCCGACATCTGTCTTTCCAGAAGACGAAGTTCGGTGTTTCCCGGGCAGCAGAGAATCTGTGGAAGAGCAGGAGGAGGAATAAGTTGAGAACGAGGACCTTGAAGAGACGGATGCGTTGTCGTCTTGATCAGGAACTGTAATAAGAACAGATCGCCGAACAGTCGAGTTTCTTGAGCCTTGCCAGGGCCCTGAGACCAAATCGCCTGTTCCCGCGCCCATCCTGCCGCCTTCGCTTGCTGCTGCATCCGCGGCTGTGACTGAGCCATAGTTCTGATGCCGGCTGCTGAGCGGGGCTGACGACGAGGCCGAGTCGCTCAACCGACGTGGTGCTGAGGCCATGTCGCAATGATATACAGATAAAGCGGAGCGAATGAGGAAACAGCGAAGATAAAGCACTGAGGGGGGTTGGAGGAGAGCGGTGGTGTGAGAAGAAGGAGTATCGAGGGAGGAGGCGTGCCGACCCCTTTTGTTACAAATGCCGCACGCGCGCGCGCTGTGGTCACAGGGGCCCGCGTTGAGGCCCATAGGGAGCATCGCCCAGAGAGCGGAAGGATGTTCAGTGCTGCCCGTCACAAGCACGCGTGAACTTGACCCAGGCCGTTGGGTTCGTTGAATCATCCCCGCATTCACCTCATTCACCTTCGCTCGTGGCAGGACAGACAGACAGCACATCAACAGGACGCACGCCATGTCTACATCAACAGCCGCTGCAGTCGCCGCTGCTTCCACACCTGCCCAGCCAACGGGGGCTCATCTGGGCCACAGCTCCTTGAACATCGACTCTCTCCGCGACCTGGCACGCAAGGAGCTGGTCAACGTGCTTGACTCGGTACGGCGCCTTCATTCAGCCTCTGCTAAAGTCCTTATATTCAATGATAATGCCGCGACTAACATCGTCGACTACGATCCACGCTGGTTGAGAACAGGTTCAAGGCAAGAAAGGACTGGTGCTGGATCCCAATCTCAGTGGACCATTGAGTCTTATCGCAGAATTTGCGCTGTTGAAGGCAAGTCCAGGAACATGGTACTGGGATGCTGTGGACCGGATACGGCATCGCAAAGAAGGAAGATGGCGCTGACACTTGCTGGCCATTTCTGTGTTTCATAGGATCATGGCGTTGAGAAAATATACCACCTTCAGGCGGGACCATTGGAGACGGACTGCAAGAACCTCATCTATATCTGTCGACCCCAAGTCAACTATATGAAGTACATCGCAGGTAAAGAGGAGATATTAATCCAACAGAGTGGGCCATGAAAGAAATATACCGCTTACCTGGCTCTGACCGTGAGGAACTCTCGCTTTTATTTTACATAGAACATATTCATACTCACACCAGGGAATCTCAAGCAGGACCTTACACATACTCCCTCTTCTTTGTGCCAAGGCGAACTGCACTTTGCGAAAAAGTCCTGGAGGATGAGGGAGTTTTTGGCGAAATCACCAAGGGCGAATATCACCTGGATTTGATCCCTCTGGAGGACGATCTTTTAAGCCTGGAGTGGGACTCGACCTTCAAAGAACTATATCTCGATCAGGACACCACTTCGATTTACTATGCTGCCAAAGCTCTCATGCGGCTGCAAGGAATTTATGGCTGGTTCCCACGTATCCTCGGAAAGGGTGATTACTCAAAGGCGCTCTGCGACATGATGCTCCGGATGAGGCGCGAGATGGCCGTGGACGACCTGGACGCCTCACAGACGACGCAGATGTCCCAGAATATCGACTCCTTGATTATTATTGACCGTAGCGTGGATATGGTCACACCGCTTTGCACACAATTGACATATGAGGGACTGATCGACGAGATTTTCCACATCAAGAACTGTAAGTCTGACTTTGATGCTCAGACTATAGAACCCGTAAAAGGATTTGATTGCTGGTATTGTGTCAGTTGACCGTTTTCTTCGTTATCTGATACTAGCCTTTGTCGGGGTTGATGCAAGTCTGGTAAGTTCAGCGCCTGCTCCAACAGGAGCTGGATCAGCAGGTGGACCTATGGGTTCAGGTTCAGGTTCAGGGACGACAGTCCCAGGAAAGAAGAAGGTCCCGCTCAATGGGGGTGACAAGCTGTTTAGCGAAATCCGTGACCTCAACTTTGCGGTCGTCGGAGGTCTACTAAACAAAGTGGCGAAGCGTATCAACGCAGACTATGAGGAGCGACACAACGCCAAGACTGTGCCGCAAATTCGGCAGTTTATTGTGAAGATGGGCGGACTGGCTGCAGAGCACCAATCTCTTCGTCTTCGTAAGTAGTCCCACATTAACGAGGGGATCATATTGTCCATATACAGCGATTTTTACTAACGCTATTGCTCGACGACAAACAGATACATCGCTCGCAGAACAGATCATGGACTACACAATGACGGACGACTTTAACAAAATTCTGGAGGTTCAACAGAGTACGTGCCGTTGTATCGCAGCATATGGACAACTGTTGTTTGCGCTCCCTTTTTTTAACGCCTTTTCTTTTGTCTTTTATGCAGACATCGTAGCTGGTATTGCGACCAACAAGGAGCCGGAGTATATCGAGGAAATGATCAATAAGCAAGCACCGCTTGTCCAGGTCCTTCGTTTGCTCTGCCTCTACTCGCTCGTCAATAACGGACTGAAGCCTAAGCAGTTTGAATTCTTTAAGAAGGAGATTCTGGAGGCCTATGGATTCGAGCACATTCAGACGCTAGAAAATTTGCGTCGTCTGGGTATGCTGACGAAGCAAGTAGTGACAAAGAACCCCTACAGCCTTGTGCGCCGCAGTTTATCCTTGATTGTGGATGAAGTGAATGAGCACGCGCCAAACGATATCTCGTACGTTTATTCTGGATATGCACCTCTCAGTGTGAGACTGGTTCAATGTGTGGTGCAGCGGGGCAGGGATGGAAAGCAGGCTGGGGGGGCTGGCGGAAAGGGCCTCGGTCTTGGGGGTGGAAATGGATGGAAGGGCTTTGAGGATGTGCTGCGCATGCTCCCTGGGCGGACGTTTGATGAAAAGCAACGCGTGGATGACGGCCAACCGCTGTCTTCGAAGAGTAAGTGTCTCTCTTTTTTTTTTTTTTTTTTTTTTTTTTTTTGGGGACCATTAATTGGTCCAAGACATCAGAGAGCACAGCAATCGGACACTTACACATATGTATTCTGAAATAGGATCAAATGGCCAGCCAAGAATCTCGCTCGTATTCTTCCTCGGAGGATGCACATTTACGGAGGTATCGGCCACCCGATTCTTGGCCTCCCAAGAGGGAGGTCAACGCGACTTTGTGATTTGCACCACACAGATTTTGAACGGCAATACGCTGGTGGACTCGCTTGTGCAAAAAGTTCCAGACCTCCATGCTTCTGCATGACGATTGAGCTGAAAGGATAAACCTAACGAATATTTCGTCCGCAGCACTTGCAAGAGCCGACACTAAATCAAGCAGGCCATGAATAAACGAGGACTCAATGAAGGGGACCGAGCAGCGTACATGTGCATTAACTACATAGGCTACCGATGCCTGTGCTCTCGAATAAAGGGTTGAACTGAATAGATGCGCATGGACATGTGTCCTGCTGCATGTTTCTAGCGGGCAAGGGTGACGGCGGGCATTCATGCAGAAACAGAAAGGGAAACAAGACAGCGCCGTCGAGGGTATTATTTGTTTGTGTAAAAAAGCGAGGTCAAGGACCCCAGCCGGCAGGATCTGAAGAAGTGGATCCAAGGGCGAAAGGTGAAAGGAATAGAGGAACATAGGAACGAAGGAAGGTAAAGAAGGGTGGGGGAGGCAGAGTGCTTTAGAGCGCGGCAGGAACAGCTATGCGAGATGCATGTGAAGTCCTGCGCAGCCTGGGTAGGAGGTTAAGGAGAGGTTCTTGAGAAGACACGGGTCATTTTCTCGTAAGTCGGACTGACTAGCTGTGTTGAGACGCGCATTTTTTTATTCCCCTAGTCGCGGGCAAATGGTGCCTTTGATTAGCTTCGTTTCTGGGTGCGCCATGTGCGATACCCTTCAAAAGTTAAAAAAAAGGCGTGGCTGAGAGCCCATGAGAAGGTCCCTTCCCCCGTTTTTTTTTTTTTATTCTTCTCAACGGCTTTTCCCTGATTTGAAGCATTCAGCATTCGCGCCCTGCTCACTCGCTCGGGGCACCCATTTAAACAGACAGTTGGAGGATGAATGGTTTGTAGGGGGGTAATGAAAAGAAAAGAAAAGAAAGGGGGCGAGGGAGGCTGGGAACTACAGGCCACAGCGTGTTTGTGTATGCGCATGAATTTTCACAGCAGCAAAGCAAAAGGCAGATCAATGGGATTATTGGTTGGGGTGAAGCAACCTTGTCCGGGAGCGCGGGTCCCCGCCCATAGACTATCCTCTCGACCATGGTGGGTCAATGTTCTTGTCATTTCAATCGGTTATATTATAGTACAGTCTGGCATTTCCATTGGAGGTGTCGACACGACTTTCTGGATCCGTGGCAGCGTCAGCTAGATGAATTAGTCAAAAAAAGAATGCAGAGCAGAGACAAAGAACACCACACTATCCTTCAGCGCTCCGTACTGTTACTGTGAGGCTCGATTCTGGTCAACCTAAATGGAAGGACCGGCTCAATCAAGCAAAAAAAGCGCGACCCTGACGCCGTTTGCCCTTGGGGCACAGGTAAATCTTGTCCTTGGTCCCTTTTGCTGTCTTAAGAGAACATGCAGCTGCGGGCTACAGCCAAAAAAAAAAAAAAAAAAAAAAAAAAAAAGAAAACACTGGAGATCCGCTGATGACCCTTCCACGAGTATTGCTTGCCTTTAGATGTAAGACAAAGCATATCGACCCCCTCTCTTTAGAACTATGTAAAGACTGTGCATTGCTGTTGCTTTTGCTGCTGCATGAATGAGTCTGTGTAGATGGTGGCAAACGACTACGACGGTGGGTGTGCAAAGCATCAACGCGAACATCGATTCGATCGCGGGCAGAAAAAGGGTGACAACAATTGCAGGTGACCGGGGTCGTTTGTCAAACAAAATAGAAAGACGCCGTTCATTTTTGCAAAATGTAACCCGTTGGTAGACTATGTTCAGTTGCGGTCTTCGTATTAATGACCTTGCCCCCTTGCTTTTCCGTCCTTGTGCAAAGTAAAAGTTCAAGTAGGCAAACAAACAATCAGATCTCAGTGTATAAATAACGCATTCAAAAGATGCAGACATAGATTCAGATTCAGATTCAGGAACGTTGTTGAGCCTGTGCACAAGTTTAACCCTTCCATAGTTGCTGTGTTTAGTCACTATCCTTGGCTATTCATTAATAGGCACTTGTACATGGGCCGGATAAAACGCCGAGGCATGAATTGGTATTAGTGGTGCATCGCCCGCCACGCGAGGCCCCTGTCAATTAGATCTTTGTTGTAACACTGTTGTGTCTCATGCCATGCACATGAAGTATGCCCAATGTCCACACCATCTTGATCGGCAACAGTAGCACAAAAAGCGAAGATCGGCGCGGGACATGCGTTCCCTTCCGATCAAGCACTTGTTCTTTTATTTCGTGGCCAAGCTAAGCACCCCGTAGAAACATTCACAGTCAAGGACAGATGCACGAGACATGGGCTTGCAATAATGCAAACCTTTCTATTCATTCCAAGGTGCGAGCAAACAAAACAAGAAGCCAGCTAAGGGCCAAAGAAGCCATCCATTCCCTTCATACTCCCTACCTCCTTTATGCTTCTTTGTTCCGCACCCTACAATCCCAATAATCAAAGGGGTATAGAGTGCATTCGGGGGCCATTTGAATCGGAATTCCTCCTATATAGCAAAGTGATTTCGGCTGTGTTGGTGCGCTCGAGTGACTTCTCCCTCTTGTCGACCTGGATTTAATGCTCGATGCAGGCAGGATATCCTCTTACTTCTTGATTGAGCCAATGTGCTCACGGACGAGGTGCCCTCGTTTTGTGGTGCGGGGTAGGACCCAGGTAACAACGTGAACACAAGAGTAAATATTCAGGTTATAGCCAAGGGAACGAATAAGGACAAGGCTGTATAGACGATAGCTGTTAATACCACTCAATTGCTTAGATCGTGCGCGTGAATCTGGAAGGATAACATAGCAATTTTTTTCCTGCCCCTTTTGAAGTACCTTTTGAGCCCATTCAATTCGGTCCAGTAAATAAATGCGTGAGTTACTTGAGAGGGCTGGATGGATCCGCAATGGTACATCTCCCATTACCCCTCGATCTGTCACTAGCAACAACATTCACCGGATTTTCATTCCCTTGCTCGCTCTGTCTACTGGCGCAGAATGGGATCCCGCAATGAAATTCTCCCTAACGGAATACCGAGCGTGTTTTACTATCGAAAAAGGGAGTCGCATAGACTGCATATCCTAAAGCTGGGTAATATTTTTTTTTTTTTTTTTTTTTTTGCATTAGCTTGCCTTGCTTTGCTATGTGACGAGAATGACTGTACCGATCGCCAGCAATTTGTGGACTGGCACATAGCTGTTGCCCCTGACCTGGTCTTAGCATGCACACAATGCGTAGATAGTTTGTTTTCCTTAATGCATTAATAGCCTTTTTTTTTGGTTAACTTGGGGGTGGGGATGTTTTATTGCCTGCTTTGTTTTTTCTACTTTACCTGCATTAATATAGCCCATGCGCAATTCAGCTTCGCTCCCGAGTGCTTCGGTCGGTCCACGAAAAAGAGATACTGGCATGTTATGAACAACAGCATAGGAAGAAGTAAAGGAGTCATGGAATTACTGCCATGTCAAACAGAGCAGCATCGGGATAGGATCTGGGTTGAAATCGCTACATAACAAAATGCTTGCTTGCTGCAATGCATCCCTTGTTCTCTGGTCGAGTCCTGCTAGGGCCAACGCTCTCTGCCGCTCTGTCCCATATGGTTCGATGTTGTCCCTATGTAATATCCTGCAATGTTGAGGATATGATATTTCAATTGCATTCTATTCAATCGTTCCTGTTAGCGCGCACAGATACACTTCTCCTGGTTCTTTCGACGCGACTCGTTGCAAAAAAAAAAAAGCATTTATACCGTTGACATTTCATTCATCCCTCCCCCCAACTTTTCTGGTCTTCATTCTCTACTTTACTCCCATTACTCACAACTCACTGCTATCACCCCAATCCATATCAATCGTCCTACAAATTTCTGTAAGTAGCAGACGACTGGACTGCCATCACACTTTTATATTTTTATATCTTTATATTTTCATACTTCTTTTAAACTGTCGTGACAGGCGGGATCGGAGCACTGAACTATGAGTCCAAGCACGTCTGAGAAGAGGCTAGAAATGTAGATCGTTGGATCCAAACCTGCTAGCGGTGTCTTAGATTGGTCTTGGTGACCTTCGCCCTTTTGTCGCCTTCAGGGGCAAGGGCGTTAGCCATGGTGTTCATTGCCATTCATTATCGCCTTGTGCTTAAAGTGTATCCTTAACCTTACTCCTTTTTCCGTATCCACTTTCACCTCTCGTTATTTTCATTTCGCCGCTGGATCTTGTTGCTGTATCGTGCCCATCTTGGCTCAGACGGGGTTGTTTGAGGATTGAGCACTTTGAAAGAGAACATTATATCGGGAGGTATTTTTTCGAGCAAGAGGATGTCCCAACGACCCACAACCCCACGATATCATTCTCATCACTCCCCAGTACCCCACTCTGAGCCGCCCTCGCTGATCCGTTGTCCCTTGAGCCTTGGTCCTTGTTTCTTACTCTCTTCTGGGCTTCTAGTCAAATCCTCCTCGACTCCCACCTCTCACGCACACTTGCCCTATCTTTTTTTTCAGGGTCATAAATAGTATCCCTGCCCTCGTCTGCGGGTACCACACAGCATGTCCTTTCGTTCATCTTCGTCTCGTTTAACACCCTTCTCCAATAACAAAGTAAAACATGCATGCAGCCATGCCTGAGTCTTGCGCACGCTTGTGCACCTCCTGCTCGTTCATACCTTCAATCCTCATCCAGAGCACATTAATCCCCGCATGGCGCCATCTAATGTCAATTCGTGCTTCATTTTGTGTTCCCTTAGATAAATTTTCATCCCATCCCGGCCAGTACACCAGTTCCGGTGCTTCATACTCTCACCCATATACAACTGATCCAACTGGTCTTCTTCAAGAAACAGACCCCCCTCCACGCGCCTATGCCCTTGTCTCGACCTCCTCCAGCCATCCTCAGTAGCCGCAACGAACCCCCACCTTTCGCTCCCTCCATGAATCCCACCACCACATTCACTCTCACAGCCGTAGGGCTCCTGGCAACCAAAATCAAGTGCCAGTCCGAAAACAAAAAGGAGGCATACACCTTCCAATCAAAGTCTGACTCAGCCAGCCGCAACATGACAATCAAGGACTACAAAGGCAACCAGGTCTGCAAAGTCAAGAGCAAAGGCGAACATCTCTTGGACCTATACCTCACCACGGACTCCAAGGACATCAATGTGCAATTCCGAGACATGGTTGCCTTCAAAAAAGCTGTCGAGAAAAACGCCGCTGGTAATCTCAAGGCACCCCCCGTATACCAGCCCGGAGATGAGGATGACGAGCGAATGGACCCCCGATATGCCCCCGACCCGGCTTCACTGGGTATTCAGAATATCTGCTGGGCCTTTGAGTTTGAGGGTCGTATCTACCAATGGACGGCCAGTGGTGAGCATGGCATCCACTCCCCGCCAGGATCCGACGTCCTTGTGTGTCATTCGACAAGCGCTGGCCCACCAACCAAGGTCGCAAAGCTGGCAAGCAGCCATACCGGAGCCTCAGAGAAGTTGTTCATATCCAACGCATCAACGGCAAATGTTCTGGACAAGATAGGTCTCCAGATTCTGCTCTTAACCAGTGTTTTGAGTTTGATGGAGATTATGAACGACAGGAGCCGCGATCTGGTCGACTTTGACTAAAAAAAAAGAAAAAAGAAAAAGAAAAGAGGAGTTTTCACTACCACGCCGATGTCGATGTTGATTTCGTTTTTCAGGAAATTCAGTACAGGGGAGAGAGGGCCTACCCCGGAATGGTTTTTTTCTTGTTTGGCACGGTCAAAGATGTGAATAACCCCATGCATTTTATATTCTTCTTTTCTCCCAATTTTAATGTTACAAATGTGTTACCTTTTATGCCCACCTCACCGTCTATGATATTCTTGCTGTCATGCTTCAGCCCGTCCTTTATGCTTATATCTCATCCTTCTCTTTCTTTCTTAATAAGTTGTTTGCTTGCAAAAAATTTATATACATCAAACATAAAATTATCCGCCAAGAAATAAAGCTATATATCAGAAGCATCAGAATCGTTCACTTGTCTTCAGACGCGACAGGAAGATCTATGACACGAAGACGCGCAGTCGACTTGGCTGGAGATGCGTGGCTTGCATACAACGCGATTTCAACCAATCATACTGCAGCACTATTTGAACCTTCTGCTCAGGTTCCCCCAGAACCACCTTCTCATCCACTGAACCAAGAACCTTCAATTGATTAGCTGCTTGAACTCGATGGCCGATATAGCATCCGTACCAAAAAATACAACAGAACCTGTACCTGGCACTGAGCCAGCGCCTATTTCAAAAGCAGGACCAAGGTATGCGTGTGATGCTTCCCTTTAATGTCGATTTTGATCAACCAACCCATGGTGGCGAAGAGATGATTCCCCAGCTGTTATATCTTCATCTGAGCGGCAGATTCACTTAACCTATCCGATACCATCAGTACAACGATAGATTCAAACCGTCAAAACTACCTCAATAGCAGCAGGCTTGTGGAGGATGAAACAGTGGATCGAGAGGAGGACGAAGGGGAGAAAGATCTGGACGACGACGAGCTATTTGAGGAGCTAGAGAATGATGACTTTGGCATGGCAAGTCTGCGTGAGCAGAGGCTCGAGGAACTGAAAGAGGAGTAAGTGCAGCTGTTTCTCCAATGTTTCCATCGCGGATCTATCGCATAGTGACTTTCACCGTCTTACGAACAAATTCCGCCATCTTTCATCTTTTGAAGGATTGAAAAGAGAAAAATGACGGAGGAATATGACTACGGATCATACAAGGATCTTACGAACGAAAAGGAGGTCATGGATATCACTACCAAGATCAAGCACTGCGTGATTCACTTTTACCACTCGGATTTCAGACGGTGCATGATTATTGACAGGCATCTGGAGGTACGAATGTTCAAGAGGATGATACTCGGCGCAACATATGGAATTGCACATTGGGACAAGCGCAGCAACTTATTCAGCTCCATTTCTCCGATGTACTCACGGTAGACACTGGCGAAGAAGCACCTTAAAACCAAGTTCATGAAGATCAAAGTGGAGAACGCTCCGTTCCTGGTGGAGAAGCTACAAGTTAAAGTGTTACCCTGTGTCATTTCATTCACAGACGGCATTGCTGTCGATCGGTAAGTTCAACTCAAAGGCTTCCATCCCTCTTTCTATTTTTTCTTTCTTTCTTTCCGACTAGGAGATCGTGTACTGAATAACCTGTCGCCTTATGTTCTTGAATGTAGATTGACTGGGTTCGAGGAGCTTGGAAACACAGATAATTTCTCGACAGCCATGTTGGAATTGCGGTTTAAGACAGCGGGCCTTATCGAGGATGATATGAAAAAGGACAGCAGGAAGTTGAAGAAAAAGTCCATCTTTGGTAGGGACTATGGTTCTGATGAAGGAACGGACGACGAATAAATTAGTCACCAAAGAAGGAGTTATCAATAAATTGCTGTGAAATACTTGTCAGCCACTATTCACCACTCGCAGCGCGGTGAACTACAGGGTTCTGGACCTGTGTGTTTATGCTATCTCCGCATAATTCATTCTCTGCTCTCAAAGGACCAATACATGTCTATGTATACCATCCAACATCCGACGCCCAAAGTCGGGTGTACAGAACTGCTATGCCGCGGAATAAAGTTAAGTGTGGCCACTCAAGCATGTCAAAATGTATCGGCACAATCGTCAAAGAAGAACCACATAAAAACGCCAAGATTTTTTTCTCCGCTTAATAACAAAGGCAGTTTAGTCTTCTCTGTCCATGGTTGAATCGTTTAGCTCTGCTTGATTCGCTTGAGGATACCTCGTGAGCTAAGATGGCGAGCGAACCAAAAAAAAAAAAAAAAAAAAAAGCATTAGCCGCAATAACAAGAAAAAAGAAAAAAAAAAGCGCAGCAGCTGATCTAGTCGAGATACAGAGGCAAAGTACAATATATGGTCTCTTTTGTTCTAGGCAGATGGGTATGCGAAGATATGACGGAGTGGCGAAATATGACATCCTGACAACACTTTATCCACAAAGAAAGTCGGTTACTTGAAGTGGATAACCTTACAGGCATTGAAGTGGGCGTAATACATTCAACAAACCATGTAGCCACTGATGGCAGTGCATGTATATCCAGGGAGGAAGAGATGGGGCATTATGGCTTGTAAGAAAGACCAAAAACAGGCTTAGACCGGGTGGTTCGTGTGCTGAACCATGTTTATTTCTGAACAAAGATCATTTTGACAGTAAACTGTATATCCAACATACAGCCACTCGGAGCAATTGGGTTCAGAAGAGCCTGCAAAGTTCCAAGCATCTCCCAGCCTCATGTGGTGAGGCTATGTAGGTGTCAAAGTGGAAATTGTTCTTACAGCCCCATCTTGAAACGCCTTTGAGAAGTCAGTAAACCGAGTCTGTATCGTGTTAGATAATGTTGTAGTGCGAAACAGGCAACAGGCGCGCAAGGGGAGATTCGGGGGGACTCTCTACTAAGATACCTTGTGCCATAAAAACGTGGCACAGTTTTCTTTTTTGTTATGCAAGGCTAGCCCTTTGTCAGTAGGCATCTTTCGTTATACTCCCTTTCTTTTTCTTCCGCGCTCATGTGTCCCCCCTCCCTACATGCAAAGTCAGCTGCAATCTCTGCAGGGGCATGAACCACGACTCTATTCAATTGGGCCTCTTTTTTCTCTCCCTCTCTTTCTTTTTCCCTCGCTCTCACATAGCGTCTTTGTTTTTCTGAATTTATTGCCGATGTGAACCTGTTCTAGACTTCGCCTGCATATTCCTCCTGTACAATAACCCGCCCGCGACTGTCGCAAGGAAAGTAAGTTTTGCCATGGCGCAAAAGAGGCTACTATCAACAAACAAAGGCGGCGATGAAAAAGAAGGAAGCACGCATCGACACCAACAACGGTTCATTTCCCCCTGTTTAAACGCCACGCTCTTATTCACCATTTCCCCGGCCATACGTTAAACCACCAAAGACGTAAACAAAACAAGGTTGAGAATAAAGCGTAGACAAGTGGGACACATGTATGTTGCATGAAATCTCAAAGAACCCTGCACACCCCACATGGGGAAATCTCTCTTTGATTCTACAGCTGATCTACGTTCCTAGTGAAAAAAAAAAGCAATGTATAACTGATAGAAACAGGGAGGTCTTCTCAATATGAGGCTGGGGAATCTACAGAACAGGTAATCCCTTTTCCAACAAGGTGCGGCCAAGAGCGAGGAAGAAAAAAAACACTCTCAACAACAGTCAAGCAATGTGAGGATAATGATGGATGTTCATATCAGAAATCCAGCGCTCATTGTCCTCAGCAAGGCACACAGGGATTTCTCCAGAGTTAATGCTCATGGAGGACCATTCTAGACAAAAGAGTGCTTAGATATGCCAAGATATATAAATGCAGTTAATGGGAAGAGCTATCCCGCTCAGAAGACAGACGAAGGTTACACGAATGGCCCGATTTGGACCTTAAACAATTGGAAGTTTCTTTCGCGCTGGCTATGGAATTTAGATTTTGAACCCTCGTTTTTAAGTTGGTTTCGCTTATATTTGTATTGGCCATGCTTGGGTCTGAGAGTTCCGCAATTAGCGACGATGCTTAATTTCGAGGCAGCGGCCGATAATCTGGCGGAGGTTCCTTTAATCAGGAAAGTGCCTGCGAGAATGTATGACATCTGATAACCCACTAGAAGAGAAAGTAAGTCCATCTATCCTTTCCAGAGCTCGGCCCCTTACCTCTTACACTGGTTTCTATGCCTCCCCCTCTTTTTGTGGTTTTCATCGTGGTCGTACAATCTTTTCCAGGCGAAGGACGATGTCGAGATTTAAATTGAGGAATGGCTATGCATGTGCCCTATGAACTGGATCTTGTAGCCCTAAGGGTCGGTTGATCCTTTTTCTTTGTACTCTCGGCAGCCTACCTGCCATGTTTAGTTGACCAAAAGTCTCCGACAAGTAGCTGGTGATACCCAAATAGTTCTCATTGTCCATTCCATACTAAGCAGCACCAACATGATGATGATTTCATTCTTTCGTTGAATGCTTCGTTCCAGGTTGTCATCCTTCCTGGGTAGGGCTCCCTTCATATGGTCCAACAACATTACGATACAAATGTGGTATGAATATACGAAACCAACCCCGCTTTTTTATTTTTGGTTCTCAGCAGCAGGGTAGTGTCTCAATCCCTCGCAGACCTGCAGTTCCAGCGTCAACATTGGTACGTGTTTATTCATAGGCTTAGTTCACGCTGGTAAGGGAAGAGGGAGGTGAAAGCCACGCTTCGTGCAGAACACGATGAAACCGTGTAGATGCAAACAGCGCAAGTCCCCCAGAAATCCGTTCGCTGCTGTGATGTTTTTGCTCAGTCCAGCTTGCATTACACGCCCTCTAAACTATCCTCACTAGCTACAGAGGGAAACTGACCACAGACAGCCGAGCCACTATTTGGTCCGAATTGGGTATGTGGTAGAAGGCGAGTGGGATCTGGCGATGCATTCCTCCATTTTGGAGGCGTCTGTATTGGATTTGAAGAGGCAAGAGGCCCCGCCCAAGGTTGTGCTAGCATTGATTGTTTAACGTAGTTTTGTATCGTTCATAAAATGAATAAGAAATCCCATTCAGTCCACACTAGTTAGCGCTCAGAAAAGGCTCATTGCTGTATTTCCTCGGCCTCTGTTATCGAAGTTAACAGTTGATATTCTTCGCCGAGTGCACAGCAGTTGGAGGTGTCTTGACCATTGACTGCATGAGCCGTGCCATGTGCGGTGCTCGCCAAGATGGCTGTCGTGATTGGTGCAGCAAAGCCTGGCGCACAAAATAAACTTCAATGGGACCTACTTCACTACCTTGCGTTCCTTAACAGACCATTCACTACTTGGTCTCTTGGACAGCAAAATAACAGGTTTCGAGATAAAAATAATGCCATCTGTTCGCGCATCCAGCTTTATACGACAACCTACTTGTTTAAGATCGTCTCTATTAATTCGTTTTGAATACCGATTGTTCTTATTTGTCAACAGTGCACTCAAGAAGCCCCTCATTTTATCTGGCTTCCTTGGTGGCAGAACGTGGTAGCGTGCAAACATAAAATGCTGCCATAGTGAAGCATTGTGAGGAAAGCAAACAAAGGTTTGTTTGTAATGGATGAAGACAAGGGCAAAAAAAAAACTGCATGTTTTTTTTTCCTCTTGTCTGTCAACAGTCTGCACGTTGGCCTTGCGACTTTGGGGTGCTGTCTGCAAGTGGACTTAGTGGCCCTAATTAAATCTATTCTTTTTTATTGTTCAGTAATTTTTGTTTTCGCTGGTCTGTCTTCACGGTGAACATCGGCCGCCGGTCATGCTCGCCCACACAGAGGTTGACATGGTAGTGTCGAGTGGGATGCATTTCTTGTATAAAAAGATCCGAGCAATGGGTTTTCTCGTCGTTGTTCTCTCCACTCTCCTCTTTTGTCAATCAAGCATCCCTTTCCGTCCGCATTCTTGTGCTCCGCACCCACCACAGCCCTACAGCTTTCCTTATCTCCGTCCTTGACCCTCAAGAATACCGTCGCAGCAATCAACAAGAAACCTCCACGTCCTTCAAATCGCCTGCTCCCCAGTGACCTACTATAGACGCTTTCTACCCCCTACACAGTAATTTATTTCTTTCGATCCCCTCCTTCCTCGCACTGTCGCACAATTCCTTAAGAACGTTCCATTGCTCCTCTTCAGCTCCCTGCCATACATCCCCACATGACTACCCCAACACAACAGCCAAGGTCTGCAAGGCACTACCCCACATCACCTGCGCATTCAACCTTGTCCGCCTGTTTCCCCTTAACCAACCCTACGCATCTAACTCCAGCCACGACCACCATGACCCATCCTTCTCAGTTCGCTTATGCACCATTTTCAGCCTCCTCCAGCAGTGCCTCATCTTCATCAACAAAACCATCGTGCCCAAAAGCAGCCCCGGAGAATCCTGGTAGACCTCCTCGTCCACCAAATTCCTTCATTATCTATCGTAAAGAGCAGGTTGCAAATTATCCAAAGCTGACCACCGCAGAGCTCTCCCGAATCTTGGGCGAGAAGTGGTACAACGAACCACCAGAGCGCAAGGCTCACTACGCTAAACTCGCCAAGGAGGCCGAGCAGAAACACGCGCTTCAATATCCTGAATACAAGTACAGACCTGCAAAGCGCGGCACTGGGAAAAAAGCCAGGGCCATGCGGGCGGCTGCGGTCGCGGCTGTTAATGCGGTCTCTGAGCAGAATCTGGGACTCTTTCCTCCTGCCCCTCTCGCGAATTATGGCTCGCATCAGTACTCATCAGAGGTCCATTCAAGTATACATCCATATATGAATATAGTACACGATGGCCAGGTCCCCACGGCTCCCCTGTCCAGGCGAACAGAGCGTTCCACCGGATCTAGCAGCTCTAAGAATGGCCGCCGGTCTGGGCGTCCGACCCTGCGTGCCTCACCCTTCTCCATAGGCTCCACATTGTCATCTCTGACGCCGTCCTATAGCCTTGTCTCGTCTTCGACCCAGCGCCCATATCATTCCTTAGCAGCCGCGAGTTCCCTTTTCTTTGATATTCATGGTTCTACTCAATGGTCTGTCCCCCTCAACACAGCGTCGCCCATGACAACAGGCGTTAAATGCGAGGACGACGCGTCGTCCTGGTACCTGAACCAGTTGCTGAATGCAGACATGACTGCGGTCATGAGCATGTCTCCTCCACACGAGACTATAAGCCCATCTAACTCTGGCGAGATGATTCCAGACTTCCTTATGGCAAACCCTCCGATGATTTCTCCGCCTATGCCTAGACCTTCCGCATCGACACCGATGTTCTCTACACAGCCACCGTACCATGATGAAACCCCATTACAGTTCCTGCTCGATATGGAAGTACCCTTGCCCATGTCCACTTCGTTATCAGGGAACACCACCGTAGCTGCACAAGACACGATCTTCGATACTGCAGGTTTCGCAAGTCCGTACAGCACCTTGATGACCTGTCTTCCTTGCCCGATCCCGTTTCCGTCTCAGGGTGGTGGTCACTACGCGCTGTCGACGCTAAAGACCGAATCCCCGTTCATGACTCCTTCATTGATGGAGCAGGACATGATTATCTCGCCAGTGCTTTCGACGTGCTCCTCGTTCTCTCCGAGTATGTCGACCTCATCGCTGTTGTTAGAGAACCATGGTGGATATGATAGCACGGTATTGAGGTCGCAGCTGAGGAATGATGGAAAGTTGGATGTAGCAATGGTTGCGAACTTGCTGAATCAAAACTATCGAGGGCTTCCAATTGAACTATCCTAAAAAAAAAAATGGAAAAAGGCATCGGCGGAATGGTTTGAACAATTAGAGGTCAGTTTTGTAGTGCACCTCCATTTAAATTATGTATTTGTAAAGTCCTTCCCTTCTCTCTTTCTTCTCTCTCTTTCATTTTTCATTTTTTTTTTTAAAAAAAAATGCATATAAAGTCTCTTTCTGTTCGAGAACATAAAGTCTCTTCCTGTTCGAGAACATAAAGTCTTAACATGATGATCCTTCATCTTCAAGCTTATGAAGCCCCTCTTTCATTACAAGCACTGAGTCAAATTAATTCGAAAATCCTACATGTGCTGCCGAGTAAGTCGCGTTGATGTGGTTCTATTTATTGCGCATTGCTCAACAATGGAGCAAGAAAAGCTGAATGAGCCTCTATGGTGGTGTTATATACAATGAAAGGAATATAATACATGTTGTAGCTCTGAATGAATGATAGAAAAGAAGTAAAAAGGCTGAACCAGTCAGCCCAACTCCTTAAGAAACAATGCCGGAGAATATGGGTTCAAAAAAATGAGCTTAAGCAAACTGCCACTTGATCTGGATGACACCCTTGTCGAGGGGCGCAAGCTTCTTGAATACAGCCTGAGACATATCCAAGGCACCCGAAGAGCAGAACTGGGATGGGCAGGTATCAACGACCTTGGCATCGACGGTCTTGCCGTTGGCGGTGATGCGGACAGTGCGACCGCACTGGGCAGTGCCATCCATCTGCTCGGCGTTCATGGCGACGATCATGTCGTTCGTGTCAAAGGACTTGCCACAGGAGCCGGACTTATCGGTAAACCAGGTACCGCGGCCAGAGAACGTGGAGTCCTCGGCCCTGATAGGACCGTCAAAGTTGTCCTTGAGTCCCAAGTTAAGGATCGCGGTGGTGTTACGGCCTGGGGTGGCTGGAAGAACGATGGGAGCGGCCGTGGCGGCCATGGCGGCGGCGGCGAGAATGGCGAGCTTGTAGAAAACAGTCATGTTCAGGAGTGTTGTGGTAGAATGAAGTGGTGCTGAGTAGAAGCTGATTTTGTTTTGTTTCTTGTGGATGAAGACGTTGTGGACGAGGATGTAACTGTGGACGGATGCCACCCTTTTTATATACGATTTTTTTTTTTTTTGCTGGGGCTGAGATCAAAGGACGTGTGAGGCGCCGAGAACAATAGCGAGCCAGTATGGAGCATGAACATATACAAAAGCGGAAGAAAGGCAAGAGGCGGACTTGCGGTGGATCTTCCACGCGATCGGAGTGCTGGGTCCCTTCCCCAATCGTAGTCTGGCGGCGAATGATTCTCATCTCTCTCCCACACTCTGTGTGTGTGTACCTGTGCCCATGCATTTTAATTTCTCTCGCGCACCAAATAAGCTATCTGCCGTTAAATGCAATCTATTCAAGGTTTCACAACCAATCCGACGAGCCCAAGACGCCCCTGACTGGACTTTATCTGAATCAAACGAGTGACAGGGGGACAGGGGGACAGGGGGACAGGGGTCAGGTGCAGGCGACTGCTGATTCGATAAGTTTCGCCACAAGAAATCCACTATTGCAGGGCTGCACACGTTTTTCAGGGCAGCTGCCAATTAATCAAGGACAATCTAGCATCTGCCGAATGGTACAGAGAAAGATACCCAAGCAGAGGGGCCCAGAAGACTCAATCGTTATTGTTCTTCCGTCGAATGCCCCATTATGGAACAATTAGCGATTTGCCTTCAGATTCATTGTTCCCTCCATCGAAAGCCTCATTATGGGATTATAACCGTGGGCTCTATGGACCCTGCATTTGCTCCTGCTGCTGCTGCATCATCACAGCCCTATGCCCTAAGCGGTTGATCCAGGGCACAGTCCATGCAAGCTCGGTCTCCAGCCCAGGCGTAGGTACTCTAGGGGGGGGGGGGGGGGAAGGGTTCGCTACAGTTTAATTCCCAGAGCAGGGTACACCCCTCCTACAGACGTAGGCGTTGCCTTGCGCCCAGGCACCTTGAAGAAGACACCTTAAAGACGAAAAAGGCTCCCTGGCCTGGCCAACCTACTATATTGGCTGTTTCGTACAAAAGTTCGTCGTGCCACAAGCTATCTAGACCCATCAATATAAGAAGAACGGGCCTGTTTCTTCAGTTTGTAGACTGACATAAACTTAAAAAAAAGGAGGAAGAGAGACAGAGAGCGAGAAAGGTCGGCTCAATATCCTTCATCCCCTTAGTCGGGTCTGACGGTTCGCCGCAATTTTGTTCCCCGCACAAAAATGAACCCTTGTGCGTGCTCACAGCGGTCTGTTACGCAGACGTTTTTCAGTTGCGCGATATTGTCATGCGTGCATGCATGATGCGATGATGCGTGTACGATGTAAGCACGCGTCTGTTTTGTTTATTACATTCGGGTAATTGTGGAGAAGCATTAGTGGAGAAGAAATCACAAAACACTACAGCTGAAAACATCCAAAGAAGGTGAAGGTGTGGGAGAAGGGGGAGTATTGGGCTCTCGAATCCCTGCATATTTATAAAATATCGCGTCCATCACGCGTCGTTCATCGTCCGGAGAAATGAAAAAAGCGGGCAATCTGTTGACTCGATTGCTTTGCTTACACCTCGCGTGCACCCACCTTATTGGACTGTACGCCTTCTTCGCCCTCAAAGACCTCCTTCTCGTTCGGGTACTGCGGTAAAATCTCTGGCAAGGCGGACGCAGACCTCAGCGAGTTGATCAAACTACTCCAATCTTGACCACCAAGTCCCTGGTCCTGCACCATCTTCAAGTGTCTGTAGGCCAAATCCGCTGTCGGCAGCGACGCACCCGAATCTAGCGCTAGCTTCTGCATGTGACCAACATCCTTCAGCCCCAAATCGACCGAGAACCCGGCCTCCGTATGGGATACGTCTCCATTAGCCATCTTACGACTGTATTCGAGCCAGGTAGGCGCCGGGAAGAGGGCTTCGATGAACTTGAGGACGGACTCTTGATCGACATCGGCTTTCTCCGCCAGGGTCAAACCCTCAGCCAAGAGTTCCATGGTTCCGACAAAGAAAAAGTTCCCGAGCAGCTTGAAATTGCAGGCCTTGGCGACGTCCGTTGTCTTGAGATGGATGATGCTCTTGGACATGGTCGTGAAGTAGAGACACATCTTCTTGATAGCCTTCTCGTCCCCGCTTGTGACCCAAATCAGCTTGGCGGCCTTAGCGACGGGCGGTCGACCAAAGACAGGGCACTGGAGGTATGTATGTTGAGGATAGACCGAGAGTTGCTTGTACAGCTTTGTTGCCAGAGCCGGGTAGATGGTCGATGTCTCCACGAAAATGATCGAATGGTCAACCTGGCCTGCCAAATCAATGAGTTGTGTGTAGATCTCTTCCACTGCGGCATCGTCCGCCAAAGAGGTGAAAATCTGTGCAAAGCGTTTCAGAACAAACCGGAGAATCGCATGGCTATGGTGAGCTACGATACTTTGACAGACAGATAGGCAAATCATCCGCATCATAAACATCGTCTTACGATATTGCTCTGGGCAACCAGGTCCTCGATCGATTTAGCAACATGGGCGCCATGATGGTGAAGCTTTGCACTCTTTGCTGGGTCGCGATTCCAGACAGTCATGTTCAGGTGAAGCGAGGCCAGGTAACGGTGAAGGTTGTTGGCCATGCTGTAGCCCATCTCGCCGAGGCCGATCCATCCGATCCTGTCTTGTTGTTTGAGGTGGAAAAGGTGGTTCATGATTGTTGTGTAGTTGTATGGCTCGCAGGTCTTAAAAGGAAACGATTTGATTAAGGTAGCAATGGAGATGTGTGGGGTTTGCATAGAGGATCAAGTCGCTTTTATATCTATGAAGACGAAACCGGTGCAGCTAGCCAAAAACTGAAAGTGGGGTAACTAAAACGCTCTTTTCCCCTCCAGATACGAAACCCTGACGGATACTCTCGTGTCATAGTTGTGCCATCGTGATATCGTCCGTACATCCGTATAAAGGCGCGCTACGCACCAACGAGATGACCGAACGGGCAACTCAAAAGGGCGGGCAATTGTTTTCCACGTGACACCCGTCGAATAGCCCACGATAGTTTATTCTTGAGAATCGAGGTTGGAGAGCACCCTGGCCATATCGTCCTCCCCTGACGTTTCGTCCTCATCACCTGGCAAGGAGGTAACTAGCACTGTATATTTCTCCGGAGATTTCATCAAAAGGTGTGTTGCGGTCAAGCGATTTCCGAGGTTCGATCCCACAAACGAACTCGACGTGGAAGTTGCCAAGGGCATCATAGAGGCTTTAGCTTTTGATCCGCCTGCTGCTGCTATACCATTCATCGACGCTGAGGAAACTATCGGTGCAATTGGCATGTGTGATATACTAAATAATAAGCTGTTCTCCGCCCGTCTTCTGTATCCAGCGCTCACTTCCAGGATCCGAACAACCTGAAACGCTGTCAAGGTAGCCTCAGAGTCCACGTCAAGATTTGTCCAAATTGTAGGTATATCATAAAAACTATCGAGGAAATCTGTAATGTCGTCCCTGTCAAACGCATACTTGGAAACAGCCGCGACTAAAATGACACAAAGACGCTTGTTTAATTGCATATTCTCATCAGAGTAATTCTTAGAGCTGGGAAGTAAAGAACAGGTGCTGCTACATGACGGCGGAATAGGAAGAACATACCTCTGGTAATAACAATGGCACAGCGACCAAGGAAACAGCCAGGGTCTAGCTGAAGGAGCGAGCCTTTGCACTCGTCCCATGATATCCGATTCGTCATGTTAACCATGAAAAGGATTAAATCATATCGGACCACAGACTCCACAACGGTCTCTGTCGCCTGCTTTACCGAGTGCTCTGAGGCGAAACGTCGTAAGAGAGGCAGTGTTGCGCTGATATGCCCGTCCTTTTCGAGAGGTAATGTCTCTGCAGTCCTGAAACTGATATCGGTATTGGATTTGGGGGCAGCATCGGCCGAAGAGTTAGATGGTGGTGCAAGCTCTGAACGAATGCAGGATGCAAGTCGTCGTTTACCGATGCCTGCATGGCCTACAAGCTGAAAAGGATCAAACTGATCAGGACAAAGGAGATCGCCTCAGATTGCGGGCTAAATACTGCGCGACGCTTACTAAGATTGTAGCGGAGGACCGAGGGATCGTAAAGTCCATTGTGTCGTGTGTTCAGTGATGTTGAGACGAACAGCAGAGGGTCGCGCCTCAATTTTTATTGGACCAGGTTGAGGAGGGTGAACGCGCTGGAAAAGAGGATGGATCAGATTTGTGATGAGCGGAGCCTGTTCATCCGATGAACTGAGCACGGAATACAATGCGGCACACTCGAGACATTCCTGTATAGTGCTGCTTTTGGCCCCAGGGCGCCGAGGTTTAGACGACTTTGGATCATAAGGATCCAGGGCCGCCTTAATAAACCTTTTTTGCCGCCAATTTTTCATTGCATTGTTATTGGTCAGTTAACTAGTTGTGCTAGTCAATGACACGAGCAAGGACAAGGCAACTATTGCTGTACATGTAGGCCACCGGTGAAGGAATGCATCGACGGATTTCAGAGAGTCCAAACTCAGGGTCGCTCAGTCATCTGCCTGGGCCCGGCCTGTAGTGGTCGTCGGTCACCAGCGTATGGCTTAGCATGTATGTTGGACCCCAAGATCAGCCTCCAACACGGTCGAATCACAAAACACGTCTTCAAAAAATGTCTGTGTAACATTCCATCTCCGCGTTGTTGGCAGCCCTGCGACGCATAGACATTGAATTGCCACCAATTGTAGTGCTGAAAGTTCACCTTGGCCGTATTCTATTATAGCTTGGACCGGACAGGCTCTAGTCTAAATTTGATTTCTTTCATGCCTTTCGTAGCCGGGTTCCAATCGTCGTACAGCTTCTTCAGGCGCTCCATCTCTTCATTCAGGACTCCAACGCCGAGTGCCTTGAGCTCATCCATGACCCCACGCATGCCCCATGGCAGATAGAATGGGTTCAAGTGCTGCTTCGCACGGAAAGGATGCAATATGGGTTCGCTCCTAGCCATCTCGGATGTCAAACTTGCGGGAGGCTCAAGTAGGGCGCGTATAGCCAGCCTAAGAATAAAATAAGATGCAACATATTAGTAAAGTTGTATGCATTACCGCGCAGCGAGCACATTCCCGAAACAGTGGAAAAGGTGACTTACATGTAGACCTCGCGCTCCTCGTAAATGGTGGAATGCCCCTCTCCGTAAATGCTTCCCGCCACAACCTCGCTCAAATGCACCAGCACACCGTGGTCATCCATACCAGAGTTTCGAAGCCTCAATGAAAAGGAGATCAGGTTCGTCAAAAAGTCATCCTGATAGCTCGCTCCATCGATGTAGACCGCGCGCACAATGGATGGATGGTGGATAGCGGTCATAACTGCAGAATACAAGGGCACAACTTGGTCTTCCAATGAAGCAACGGCCGTGAACCGGATGCCAGATTTAAGAACTATCCTCAATGCCTCGCGGAACCTTTGGGAGATTTCCGTTTCAGAGTCCATGAATTCAAACAGCTCCTGAGCTGCTTCGGCTTCGAACCAGCGCACGATCAAATTACCCTTCAGAAACGGAAACGGGCCATGCGAGATCCCCGCCATGGCCAGAATTCCGACTCGCTGCATCTTGGGATCAGTTTCGCCGACACGCAGTATACCTTCTTGTATGAGTCTGGCCGTGAGGATCGTGCTAGTGGGCGTTCCTTGCGAATGTGTCGCCACCAAAACCAAGTCAGCCTCGTGAAGTGCGTTTCTCCATTTCTTGCTGTTGATTAGATTCTGGTACAGAATCTCGACCCTGTCCAAGACCTTGCCTTCTCCTTCAAGTGGAATGAGCGTAATGTCCTCGGACTCGAGCTCCACGTCGTGTATTTTGAGGTAATCTTGAAGCGCTAGATTCATCTCATCGCAGAATTTCTTGCTGGTTCCTGTGGGCTCTCCGATCACTGTCCGAATTAGTTTGACTGGAAACCATCCATGCACACCGATGATAGCGACCTTCTTGATGCCGTTCGCGCCTCGATGAAGCGCCTCGTCCTTTGGTGGAGAAGAAGGTGGTTGTTCTGTAGGCGCCTTGGAAAAAAGAAGGGAACTAAGAGCATTGACGGCGCTCTTCATAATAGATGGCGATCGTTGATGTCTTGGTCCTTCCACTGGTACGTCCATGGGCCCGACTGGAAGTGTAATAAGGCTCTGCCGAACGTCTGGATATTGTTCATAATAATCGGGCAGAACAACATTTTTCTTCTTCAAGATAACCTTGGACAGAGACGCCATTGCTTTGCCGGCCTCTTTGGCGATACTGTTCTTTTCGCCTTCACGCTCCTTGAGTTGCGCAAACGTTTGGCCATCCTTGAAATCGTCCTTGTAAACAAGGTCCTCCTTGGTGCCCTTGGCCTCAGCTAGCTCAGCCAAGGTCTGTCTTGAATCATCGCCGAGTTTGACCGTGTTTCCGTTCACATCCTTGCGCTCGCCTTCCTCATAATCCGTCACTTGATTGTTGGCACGTATTTGGTCCGCTGCGGATATAGCGTCCTCAGTCTTGTTACCGTAACCTGGAATAATAGACAGCCAGCTATATGCGCCTGTAACGGTTCCTGATGAAGCTGGGGTTGATTCCTTGTTGCTCTTGGCTACAGCAGTTCCCGGAGGCACAACTACACTCATTTCCGAGGTTCCTACGAGTGCTGGCGCAACAGGCCCACCTTCGTCGGACGAATCGGCCAGTTCAGTTTTTACTGCGATCGGCTGCTGGGCTGTCGATTCCAATGATAGCTCAGCTGAGGGGTCTGCTGACGATGACTGCAGTGCTGTGGATAAAGGTTTCGCGGTCTCCTTCACACTGGCGGGCCTCGAATTTGGTTCAATTAAGACATCGCCGCTTTTCCTGAGCTTGTTTGGCGAGCTCTCTTCGTCTTCATCCTTGGCACCGTATCCGAACAAAGACCATCGTTTCTTGCCACTGTTTGCTGGAGTATTGATGGTTCTGGCATGTGTAGGAGAAATGGCAAGTCCACTCGCCGTGACTTGATCAAGATCCATTCCTGTCGAAGTCGATTCTTGAGCGACTTCTTCTGTCGTCGAATCCTTGGCTGAGGCTGATTCTGAAGCGACGTTCTCCTGGTTGACGGTAAACTTGCTCCAGAGTATCGCAGAGAGTGAACCCTGAGTAGAGGATACGGAGCCTCGCCGGACACCCGTCGATGCTGCCAACTTGGAGTGCTTGATCATAGTCGAAGGAAAACTGGCTGAAGAGGGGAGAGACGAGGGCAATGATGAGGATGATCGGTTGTCCGTATGACCAAGTGATCTTTGGATGAAGGCAGCCTCAGGCCCCGATGGCTCCCAGTCCATTGCTGTGTTAGGCGGAGTGGACGCCGCTGTTGAAGACGACACTGCTGTTGTAGCTGTGGTTGATGGGGTTGCAGAATCTTCATGTTCTTGGGTATATGTTTCCGCCTGGTCCGATGTCATATTGAGATTGGTGGGCTTAGGGGGACTTGTGCTATTGCTTGACCACCACGTTGCAAACACGCTTAAAGACAATCGCCTGTCGTCCGTGTTATCACTACTGGTCCTCGTAGCGCTCTCGATCGTCGCTGTTGGTTGCTTCGTGTCTGAAACCAGGGGTAATAATGATTCGGCATTAGGAGAGGTTGTTTCTTCAGTAGGTGTTGCTGGCATTGGTGTGAACGTATGTCCTTCCAGCACTGTGCCAATAAAGGGCTGTGTCATTTGTTTCGTAAACGCTCTTTCCAAATCGGTTTCATTTGCTTGTGCCATTGCTTCATTATCCTTGTCGACAGCCGCTACGTCGCTGGTATCAATTTGTGTCGAGGTCTTCCCTGAGGTTACTGCATCTGCTGTTGCGGCGGGACTGGACCTCCGAATGATTTTCTCCAGCGACTTTGAGGCACTGCTGCTGTGTCCTGCTTTGATTGCAGTCTCGCCTTCATGACTGCTGCCGTTCTGATATGGGGATCAGGAATGTTAGAAAAGGAAAGGTCTGTGAGTTGTCGAGAAAGATCAGCAGGCGATAGTGATAATGGCGGATCGTTATGCTAACTCTTACGGTGGGAGAAACAGAGGCCCCAACTTTGGTTCTTGACAGGATATCAAGGGCCGGCAGGGCGCTTTTCCCTACGGTGTTAGTCGATAGGGATTGAAGCGAAGCATCGTCCCTTGTAGTGGTCAGAGGCGAAGATGTTGAGGTGTTGTTGCTGGTCGAACTCATGGGTAGTGCTGTGAGATGTAGAAAGGTTAAATAGAGGGGTCTAACTGAGTTCCTACAAGGTCTTTAAGGGATGAGGAATGAGATGAAGTGGGGGTAATGATGGTGATGGTGATGGTGATGAGAGTGATGGCGAAAGGAAGCAGTGGAGGTAGTGTTGCTTGCTATTATCTGGCATGGGGGTCGGCCAGATGGCCGGCAATCCACCCATCCGCTTCACATGCTGTGGGCGTTGTTCGCGCAATGCCGTCATATCAAATTACCTCAGGCAGGTCTATTTCCGAACAATAGGGTAATGCAGCTCCACGCAACCCACAGCAATACCTCTGTCCACGGTCCGATGACCAATCTGTGGTCCTTTCATCATGAAACTGGGCCCAGTATGCCATGAGGTCATTCTCGGCTTGCAGAAACACGCGTGGGTTAACATCCAATATGGCAGCCCTGCTCGAACCCCGCAGACCAATCGAGCACTGTAGCTCATTTTGGTGGCGCTTTTTTTATTTTGTGGTGCGCGTCCTAGGACGCAATTCGCGCTCAGGCCCGATCTGCCTTTTTGTTACGCGAACTGCGCGCTCCGTAGGATAACCTGTCCTCCCCAAGCGCAGCTTCCTTCCTTGCCTACCTCGCTCTTTCTTAGCTCGGGCTCCATCCCTTTCGAGCCCAATACACAGCAAAGGAGCAAAAAAGAACCACCTGCACCTGCAATCCCAATGTCCCGCATACGGCCAAGCCTTCAATGGCACAAAGGACAAAAGGGGGTATCCATCTGCGAGGCCTCTTCTTATTAAAAAGTAGCTTCCTTGGAGCTTTGAACCATTGACGGACTTGACAGCCCAAGGCCAAACAATCGCCGGTCTTTTCGGATCGGTGTGTCTTCCGTCGAGGTTTAGCCCATGGACGACACTCTGGAATTCTCAGGAAGGTCTGAGATGGACTAAAAAGACAGAATGGGCAGAAGGATCAGAGTACAGAAGGAAAGCGTCGGTGAGGAAAAGGAGGCTCTTCTTGTGTTTATCTTTCCCTTGAGCTCCTGATCATCGTCATCGGGCCGTATGTGTTTGTATAAGTCTTCGGTATCTTTTTTGACAGGAGGAGCAAGGAGATAGCAAGGGTAAATTGGGATACGCGCGTCCCTTTGAGCACTCGCTACATTGTTGACCTCAGCTCTGGGATCTGCGCTACCCCCATTCCAACCACTTTCGTGCACTCACTCGTCCGCCATCCTCATTCTCATTTGCTTCAACGATACGAACTGCCGAGGGTCACATTGCCCCATGTTCCGCTAGGTTCATGAAAGCCTCATTGATACTTAGAAAGGAGAGGAACCATGATAAGAAAGCGACACTTCGCCTCATGGCGCCACGTTGTGTTCGAAGATGTTTGGCGGAGCGACCTCCCGACCATCTGACTAGCTGTACTACTGTTGGCAACTTGCAGTCTTCTGTCTCCATTTACGGGTACAAGACGCAGGTGCAGGTGCAGATCGGTGCTCCCTGTTTTTCTGAACATGCACTACATTCCAATGCTACTTTCTACCGCACCGCGCCCAGACTGCCAAGTAAGATAGTAGGATAGCGAGATAGTAAAAAAGGTGATACCCACTTAAAAGACGGACACTGGTCGAGGTGACATGAGAACCATTCGCATAATCCTCCTGGTGGTGGTGCTGCTGGCGTCCATCATTCCCTTTTCCTCCTCCCTTCTCGACTTCTGTCATTCTTTGTCTTCGCTTTCTATCATCGAGAATACCCCCACATCCCCACATTAGATACACGCATTTGTAGTCTTCGTACATGTGAAGTCTTCCTTCGTGCCACACCCTCCACGCGAGAAGTCCTTGCAGCTCGCGCACGCCTGTCATCCTTCACCTCCATCCTAGGAAAAGCTGGCCACATCCACATATTAATAGTTTTGGCCATATTGTTCTAATCACTATCCCTCCTTCTGCTGCTGCTTCCCCCCTTTGATCTCCTGCCTACGTTTCTCTGTCACCCTGCTCACTTTCCAACTTTCTACTCCACCCCTTCTGCACAACCCCACTTTCTCGCCTCGTTGCCCTGTCAGCCAAACCTCACCTGCATCCTTCCCTCCCTCATACCCGCTTACTCTCTCCCCTTCCGCAACCCCCCCTTCTATCCCTGTCATCCATCCATTCATTCGTTCATTCATTCACTTTCTTCTCTCCCTGTGTGAGAGTTGAAGTCCTTTTTTCTTGTTAAAACCCCTCTAGCAACAAACATATCCGAACCCACATTTATATCTTTCTTATTGTAACAACCTTCCTCCTTTCCCTTTACACTTCAACTACGTCCTCGAGCAACCTATCAAGCTACATCTCTCTGCATGCTCGGCCACCAGCAGCTGCTTCAACAGCAGCATCAACATCTGCACGCACGTCAGCAACAGCAGCAGCAACAGCAGCAATCTAACCGCCAGGATCTCAATACGAATGGCGGTCATGTTAGGCAACCAAGTCCCCTTGCGTCCCTTTCAACATCCTCTACAACCTCGATAGCCTCTGCCTCGGCCATTAATACCAAAGCAACCTCGGCAGGTGCATCATTACCGCCTGCTTATCCTTACCCCAGACGTTCTTCCACTTCATTCTCTGCCCCATCCATACCTTCGGTCCCATCCTCCTCAACCACACCTGCATCTATCTCTGGAGATACATCAACAGGTACCGGTGAGGAATTTGTGCCCAGTATCAAGAAGGCGAAGTATTCAACCTCGCTTGACCCAAGAGGGTTTATCCCTGGTATGTCGGGTGCATAACATGGCATGGCACTTCGTACATCATCTTTTCGACGAGACTCTTAAGAGTAATTCTCTATTTCCCCAATTCTATAGTATACGAATATGAGCTGTACGGGCATCCCATTATGTGGGATCAAGAGAACCTGTACGTTCACTTCACAGGTATCTGGAAGGCACTAGGAAAGACAAAGGCTGATATTGTCAAGGTCATCGACGCAAACCCTATCCTCGAGTCGATTATCCGGAAGGTGCGCGGAGGGTTTTTAAAGATTCAGGGGACTTGGTATGTCTGATTCTTTAATCACTAGCATTCCGTAGAATCCAAACCCCCTTGGAGCGCATCGTCTGACAAGGTTCTTTCTTACACATATTCCTTTATGATATTAGGATGCCACATCAAGAAGCCTACGATCTCGCAAAGAAGACATGCTACAGGCTGCGCTACGAACTCGTTCCTGTTTTTGGTCCTGGATTCGTAAACGACTGCATTCCGCCAGATACACCGGGGTTCGGCTCCATCCATCTAACAGTGATTCGCCGACGCGCTTCTGAATGTGTTATGGGCCAAAGTCAGGCCCTTATGGGTCCACAGCAGCTCCGGCTCCATCAAGCTCATATTCATCCTGGTTTGAAGAGACGATACTCTAGTAACGACGTGGGTCGCCTTAGTCGTGTTAGCCAGACCAATGGCTCTACTGCCAGCCAACTTTCCTCGTCCTTCTTATTGAATCGTGGCGAGGAATACCACCAAGGGGCCGGCATGGAAGGTAGTCAAGGCGATGACCTGGACCTGGCCATAGATGATGAGGATACCAGCAACAATCATGTCAGAAATGCCAGTGATAAACCACGCCAACATCGATTTCATCGACCTGGTCGCTTCAACACGAATGACGATGACGAAGATGACGAAGAAGAAGACCGGCGCCCGGGCGGCTCCACTGAGGAAGAAGAGGAGCACCAGTCGCTTTCAGGATCGTACGATGATGACGACATTGACATTGACATTGACATTGACGGAGGATCGTGTACGAGCGAACAAGAGGATCCCATGTTTGGGCTTGCACGCCTAGATCTTTCTCGCCGAAACTCTTCTCCAATGCCGCTGAGCACGACCTATGCGCTCTCGGACAGTGGTTCCGGTATAAAGTCCATGCGCGCAAGAAGAGGACGGCCACCAGCCCGTAGTCCTATGCCAATGGCAAGCCGAATCGCTGCTAACTATGTCGCGTACAATAATTATGTTTCGAGCAACACCCAGGCAGCACAAGGGCTGGGCCGCAGCAGTGGACAATCCACTCGCACGCAGAAGCAGCAGCTTCGACAGCAACAAAAGCTGCTTCAGCAGCAAGAACAACAACAACAACAACAACAACAGCAGCAGCAGCAGCAACACCAGATTCACCCCTTCCAGATGCCTCCTTCCCAACAGTCATTAGATCAGAACTTTCTTTCGTATCAAGATCCAAGTTCTGCTTCTGCTTTAACGGGTTTGACCCATAGCGAACTCGTCGAGTTTTTCAAGGCTGGCCAAGCCCTTCAACGGATGTCTCAAGATGATGGCGTTCGTCCCTGGAAACAGGATGCTGGAAGGATGATCCTTCCAAAGAAGATTGTCCTCGGAGAACAAGTGTTCCAGTGCGTCGGAGGAGAGTACAAGTGTGTTCCTGAACCTAATACTTCATCCTCAACAAAGCCGCCAGGAGAGGACGATGCATGGTCTCGTTGATGCACGGACTTGTCCTTCCTCTCTGCCTTTTCCCTCTACTTGTACATACTACCGTCTCTTTTCATGCCCTTTGTCGCTTCTTTCCGTTCTCAAGTGCACACTTACATATCAGATATGACTAGATCCTCCTCCCTGTCCGTCTAAAATCCCATCACAGAAGAGCCCGTCCTTTCTGGTTCACTCTCTTTCTTCACTCTACCCTTCCTTCTCCAGTTTCTGTGCTCATTTTGACCTGCCTTTAGCAGCGCCTTGCCTTTTATTTCAACAGGCGATTCGAATGTCCGCAGGTTGTACTTTTACGATACTCTTTCTGCTTCTTCTATGATCCTTGCTCTATGCCTAGCCAGCATACCCAACCTGGCCTGAGGCCCTTTGCTGGATATTTTATTTTGATTCGCTGCTGCTGTGCTGCTGTTGTATCTTTGACCTTGGTTGTGGTCTATTCATGTTGTGCGTTTTTATTATTACTACTGTGAGGGTACACTATCGAATAAAGTACTCAATAGGCTCTGACGTTCAACCGACAACGGTCAAAGAAAGTGGTTGTGGTTCTGTTGTTGCTTCTGCAGAGTCGATCGTACATCGATATCTTATCAGCAAGCAAGGACCCACGGGCCAAGAAGGCGTGGCAATTCCGTTTTCCCAGAGGGCTCCAGACGGGCTCTTTGGTTCGCGCAGTGTGTGTGACGTGCCTCCCATATATGGCATGCCGCTGCTTATCAGCGTAAACAAAAAAAACGATCTGACCTTGATTTTTATTATTTTTTGTTTTTCCCCCCGTCCCCCTCTCTCTTTCTCTCCTCCCTCCTCCTCACCATTCAATTCGAAGCTCTTTCACCACCCCAACTGCCATCACCATGTTGCGCACGATCGCCCTCTCTAAGCCCCTCGCTGCTACCCTCAGCAAGGTAAAGCACTCGCTTCTCTTCTTTAGCCGACACGATGACTATGCGTTTCTCGTCTTTGACTTTCCCATGATACGTCGTTCTTGTTCGCCTGAAGCACGGCCCTTGTTGGAGCTATCGGGTGCATATTCGCGCTGAATCGTGTCGCTTTCTTTCTCTGACGCAATTGCAGTCCTCCAGTACACTTTTTATTCAGTAAAGAAGACTAACGTTTCTACTTGCTGCTTCTCATCTATGTAGATGGGTCCCCGTGCTATGAGCACTTCCACCATCGTGCCTCAGGTTCAGGATGTAAGTTGAGCTGGAAAGGAAAGGAATGCGTGGGTTTCGCGTCATATTTTTGTTGTCGTTATGAAAGTGGGGGATACATTTGTACTCTGGTGCTTGATGTAGCAGGGCAGGATCGACATGGAAGAAAGCAGAAATGGTGGCATGGAGCAAGGACAGCTCAAGTCTCAGGATAGTCGTCAATTGGGCTCAATTGCTCGATTCTGAATGCAGGACTAAATATGTTCATCTGTATCTTATCGATCCGGTGGAATATTAGGTCCCTTGCTCCAAGCTTGGAGGTCGCTACACCGTCACCTTGATCCCCGGAGATGGTATCGGTCAGGAGACTGCCGCGGCCGTCAAGACCATTTTCAAGGCCGCCAATGTGCCTGTCGACTGGGAGCAGTTTGATGTCTCTGGATACACCTCTGCTGATGACACGACTTTCAAGCAGTCTGTCGAGTCTTTGAGACGCAACAAGGTTGGTCTCAAGGGTATTCTCTACACCCCTGTTTCCTCTCTCGGTCACTCTTCCTTCAACGTCACCATCCGCAAGGATCTGGACATGTACGCCTCCTTGGTTGTCTGCAAAAACATTCCCGGCTACCCCACTCGCCACGAGAATGTTGACTTTGCCATCATCCGTGAGAACACTGAGGGAGAGTATTCTGGTCTTGAGCACCAGTCTTACCCTGGAGTCGTTGAGTCGCTCAAGGTCATCACCCGCACCAAGTCTGAGCGCATTGCCCGCTTTGCGTTCGACTTTGCCCTCCGCAATAACCGCAAGAAGGTGACCTGCATCCACAAGGCCAACATCATGAAGTTGGCTGACGGTCTCTTCTTGAACACCTGCCGTGAGGTCTCAAAGGAGTATGCTAGCTCTGGCATCAAGTTTGACGACATGATTGTCGACAATGCCTCGATGCAGCTTGTTTCGAGGCCCCAGCAGTTCGATGTCATGGTTATGCCCAACTTGTACGGAAACATTGTCTCGAACGTCGGTGCTGGTCTCGTCGGCGGACCCGGTATTGTTCCCGGATGCAACATTGGTCGCGAGTATGCCATGTTCGAGCCTGTAAGTGTTTGGCTGCTAGGCGATTGATTTAATTTTGAGCACATTTTCAAGCCGATACAGTCTGTGCTAACCACATGAATATCTCTTCATTGCCATTACAAAGGGCTGCCGTCACGTCGGAAAGGACATTCAGGGACGCAACACTGCCAACCCCTCGGCCATGGTCCTCTCGTCCGTTATGATGCTCCGTCACCTCGGCCTGGATGACCATGCCAACAAGATTGCCAACGCTGTGTCGAAGACCATCATGAGCGGTGCTGTCAAGACCCCTGACATGGGCGGTTCCAGCACCACAACCGACTTTACGTTCGCCATCATCTCGAACCTGTAAATCGAATCAAATCGAGCCCAGTATTGTATTTTTTTTTATCGTTCTGCAGTCGTATTTTACCCCGCCCCATGAGATCACACACACACAAACACACACACACCCACATACACCATTGCACCTCCCAACTCTTTTGAACCATGTTCGCTTCCAAGTTCCCATGTTTTCTTTTGTGTTTCTTTTTTTAAAGAAAACATTTGTCCGCATTTCTCAGTAATAAAATGATAAAAAGATAAAAAGATAAAAAGATAAAAAAAAAAATCTTACTGTGCTATAGACATATAGACACTTTATTATTGCATGGATGAACAAGAAGATCAAGTCTCGATACTGATCGTATGGAATCCCATGAGATGCTGATCGACCCAGCCTAGAATCCATAGATGGACTCTGGTCGGAGAAGAGGGCAAGATCACCCTGTAGAGGGCCACGGTGGGATGCTGTGTTGGTGATGCTGTGGGATCATAGTGAAAGAGATCCAACAGGGCGCTTTGGATTTTATCGGATCCAGGGTTGGATTGGTTGAGGATGATATGGAGGTCGGTCGTCTGTTCGCAGGCGATATCCGACTCGTTAGGAAGGAGCTGTGCTTCCTTGAGAATGGACAAAAGATCTGATTCGGACGGAAGGGGTCTTGCGGCAGTGTTGCTGCTGGTCGTTACTGTTGTTGTTGTTGTTGAAGGTAAAGATGAAGGCGCATGCGATTGATTACTGGGGATGAAGATATCGACGGTCTGGAAGCGCTCTTCGCCTTCGGAGATAAAGAGGGCGTCCTGTTGAGCGTGCTCCAGGATGGCGATGGCATGGGTGGAGTGGGCTGTCAGGTCGTTGGTGGCGGTGTTTTTGTTTGTGATATGGGATATGGAGGAGGTTGGTTTTGAGGCAGTTGGGACATAGGGGGTGTTTCCGACCCCAGGGATGGTGCGGGTGAGCATGGACAGGTATGCTGCGTCGGTTGAGTCTTGAGTCGGGTCCATTGGGGTGGTTGTTATTGCTGCTGTTGCTGTTGTTGTTGTTGGAGAGAGTGAATGGTGGAAGGAGAAGGGATCAGGAGGAGGTGGTTATAATGACAAAGTGGTCTCGGTTCCAGAAGTAACGTCATTGGCTGCAAAAGAGGGTCGAGCCAATGGAATGCCGCCCTCCCTTTTTGTCAGGCTGCAGGGCAGGGGTGTGATGTGAATGATATGAATGATATGAATGATATGGATGACATGGATGATATGAATGAGAGGGTCGGCATGGTCGCCCAGTCTCCTTTGACGCGTCAACCTGGTTTGATCAGGGGGCAGGGATACAACTGGCGTCGGTTGACGCTGCCCAGAGGGCTACAGGAGGGTGCGGAATGGGGAATGGTGGCAACGGACGGGCGGGAAGGAGGAAGGCGATGAAAATTTTTATGCGCATGTCCATGCGATGTTATTTCGTGCTTCCTGTGCTTGTGCCCATCCCATCCGCAGGTCCGCTCCCCATCCATCTAAACACCCTTTGCCCTTTACTTTAAGGCCTTGCCTTGCTTGCCCTCCGCTCTTTCTCATCCATCCTTCCCATCCCTTTGTTTCCCTTCTTCTTGTTGCTGTTGTAGCTGTTGTTGCTGTTGTTGCTGTCGTTGTTACTGTTCTTCTTCTTGCTCTTCTTCTCCCCTTCTTGGTTCTTGTCCCAAGTTTGCAGGTCATCGCACCCCGACTCCTCCTCATCCCTCCCTCGGCCATGTCACACTCCCTTTCTCGCTCTTGATTATTATTTCTCTCCTGCCTGCTCCTCCTCCACTCTCACTCCCCCCAACAACAGCAACACTTAATTGAACATACACACGCACACACACATATACACATACATACACACACACACACTCTCTCTCTCTCTATCCCCCACTCGCACACCAACTTGTTGACTGTGCTTGTTTGTTTGTTGTCCCCCGCTCGCTCTTGCACCTGCAACCTTCATTAACCTTTGTCATCTGCACCCAATCCAGCTCCATCATCTTTTTTTTTTTTTTTTTTTTTTTCTTTTCTTTTTTTTCGTCTTCTTCATCATCATCATCTTCTTCTTCATCATCACCACCACCATCATCATCCTTCTTAATCTCCATCTGTTTTTTTAATCCTTCTTGTCGATCATGGCGGATAACCTGGCCACGGTTGTTGCCCAGGATAATTCCTCCGCCACCACTTCTCAGGCGGGGGTTGGCCCTATCCCCACCGCCTTCCCTCCAGGTACCACCAGCGCCAACCACGGCTACACTAGCGCCCAATATGTTTCAAGGCATAGGCCGGCCTCGAAACAGCAGCCTTCTGGTGCCTCTCCGCTCCAAGGTCCATATGCATCCCAGCCAGCGAGATCTGGTCCTCATCACCATCAACAGACACATCCCAACTACACCCTCTCGTCCCAACAGCCATCAAAGCCCTCTCCCGTCACGGTTCCTTCACAGGGGTTCATCCCTCCGCCTTCAAGGCCACCCGTTATATCCTCACCCATCCAGCAGAGCCAACCATCCTCGCCAGCAACATATTCTCAGCAAGGTATCTCTGTCTCTTCACAGGTCCCTGACCCTTACTCACCCATCATGGGTACCCCACGCTTCTCCACTATTGGCCCACCTAGGCCAGTAGCTCCAGTACTCGGTGGACCTATGCGTTCCCCAGGACCATTCATCAGAGCCCCACATCCACAAGGTCCGCCTGGGCCTGCAGCCTACTATGGTTCGTCTTCTGGCCGACCCATGGCCGCCGATGTTGGACAAGGATATCCTGCGGACTATGCAAGGGGCCCTGTGCGACCGCCACCGCCACCATATGCGACACGGGAAGGATCAGTGGGACTAGGTGGCGTCGGAAATCCAGGACACAGTGTTGGACAAGGCATGGGGGGACAAGGCATGGGGCCAGGGGTACCAGGACCGGGTATGGGTCCACGATCACATCCATTACCCCAGCAACAACAGTCCATTCCTGCATCTTATCCTATTGCAAATCGGTTCTCGACACAGTCCCTACCCGGTAGGGAACATGAAGGCAGCCCATACAGTGGAAATGGACCAGCACATCATCCCAATGTGCGTCCTCCTCCGAACGCATGGAACGACCCCGCGGGACAAAATGGCGTGGGGCCAGGACCAGTGACCCATCGCCGCACAGCCTCGACTCAGATTCAACCCACATATTATACTCAAGGCGACCATCAGGGACTGGACCGCCAGACATCTATCGCTGCTCGATATAATGGTGGACCATATCCACCCAATACTGGCCAGTCTTATCAACCCCAACCAATATTCTCCTCAAGCCCCAACCGGCAATTGGTGCGGCATCAACTCACTGATGGACCCGCCAACAATGTCCCACGATCTCATAACGGGCCTTCAGGCTCCGCAGATGGATATTACTATTCAAATACTCCATTTCGCAAACTCTCTGTCAGCGAGAGTTTTGATGGTGGAAGGATTAGTCTGGACTCAACAGCGAGCATAGAGTCAGGATATTCCAGCCGCCAGCCCTCACTCTACCCGACACCCAACATGTATGGGCGTGATGCAGATGTCGGCATGGACATCTTCCCACCTAATCGACAGCGCTCTGCTTCAAAGTCGTCAACCTATTCCGCCCATTCTGTCAGCTCGGACTACTATGCAGATTTTGACAGTATATTGGCGCCGCGATCAACCACCCCTAATGGAGGCACCCCACAAATCTCCATCCAATCTGCTCAAGGGTACCCCGCCGGACGATCAGATCCGTTCTCTATGCGCGCACGAACACCATCTCCTGGTCGCACCAGGCAAGGATCAAACCCGCCCATGGTGAACAGAGGTGGTACGATTATTTTTATTTTATTTTATTTTTTGGAAGGGGGGGGGGGGGAAGGCGTAACAAATGTACTGACATATCTCCTTCCTTACGATGGACCTCTCCTTTCTCATCCCTTCTCATATTTTGTACCTATAGCCAACCCTCCCGTCTTTCTTGTTACCAGTCTACCCCAGTCGGAGGCATCCCGTCGAAGCGCAGAATTTGTCCGCATGCCACCGACTCAGCCCAACATATCCCGACTGCAAGGGGAGCGCTCTCAGTCGTTTTCTTCCTACAGTCCACCCTCTTTTGATCTCCACGCACGACAGGCGGCCCTTCAGGGCTCTGTGTCTTCGGGCGCATTAGGCCCACTGGTTGTCAAGAAACCTCCAATTGTTTACCCTGCTTTGCTTTCGCGTGTTGCCAACGCATTTGTGCAGCGGATCACGACATCCTCACGCATCAAGGATTCAATCGAGTACAAGGATTGCTTTGATGGACGAGATGCAGTGGTAATGTCTCATTGAGCATTCTTCCATTTTCATATTCCATGACTACCCAAGACGTTTCTTCGCACTTCTACCAAACTAAACATAGCATCTTTATTACAATAGGACAAAATCGCATTTATTATCAAAACTACGGATAGGAACTTAGCACTACTGCTAGGTCGAGCGCTTGACGCGCAAAAGCTGTTCCACGATGTCACGTACGATCATCGCCTGCGGGACAGTGTCAACGAGCTGTACCAGTTCCGCAACAAGTTGATTACAGGAGGGCCTCGCATCCGCTCCATAGAGTCGCACGAATACTCTGGCAGGCCATCGTACTCGTCATCAGAACCCATGGATGATGTGGATGCTGTGAACGGCGTTTTCACGCTATTGACCGACTGCTATTCGCCAACCTGCACCCGTGACAAGCTATGCTACAGTATCGCGTGCCCTCGTCGTCTGGAACAGGTATATTATCGGTTGAATAGTGGCGGCTCAAATCATTCTACACTCTTGTGTCGAAAGCGCATTTTAAAAACATCATATCTCTTTATTAGCAATCTCGATTGAACTTGACACCCAACGGTGGTCTGAAGCGCGCTTTGAGCAGATCGTCTTCAAAGGAAAAGAAGGATCAGCGTCTTTGGATCACATCAGTGCCAAAGGAAATCTCGGATGCCTGTTCTTTAGAAGAAAAGAAACGACAAGAAGTTATTTTCGAGTTGATCTACACTGAGAAGGACTTTGTAAACGATCTGAAGTACCTTAACGATGTAAGTCCACTGTGCATTGCAGAACTATAAATGCACGGGAACCAGTCTGCTATTTTTGATGGAGTGATCTGAAGATGCGCTTTTAACCTGGAGTTTTTGGCTATCTTTTAGAAATGGATCACGCCTATTCGTAATCTGGACCTCCTCCCAGAATCCCGAAGGGAGGCTTTCATTGACAGAGTGTTTTACAACATCAAGGACGTTTACGCCGTCAATTCAAAACTGGGAGAGGCACTTCTCAAACGGCAGCAGGCTTACGCAGTTATACCCGAGGTGGGCGACATCTTCCTGGAGCATGTCGTCAATTTCTCTCCCTTTGTGCTCTACGGAGCAAACCAGATTGAGGCCAAATACGAGTTTGAGCACGAGAAGAACACGAACAGCGCCTTTAGCAAGTTTGTTGAGGTAAGCAAGCGGCAGGATGTTCGGGTGGTCTGTACCAACAGGACATTGACCGTTTTACGTTTCTCTTCAATGATCTAATATTCGATACTTCATTATTTTTACTCATAATGTAGGAAACGGAGAGGAGACCCGAGTCGAGGAAACTGGAGCTGAACGGATATTTGACCAAGCCGACAACCCGTCTTGGCCGCTACCCTCTGCTGCTAGAGGCTGTCCTCAAATATACCCCAGAAGAGAACCCTGACAAGAAGGCGATTCCCCAAGTCGTCAGCATCATCAAGGACTTTTTGCAGAAGGTCAACCTTGAGTCTGGCAAATGCGAGAACGCATTCAATTTAAGACAGATCAACAAGGGTCTACAGTGGAAGAGTGAACCCATGGTAAGTTCGTTGACGCATTTCGAAGGCGTAATTCGCATTTAGAAAGACACGCAATTTAAAAGACTGCCTTGCTTTTCATATTCCAGGAGTTGAATCTTCTTGCCAAGGACCGCCAGTTGATCATGAAGGGACCGCTCAAAAAGAAAGGAACAAGTTCAGAGCATGCCGACCTTTACGTGTTTGTGTTTGATCATGTATTGCTCTTAACCAAGGAAAAGAAGGGCAAAGGCGGAGAGGGCTACAAAGTACATAAACGACCTATCCCGCTCGAGTTGTTGACTCTATCGACGATGGAGGAGCCGGTTATGAAGTCTTCTCGCCGAACATCATCGCTCATTCCACACAAGTCATCGTCACACACCAGCAACGTGGTCTCCAAAATAACGCCCACCTCTGGTCCGCTGTCCAAGATCACGTCCGATTCCAAGTCCGGGTACCCGATCGTGTTCACCCACATTGGAAGATACGGTGGTTCATTCACACTGTACGCGACGACCCACGCAGGAAGGAAGAATTGGATGGACAAGATCCAGAAACAGATCCAGGCTCTGAAGAACAAAGCAGATTCGTGGAAACTGCTGCCTGTTTCTGAGAGATTCTTCTCAGCCAGCAACAAGGTCAACTGCTCTTCAACCTATGGTGAGTTTTCCCTTTTTATGTTTTATGTGAATTTGGTATCGTGTACTTTTTCTGTTCAAACCAGTTTTTGCTTACGCGCTTTGCCTGTGCTGATATAGACAATGGAAGACGACTCGTTATTGGAACGGATGCTGGTGTGTATGTCGGCAAGCCCAAGGGTCAGTTTGTCAAGATAATCCCTCGCGAACGTGTATCGCAGGTCGATGTGTTGGAGGATGAGCGCATCCTCCTTGTGCTGGCAGAGAAGCATCTGCTCGCTTACGGTCTTGAAGCCCTAGATGCGAACGACCCTAACTCCCCCAACAAGAGGGCCAAGAAACTGGGTTCTTCGGTCAGTTTCTTCAAGACTGGAATTTGCCAGAACAGGACGCTTGTGGGCATCGTCAAGAATTCAAGTAATGCGCTTGACCAAAGCTCTACCATTAAGACCCTGGAGCCTATTGAGCAAGACAGCTCCAAGAAGAACAAGCACAGCTTGCGTACCATGCTTCGTGGTGGCAACACAGAACTTTTCAAGCTGTACAAGGTAAGGCCATGCAGGGCATCATAACGATCCTTTGTCGACCCGGATTGTATCGCTTCCTGAAATGACACGCTAACCCTTAGTTTTCGTATTTCTACGTTTTGTGTAGGACTTTTACATTCCACGCGAGACCAATTCGCTTCATTTCCTGAGGAATACACTCTGTGTTGGATGCAGCAAGGGCTTCGAGTTGATCGATCTCTCCAATCTGAATACTCAAGATCTGTTGGACTTTAGTGATCCAACATTGGACTTTGTCCACAAAAAGGACGAGAATCTCAAGCCATTGGCCATTTATCGCATCGGCTCTGGCGACTCGTTTACTTTCTTGCTTTGCTATGAAGGTACCATTACCTTGCAGCTGATGATGTATACATCCTTTGCGATGCTACTAGAGTTATCGTTGCTAATCCATCTAACGCTTGATTTTTGGGGGTTTTTTTCGCGTTGCTTAGAATTCTCATTTTATGTTGACAAGACTGGTCGTCGCGCACGGAATGGGTGGATTATCCACTGGGAGGGCGTGCCGACGTTCTGCGCACTCTCTCTTCCATATGTCATCGCATTTGACCCATCGTTTATCGAGATCCGACACGTTGAAACGGTAAGGCGATTTGTTCTGCAACAAGGGTATAGTACTATGCATGATTCGAACCTTCTGAATCTGTCACTCACATCATTTTATAAAAAAAAAAAAAAAAAAAAACGTTCAGGGTGATCTTGTTCAAATCATTCCAGGCAACAATATCCGGTGCCTCTACCATATTGCCAACCAGCCTGGAGCCATTCACGTTGTCATGACTGATGAGGAAGGCGACTACCAGACAATCACACAGCTCTGCCGGGAGTCCCAAATCGCAGGTCTTCTGGGCAAGGATGACTGTGAGGAGGAGGAGTCACTGCCCACGTACAACCCGGCGACGATTGTCGAGGAAGAGGAAGGGTCGTATATGCCCGAGGATGAGAAGGAAAGCGCCATGTTGGATGACGATGATGATGAGAGTGGAAACTATAGCCCGATGGAAGGACCGTATCCGCACCATCCCAGTGGTCTTAACCGGGCCGTGAACCGACTGACGCTGGATTTCGGCGAAGGGTTCGATTTTGGATCGAACTCGCCAGAGAGTCCACAGAGCTTCCAAGAGATCCTGGATATTGGATCTTCAACAGCAGCCCATAGTGGTGGATCCTCAAGTTCGTTGTCGTTGAGGGACGATAGCGATGGGCAACGTCCAACGTACATATAACCAAACAAAGCGATGTATGCATCTGCAGCTCCATTTCATCTATCTACACATCATATATACAACAACATACAATAATAATAATGCTTTTGGGCCTCCACTCAAACACATAAACCAAAAGGAAATGGACATTTGAATATGAAAGAGGGGAGTGGAAGACCGTTTTTATTCTTGCTTTTTAATAATGGAATGGGTTGCAAAAAAAAATCACAGAATGAGACAAGGGTTGTGTTTGTATATCTTTTGTTCCTGTAGGGATCTTTTTTTTACTTGGCGTTGACGGCAGCCTGAAGGGACTCAAGAACCTCAACCTCGATCTTGGCAGCGAGCTTCTCCTCCTCGGTAGCGCCCGAGTTGACGAGACGGTGGGCCTCAGCAAGGTTGTTGCGGATGGCCTCGGGGCTGAATTCCTCGACGGGGAAAGCCTCGACGGCGTTGATGTTGAGGGTCGAGTCAGGGTTCATGGTGGCGAAACCTCCAGAGACTATTTTCCGAAAAGACATTACAAGCAACGGTTAGAACAATGGGTCCGATCCGGTATTGAGAAGATAATGCTTGCGAGCAACAATGGGCCTCGGTTGTTATGAGATGTCCAGTGTAGGAGGTTCGTTCGATACCCCTCACTGTTATCCCTGACGTTGTCTTTTTTCCTGTGTCGAGCATGCACTCTTGCTGGGATCCCGAATGCAACTTCAAGAACAAAAAAACAAAGACATAAAAAAGAACGTATGCGCTTTACCAAAGAACTTCTTGGTGGCAGCGCCCTCGATGACCTCGACAACACCGGGACGGAGCTCCTCGATCGAGGAGACGTGGCTGGCAAGAATACCCATGTCACCGGAAACGGCGGCGATGTTGACCTGAGCAACCGAGGCGTCCTTGTACAGGACCTATCCACATCGACAAGGATAAAACGAGAACATAATAAGTAAATGGTTGGTGTTGGAAGAATATGATGCCTTGGTCGCTTTTTTTTTTTTTTTTTTTTCGTGTTATTCGTGTCCGATGGGTAAAATGAGAAAGGGATTTCCGGTTTACCTGGTGGGGGACGGCAAAGGTCAGACGAAGACCGGTGGCAGCGGCTTCGGTGGCATAGGAGCGGACTAAGTCGAGAAGAGAGGGTCAGATATTAGTGAGGGATTGGTTTCTTGCAAGTTATTTTGCTTCTCAGGCACAGGAGGAGGGGGGAAAAAGAGGCGAGTGTGCCATTTTTAGTCGAGATCTGCGGAAGGGGGTTGCGTTGGTGTGTTTTTTTTTGGCTTAGTCCTTGGGACGATCCTGTGCTGTGGTCTCCTCTTCGATTGAATGGTATGTTATGATGTATAAGGAAGGTGAGCTGTAGGAGTCTAGTGTCCCGCGTCTGATCCCAGCCCGCGCTATTTTCGTTGGTTGCATCGAACGTTGATTCCCTCCGTCATATACTGGTCCCGGTAAAATGGATCGATTTGATTTGATTCGTCGGGTGAAATTGGCGCCTCAACATCCTCCTGTTCCTGAAATAATAAAATAGGGTAAAATAAAGCAGGCGTTGAGGAGAATGAAGAAAGTGGGTTCATACCCATGCGCACAGGGCGGACAGCGCGAGCGGAGCGGGCAAGGAAGTTCATGGCTGAAGGGAGGGTCTGAGGGGAGGTATGGATGAAGGTGAAGGGACGATCGAGATGGGACATCCCCCAACCGGGAGCAGAGGTTATTATGAGTGGCTTGCGGGAGCCGCTGTATCACATGACACCCTCCGAGTATCTTGTTCCAGAAAAAACTGTGCACGCGATACCCTTCACCCTTATCCCCCAACCACCGCGACAACGCACCGCTTGCACGACAACACGCTATGAACGCTCCGGACGTGAGCCAGTCAATCATATCTCAGAGCCAGATCGATGAGGACATGGATCAGACACTAGTGGCCCTCGCAGACACCCTAGTAAGATATCCAACACACTCAACAGATAGTGATTTACCCTGCCCCGACTAGACACCACCCCATATACTAACACCTACATGTTTTCCTCGACAACTGTACATTCAGATACAACGTTTAGCTGAAATGCACATGACCGACAAGGACGGCGATGTTACCTTGAGCCGTGAACCCTTTAGTGCGGGCATACGCGACAACGAAGACCGCCACGACCACGAATTGGATTACAAAGACGACCTTGTCAGTATCGATGGAGACGAGGATGATGATGGTGGCACACCTATTCGCAAAGACGACCCTGAGACCAGTAATGCCGATATCGAAAGGATAGAAAAAAGAAGAGTGCACCTTGAGTCGAGCCTTCGAGAGCATGTTCGAGACGCCGTGAGAGATTCCCTGTTCTCTGATCCGTACATTATAGAAACTGTCCATGCGTGTGGGATCCCAGAGGATCAGATATTTACGCAAGATAAGCGAAACCGACTGATATTCTACCTTAAGGCTAGCTTTTTCGCAGACTGGAAGGCACGGCACCAGATCAGCATTGGTACCGCTTTCACCCAACATGGGCGCCCGTACGCCTATACCACCAAGGTCTTCGCCAGCAGTTCCGAGTCCAAGAAGGAGAGGGTCGGTCAGATCAAGACACGCTATGACTGTCATCGCAGAGGTGCGAAGTACATGGTCAAGGGTAGGCAGCCGGGCGGAAAGTCTGGTAAGACCAGACTGAGACTTGCTTCGAATAAATGTGGATGCCCGTCTCATTTTAATGCCATATACCGTCCACTACAAACACGCGATGGCATACCAGGAGAAACTTACCGCATCGAATACAATTACCAGCACATACACGCTCTGGGCGACAAAGGCAACATCGGCACTCAGCAAAAGTCCAAGGCCATGAGAGAAAGGATTAAAGCTATGCTTATGGGGGGAATGTCGATATCCACAATTATGACTCAGTTGACAATGGACCACGCCAAGTTCACTCGACTCATGGATGGCGCCGGAATCAGCTCCAGGTTCGCTCGAGATGACTCTATCACCTACGAGGATGTCTACAACATATATTATGCCTTGACGGTAAAGCGGATACGGAGGGACGATAACGCATTCATATCAGCACGGCTCTGGATGGAAGAACTGCACAACCGCGGCTACTTCACATACTATGATAAAGTGCGTGGTTTGTACCATGGATTCTCGTCGCCTTGGCAGCTGAACGAGTTTAGGAAGTGGGGAGATGTTTTCTGTTTTGACGGGACTCACCATGCTTATGGGTAAGTCCTCCTGTAATATTGCCAATTACCTTTGTCACTAACATTTACAAATCTTATGGATAAAGAACGTGCCGCACCCAAGTGTGGATCTTCCCATGGCCGTAGTAACAAGCATGCACGGCAACGTTGAATGAAATAAAATGCCTGCTATTGTCATTTCGATTGAGTCAAGTTGCTCACTCAGCTCCAAACCCATAATGAACCATTAAGGCATGTAAATAGTTATAATACGACTGGAAAAGAATGGGGCGATTGCGAACGAGTTCAGGAGAGATAGGCTCTCAATTGACCTACCATTGGCTTTTAACGCGTCGTCCGGTTGCAGGCAGTTCACAGCTGGGCCAATTGGGTTGGACTCGGATGTGATGTGCGGCAATTTTGCATGCGCGCGAGTGCCTGCAAGGGGAAGTGTGTGCCCGGAGCGAGAGTTGTTCTACTCTATCCATGATAGCTTCCGCGAGGACGTTTTAGGAGCTTTAAAAATGGACTCAACCAAGAAGTTCAAACTGAGCGAACTTGAGGCTACTTTTGGAAGAATAGCGCCCGGCGAGTTCCTTTGCAACCTAATATGTCCCCTCAATAGGAAAAAAGGCTACTTCCCCAAGATCGAGGTCACCAAGCCTGAACCCAAAGGCCACGTGTACCAATACACTAAGCGGTACGTACTCACAGGCACGTTTCAGACGGACGGACTCCAGCTGCGGTTGCTAGCCTGCGACACGCGTGTCACAAAGGGGTACAAGCCCTCAAATCCCGTTCCTGGCCGAGTTGATCCCAAGATGGGTGGTTGAAAGAGATTAGGAATGAGTTCTCTGGATCGACAAAGAAATTCCAGGACACGTTTGGCAGGCAAGTTTTTTTTTTTTTGAAGGTAGTCTAGAATATCAAACACTCATTCTATATTTCCCTTTGTGTAGTGACGGTAGGGATGTCTGCATTGGTGGCATTGACCTGGGCCAGGTGGCCACAGCAGCCGTCAGTATTTGTATCCCTGATCCCCCCTTGGTGGATGGAACACTACCTTGGCCACCGACAGGGAAGTACCGCACTCTCAATATCAAGCAAAAGGCCTTGATGCAGCCTCAGTTCAAGTATCGCAGAGCTATCGAAGGGCGCAAGACCGACGAGATCCATGATGCCGAGAGTTCACTATTGCCGAGAAGAGGCATTCTTGATGAGGACGTTCGGTTGTTCTTGAACTCAATGGATAATAACAGACAGGTGTTGAACGAGCACTACAACCAATCGTTCCGGCATCGTTGCGATACTTGAGATCTGAAAAAAGCGAGGGATGCAGAGGACCGAATCGTTATCGAGGCTATTCTCAAATTGGTAAAAGAAGACAACCAGAAGAAAGCCATTCCAGCCAACAAGATGCTGTGGGTTGTGGGTCTCGGCAAGTTCGGCACCTCGTCTGGATTGACTTCGCTGTACGGCACATTCAGCGCAAAGTTGATTTCAGCGGTAAGAGCATTGATATAACACTATGCTTTGTGGCCCTATTGACAGGCAAACACGATCTAATCGAGTCGCAAATTACCCTGTCCTTATAGTTCAGGACCAGGGGTCATGTGGTGGTCGATATCAACGAATACTACACGTCGCAAAAGTGCCCGTTCAATAGCCCTGTCGGTCCAAGCAGAAAATGCGACCATGGATTTGTTAGACGGGTGAATATGCGTGGCATGTATTGTTTAGCCTGCCAGATGCCTTTCCACCGCAACAGCATGGCTGCACAAAACATGGTGCGAGCTGCCCAGTATAGGCTTTTCAAGGGTATACGACCTGCTGGACTTCAGCCTTTGGACTCCAACGGCCAGCCGATATGGTCCAAGCGACTCAATCATCAGCAAAACTATGCGGGTTTATATGACGTACCGGTATTAAGCTAACCATGCATTTTTATTTACTTTATATTTAGGCAACGTAAGGACACCCTTCTAGCATCTTGGTATACAATTTCACGAAAGCAGGCGAGCAATTGAACGGGACCAGGCACATGAAAGAGCTTCTCCAGCTTCAATAAAAAAAATAAAAAAAAAAAAAAAAACACATCGATTGTGCTTCAAATCCTATCGTTGATTCAACGGCAACGCGTTGATCATACTCGTTAAAACAGCCTCTGAACGCTTGGATCCGGTTTTCTTTTAACGATCTGGCCGATAATCTTGTAACGAGAGCATACAGGCATGGGTACGCGACATTCGATGGTCTTAATGACCGGTGCATGTGATTGAAACAAGGAGCAGTGAAGCTCGCCTGTACATGTAGAACCCTTTCTCAAGGGAGACAGTCGACAGGAGCTGTTGGAGCTGCTGTGCCTCCTGCGAGAAGGAAATGTGGAGTGAGGGACGAACGCGCGTTGGTTGGTCAATTGGTACAGCAGGGCGAGAAACGGATATTGGCGCTCTCAGCCAATGAGAGCGCGCTTCATCACCGCGGCACGCCTCTCGTCGCCTAGTCTTGCACACCTTGATTGCTTCCATTGGTTTCCCTCCTCCTCTTCATCCTTCTCTTTCTTTTCATCTTCATCGACCTTCCTCCTTCTCCTCCCCCTTCGTCCCGCACTTGAAAAGTCATTGTCTTCCCTCCCCTTCTTTGCATATTATTCTTTTGTTTCTCTTACAATGTCCTCTGGTAAAGCAACCGTGAAATCAGTCCTCTCCGCCGACATGGTCGTCCTTAGTGGACGTCCTCGTGCTGGAGGTCCTCCTGCCACCCGCACCCTTGGTCTCAACTATATTCAGGCGCCAAAGCTTGGGAACAAGGACCGCTCTGATGAGGTACAGCAACCATTTCTTCACTTGTGGTCTTGCGGACATAATAGTTCTCACGATGTCCTCCTCCATGATGCCCCACACCTGATCAGATCAGATCAGATGAGTTGTTCATCTCTGCCTTCCCAGGAAAAAGCGGGGAGAACAATTAGGCAATTAGCAATTGCTATCAACATGAAACTGATAACGTTTTTTACCTTCTCTACATTGTCACAACACAACGGTTGTTTTTTTTCAATAGCCGTTCGCCTTCGCCGCCCGTAACTATCTTCGCAAATTGCTTGTTGGCAAGGAGGTCATGTTCAGGGTCGACTACACGGTCCCGAGCACCGGACGTGAATACGGTGCTCTTTTTCTGAACCAAGAGAATGTCGCCCATATGCTCGTCCGCGAGGGCTGGGCAGATGTGCGCGAGATCAGGGCCTCGGACGCAGAGAATGTTGATGTCGAGGCCTTGTACTCTTACAAGGCCGAGGCACAAGCTGCCAAGCGCGGTATCTGGGCAGAGAACGAATCTGTAAGCCCCGTCCCTTCCGTGATAAAAAAAGGATTTTTTTCCTCGGGTTCATTGCTGCTACAGTCCTCATTGGGTGTAGTGCTTGTTTTCGGTCTTCAGTTTCAGGAAAAAAAAATCTAATGGATCTGCTTGTTGATTGTGACCCAATTAGGGTGTCCGTAAAGCCCACTACAACTTGGAGGGCGATGCCGAAGAGTTTGTCGAGAAATACAAGGGAAAGCAGTTACCAGGTAAGATGGTATCCCGTTTATCTTTTGTTCTATACTGCCGTTGCTGATCGCAAGATCCGGGTGTTCATATGAGGTCATATTCTGTCCCATAGCAATCATCGAAAGTATTCGCGACGGCTCCACTGTCCGTGCATGCTTAACGCTGCCCAACGGCGAATATCAGTACATCACACTCATGATTTCCGGCATTAGAGCACCCATTATCCGACAGGGACTTGCCAACACTGATGATCTTGTCGAGCCATTCGCTGAGGAGGTATACGCGCTTGGAAACATGATAAGGGACAGCTGTGCATGGAATAGCACCAGGTCATTAACAGGAGCAATTTCAATTGATGACTGCATTAGGCCAAGTTCTTTGTTGAGAGCCGTCTCCTCCAGCGTGAAGTTCGCGTCGTTTTAGAGTTGGTTGGCCAGAACGGCAACAACATTTTTGGATCAATCCTTCACCCTGCTGGAAATATTGCAGAGGCCTTGGTCGCCAACGGACTGGCTAAGGTTGCCGATTGGAGTATTACCCATGTCACCGGTGGCCCAACCGTCCTTCGTGAGGCCGAGCGTAAGGCTCAGGCATCCAAGCTACGCCTGTGGCAGGATCACGTTGTAAAGTCCAAAGGTCAGGACCACGAGTTTGATAGCACTGTAAGTCCACAGGGGTAAGCATTCGAGGCGATGTACTTATGTTCGATGCTCGGTGCTAAAATGTTTCCGACGACATTTTCCCTTGGTTTGACATGCTAGGTCGTAAGAATTATGACGGGCGATACCATTATTGTCCGTAACAGCAAGGGCCAGGAACGCAAGATCCGACTCTCCAACATCAAGGCACCAACAAGACTTCCTCAGCAAAAAGGAGTGGAGATTGCATCGTATGACTATGAGGCCAAGGAATTCCTCCGCAAGAGACTAATTGGCAAGAATGTCCATGTCACAATCGATTACGTCAAGCCTCCCTCAGATCAGTTCCCAGAGCCAACAGAGTGTGCGACTGTCAAGGTTGGGGAGATCAACGTTGGAGAGCAGCTCGTGTTGAAGGGTCTTGCCGATGTGATCAAGTCCAGAGACGACCGCTCTCAGTTCTATGACCAACTCTTGGTTGCAGAAGCAAAGTATGTGCATGCATCATTGGTTGCAACGATAGGATCCAATGACTCATTAGCCTCAATAAGTGTTTTACTTACAAGCGCTACATCTATGCCCGCATTGAATGCAGGGCCAAAGAAGAGGGTAAAGGAAAGCACTCTGCCAAGGAGCCACCAAAGTACAAATGGTCAGACGCTTCCGAGAACGCCGCCAAGGCCAAGCAGTTTCTGCCCTTCTTTCAGCGCGGACGCACGCAGGCCATTGTGGAGTACGTTGCCAACGGCTCCCGTTTCAAACTGATCATCCCCAAGGAAAACTGCAAAATGACCTTTGTTCTGGGTGGTATTCGCTGCCCTCGCGCCGCTCGTAACCCTGGTGAGAAGGCGGAAGCATTCGGTGCCGAGGCTCTTGATTTCGTCTCTCGCCGCTGCCAGCAGCGTGAGGTTGAAATTGAGGTCGAGTCCCTGGACAAGACTGGGGGTTTCGTTGGTACCATGTGGCTCAACAAGACCGAGAACGTCGCTGCTCTTCTTCTGGAGGAGGGTCTGGCCTCGATCCACAGCTACAGTGCCGACCAGAGCAAGCAATCCAGTGCGCTCTACGCTGCAGAGCGCGCGGCCAAACAAGAGCGAAAGAACGTAAGGGCCCCAGCTTGTTGTCTAAACGTCTTGTTTGAACAGCGAGTAGCAATGAAAGGCGTAATTGACATTTATAATTTTTTTATTTGATTTTTTATTCTAGCTGTGGACTAATGTGGACCCCAACGCGGCAGTCGAGGAAGAAGAGGTCGATACCGCCAAGCCCATCAAGAAGGAATACCTGGATGTTGTCGTTTCCGAGATCGTCTCTGGCGGACACTTTTACGTCCAGGTGATCAACCAGCAAACCGAAAGTCTTGAGAAGATGATGTCGGAGCTTGGAATTCACCATAAGAACGCGTCGACTGCTCCTCCGAATTGGAAGCCGCGTCTTCACGAGATCGTGAGCGCAAAGTTCACAGAGGACAACCAGTGGTACCGCGCTAAGGTCGTCCGCAACGTTGCAGAATCCAAGAGCGTTGAGGTCATTTATGTCGACTATGGCAACGTAAGTAGCAAAATACAATGCAATGGAGGAGGGTATCTGGTCCGGGCCTTGTAAATCTAATTTTCATCTCCCCTTTCTCTTTGCACAACAGTCAGAAACCATCCCCTTGAGCCGCGTTTGCCCCCTACCCACACAGTTCAGCAGTCTTCCTCAGCAGGCACACGAGTCCTTTCTCTCATACGTCAAGGTCCCTGAGCTCAAGGATGACTATGGCATTGAGGCTGCGAACCGATTCCGCGACCTGGTTTCGGGTCGTCAATTGGTCGGAGTTGTTGATCAGCGCGAGCACAATGTCATGCATCTCACTCTCTACGACCCTGCTGTCTCTGAAGACCCTGACCGCAGTTTGAATTCAGAGATGGTTCGTGATGGTCTCGCCACTGTGTTTGTCAAGACACGCTACGCCCGCCATCCTAGCAACCAGAGTCTGGTCACCAAACTCCAGGAAGCAACCGCATTGGCTAAGCGCGAAAGGCTGAATCTGTTTGAGTACGGCGACAACACTGCCGATGACGAAGACTCGCGCTATTAAGTATATCTGTTTGGAAGGGCATGGACGCACGACTAGACAGTATCGTTTATTTTGAAATTTTGAACAAATTGCCTGTAAATAAAATATAAAGAAAAGAGCCACCCCTTCGAACATCATTTTGTATCCACATCTCTTACGAGGATTGGTGGGGGGAGGTGCAATAGAACGGACCCAGGGCAAAGAGGAAGGAACAAGAAAGATGTAGAAAGAAGGCTCAGGGCAAGGGGAAAAGGGGGGAGTGGTGTAAAGAAGTGCTGCAGCCAAATCAAATCTGGGGAAGGAGAGCAGAGCGAGCGAGGATACTCCTCGGTTTGGTGCGTCTGCTGTGTGCTGTGTTATCCCGATCAAAACCCACTTGAGGATCTCATAGCGATTAGTATGTGGTATGCGGCAACAAAAAAAAAAGTCGCCCAAGGGACTCTTGTATTGAGTTGCTGCAGGAAACATATCAAGGTAGCCAACTGTTCAACAGCATCGTCAATTGACAAGTGCCTGTCCTGTGGTTGCCTCGCTTGGCTTCCACTCCTTTGCAAACATTTCCATCAGTCAGAGCAAAGACGGCGTCGCCCAATGTTTCAATTCCCATGTGCTTCCCTTTGCTCTTTTTTTCGGTGTGGGCGTGGTGCAACCAAACTCTAGGTCAGCCAAGGGCGGTTGCCCTCTCCCCAACCAAACTCTGTTTCCTGAAGTCTCCTTTTAAGGTTGATTATCCAGAAACATGGTCCGCGCCAGTTGGCCCTCGTTTTTTCGTTTCTTCTTCGCCTCCCGTATCTTCTCCCTTTCTCACCTCCACTCGCTCAACTGCCTAGACGGGAACTCCATGGTTCATTTCCATTCTCCATCTACATCGAACTCCATTGCGTCGCGTACCTCCATACACTTTAACTTTTAACCATCATTGGCCACCTACCACAGCAGGAAAAAAAACCGATACTTTGCGATTCGTGTTGACTCAACTGCTTTCCTCCACATACTTTTTTCTTTTTTCGGGTTCGCGTCGTCAAATGGAACACAATCCGGCCGCTCCAATGAATTCACAATCGCAGTCAAAGGTGCTGCTTGACACGGCCATGCCAGCCCGAAGGCGATCCAAAATGGCTTGCGACACCTGTCATTACCGGTGAGTGCGGCTTTTTTTTTTTTTTTTAATCATGGAAACATGGGCACAACGACTCCGATCTGCACGCATCCCCTTACACCTGTGTCAAAATAAGGAGATAAGGGGAAGTGGTTGATCTGCTAGACCTGTTAGACCTGTTGTATCTGCTAGTTCTTATTCAGTTCGCCTTGATTAAGGCACTCAAAGACTGTGTATTCTCATCTCGCCCCCTTCTTTTCTCTCCTCCTTGCATGCATGCTTCTGTGTCGTTCGTTATTTTCCTCCGCCTCTCTGCTCCTCTTCTCCAGCCCTGTTCTTTTCAGAGACTTGGAGACAATGCAGAGCATGAACCCATCTGATCTTTCTTGTAACCAGCGCGATCGCGCAACAGTGAATGCAAACATAGAGATGCTTTGAGTGTGTGATAGTGCCATGTCTGAATGGGAACATACGGCCATAGAAATATTTACTGCAGCACACATCGCAGTGCACACTAAGGCAATCCTTTCCCGTTCTCCTCCTTCCTCCCAAGCATCGATTGTTGCTAATTGTCGCTTACGCCTGCACCTCCTGGTAGCCGTCGTTAACCTTCGACTTTATTTGTCTTGCATCTAGGAAAATCAAATGCAATGTCGAAAAATGCTACCCTTGCAAGAACTGCGAGAAGAACGGAGTGCAATGTACAATGGTTGGGCCAAGCATGAGGCCGCCTCGCTCGATTTCCGGATCATCTTCTGCGGCTGCAGCTGCAGCAGTAGCCATGGCCATGGCAACTGTCGCGAATGCTAGGCTGTCAAGTGTATTGGATCACAGGCACTCTTCTTCTCCCAGGTCGGTTAACGGCGACGACCGCACTAAGTTGACCACAACGATGGAAGGAAATCGCCAGCAGCTTGGATTATGGGACTTACTGACAAGTAATTCTAGCCCTTCCTCGCAGGCTGTAGATGATGGCTCTGGCTCTCTAGACCTTCCTCGGCATCGAGGAAAGCTTCAGAGCTACTCCTCGTCTCCGTCCTTGAGACATATTTTCAACGCAGGAGGAGCTGCCATGCGTTCATTGGCATCACCATTGCCGGCATCATATCGTCGCCCAGACACACCACCAGCTATAAACAAATATCCCTCCCCCAATGTCCTCAGTGGATGTGAACCGGATTCAGAAGCCAAGTCGCTTGTTAACTGCGATTACTTCAACCTCCCGCTGTCTCAATCCGCAGGATCCGTATCGTCCGTCTCGTCCGTCTCGTCCCCTTCATGCACATCATTGGCAAGGGGCATCGCACATTTCAGCCCCTTCGACGGCCCGCGACTACCCCCAACCAAACCCGCGTTCTCTTCATCGCTTCCCCCGACACCTACTCAATCTACTTTTGACAGGTCAGGCGAGCACCTAGTGCCGCTTACCCCGACTTCTCCATATGACATTCCTCTGAATTCTTCGCGCCCCCGGTCTGTCCCAAGTGCCCATCGTATCGCAGAGTACGTCATCAAGCCCATGCCACGAAGAACGCCAAGCTCTCCGTATTTGATTGCACAGCACCAAGGAATAGACAATCAACCTTGCTTTGCACCGGATCGACGTTCATCGCTACCATGGAATACGCACATTTCCTCGCCTGCATCGCATCCATACGACGCATGGAGGCATGGAGGACATCAGAAGGGGGTCGAGATGGAGTCTCCAACACCGACTCAGGCTGCTTTTAAGAACCAACACACCGCGATGGATCCTCAAGGCTTCAAAACACAGGTTCAACCTCCTGGGTCAGAGGTGGTGCTAATGCGATCCAATAGTACGCCTGCCATCTTTGGTTCACTATCTAGACCTCATATGTATTTTATAGTCAACGAGCAGGACAATGTATCGACGAACGATAGCTGGCCAGTAATGGAGGAGGCTGGAACAGGAGCGGACTCGTCCATCGAACGGCTTATGCACGGTATACCGTCATCTCAACAATTTGATAACGCAGATATGAACGACTTTCAATATCTTGATACTCGGCATCAACACCACGAGGACAAGCGTGAGAGTATCAAAGCGCAACAAGCAGGCAGCTGCGAATGGGATCAGGATCCAGTCAGTATGGCCCACCCTCGGCCATCTAAGGACCCACAGCCTTCCGGTACTAAGGCAGAAAACCAACGACCGATGAAGCTGATGCACGCCCCCTATCACACCCCCAATCACACCCCCATGAGTCAGGCCCCAGGTGTGCTTCTCGAGCGTCCAATGATCCAGAAATCATCAGTCAGTATTCCTGTCAGCAAAATGGACCATCCACAGGGATTTTTGAAACCCGAACCGATGGACGACCATACCTTCGACTCTTCTATGGCCATGTTACTGGACGATCATCTTAGCCTGATGGATCATCTCAACATGATACCGGAGGCGGAAGTGTTTCCGGAGGGGCTACCCATGGGATCTCTATCATCATCATCGTCATCGCCCTCTGCATTACAACACCAGGTTCACGGCATCGTTCCTTCTACCACCACCAACATCATGTTCTCAATCGCAACGACTGTACCGAGCACATCCGCCAGTTGTACTAAACAGGACGAGTTGGCGGACGATCCTTTGCTTTATTTCGACACGAGTGAACCCATACGACCGAGCGCGGGCTTGAATCAAAATACGACATTTGGATACACGGGCGAGGGTTCTTTTCAGGTCAAGGTCGAATCCGGACTGGGGCCGCGATCTTCACAGTCCAACGTGATGCAGTATTCGCTCGATCACCAGCAACATCCATTCGACCTGTCTACCGCGCAACGGCTTCAACGGCGGCAACAATAGGTGACAATAGGTGCAACAGCACAGCAATTCATCTTGCATGCAAGGGGGGGGAGAGGCACCCTGGTCCTTGTGGCAGAATATAGCTATAGAATTCAACAGCTACAGCTATTGTAAAAGATGATACAATATCCCAGTATAGAAATAGTTACGCGTTTCGGACGCGTCAAAGCAAAAACGTGCCTTCATATGTATACTTTTTTTTTATTAATAAATATAGCACGCTTGAGAGAAGAGAAGATTTGTTCTTTTGAAGAGCTGAAAACGAACACTTGTATAATATACAACACTACCATAAAAAAACCAAGGAGGTCAGTTGAAAGACAAAAAATGACAGAGAGCTGTGATTGAATGCGCCCTCGCGGATGAGCAAGGGTGCGAGGGAAAAGAGTAAGACGGATGATGAAATGACATGAACCAAAAAAGAAAAGAAAGAAAGAAACTTAACGTATATGTCGATTTTAAGAACGAACAAAAGCGGGAGAAAGGAATGGGAGGATAGTCGGTCTGCGTGCGTTGTTGTCCGGATCTCGGGAATGGTGCAAAGACGGGTATATCGGATCGTCCAGTTTGATTTTATGCCTGAGGATGAGATCAAGATCTGGGACTTGTGTACAAAGGACGGATATGAGGGGCTTTTGGAAAGAGGAGAGTCGGACAGGCGGCGCCGCTGTCCCGCTCCCTCATCCCTTCTCTTTCCTCCCCCTTCCCCCCTCTCTCTCCCTCTTTCCTTTCCCGCGTGTTTGTTCTGTGCTCTGGTGAGGGAAAGTCGCTTCCTTAGAGGATCAAGCATTTCTTTCCGGACTTCTTCCTGTCGGTCCTGGCAGGGTTCTGGCGGTTGATCATTCGGACGAGATCGTAAAAGACCTCGTCAACGTTTATCCTGGTTCGTGCAGAGGTCTCATAGAAGGGCGTGCCTCCCCATCGTTGTGACATTTGTACGCCCCGCTCCCGTGGGACCTTGCGGTCGTTTTCCAGGTCGCACTTGTTTCCGACAAGGACAATCGGTACCTAATGCCATTGTTTTCATAGAAAAGTATCGTCGCGAGGGTCAGAAAAAAGAACCAACTTTGTGTGAACTCAAGAAGGCTTGAGGCTTGACAGTGAGGACAAGAACATTCCAGGTGCAGATGCACTGCAGAGATGAGGCAAAGGCAAATGGGCGAACACAGCGCTTGCCGATAGTTCGACCGGGCACCAGGAAAAAATAAAAATAAAAATAAAAATAAGCGCATCATTGAGTGCTTCGCATGTGTGCGCATGTGTTTGTGTTTGTGTTTGTGTTTGTGTTTGTGTTTGTGTTTGTGTGCTGCTATCATCCTTCTCTCCTCTTTTTTTTTATGTGTCCTCATTCTCCGCTGTTTGTGTTCAAAATGGAGCGGTGGGTTGCTAGGTTCGTCTTTCGATGCATTCCTGCGTGCGACCCATGCTTCATGCATTTTCCCGCCGATGTTATTCCCCCTCTCAATCACCCTCAGCCCCTACCCACCCCCTCCTGAAGTTCTCTTTTTGGTCCTCTGGAAGTTTCCTAAAAAGAGATGCGCACAGATAGGAGGGTGTTCCAAAGCAGGAAGAGAAGTGTTGAAAAACGGGAAAAGGGTAAATTGCGCTTACAGTGTCTGTGTCTTTGACCCGTTGAATCTGCCTGTGGAGCTCCGTCAGCTCGTCAAAAGTTTGTGAGATGATGATCGAGAAGACTAGGATGAAGCCTTGTCCGTTTTTCATGTAGAGATCCCGCATTGCTGTGAATTGCTCCGTGCCGGCAGTGTCCAGAATCTCGAGCATGCATTGGTGGCCGTCCACTTCGACCTGTTTCCGATAGGAATCCTCGATCGTTGGGTCATATCGATCCACAAATACGGACTGTACGAACTGAACTGTCTGGAAAAGGCCAAAACGCGAATAAAATGAGGATCAAAGGTGGTTAGCTTCTTGCATTGGTCCTTTTGTGGTTCATGGTCGTTCTTAGGTTCGAAGAGAATCATGAAAACTCTGGCCCAGTTGATTGGGCCCCCTCCGCCCCCTGGCGCGTCCCCCTTCCGAGATCACCTTCCATTGAAGAGCAAGCAGTAGACTCCCCGATTGAAGATTGGTTTCCCATTCACATTAGCCCAATGTATATCGCACCAATGGTCCATGCTTCCATTCACACCCAACCACTTCCTTTTTTTGAGTTTAAAATTTCGTCGCATGGTCGAGATTGGGTAATTTGGCGTCGTCCAGATTGCAAGAAACTCTATGTAGACACACAGGATGGCCCTCATAAACCATGCCTCATCCTGAGTGCGATGTGAGCTAGCTAGTCCCTACATTGCACATCATGAGATGGGCACTGGGTGCCATGCAACATACAATGCGTTTGTTCTTTGGAGAGGAAAAAATATTTATTGAGGATTCCCCTACTCCTAACACTTACCAAGGCCGACTTCCCGACACCTCCAGAGCCGAGAACAACGAGTTTGTATTCACGCATTTATGGGAACGACCGGCTGCACCGACAATACGTAACTCAGGATCAAGCAAGGGTATGTGCTAGGTCTCTTTCGGGAGAGAAAGGAAGGTAGGAAGAAAGAACGAGATAAAGGGCGTGCTGTGCAAATGATAATGAGGAATGAACAAGAGAATGCAGTGGATTGGATGCAATTAGGGCTGAGGCATGTTACAGGAGAAGTATCTTTGGAAGGTAGGTAGTGTAAGATACTGATTGAGGAAGAGTGAAAACGTGTGCGGTGCGAGAAAGTAGAGACGAGGGCGGTCGGTCAAAAGAAGATGGATCGGGAGAGAGAGAGAAGAAAGAAGAGAGCAGATTGAAGGAAACACCGAAGAACCCAAAGGGAGGCGAGGGCAGGGGAAGGCAGGACGGATGCGGGTCCGGATGGTTGCCCGGTGCTGCTGCTGCTGCTGCTATCGTCGTCGCGGGGGCACAGGAAAGATTAAAGCGAATTGTAAATGAATACAAAGCCGTAGACTAGACTATACTTGCGCATGGTACATGTTGTCTGTGCTGGACACCGTTCCAATCGCGCACTGAATGCGGACTGCCGCATGGACTGGTGGACGGACAGATAGGACAGGCAAGGGGCATGAAGAGAAGGGGGGCGATAAAAAAAAATAAAAAAATAGCCATGTGCATGCACACGCGCGCGGTACAACCAAGCGTTCTTGCAAAGGGCACTTGCTCGTTCCAAACGTATTCATTCGTTGTCCTCGTCTGCCCAGCTCCTCCTGCCATATACCTTTCTCTCGGCCGGCGTCATGTTCGCTGCTGACCTGATCTACTCCCGTCCCCACTTCCAAGGTATCTTCAGGAGAACCCCCCACTTCTTTTCTCACGAGACAAGATGCCTTGAGCCCAGAAGACCTGACAGCTTCGTCACCCACAATGCAAATTGCAGACTCGCAGTAATTTTCAAGCGGCCATTTCTGTCTCCTCCTTTTCTCTCTTTTCCTTTACCCATTCGCCGTTATCATATTAAATTCACGACCAAATATGCATCCGCTAACGAAAATCCTAGATGGTGAGGAAAGATAGGTCTATGCTTACTTGATGATCCCAAACAGCCCATGAAAAGAAGACTCTTTGTCGAGGACGAATACTCCTTATCATTGTCGCAGGAGGAAGTGCAGTTGCTCGACTTCACCGCTGCCTTTAAAGGTAAATCCGGACTGGAGGGTGAGCGTCTGCAGCAAATAAAGAAAGACAGGACGTAGACAACGTGGAAGGGGGTGAGAGAATGGCCGCATGCATGTCGATCTTGTTCCTTGATCTAAATTAGCGGCGGCTCTACCCATACTGTGACGACCCAGGACTTATCGACAAGCAGCATGGTTGGATCTTTCAGACTGGGCCCCGTGCATTAGGACCAATGAATGAGATTAAAAAAATTCTCGACAGCATTCTCTCTTGCGTGCAGGACATTATTAACGGCGATTATGCAGATCGCATCCTTATTCACTGATGTTAATATACCTTGCTCCAGGCGTCATTAAATTCTCGCATTATGCCATATAAAAGTATTTTTTTTCCCGCTCCTCATTGAAGATCGTCTCCTTTCCGATCTTTAGTTCCGCGTGGCCCGGAGTGTCTGTGGGCCGTTCCGTCAATCATGTCGTTTCCCTCGCTATTGTTGAAGGTACCTAGAACAATAAGGGATCAACTGCAGTGTGGATGGGGAACTCGTCTTTTTTTTTTTTTTTTTGTAAGAGTATCAATGATCATGCTCTTGTCTATGCCCCTGGTCTTTTACTTGCGGCATGGTTGGTCGACAGTCGTTGTTAATGGTCGATCGACCAAAACAAACCTGCACAATGCAACCTTGTGCTGTAAATTGCACAGTCCGCCAAAAGCCGAGTGGCAAGGGACTCCGTGGTGCGTCGACAGGACCTCTGTTTTCATGGATATGGCAAGCGGTTCAATGAGTAAACTCCTTGGCCATATCCATGTCGACGTTCGTTGTGGTCCTAACGCATTAAACGACTGACTATAGTCTAAGGCACCAGAGGACAAGTGCACAGCACTAGGGCAGAACTGGATCATCCTCTGCCATCGCTTTTATTTTACAATGGCTGTGCATTGCCCTGCAAGAATATTTTCTCAGGGGCGGAGATAAATACGATTCATGCAAAAGTTTGACCATTCATTTTATGCACTGTTGCTGATGTTGGTGGTAGTGGCGGTGGTGATGTTGCGGGCATATTTTTAAAGCCCTTCCTTTTTTTTTTTCAGGGGTCTGGTCTCGAGCCTAGGGTCGGGACCACCGTACTTGTGGACAAAGGGGTAGGTAGGGCTTCTTGCGTAAAACTCACCAGAACTGCTTGTTCCCGTAGGGCTAGTCCCCTTCATGCAGGGCTTGGGGATTCCAGCAGCATCCGCATGGCCAAGGGAAGGGTCCATACAGGCTACATGCCACCTACGAATATCATACGCAGATCGAACGCACGCTTCCTTCTTCCATCCGAGCATTAGGGCTTGTAATTAAGCGGCAATGTTTTTTTAATCGATACACGCGCATTAAACTCGTCGTCTACGGCCGGTCATAGTATGCGACATCACTTCCAAACTCGCTCCCAGAATCAGACTCGTCCTCAGCATCATCTCGCTCTAAACCGCGCTCGTGGTCATGCCCCTGATCGCCCCTATGGCTGCCTCCATTATGGTACCCGTGATTATGACGATCGCCCTCGTCACCGCCATCCATCTCCGAATATCGCTCGTCATCCCTGCCGATCATTTCAACATCATGTGGGCGATCGTCATCGTCAGAGTACTCGTCGTCCTCACGCTGATGTCCGCCGCGATGATCATCCTCGTCAGGATCAGCACGAACATCGTCCTCGTCCCCTGCTTGACCGCGCTCGACCACTGAATACATGTCCATATCGCCGCGTTCATCCTCTTCGCCCACTCTACGCTGTCGTCTCTCCGATGCGTGGGGTCGTTCCTGCCGACCACTGCTGCTCATCTCGCTGTCATCGTACTCTTCTCTGCCACGATCATATCCTTGAGGAGTCGCTTGGTCGGTTGCCATGGATAGATCAGTCGCCATGGATAGATCAGTCGCCATGGACGGATCGCCGCCCTCGCTTTTGCTTGCCGCGCTCTGCAGGCCATATTCAAGGAGGTCCTGCTCGGACACCCACAGCTCGACCTCGTCGACCAAATCAATCAAACATTCCTCAATCAATTTTTCCTCCCATCGCTCGGACATGGGTCGCCATATATTAGCCTCTTCCATCATAGGCCTGTTCTCGGCCTCCGCTTCTGGATCTGTGCCCGGAGGGTACTTGAAATCAGGCCCAAAGTTGGCTGTTGCTGTGCCGTTCCTGTACACAGAGATGGCGGGGTAATATCCCAGAGTGCCGTCATCGAACCGCAGCTGTTCCTTCTCCTTGGCGTTCTGCTCAATCGGTAAAAGCGCAAGTAGGTCCTGCCACATCACGCCCTGGCAAACGCCGTTTTTGTAAACGATAATCTTGGATCCTGGTATAATAGGTGGCGGTATAGGCTTTTCCAGATTGGTTTTGACAGGTGTTGCCTCATACTCGGCCATTTCGATGTATCGTTTCGTTGGCGAATAGTCTACAGATTCGAAATAAAGCTGTCCTTTGAAGTAGAATGACCTTCGAAGTCGTCGATGCTTGAAAAACGCGTTCTCGTTTCCATCCGGTGGAAGCGAGATGTATAACCCAATGACATCGCCCGTCTTGAAAGGTTCTCCAAACGGCGTTACCTTTGACATATGCACCGTCTCGCCCGTCGTATCCCGAATACCATAGCTGTATGCATCAAATCCTACAGGTGCTTGCAGTGTAGCTTTGAGCAGTGGAAAAAAAGAGCAGAAAAGACAATATATTTTAGAAGCCAGCCATTATCAAATAGCAGGATAGCTGTGAAGCGTTCTCACCTTCACGCCGTGTCCAGCCAAGACGTACATGTGCGCCATCACGTCCTTCATATCGCGGCTCTCCACCTCTATCGATCGTCACCTCATAGAACCATTTGCCTTCCCTGACACCACAATTAGCACGAACCATTCGAAACCCCTTCTCCGTTGTGATGGTCTTGCATTCTTCGTCAATCAACATGTAGGGGCTCATGTCCTCTCTGCAAAGACGCACTCCAGACAAGATCGGGTTGGCTGTTTGGCGATAGATCATGTAATGCAACAACGGATCCGGTTCGCAGGTGACATATTTGAATCGATTTCGATTGTAAGGATGTTCGTTGGATGTGCTGAAGGGTGCAAGGGCTTCTCCGCCTCTGGCTGGGACCGCCGTGTTTGGAAGGGGTATATAGGTTGTTTGCGGGATGACTGATGGGGTTGCTAAACGGCGGTTGTTATTGGAGGCAGAGCCCTTAGATTTCTTTTCGGATTTCGCGACCGTGGTTTTCCTGCTGCCAGTATCTTCCTGACCTCCAGCAACCGTATTAACCTTTCTCTTTCCTTCGCGTGGTGTCCGTACCGATTGCGATTTTGAACTAATTGACTGATGGCTCTGTAATCGAATAAACAAATGCAAAACCATATAGTGAGAACCAATGACCCATATACTAACATTCATCTTCAACCTTATACTGCTGGGCCGGTCCGTCGGACGTACTGCGATATGCCCTGGCTTCATGTTCCAAAGGTTCGATTTGACAAGGCAAAAATCCGACGATGCCGACCGCGTCTGCTCATCCGTGGCTGCAAACACATCTTTTGAGATGTACAGACAACTTCCAAGAGTTGCCCACCTATAAAGCGGATAGAAAGAAATTAGCTGAGCTCATATGCATCGTAACCTTTCAGATATAGAGAAAGGTTTGTAGACCTTGATATGATCAAAGAAGTCCTTACCAAGTCGGAGTTCTGCTTCGATCTGTACATAGTGCCTTCCAGTGACGATCGACATAGGGAAGAATGTGATCCTTCTTGTTAAAAAAGTAGCGACACTCGTCCCAGTCCATATACTCAGCATTGACCGACCACATATTCTCCTCGCTCGGTATCTTGCTTGGCAGTGATCCTTGAAAGTCCTTGGCCTTCTTGAGATACTCTTGAATGATGAGATTCGCTATCGTGGTAGCACATATCTCCTTCCATCCTGCGGTAACGCGCTCAAAGAACTCGGGTACGCTCCCTGGCTCTTTTGGTTCCTGATTTAGCTGACCCTTTCCTGTGGACTTGACAGCGCAGACCTTGCAGAAGAATTTGTAGTTGGTGATGAACGGTACGACCGGGCCCAGTGCCACTTCAATGCACGAAGCATGGAACCAGTTCTGGCAACCTGAATTGGCACAAGAAGAACGATCAGATCAGTGCTACGATCGTTCGTGTTGTGAATTACCGTCCTGCGTGCTCACGTCCTTAGGCGAGTATATTGTGATTATGGTCATGTGGGGTACCTTTGCATTGGAGCGAGAGTTCGTCGAGTCGCCTGTCGTGTCCACAGTAACAATATTTTCCTTCCCGGTTGATGGTATGTGCGCTATTCCAGGTGAGCTGCTGGGAGTTGTAGGAGGCCATCGTCGTCTGCAAGACCAGGATGCCGCGAGGTGGAGAACTGGAACTTTTTGAAGACTATTGTTACGTCACCAGTACACAGGGGTAGTCTGAACTTTTCCGCACTAACTCGCTGATTGGCTCGAAATAGCGTTGGGTTTTATTGTTTTCTCGCGTGCGGAAATAATGAATGTGCATTAACTTCATCTATTCCTTTTATCTCGCGTACTGCTTTCTGAAGGAGTGCCGCCGCAGAAACAAAGTAAGTCTCCGTGCACTTCCTGGTCTTGCCATTGTGAACCACTCGACCAAGCTCCATCCAAGCCTGGCGAATTGTCTCCTCACACTCCCACATCACTTGAGCCCTTTCCTCCTCCTGCCGTCTTCTTTTTTCCTGCATCTCCTGTTGTCGCACGGCTTGGAGTCGCTGCTCCTCCTCCTCTCGTGCTGCTTGCAGTTGTTGAAGTAGATTCGGAGAGAGAAACTCCTCTAACGAAGGGCCATAATCCTCTTCCAGGACGGTTTCCTCATTCTCGTCAATTGACTGTCCCGTTAAGCTCAGTTGCATTGTTGTCAAAGCACACTTGGAACCCTGGATAGATCCTCGATACCAAGAACATGTGCTTACACGGTAGACCGTGTCTTTCGTTGTCAGGGCAAGAACAGGAGCGGAGCTATTTGTCCGACAATATATCGATAGCATATTGCGCCTCAGGCGGGGTCTGAAACGACAACACAGAGATCAAGCCTTCCACAGACTTAGTAATGTCGATCAATGTTCTCGCCCGAGCCGAATCAACTTGGATGGCCTTTTTACGCCGTGCCTCCTCGTGGAATGTTAGGCGACGGGGTTGAAGGCCGCTTGTGATCTTGAAGTATGTGGTGCGGTACTGGCTTTCCACCACACCTAGCAGGATGTAGATGAGTTCGTCGGCTCGCAGGTTGCGCTTTCCCGCCAGAAAGTTTTGCTTGAGGTTTCGATGCCATCGCTCCACAAGGTTATTTGTGTTAATATGTTGATGGTGCTATTTCAAATGAATAAAGTACTTCAACGTTAACAAATTGACTAGAATAAGACCAGTTACATATCGTAGACCAGGCCATTTAATGAGATAGTGTATGTTAATGACTTTGATTTGTAGATATAGTATATGTGTATATGTATATGTATTTGTGTATAGTAATTATTATTAAAGTTAGTTTTCTTTTCACTTCCTTCGTCTTGTTACACACAGCTATTTAAGAGCACCGTTGCCAAATGATAGAATCTCAGTCTTTGTCTACTCAATCACATACCCAGACCCAAACCTATTGCGCAAGGCGATCAGAAAGCTGAGATCTCGATTACTTACTGAACGATAGAGAGGTGTCCATCGGCGCATGATTTCCTTGTTGATCCATTGCTTCTCCATGTATTTGATGAGTACATCAGCATTCTGAAACCGCTCTTTAAACTGCTCCCATTGCTCTTCAAGATCAGCCTCGGTTTTTGCTTCGCGTATTTTTCGCAGTAGCGGACGCATTTGTTTTGCATTTGCTATCTAGAATTGCGCGAGAAAGAGTCGTGTTAATGGTTTGAGAGATATGACTGTATGCCCTCCCTAGTATTTTCTATCCTTACGGAAGTGCTTGTCCGAAGTTTCTCCTCCCATAGTTTCGCGACATGAAAGAGGCACAAGTAAATAGAGGCGCACGGGAATGCGCTTCTGATTGCTTGATGTTCGGTCTTAGCACAGTCCACCATGAACCTTTCCATCCGGAGGTTGCACTCCCTCTTCAGCCACGAGAGCCATGCGATGATCGGATACCTGTGGTTATGCAGTCGCTGTCAGTCTTTATACCTAACATTGTCGCAGCTGAATGAGCTGCAAAAGTGGGGGGATGTATTTTGCTTTGATGGTACACATCAAGCCTGCGGGTACCGTGTTTTTTCCTTACTTCGTAATGTGCTTAATTCAGCACCTATGTTAGAGAAAGCGCAATAACCAATCCTTTGCTGTATACTCCATTATCTCGTGATAGACGCGACACCTACCTGTTTTCGATTGTCGTGAAGAACAGAGAGACGGGCCTCGGTATTCCTGCAGCTTTTCTCTTGACAAAGAGCCAACAGTCGGGTATCTTGGAAGGATGGCTCCATCAGTTAAAAGCAAGGATGGATACGATGTGCAGCAGCGAGTTTCAGCCGATGGTTGTTATCACTGACCAGGGCCAAAACGAGATTAACGCGATCCGGACCGTTTACCCATGTGGAGTCCGCATCTTTTACTGTGCTTGGCATGTGCTGCAGGCATGGGAGCGAAAATTCACTCTTCAAAATCTTGGTGTGGTTAATCACTCTGCAGAAGAGAGGAAGCAAAGGAAGGACAAAGTAAGCGCAGCTGCATCAGGCAGTATTGAATCTTGATTGCCCAGACATACAGTTTTTATCTTCACTAACCAACTCTTTATTTATCATTAGATACGAACTGAGCTTCAAGAGATTCTCTATGCAAGGACAGTAGAACGGGCAGACGCGCTAATTGCCATCTTCAGGGATACATGGCAGGAGCGTGCGCCAGGATTATTGCAATATCTCGACAAGAATTATCTCGATTCCGATGCGGATGGACGGCGCTGGATGTTTTGTTATCGCCAGGACGTTTCCTATGCATGGATAAACACGAACAACTACATAGAGTCCTGGCACAACACTTTGAAGAAATATTTTTTCAAAGACAGACAACAGCGACGGATCGTCACCGTTGTTTATACCCTTGTTCAAAGGGCCGTTCCTCATTACCAACAGATGTGCATCCGGCACACAGTTCAGGTCGGAAGAATGTCTCCAGCACGGAGGAAAGCGCTACAAGCTAGAATTCAGGCCATCAATTACATTGACCGCAGGCGAACTCAAGAACCTGAAGCGGTCCTTTTACTCCAAACTGCCGACGATACAGTACTGAGAGTCCGATCCTTCACAAATCCCAGCGACTTTTATGAAGTGAAAGTTAATTGGACTAAAGGTGCGGTCGGCCAATTCAGCAGTTGCACCTGTCCCGATTTTTCCAATACTAAAATATGTTGCAAGCACATAGCACTGGCAACAATAGAACTGCCCTACACCGAGTTTTATTACGAGGGGCATTGGGAGGTCAGGGATTAATATCTTTTGATGGATCCATCGCCGGATTAGGCTGATTTTTCAGCACCAATTGCACCTGCGACTCCGGCGACTACACGACTACATAGCTTGCTATCTACTACATTCAAGGTCTCTCTAACATTCTGAATATCATGGACAACAAGCACCCTATCTCCAACCACGAAGAGGTTCTGGACGCTTTGAGGAAGGCTTACGAACTATGCGGCAAGCATATCCCTATTTTAGCAGCTCACGAGCTTAGCCATAAGCGTGCAAGAGAACGTTGAATAAAGATAATTGACAACCATTTCATATCTTTAATTATTATTATTAGCCGCCCACCTTTCTAAAGATTTTGATTCTGGTTTGCTTCTCACCAAACTGCTTCTCGGTTGCTATTGGCTGCAACCATGTCAATGGTAGTACAGGAATCAACCAAGAAAGGAGGAGGTGGTGGTCGAAGAAGCAGAATCAAGATAGGTCCTTGAGGGGTATTGACCATGCACCATGCAAAAATATTCCCACCTTGTTCCTGAAAACTCTACCTCCGCCTCCATCCCTCTCCCGGGATCTCTATCCCTTTCCTGTGACCTCTTCCTCACATCCTTTCCCTGGGCCCCTTCCTCCGCACCAGCCCCTAGCGCCCTCCCCCTGCTCCAAAGAAATCATGAAGATATTAAAACGCCGTTACCACAATCCTAAACGCCATAATGCTACCTTCCGTCAAAGGTGCCTTCAGCAAGTCGAGGCCGTCATAAAACCCCAGCTCCTACTCGCCTCCCAGCGTCGCCCTACTTGACTCTTGCTTCCTTCCCTTTTCGTTGGTTCAATCGTTCTCCATCATCACTTTTCCACCTCCCGCTACCTCGTTCCTCTGAAGCGCACTCGTATCTACTCGGCCGAGTACCGCGACAAAGTCCTTTCTGGAGAAGACGAGGACCACTTTTACAACACGTTTCGAATATCGACACAACAGTTCGACTTTGTCGTTGAATTGATCAAGGACGACCCTGTGTTCCATCGCCGGGGGAGGACGCCGCAAAGAACAGTCGTTCTTCAGCTCAAGATCGCGCTTTATCGCCTAGCCCACTATGGAGATCTAACCTCCCTCAGCAGCATCAGTCGAACTCTCGCCGTCTCTGTTGGTTCTGTCGACCGGTACACCAGACGATGCGTGCAGGCCCTGTGTGCGCACATCACCGCGTACATCAAGTGGCCTTCTCCCAAGGAGAAGGAGGAGATCAAGAGACATCTCGGAAGGGGACGCTTTCCACACCTCATCGGAGCAGTGGACGGCACGACGTTCCCCCTTGTACGAGCCCCACTTTCCGACAAAGACTCTTTTGCGACCAGGAAACATGACTATGCTGTTGGAGCCACTGCCGTCTGCGATCACCGTGGCGTCTTCATTTGGTTCACCACAGGATACTATGGCACACGACACGACTCTGCGGCCTACAAGGAAACCGCGTTGTACACAGACAAGGGGAAATATTTTTCTGCTGACGAACACCTCATCCGCGACTCGGCATACGCGCTCACCCCAACGCTTATCACGGCATTCAAGGGGAAGAATCAGCCTCGAGACCGAGATTTGTTCAACAGGCGCCTCAGGGCATCCCGGGTCAAGATCGAACATGCCTTTGGGTGGCTCAAACAAAAGTGCCCTTGTCTCAAGGAGCTGCGGTTTGATTGCGGGGGGAGCGTCAATATGGGCTATTTTTCTCGGATCATCATGGCGTGCGTTGTGCTGTATAACATCGGCAAGATACATAATTTCAACTCGGACAATGATAAAGAGTACGATATTGACGATGACAACCATAGGGACAACGGTGAAGAGGATAGCGATGACGAGGATAGCACCGATGGGGACAGCGACGGCGAAGACAGTGACGTCGAGGACATGGTAGGTGGTGATGATGTTGAGAGACGGGCTGCAGAAGGGAATCTGGATGTAATTGACCTTGAAGTCCTCCCTTATGGTGCATTTCAATCGTCATCGGAGAAAGCTAGATATGAAAAGAACCAACGACTTCTTGGAGAAAGAAAGCGTCAAGCAATTAAAGCAGCCATGGAAGCCATGGATTAAAAATCTACTCTTTATTACTGTCATCTTTTGGTTAGACTTGTTGATCGACTTTTGGGACTTTTGGGACTTTTGGAAGGACTTCCTGGCTGCGATCTTGATGGGTTTTCTGGTAAACCCACAACTTCAGTTAAAAAGTCAAGGTCCGGAAGCTTGAACGTGATCTCTCTATTGCTAAATCGCCGCATATCTTCCTCGCCCTCCAAGACCATCGCTCTCGATGATTTGCATTCCTTCATCTCTCTCAAAACAGCCAACTGGAGGTCTAACATCTTCCTCTCGTGTTCCCGCTTCTTTTCATTCTCGACGAGTTCCTGTTGCCTGATAGCGAGCTCCTTCTCCTTGAGGGCGAGTTCCTGCTCCTTGAGGGCGAGGTCATGTTTCCGCTTCGACTCCATCTGCGCTAACTCCAGCTGGCCACGCGACACCTCAGTGAACTCGGCAAGGGCTTCTGCCATTGATAGCTCAGAGGCCTTCTTCGACTTCGCTAAGACTGCTGCTGGTGTACACGACTGCGCTGGTTGGTCCCGCTCTTCCTGTTGGTTCCTCTGACGTTGATTTTGCTGCTGTCGACCTGGCGTTGGGGTCCGCTGGGCTTGCGGCGATCGTCCTGGTGTTGAGGCCGACTGGGCCCGCTGCTGGCGCTCTGGCGCCGATGTTGACTGCGTTCCTTGACCCGACGTTTGACGCTCTGGACGGGGCCGTCTCACAAGCGTTTCCTCCTCGCTCTCTTCCTCATCCTCGTCCTCCACATCCACGTCGAATCGGTCGTTTGAACTCCGCGTATAGGTTGAGTTGTCCATCTTGTCTGGTTCGTCCAATGTACCTTGGCCATTCTCAGAGGTATCGTCGTCAATGTCCTCTCAGTCCGGACTATCGCGACGCGGTGGTGGCACATCGATAAGGCCATGATTCAGATTGCTGAGGGGATCGACCGTCTCTGTATCTGCTTCCCTCCATGTCGTGGACCATGTTTCCTCCAGAACGAAGTAGAATGGACAGATGTCCTCGATGACCCTCCTCCACTCCGCCTCCGGGGTGTTACCGAATCCAGATTCATTGCGTTTGGCGTCGGCAAGATTGAACTAGGACCTCATCTTGGCAATCTTGTTCTTGACCTGCTTGTCAGTAATTTGGGTCCCGAAGTGATTGCTGAAGTCCTGCGCCATCTGCTCATAAATCCTGGCCTTTGGAGTTTTTCGAGTGGTGCTATCCCTCTCTCCTTGAAGCACACCGCTGATAGCAGGGTCCAGAAGTTGGGTCGCGATCCATATCGTCTGCTACTCAGTGAAGTTATGGCCTCCGTTGGACCCTGCACGTCTAGTGCCCCAGGAGGAAGATGGTTCCGAGGCCTTGATCGTGGCCGCACTAGGCTTCATCTCCTTGGGGTTGGGGGCGTCCGAAGGCGTAGAAGACATCTCCTTGCGCTTGCTAAAAGACCTCGAAGAAGAACTTGAGGAGAGGCTGGGTGTGATGGTCCAATTAATGCAGAATTCAGCTGCGGTGGAGAATGGCCAATTGAGACGTGATTACTGACTCCTCCCGGCAAAAACGAAGGAACGATAAGCGGAGTAGTGGCAAGAGAAGGATACTGAGCAGGAAGTAAGGGCGGTGACATGCTGACAGAAAGCAAGGGCGGCGACATGTTGGCAGGCAGGAGCATAGGTCTATCCATTGGCTATTATAAAAGGAATTAATATAGCTGCATTCCTATAAGCCGTCATTAGCCGCCATTGTTTTCAGCAAAGATAATTACCTGACGAGGTCTGCCGTATTGAGCGTGCTGAAGTGGTTTGCCATGGTAAAGCTGTTGCTGATTGTGCTGGTTATGCTGATTCGGCGCGTAGTAATGATGCTGCTGATACTGTTGGTGCTGTTGGTACTGCAGGTGTTGTAGTTGCAAATGTTGTAGCTGTTGGGGTGTTGGTTGCTGTTGCTGTTGCTGCTGTTGTTGCTGTTGCTGTTGTTGTTGCTGCTGCTGCTGTTGCTGTTGTTGCGGTTGTTGTTGCGGTTGCTGGGGAAAGGATTGTAGCCGTGGAGTATCAGGTCGAAAAGAGGCTAGGGCTTGCAGCTCTTCATTTGGGAGAACGCGTTAGTCGAGCTCGTGTTGAATGGAGAAGCCGAAGGATGGGCGGATTCAGGCTGCGCTCCGATGGGATGCTCATCGTCGCACGAACGAGCTTGGGAAGCCGACACTTGAGAAGCAGACATGGCAGCGAGTCGAACAATGAAGTGGATGAAAAGTGAATGGCAAGGTGAGTAGAGGGAGGGGATGGATCATAGCGTTCCTGCCAGCGAATCATCGTTGAGAATCACTTTAGTGTGTCGGCGAGAAGCAGGAAAAGGCTGCTTTCCACGGCCATCTTGATTCTGCTTCCTCAAGGTCGCACAGACATGGTTGCGGCCAATAGCAACCGAGAAGCAGTTTGGTGAGAAGCAAACCAGAATCAAAATCTTTAAGTTACTCACTTGAGATGACCAAAAATCAGCCAATCAACAACAGGGATTTATGGGGTGCTTCTCTTCACCATCCAAGAGAACCGTGAACAGCATACATGGTACAAGGACGACAATAACTGCCGCTACAGTGCGTGTTGAAAAGCTCTGTTGGATACTACCGAAAGACGAAGGTATCTATTATAGAATAAAACACTCTTGGAGAAAATCCTTCAAGAACTCGTGGATTAATTGCATTTCAAGGGTTTGAAGGCAAGTCAAAATTGGTAAAATGATCATTTTCGGGCGCATAAAACGACTTATTGATTGCACTAATGACACTGTGTGGGTCCATAGACCCAGTTTTTACATGAACTATTTGATCTATATAACGTAATGCAGGCAATTTTGTTGAAATCCATGAGGTGTTCCTGAGTTCTTGGCTGCTATATACTGGGAAAGTCATATTTTTCCGACCAAGGTGACTTTCGAGCCAGAGAATTCATGCTTTGGTCTATGTACATGGTTGCGCTTGTGTACTGGCGAACTTTTTTGGGGGTTTGACGATCTTCTATCATGCTCCGTCGTTTTTTATTGTTTTGGTGCAGAACAGTAATTGAAATAGATATCAAGTCTAGTACTTAGACGCGTCTTTTTACATCCTGCAACAACTACGGATATCAAACTTTCTCAGAAACCATTGAAGTCAGCTGGAGACATGTCTCCAAGTATCCTCTATCGACTTCAAAAGGAACAACCTCAATCGGCTATGTTTTGGGGGACTTCACTCATATCGCTCTGCCATGACGCCTAGACTGTAGGTCTTACCTCCTATACCAATAGACCGTCTATAGGAGACAGGCACATAAAGACACTCCCTAGGGGAATTCCTCTCTTTTGGCGACTGTGGATCGACTCTACTTTGGTGGAAAGGACGACTGTAGTAGATCATTGTTTCGGTCTGATAGATTCGCAGGGACACATTGTTATAAAAAAGAGATCTTGTGCAGGCCTCTGTTCTGGGATTTGGTAAGTATAAAGGGCGAGTAGTTGGAGTGGTTGATCATCTCTGCTCTTCAATGACGATACGCATCTTTTCTAATGGCTGCGGAACGAGCAACAGGTCTTAGGATTCTGTTCTGTCCGTGGAAGATACGACGGCAGGGCGCATGCCTTCCATCGAACAGCAGCGCAGACATCCTCTTCGTTACTCGCCTTGTCATGCACGTCTCTGCTCATTCCCACTGTTTTTGTCGCTACCATCCATGAGGCCGACCAGACACATGCCATTCGGCGCCTTTCGTACGGGACATCGATTGTGCTTCTGATCGCATACGTCCTATATATGCTCTTTCAGCTCGACGCACACCCATTTGTTTACGCCCGAGAACGAAAACGACAATGATGCGGCCAGACTCAGTGCTTCCACTCTGGTTGGATGCCGTCGTACTTGTGGTGGTTACAGTCGCGGTAGCGTTCTGCGCAGATTATCTCGTCGCGTCCATTATGGGTCTCTCAGACTCATGGAATATCACCCCGACCTTTATCGGACTCAGTCTACTGCCCATTGTCGGTGGCGTGGCAAAGAACATCTTCGAGCAGATGATAGCAATTCGGATGGCAATTGAGACCCGAATGGACCTGATGATAGGTGTCGCTATCGGCACAACGATGCAGATCGCCCTATTCATTGTGCTCCTAATGGCCATTAACGATTGGATCATCCATGAGCCCATGGCGCTGTTCTTCGGTACATTCGAGACATGTATCCTATTCATCTCTGCCCTCGTTGTCGACTACTTAATCCAGGGCGGCAAGTCCAACTGGTTTACGGGAGTTATGCTTTTGAACACGTACGTGATCATTGTTATCGCGTTCTACTTTTATAATGCACCCGCTTAATACACTCATTTCAAGTCAACACCTATACACACAAAGAAAAAAACCCTTCAACACTAGGCCGCGACTAGATGAATGGAATAAAACGCACCGACGAAGAAGTTGGAGTATTTAAGTCTAAGCAGAGGACATTATTGCAGGCAGATTGATGTTTATTGCTGAATGTTTGAGCCGGGTGTCTACCATCGAACCTTTTGCGTTTGAGAATAAAGTGCAGTGGTTGGTATATGTGTTCCCGTACATGTACATCAATGTACTATTCTGGGCTGCGGACTTACTTATCCTTGAGGTCTACTCTCCATGTCAGCGTAAGCTTTGCAACGGTTTCAAAGGCCGCATTCTTAATTAGGACCTCGTTAACAACCTCCTTGACCTCTCTGTCCTTCAATTGCTGAACGACTGAGCTAGCAGTGAGCAGTCCACGAGATACTTTGATATACTAAAAATGCAGTGAGGGGAAGAGGTGTTAGAGCAAATATTAAGAACTCCTTATCTTCATGCCCTTCTGCTAACTAGACGCCTCACCTCGGCATTGATATTGGTGAGGATAGCGCGGTCCTTCTTGCCGAGCAACGTAAACACTGCGAGACCACCGACAGTCTCCCCGAATGTAATCAACGCCGCTGCATGGACGCAGCGGAATGGATTAGAAATCTTTTTGGTCTCCTATTCAATTCCAATTGCAACATATCCGGTTAATCTTCCAGTGCTTTTCGATAGTTTTGCTCGATAAACCAAACCAACCGATACAGTAGCATGATCACATACCTTCATGACTCCACACGCCTTGCCCTTCCTCAATTCAGTGATGCGGAAATTGATGGATCGAGAGTAGGGGTTGGCGAAACCGACGACAGTCGAAAAGATCCAAGCTCTCATACGGATGGGCAAAAGGCCGATATTATTGAGGGCCTCCCAAACTTGAAGAGGATCTCTCAGGGCGCCGAGTTTTTTCACGAGAATGGCGGCGAAGATGGCCAACGCCAAAAAGGCGATGGCTAGGAATGCGATTTTGAAGCTGTTCATTTGTTGTTGTTTTTTATCCTGTTGTGTGTATTGTTTCCTGCGGAGAAGTTGATCCTAGGGTTCAAGTCTTGGGCTTTGATTCAGATCCTATGCCCAACAAATACGCGCACAGAAAACCATGGGTAATATTAGTATGGACGTACGGGGAAGATTCTTCTCAGCCTTGAAACAAAAGGCGTGCAATCCCAACTGATCTCTCATTCGCGGCGTGTTTTGAAAAAGGAATTGTCTCGATACAAATCTGATGTTGAGAAGGCATCAGTATGCTGTTGATCGCTTACCAAGAGAGCTCTGCTATGTCGAATCGATCTGTTTGGCGAAGGGAGCGATGAGAAGTGTGTGATCGAGGAAGAATCAGTAGCGCTCGGACGGAGGTAGAGTATGGTTGCGCAACGCACGTGTAAATTCATGATTGAAACTGTAAAACGACTGGAAGGGCAATTGGCCAATCGAATGCATCGCCCTTCAATGCCTGCTGCTCAGCTAGTCCACCAATAGCCACCACTTCTTCACGCGATCGATAGACATGTAATGTGTAATGCAGTTGATATGCAGTACAGTTGACGCGTATGTAAGTATTCATTTTACATTATCCTTTACCAATTGCTTGTTCTCCTGTGCCCATTCTGCCAAGAGTATCTGAACCGTGGCTCTTCCATCTAGACTACCGCATCCTAGCTGTTGCGGATCGAGTTCCATATTGACCTCTGGATGTTTTTTTGTGGGACGTTTCAAAGTAATGTTAAAATATGTCGTGTTCAGATAGCCGTTCGCTACACCATGTTACGCATGCATATTTGGCTGTCATCAAGGGCATGTCGCGCTAGCTTGCTGAATACATTCAAGGCATGTAAAGATACAGGGTTTATGTGCAGAGGTGAATGAGAAGCAAGACTCATGATGAGGATATGGGGGATCCAACTGAATAGAGGCTGGTGTTCTATGACTATGATACGGTAAATAAGTCGAGAGTCTTGTTAAGATAATCCGAGGCTCTCAAATCCCACCAAAAGAAGGCTAGAAACATCCTCTAGATCATTTTTCGCCGGGGAACAAAATAAAACGATGGGTGGGCGATTACAATGGCCTGTATGTAAAGAGAGCCCCTGGGAACGTGGATGAGGACGGATCTCTTTGTGATCGCATGCTATGACCCATCTTAGACTGGCGTCGGTGAAAGAACACCTTGGACAATGCGGATGCTGCTTGCAAGATGCGGCGGTTCGAGGTTGTAATATTGTTTGAATCGCTGGAAATAAGGCTCTCCTTTACAATCGGTGCTTGTGTAGAGCACAAACGAGTGGTTTCGGGAGCCGACAAACGACTTGACCTTCATGGGACTATCCAGAGTAACACATCCACAGCCTGTCACCACATCAATTTCGTCTTTAAAGGACGGCCTCGCAAACAAGCGAATAATGCCGATCTCGAGGGCGAATGTATCTGGCAAAGACGGCGATCGTTCAGTCCAGCAGCTTTCCATGACTTGATCCGTAATCGGGGAGTAAAGGACACCGTGATGACGATTTGAGTGGCTGCTGCTACCGCTTGTCGCTCCGGCTGGTGCTGGTATTTGGTTAGTGGTAATAACCGTGGGTGGCAGCGTTCGGTGCATCATTTCCCTGTGTTCAACGAGGGGGATGAAGATGCTTGGTATGTCTGGTAGCTGTACGGAGAGATTGGCGAATATTGGCGATGGAGTAGCGGCTTGCCGCTGTACGTGGGATTCAGTTCACGAGTTGAGGTCGCGATGCGTTGTACCGTTGAAAGAGGCGAATTGTAGGACAAGGTCAAGGTAGGGGCTGGTGCAGCATCGGTGGTGAAGATAATGAAGGTTCCTGCGAACATTTGTGATAAGATATATTGCATGGCGAGAGAGGTGAGGAGAATGGTGGTAGGGGCTGTAGGAGTATATGTCTCGATACAAAAGAATGCACCAAGGACGGGATTGGCTTGTTGAGTTTTTAGCGCGCGAGGAGATCTTGCTTTCAGGCACAGATGGCACTGACCAGACCACACCACATCAGACATCATATTTACCCTTAAGCAGCCCTTTTGTTTTGCTCAACGAAGGTTTTTTGCGGTCTCCTTCACCTTTCATTCTTCACACATCCAGCTTGCCGCCATGTCCGACTGGGGTGCGTAATCAACAAAAGAAAAGCGACGGAACTACACCGCTACATACAACAAGGCAACAGAGGCTTATCTCAGGACCATTCATTGCGGGACTATCCGTTGCCTGAAGCTCTGCACTGCATCAAGATATTGCTCTTGAGTGACTCGACTATACCAGTTTGCTAACGGAGCGAACCTCTCGTGTGCCTATAGAAAACGAAGACGTAATTGAGGCACCCGTTATCCCCGCCAAGAAGCAGTGGGACGATGAAGATGTAGACGATGACGACATCAAGGTGAGTTTGGAGACGATAGTTTGTTTGCAGACAGCAATTGCCGCACTTTCTTTTTTGGACAATGGCACATTGCATGAAACAGCAGATATGGAAGCAGGCATGTTTTGCTGCCTGACTAATGCTGGGACGTCAGACGACGTTGCTGGGGCATATCGGCCACAGGGCAGAGCAAGGAATATCAATGAACAAGTAATCTTTCGCGGCAACTCACAAAGCAATGAACTTGGAATCATAGGAGGACTGGGATGCCAGTAGTGAGTCTGAATCAGAGGAGGAGATCAAGAAGCCAGTTGTCAAACCCCCCAAGATGACTTTAGCCGAGAAGATTGCTCAGCGCAACGCCGAGGCCGAACGCAAGAAGCAGGCCATTTTGGAGAAGAAGGCCGTAGGTGAATCACACTGTTTTCTCGAGACGTCGCCGCTGTACATGTATGAGAGCTATGTGTTTTAATTGCACGTTTCGTGTGTTTGTCAATTATTTAGCTCATCCCTGAGGAAGAGACCGAGGAGGAGAAGTTTGCGCGTCGTCAGCGTGAAAAGAACGCCATTATTGAATCGGATCTTGCCAATGCTGCCGATCTTTTCAGCGGTGTCAAGGTCACTGATGGAGGTATATTCACGCCGATATTCGCTGTTTCAGGTTTAGAAGCATTATTTTGAAACATGGACTTTGGACATTAGATCAACTACTCATCTGTCGCTCAACATGGAATAGTTGTAGGACCTGCAAGCAATCTCGAGACCATGAGGCCTAAGACCAAGGACCAGTTTAGCGAGTACACCACCGAACTTGTCGCTCTTATTCAGAAGCACGAGGTAATAGCACGACCGAATGTAGTATACGGCTGCACCAATGGCGGATATGTCAATGCTGCAGTGTCATAACTAAACGCTTATTTTAATGTTAATAGAAACAAGGCCTGTACGTCTCCTTCTTGGAGGGTTTATTCCGCGAGCTCGCTCAGGGATGCCGTGATGTGGATGTGCGCAAGTTCGCCACCACTTTGACGACCTTGGCCAACGAGAAGCAGAAGGCAGCCAAGGACGCCCTGAAGACCAAGAAGAAGGGCAGCAGCAAGCCTTCGCTAGTTGCAGCCAAGGTCAACACAGTCGTCGATACGAAGGATTACAGCAACGACTATGACGAGTTTGACGACTTCATGTAGAAAGATGAATACTCGAGAAAAATAAACACGCGCTATATTTTGCAGACACATGGCAATCATTCAACTTGGCTCTGTGTGGAGTACAAGTCACAGTGGATAGTTACGACAATCACAAGGGACTACGCTCCTTCCCCCAACCCAAAAAGCGCACGCACTCAACTCAGGAACGGAACAAAGGCCCATCATCATCATCCAGCTCCTAACAGCTTTCTGTGTTCCTACACATCACCAGGAAAGCATTTACATCGAGCGCTATGCTTGCTGCAGCATCGAACGCAAGCGCAATGAACTCGGCAACGCCATCTGAAGAGCAGCAACAATTGCAGGACCTGGAGAGTCTTGCCCAGCGCGTGCGTTCACTCGAGAAGCTACTGACGCCGCCTCCAGAACGGAAGCCATCAGTCGCTGTAAATGAGACGGAGAGTCCTACGGAGGAAGGGCCTGAAGATATCATCAGCAGCCTGTCACCTCCGAGGAACCAAAATCCTCAAGCTCACCATACCAGTAGCAAACACGGCCATCACCACCATCACCAGCACCCGGAGCCCGACCATACCCCTGGCTCGCTTTCGAGGAGGGTCCAGAAAATTGAAACAGAGCTATGGTCAACTATGAAGGAACGAAAGGTCATTGACGAGTTTTTACAAAAGTGTGGGTATTCGAGTTCATGTGCCATGATAAATACAGGGGATGGCCATGATAAATACAGGGGATGGCCATGATAAGCGACGTGATACTGACTAATTGCTTGCTGAAATGAACTCATACAGGCGAATACTCCAGGTTGATGAGCAGTCCATATGGTTCCCATCCAGACCGCGAGCTGTTGTCGCTGCAAGCAAAGATAGAGCTCACCCTTGCTGCTCAAGAGGATTTACAGGGACTAGCTGAGGAATCCAAGGAGATCCAAACTTTAGAACGATGTGCCGAAATAGGGGGACTCAGGAGTAAGATTGGAGCATAGAAGGATGGATTTTGATACACTGTGCCATGGATTACGTGCTCATCGTTTCGAAAATATTGCGTGGACTAGATGTTGAATCTCATTACCCTGCTCTATCCAAGCTTGAGACGATTCACATCGAGCAATGCCAGGAAGCCAACAAGGTTTCGGACAAGATGAACAAGCTGACGGACGACTACAATAGTCTGGTGAGTAGTGGGCGCAAGCTGGTCTCGCGTAGCATATCACCGTGGAGCGCGAAACACATTTATTACTGGTATTACTGGTGGAGATATTTTCAAGACTCTAATAACCATCTATTGCTTATCAAATTTTATCTAGATCAATACACTGTCAGAAGTGTTCCTCTCGTGGGATGCGCTGTTGACAGCAGCCGAGCTAAAAGTCTCGGAAGTAGAGAGATCAAGGAGCTGAGGCAAGGATACGGGGCGACATGCTGATATGTAGACCAGCCAAAATGATCACTATTCAAGTTCTCAAATACAACAAGTCTTTTACAACGTACAAAAAGTCGATCTATGACTCGCCTCCTAAAGGCAATCAGGCTGATGCTATGGCGTGTACTCAAGTGGCGGGGCAATTGTTTTGTCCAGATGATAGACTAAGGGTACCTCGTTTCGCAGTTTACTGTGACCACCCGTTCGCCCTGTCCTCATGCCTTCTTTTTCAGTAGGGATGAATCCACTTACATATCCCAAGACGTTGCGATGCTCGCTCTATGAGAAGTTTTGGTATTCCTGAAACCAAAAAAAAAAGTAGCTCGACGCCCATGATCGACATGGTAGAGGGCAATCTGCAAGCAAATTGTCTAATGGCTGTTATATTGGACAAAATCGTGAGTTCGACGGAGTCGAACGTAAGCACTATACTCCAAATGCCGCAGCCAGTATGCTTCTCAAATCTTTTTGCAGCCAGCATGTATGATAAGTTTAGTTCAAGAAATAAAGCGCGGGAATTACCATAAAATGCATATCAGAACTTCAGGCATTGGCGCTTGTGCTGAACGCGATGTTTATTATCACTCTTTTTCTTGTTTACCGCTGAATACAACAGGCACCAACGATCAGACAGTTGTTTGCTCAAAATACTCTAAAGAACCGTGGACAACAGGCTCATTGTGCCCCTACCAAATTTTCTCGAGGCAAGAAGATGTGTGTACAGTCCGTGTTCGCATCCTCTGAAATTTTTCAGACGATGCGGGCCTCATATGTAATCTTGCATTTTTATTGGTCGAGGCATACATCCCAGGCAGAAGCGCGGTTGATATCTGTCCCCTTGTGATTTTACGGATGTTGAGGAATGAATAGGGAAAAAGAGCAGAAAACAGAATTGACCAATAAAAATGCAGGATTACATATGAAGCCCGCATCGTCTGAAAAATTTCAGAGGTTTCAGTCCTAGTCCACACGCCTAATCGGGCGTGTCCAGGAGAGCAACCAGTCTCTGCTGTAAACAAGTAACATTTCCTCCCTTCCATCTATACGTCCATTAGAGGGTTTCAAACTCAATGTTTTCAATTAGATACGCGTTTTAGATACGCGTTTATGAAATTTTCGTTACATGCCTGTCCTCGGGCTGGCGTATTTCTGTCGTACGCATTTGGAAATAGACATCAAAATTACTGAGTTTCAATCCCCCTATATTCCCAACAATCTTCGCGGAAGCAAGCACTGAGGCACGAGGGTAGATGAGGTTAGGGTCGCTATTTTGCCGTATCAAACCCAGTATGCGATAGTTTTATTTCCTTCCCAGTCTACAGGCGCATGCTCAGGCTTGTTATGAGCAGACTGAAACGATGGCCTGCACTAGAGTCGCGTCTATGAAATCCTTGAGCACGCGTAGCCCAATTGTTTTTATTGGCGTTTGTAGGCTATGGCCTGATCGATATCACTATATTCCGAGCAAGATTCTACTATATTGGATGAATACAAGGCTAAATCCCCTATTATTGGGCTGCATGGCAAAAATCTAGCCCTGTAGAGGACCAAATTTTAAGGTTCGTTGCAGAATTTCGCATTTTTGGAGCCCAACTGCCTAGAATAATATCTTATTGTTTGCATCGGCCCCTGTTCTTGTTTCTGCCCTTTAGGCCTCACGCATAGCTTGTTTTGAGCCTAGGCTACTCCAAACTGCGTCAAATCAGGCATTAAGACGCTGTAGTAAAAGCAGAATAAATCCATGAGGATGGAAGCAATTCCAAAACCACGTTGGGAAATATCTTTCTTTGCCTAACCAATGAAACAGTGAACATCTAGTCTTCCAGTCGCTACAAGGTGTCGGGATTGAAGCCGTGTGTGGGGTTCGAAGTTTGTGCTGAACACAGCAAACCTCAGCTGTTTGCAGATCAACAGAGTTGCACAAAGTGTATGTATCCCAAATATTTGCCTAGGGTTTATACCGTCTTTGCCGTACATGGGGTATTCACGTCAAAGTGGGTCTGAGACATACGTGTATTTCAAGGAACCGAAAGTCCCTTCCTTCCTTTTCTTCATTCATTCACTCCTCTTTCAACCTAGAGCCAGAGCCAGAGCCAGCTCGTATTTTATGCTGCGTGTGTTGTCTGCACCTTTCCGTCAGCTGCATGCGCCACACCTGATGCGCGATACTGAACCGGCATCGTTGATTGCTTTGATTTTCCAGGCCAGCATGGAAATGCGAGGACTGCCAGAGTTGATCAGGGAGACCAAGGGAGTTCCAGCACACGACTTGCAGACCAAAGAGATTCATGTCGACGTGAAATCGCTATACATCAATTTGGTCAGAGCCAGATGCTTTGATAGTATGTCAAAGCAGGTTTCGTCCCACATTGCTAAGATTCAGGTCCTCGAATTTCGGCTATAGCCCCCGTTATACACCCAAGCTCATCAAGGACCTTTCGCGAGCTAGTCCCGTTGCTCTATCCGATCTTGCTGGAATGATAGTAGAGCTTCATAAACAGCACAAGCCGAAGGAGAGGGACAAAATCACTGCGATAAAGGAAGGAGGCCTGAAGTAGGGCAATAAAAAAAAAGACAAGGGCGCAAACAATGTCAGCAGCAAGGAAGAGTGGCGAGTCGGGGCCAATCTTCAAAAGCATCTGTTTGGTCAAACATTTGCAACGGTAACCCTGATCGCAGGCTTGATGACGGGATGCCTGCATCGAGCGACCACGTTGGATGGACACAGTCGGTTCAAGAGGACCACCAATAAAGGATCAGTTAACGAAACAGGCCAAGAATATTGCCCAGCAAATGTTCGAGGACTTTTGCAAACTCGTGGGGGATTTTAGACCGATCGAAGCGAGTAAGGATTTGGCCCTGGGTATACCACAGATGGATGCCGCCGCAAACATCCACAATGCGATTCGCCAGCATTTTTGAAAGCTCCCGGACACAGTTAATCGAAAGACAATACATCCTCTGCAAAACAAATAACCTTCATGGAGCATCTTTGTCTCTGCACTGTTCTGTAGACTTATCTTTTTATTTTTCTACTTCATTTTTGGTAGATGAAGATTGGCCTGAATGATGACACAGATCCCCAAGTCGGAAAAGAGCCAGACGAAGACGAGTCCAACGGCGAAGAATCGGAGATTGATGAGTCAGACAACGGCGAATCAGATAATGGCGGGTTCGAAGACGACGGATCGGAAAACGGAGAGCGTGGCGATGACATGGATGAAACGTTTCGGTTCGAAGCGGGCTTCATTAAAAATTAGTGGGATCTATATGCTGCATTGCTCTCGGAGGTTCGGAGGTCTGGCTGTGCTTCTGTCCTTCTGCGGGGTTTAAGGACTTGTTTGTTCTGTTTTCAGAAAGTGCTCTTGTGCCGCTGCTTTGAGGGAGAGGCAGTAAGACCAGTAAAATTGGAAGCACGAGGACGATCATGGAGCAGAAGGTCTATTCCAGAGCAAGGGCCAAGGACTAGCGAAAGGCACCTACGGAGGACTGCTGCATCTCCCTTTCCTTGGAGACAGGGAGGGGATCATGGAGAGCAAGGGCAAAGGGCAGACGACACATGGCAAAATATCAAGGGCCATGGCTAAGGTGGTGCAACAAGTACCGAAGACATATGGCATGAAAGCTCTTCAAGACTATATGAAGGCGTTCTTCGCCCATACACAGCAGCGTAAAGAAGCCATTGAAACAGAACGGGCGCTACAAGACCGACCAAAGTTCCCCAGCGCGAGGGTAGACGGAAGATACGCCCTTTCGAATCACCTCTTCACCGATGGTCTACGTGCAAACTTGATAGCATTTGACGTCAGGAGATGGCGGCAGTCCGCCAAGTTCAAAACAATGATACTGGATATCGACAAACCGTTCGGCATGCAGTCGTCAATCGCCGAGGTCATGGGAGAGGATTACGAAGGCGCAGTGGTAATCGGCGTGGATCCTGGCGAAATCATCACGGCCTAGTTTTGTGCGATTGATCCTCAGCGGGAAAATGCAGTGGAGACAACCAAGGTACGGCGCCCAGCCCTATACTCATCAACAATGTCACGCCGGTTTGCAGTGGAAAACCTGAAGCGCCGTCGTTCGGTCGTCACGGAGAACAATACAGTTGATGCGTCGCAGTGGACCAGTGCCTTCGCCCAACCGGAGAGCCAAGTGGACCGACCTTCAGTTGAACTTCCGAGTATCTCGGGGGTTGAGTAATCCCTGCCCGGCAAGTCATTCCCGACTTTGCCATTATACGTACAAGGAAGGTCGAGAAGTTGGTGGTATTCACAAGACCTTCTGAGCGGTTTTTACAGCTCCAAGTTACTCAAGAAATGGGACTGGAAGAGAATCAAGGGGACACAGGCCGAGAGAGACTTGGCGCTACATGGAGCATTGAAGCTTGCGAGTCCCAGTGGTGGCGTTCACAACAAATCTACGAGACCCGCCGTATCTGTATATGGCAACAGAAGCTTCAACGCTAGAAAGTGATTACCATCAACGTCCTTCAAGGAGCACTTTTTTGAAACGGTATGTTATTCGTATCTAATGTCATATTTTCATGTATCGATGTGCTATCTAGGCCAGTAGTCTGGGATACGTTGTAGTGTCTTGCGATGAGTATCTCACCTCCACCAAGTGCCCGACTTGTGTGGCTTCAGGCAATGATGTTCGTATGGCCAAGCCCGAAGCAAGATGCTTTGTTTGTGTGGAACCTGGATGCCACCGCTACGTAGATCGGGACGATGTGGGATTCCACAACATGGCGAATATCGGGCGCTCCTATATACTAAATCAGACCCGTCCAGGGTCGCTCTGCTGGTCATCTCGCCTCGCATCCACGAACCCCTAATAGCTGTGAGTCCGAACTCGCAGTACCCAATTATCCCCTATTGCGACTTCATGAATCAAAAATTTAGGTCGTCGGAGCAAGGGATACGAACTTCATATTGTACGTTATGATAGGCTTGGTTATTATGTGTAGGCCATGATATCTAATTTCTATGCATAGTCGATTTTTTTTTTTTTTTTTTTGAACAGGTCCGATCATGCCCCTTTTATGCTGTGCTGAAGCATTGTTCTCAGAAATGAACTCAAAAGTAGGTCGTGCAGGGAATTAGAAATTATCTAAATGGGCTGAAACGAGTATATCAAGGTTTTTTCTATTTATTATACTCTCAGTGGCAGCTAATGCATCAGCATCCTCCCCTCTGGCTCTTCTATGCGCATAATTTGCTCCTCAATCAATACTGACTCTCGTCTTGAAGTATTCTAGCGCATAATGCATGGAACCGTCCTATATCGTCGCAGAACCAACACTAGTCAGTCGTACAACTACAAAGAGAAATTGAGTGCAATAGAGTACTGTCTATTCAATTCAATGAAAAAATCTCATCTTGCATGACAAAAATCGAAGAATGCCTTTCTGCGGCTGGCCTTTATTCTCCTACAATCGCATCCAGAATCCCGAGAATGCCTTGCGCCGGACTGGTTGGGGCTGGTCGACGCACTAGAGTTGTTGCTGCCCTTTGAAACTGAACCGTCACATCCCTGACTGTTGATGTGGCGACTTTCTTGATTACTGTTCCCGCTAAATCTGTCGTTGTTGACGGAGATCCAGGGGGTGTTCTCAAAGAGGGGACGAGCAAGGATAGCGCCCACCGAACGGGCATCAGCAGACAGCCGATTAACGATATTCCGCGATCCGCAATCCGTTTCTTAAGAATGTACATCACCACCAACGCGAAGACGAGCAAACCGAATCCAATTAAGAGGCGATCGGTCCAGTCGGCCTGGTTAAGCTTGGTTATCAGATTTTTTCCACGCTTGAGCACCTCATCATACGTTTGGTATTCGTTGACAGTTTCTTTCAAAGTTTTGGAGGACTCATCTATGGTTCAAATAGGAAATATATGTATCGATAGCAAGTCAAAATCTTTTGTCCAGTAGCCCATATTAGCATTCATGAGCAAGACACGATACCTATAATTTTGGCAGAGTTCGCGGTCCGTTCTACCTCCTGCTGCATTAGTTTGAGGGTTCTGCTGAGACTTTCGTTTGTTTCCTTGCTTGTGTTCAGCAGGTATTCACCAGAATTGGCGAGACTATTGCCTCTTCTTCTGAGTTCACTCAATTCAATCGCGGATTTCGATCCTTTGAGCAACAGCTCCCGCTCTGTCTTGATCTCTCGATCAATTGTCTGCTTAGATGTCAGGATCGCCTGTCGTAACGCCTGCTGTTGCCTATGATAAGGACATGCACATAGATGGTCGAAAATACTATAGTGAATATCGTCCGTCGCTTTTTAAGGATTCGCACATGAAAGCGCGCAGACACAGTGACACGTACTGCTTGAACTGCGTCTCAATCTTCTCCAACATTGCCAGGACCAGGCTTCGATCCGCTTCTCGATCCTGCTCATCCGATAGCTGTCGCAATTCCTAGAAGAAACGGCCGTGAAGATATTAGATCGACCGGCGATACAAAGAATATGTGCAGGCAAAGAGCGACAGGCATAATCCAGGGAGACATGACGGCAGCCTGCGTATGGTTTGATAACACACCTCAATCTTGGCTTCAATGGTCTTGGACTCCTCCCGCGCACTGCGAACAAGTTCCTGCTGGACAGAGAGGGTTGCACCAGAGAGTGTTTTCAGTCGCCCAATATGACTGTCGAGGGAATGGTATTGCTTTCGGAGCTCATCCATCTGTGCCTGGATGGAGCGAGGCAGGATCTGGGAGGGGAGGGGAGGCATGTTTGATAGTCTGGCGGGTTATGTAGTCCTGCAGTATACGGTTGCCTCTGACGGTCGAGTGCCTCAATGGCTACCTTGTGGGGATGTCGGCGTTATGTGAATGGGGGCTACGAAACAGGCCAATAATTACCATTTATTGGGACCGTCACATGCCATAGCCTAGAAATAAGGTCGGCCAGCCCTCTGCTCTCCATCGACCTGCTACACCCCATCAACCTTTTTTGTCTATTACTCTACGCTCTACCCCGCATCGTCCCTTGGTCTCTCGCTTCTCGCGGTGGAGGAAACTGTTCGCCATACGATAAACACTCCCTATTTATATCATCCCCGTCACTGGTTGTCAAGCATGGATTTCTCGGCCACACCAAGGTAAAAAGCAAGCTCATGGAACTGTCAACACGTATTGGTCTACAGAGGCGAAATCAACAAAGCCCTTTCTGACACTCGTGCGTGTCTCTTAGTAGGGTCGGGTTCTGGAAGCGTCATACGACCAAGCATCCTGGGTCGTAAGTCTCTCACGATGCGTATCGATGGAGAGGACACAACTGAAAGTTATGGACCCAAGCATCGTTTCTCACTACAGTGTCCTCTACATATTTGATTCGACCTGTTTCATATTGATCTAGAGTTAGGCCAATACCGGGGAAGATGGGCGCTTCAGGAAATATGGTGTTTGGTGCACAATATTCTCATGCCACTTCTGTGCTAGAGGTTGAACGTTTGAGGTAAGTAAGACCCGCTTGCGTTCAATTGGCACTTCAAGAGCAATTGTCCGAATTGGGACGCGTTACATGGAACATGTGCCAGAAAGGAAGATAACGCCAAGCTGGTACTTACTAACAGAGATGCAATAACGTTCCGAATGCTTTTTAGAGCGCTTCAGATGGACCCTGCCCTGTGGACAAATAACCACTCCTCAGTCGTAGACGATAATGACTCCAGTTATGACAACCACCCAGAACTGTCAGGATACCAAACACTGCCAGCACAGGATGTCAAAGATGACGCAGAGCAGGATATCACGCCAGCCAGCACACCCATTACAGCTACAGCAGAGACCGCACACATACTTTCAGGGACATTAAAGGCCTCTGAACCTGGTACCTCATCGCAAGGAATACCGAATACCTCAGGGGCCGAAGCACAAGATTCAGTAGTGTCAATGTTGTCATCAGAAACGACGTCTGCGGAGACAGCCACTGCGTCAACTAGCTCCCCTTTAGGCGCAATTGAGGGAATGAAACCCAATGCACGCAGTATTTTGCAAGGTGAGCATCAAATTGTAGGGCTCTGAGTTCTGGACCGATCGGCTTGCTAGGTCATACAAAGGCAAGGACTCATTCCTGATTTTGAATTGTGCGTCTTCTTGACGATAGATCCGATGATGATTCTTAGAGGACTAGGCTACGAAGCCGCCATGGGTGACCTGCATCTGGTCGGGACGGAGCACCAGGCGGACGCAGTATATGCATTACAGAGGAGTAAACAGAGGGCGCGTTTCCACAAGTTCAAGGAGATGTTACAGTTGCCTGTGGTCGATCTAGAAGTGCTTCGAAAGCTATCATGGTCAGGTATTCCCACTGCGATCCGCCCCATTGTATGGCAGCTGTTGGTTGGCTACCTTCCTTGTAATTCTGACCGGCGGAATGTGGCATTGGAGCGGAAACGCAAGGAGTATCAGGACGGAGTGCAACAGACCTTCGCAAGAGGAATTGAAGGCCTTGATCAGACGATTTGGCACCAGGTCTTTATTGATGTTCCCAGGACTAACCCAAAGATGGCTCTGTTTCAGAACCAAGCAACGCAACGGGTAGCGTCTGATTTGCAATAAGAACCATGTCTCCTCCAGCTGTATCGTATTACACGCTTGGGCATTCATCATATGGATTCCTGACCGTGCGCTTTGTGGTTGCTACTCTTTCTCCCCTCCTCCCCCCCGCTGATAGTGCCTTGAAAGAATCCTTTACTGCTGGGCCATCCGACATCCTGCCAGCAGTTACGTCCAGGGTATTAATGATCTCGTAACACCTTTCTTCCTTGTGTTCCTCACGGCATATATCAATGAGGATCAGGACCCAGAATCATACGATATTTCCCTGTTGCCGCCAGAAATCTTGGCAGCAATCGAGGCGGATAGTTACTGGTGTCTCACAAAACTTTTGGATGGAATCCAGGACAACTACACTCACGCACAGCCAGGCATTCAACGACAAATCATCAAGTTGCGGGAGCTGATCTGCAGAATCGATGCGCCGCTGGCGGCCCATCTTCAGTCTGAGCATGTTGAGTTCATTCAGTTCTCGTTCAGATGGATGAACTGTCTGTTGATGCGAGAAGTGACCCTGCAGCATACGATTCGCATATGGGATACATATCTGGTAAGGGTCCCTGTAGTATTCTGATTTTGCTGCTGCATTATCTTAAAGTGCAGGTCAGCCAACATCTAACTTGAATATGTCCTATCACGCTTCATCGTCCTTTCGATGCAACGCTCCTTACGGATGAAACAGACGGAACATCCGCATGGCTTCTCAGAATTCCACCTCTATGTGTGCGCCGCATTTTTGACGAAATGGTCTGCAGAGCTGCAGCGGATGGAGTTCCAAGAGATCATGTTGTTTCTGCAAGATGTACCAACGGATGACTGGCAGGAGAAGGATATCGAGCTCTTGCTTTCCGAAGCCTTCATGTGGAAGTCACTCTTCCACGCCTCCCCCATGCATCTTGGCGGGTCAAAATAGATTGAGCAGAATGATGGCTCGAAATAAAAAGAAAATGGAGGACAAGAACTCAGGGACTTCACATGCGTTCAAAAAGACACATCTTCAAAATCGATTGTTTTATCATTTTTTATTTGCTTTTATTTTATTTGCAGCGGTTTGCGATGGGTATCCATGCAGAGCGAAGTCTTTGCTGGTCTCCGATGCTCTATGGTCGACGTTTTGTCTCCTTGGGAACGATTCGTCCAAAATACGAGTCTTAAAAAAAAAAAAAAAAAAAAAGGAGCGGAGAAAAGACGAAAGAAACAGATACTAAAAATGAATACTAATACAATGGTGAGATATGAAATAATGATACAAGCAGGTATGAGGAGTGAAAAGGTTGGCGCTGCTCTCCGACAGAAAAAAAAAAAGAAAAAAAAAAAAGCCCATTCTGCGTGCCCTGTCAAATCTATTTGTGGGAATCCTTTGCGCCTAATCATCAAAAGCTGCATTGAGTCGTATGTCGTAGGAAGAGGCGGTGCTGAGACGTGTCATGAGGGCCATCGTCCTGGCTCCACGCCAGGGCAAAGGGGATAGAGCAGTGGAGCTTTGAAACTCGTCGCGTAGTCATTGGCTTGCCATCCGCCCTCCGTCCTCACCCCACGCCCCCTTCTCAGTCAGCCTCGTTATCCTTGACCTTGAGCTTGGCCCTGTTGCTTCAACCATGTTTCCAAACTATGCAGCCAGTCCAGATACTCCGCCTCGCTCACAAACAAACTGAACTGCACTTGATTGAGGAATTCCATCTCCATCACATTGATCTCTTTGACATTGATCCCCGTCACCTCTGACCACGTTTTGTTAGTAAACGTGTTGTCGTCCAGAAACTTGTTGGCGAGCATCAATGACACTGTGAACAGGCGAAATTCTGAGCCCTGTTGTCCATGAATTGAGGGGTTATTCTTGAGTAGTTTCTGGATGTACTTTAACGATAGCAGAATCACTGACGATGAGAGCTGAGTTGCAGAGAGAACCTATATCCAAGCAGATGCGCAGCAATCAGTGTTACGTTCGGTTGCATCGCATCTTAAATACAGGCGACTCAACCAGTCATTTCTGAGTGCCTACCTTCAAGCAAAACTTTTTAAATGCCGGTCCTGCAGATGGCGGCACGCTTATCCGGTGAGGCACAACGTTGTAGGCGTTGCTCGATGCTCCATTGATGTTCGGCCTGGTGTGCCAAAGGGTATAGACCATCACAGAGGCGAACTCCGCGAGTTGAAGAGTGCTCGTCTGAGGGTTGGTGACGACCTCAATTGCACCTGCGTTCCGTGTGTCTCGCGTTGGGTCATTTGATAGCTGTGGCTGTTGCTGTTGGTGCTGCACTGCTTGCATGCGCTGCTGCTGCTGTTGCTGCTGCTGAATTTGATGTTGGTGTTGAACCTGCATTTGCATTTGTAACTGTTGCTGCTGTTGAATGTTGGGCTGCGACTGAGTCGGTATCATGGCTGGGCCGAGAATTTGTTGCCGCTGCTGGGCCTGCTGGGCCTGGATTTGTTGTTGCAATTGCTGCTGCTGAATCTGCTGCTGTTGTAGTTGCTGCTGAAGATGTTGGGTTTGTAGCTGCTGCTGTTGCTGTTGCTGTTGCTGTTGCTTCTGCTGCTGTGGCTGGATGTATGCAGAGGACGCACTGGATGGTGGTTGCTGATATTGCGGTTGTAGGTATCCTGGAGCCGGTGCAATCCCATGCTGACTAAAACCTAAGGGTTGACTTTGCGGCTGCGACGATAATGGTTGGGATGAGATGTACAGCTGCTGGTGCTGCTGCTGTTGAGAATGCATCTGCGGCTGAAGAAACATTGACGATGCTGGCTGTTGCTGGTATTGCTGCTGCTGCTGCTGCTGAAGTGGTGCCTGAGCTTGATACTGTGGTGGGTACGACTGCTGCACCGGCTGTTGACTCTGATATGCCTGTTGTGAGACCGGCTGTTGCTGGGACTGGTAGGTCTGCTGCTGTGTTTGGTACGGCTGTTGTTGGTATTGCTGTTGGTGTTGCTGTTGGTGCTGCAGTGGGACAGGCGTTGTAGTGACAGAATGGTTTTGGACAGTGCTATATCCGACGCCGGCCGCGGCCATGGGGTCGTATGGTCCACTGGGACCCTGGCTTACGTTATATCCGGGTGCAGTTGATCCTATAGGGCCCATAGATATTGGGGTCAATGAACCGACTGGTGTCCCTCCATTTTGGTATTGCGGCACGCCTGACTGGTAGTAAGCCATTGGTGCATGTGTATCCATGCTGTTGTTGTCAAGAGGTTTCGTTGTGCTTCCGAAGTGTAGGATATGGGTAACGTTATGCTTCCCTCCCCCTCCTGGTGTGAGATGAAGCGAAGTATTCTGTCCTTGGGTCGACACTCAGCGGCGATGGTCCAAGGCGTACTGAAGAAGCTGAAGAGAGGTGATGAAAAAGGGTTCGGTCAGTCTCGACCATGACCAGCTCCTGGTTTATTTTTCTTCAGCCAAACAACAGCCACGTACCGGAAAAGACTATGGAGTTCTGGCGTCAGGCGCAAAAGAGTACGTAACTCGTCGTCTTTGTCGTCTTGTCTCTGTTCTTTTTTTCTTTTCTTTTTTCCAAAAAGGGGCTATTGTCAATCGCGGGTGATCGAGGATCGGTCAATGACAAAGGGTTGACCGTCAAGGGCTACCTTCCGGGCAAGCGACGGGGGGACCTGATGGGGTGTTTTTTTCTAGGGGAGGAGACGCTGATCACGTGATAACCCGGACCTCGCGTTCCCTCACCGGGTTCTGGCTCAATCACATCCAATACCATTTGTACACCTCTGCGCATCATACAGCCACACACGACGATTGCATTCAGCTCACTACCGATATATCATGCATATTTGAGCACTGACCACAGGGTTACAGTAGTCAGTAGTCGATGGCCCTTTTACATGGATGCAGTACGCTCCTCAATAATTTTGACCCCGCTGCAGACAATCCTCTGGTCCCGAAGCTGGGAGACACCAGCCTTCGCCATATTTTGGCCAGCCAGAGGGGTTTCAGTGAAGAGGCAGCTCACAGCTGAGGCAGTAGAGCCGGCGCATATTAACTTGCGCGACAAAGTCATGGTCGTACGTCTTCCCGTTCTGAGGCCGGTCGACTGGACTCTTCTTCGACGTGTGACACTCGTTGCAGTTGACTACCACGTACACTTTCCCCTAGAAGCTTTGCAAATCCAGATTGAACACGAAAAAGAAGACGAGTTCAGGTCAAAGAACAGAACAATAAAATACAGAAGATAAGTCAAGGACATGACCTTACCGTTCAAACGACCATGGACCCGAATATGCGGTAAATCAATGATGTCTTTGTGCTTAATCTAATCTCGCCCTCGATGGTGAAAAGGTTCTTATCTGCAGATCAAGGATGCCGTCTTTTTAGGCTCCCGTATATTGCGACTGCATGAATGAACCATAGTAATGGTAAATTCGAGCGCAAGGCACTAAACGACACTCACATCTGACCAAAGTCATCACTCTTTGTAGCCCAAACAAGATGGTGTAATGAAGCACTGCGTCACGTAATTTGGTCATTTTGGCTGGAAATGGCAAGATGATAAGCGTTGGATGGGCGCAAGTAGACTCGAAAGAACAGGTCCCGTCAACATTCCAGCATGTTCGTGGTAACAAGGGTCTGCACCGTCATAATGAGTGAACCTGCGACAATGACCGCGAGCCTATAGAACAATGAGCAAACAAGGCAAGCTTGTACATTTATGTGTCGGTGATAGGGTTCGTGTGCTCATAGTTTATTTAGGGTGTTCATCCTGGTCATCATTGTCTGATAATAATGACGTACCCACGTGTACGGTCTACGACGCAAGGGCCATCGCGACGCGTCTGTCCAGACGTCAACGAGCTAAGGGCGTTCATCGAGAGAATGGCGAGTATAAAAGGGAGCCCTCCTCGCTCCTCCTCAACATATTATTCACTCAACACTACACTCTACCAACACTACCAAACCAACACTACCAAACCAACACTACCAAACCAACACTACCAAACCAACTCCAACATGACACATCACACTGACAACAAGCCCTCCACCATGGACACCATCAAGGATAAGGCCGCCAACCTCGTCAACAAGGTCACCGGCAAGACCCACGATGACACCACCGGTACTCACCACACTGGAATTCATGACACCACCGCAACCGGCATCCACAAGGACCACAACCCCCTTCACAAGGACCATAACCCCCTCCATACCGGTGCCGCCACCGCAGACTACGCAGCTCCCCAGGGCAACACTGCCGACCGCCTTGCCTACCAGCCTCAGACCGGTGTTCCCGCTCCCGTGACCGGCACCCAGACTCAGGGTGGCCATCACCATCGCGGAGCCGAGGCCGCCGCTCTCGGTGCCACCGGCGCTGCCGTTGCTGGCCATCACCACGAGCACAACAAGCACAACCTTGGTACCAACGTTGGCACCACCGGTGCCACTGGCGTTCCTGGCACCTACAACAACAACACGGCTCTCGGTGTAAACAACTCCACAACTACCGCGGTTCCCGGTGGCGGCATCGCCCATCCTGTCCCCGCTGGCCCCACCGGCACAAGCCAGGTCCCGACCTACGCCCAGAACATCGCCCCCGTGGCCTCCGGCGTCGTCCCTACGGCCTATGCCGCAGACCAGCAGACCCATGAGCACAAACACCACGGTATCCTCGGTCACCACAACAACAACAACAACAATAACAACAACACTCTGACAGGTGAGCACCATCGCATTCACCCTGGTGCCGAGGTTGCTGCCGCAGGAACTACAGCCCACCAGTATGATAACAACTACAACAACAACGTACCTTCGTCGACCACCACTAACACCGTCCCTGCCATGGGCGCCCCCGGCACCACTACCGCTGCAGGCACCCACATCCCTGGCGAGTACAATACCACTGGTTCCTCTGGTATTGGTGCCGCATACGGCGCTGGAAAGGGTGTTGGCACTCAGAACATCCCTGGCGACTACAACACCGCCAACACTACTGCCAACAACGCCATCAATCCCAACTCTGCCGACCGCGGCCGTTATGTTGTCTAAATCTTGACAACATTATGGAAGACGAAAAAGCATTTGTATATAACTGTGTATGATATTTTTCTGAATAAAATAACATGATGCTTCGTGTGTTCGACCGAACACACGACACGCGCCTTTATTCAAAAAAAAAAAAAGAGCTTTGTAAAAAAACTTCGATAGACGTCAAAAAAACGCTCCCCCAATACGAATGCAATCTCGCTAGCGCGTATTTCTTCTGATGATATCTATTCTTCGTCGATTTCTGCCTTGAGGATTTTTCACAGAACCGTGCGAGCAGCATGGTCTCGTTTATATGTTTTCAACTTCTGTTGACCTGGGAACGTAAAAAGGGCAGTTGCAGAGTTTCGGTGCGCCTGTGGAGAGATCGATGAGGAACGTGTTTTTGGTATAACCCAGAGAGGCTTAAGAGCAGGTCTCCTAGGTGCCTTGATGCTTGATCTAACGCTTGTACCTTACTCCCTCCCAGTGTGTTGACGACCATATCCTCCTTGGCTTCGTTGCGGTCAGCAAACAAAACTTGTATAGTCATATGCTCGGTTATGGTAAAATGCATGTCCCTGAGGCCGCTCTCTGCGCGAACGCCATTTGCTTAGAGGCTGGGGGGGGGGGGAAGTCAGAAACCAAAATAGACTGATCTAATTGTAGTCGCTCGACGTCTCTTTCTTTAAATCGATGGACCGGATAATGCATGCGCCTGCACCGTTCACCCACTCCGAGCTACTTTGCCGTACCTCCCCTGCCAGCTTCGGCGGCATTGCGCAGGAAGTGCATCTACAGCTGGTCGACAAGAACCAGGATTTCCTGACCCATAAAAGTTGGCATATCCAAGTGGATGGTGCTGCTCATTGAAATAGTCTGATATCCGTTGGAAAGGATTCACCTGCAGTTCCTTATTATTTCCGTTACACGAGCATTAGCCGTGGTATCCGCTCGTGCCCTTCCTAATGCTGTATTCTCTTGTCGTGGACGGCCATGATGTCGCTGAGGATCTTTTGAAATAAGGTATTTCGCTAAAGTCGTCTCCTCCTGTAATTGATGCCTACTGGCGTTAAACTAGGACGGATAGCCGTGATGGCGCCGACGTGCGTCGCGATCGCTTGATGGACGCATTTGACCGCGTCTGCCACTGCATGTACCATACCTTGAATTGTTTGAACGATGTGCCTGTGAGACCACTTCCACTCTGTCTCATCGGCATTCATGACCCTGATGTATCCTTAGTACAACGACAGTATGTCAACATGAGCATGCGGACTGATAGTTTTCATGGCAGTTGGCCTTCCTTCAATAGTCATGTCGGTCAAATACCGAAGACTTCATTCTCGAGTAGCTCGTTGATGCATATGAAGATATGGAGACAGAGTACAAGCGGCAATGGTCCGGGACTAAAACATCGAGGTACGCGTCAACTGATTATTTAATTCAATCAAAGCGCGGTACAATGGTGAACCTACAAAATAACACTAAAAACAGTATAGTAAGAGTATGCTAAGATGAGCAATGGAGCATTGCAAAACGCTTATTATTCTATGATGTCAATGTGCTGCGTCCAGTTTCTACAACTTCCAGAACACAATGATAATGGTCCCACAAGTTAATAAGCCTATATTCGACCCAATAAAGCTCAAGATTTGCTCCACTAGTCCTGACCATTTGCAAGCATGGAAAGACGACAAGGATTTGCGGGCCTAAAGAGACCAATTCTTACAAATGAACTTTGACAGAGATACTGCGAAACGACAGAACATTAAAACGAAGGATAAAGTAACTCACTGAAACACAACGAAATGCACCTTCGAGTGTTTATGTGGAACTCTGGAAGCCAGTGCACGATGTTAGCTGAGAAATCGGAAAAGCAATCCAGTACAAGCCTAAATTAACAAACCATGGACTCAGTTGGTGGTCATTTTGAGGA